GAGAGAGAGAAAAGAGAGAGAGACAAGGACAAGTAAGAGTCAAACCACTTCGTAAACTCACCTGCGCATTGTATGGCGTTACAACCGCGATATCCTCCGCCTTGACGCCTGCCTCAACCAGCTTCCTCACGTGCTGCCTGACCAGCGCAGCCTCCATCTCATTGCTCTTGCTCTCGCTGTAGATCATGCCCTTGGTCAACTTCTTTTTGCTGCCGTCCTGCTGGTCACTGTCGTCTTCATTTTTCTCCGGGAAGTCACCACCCTGCGTGTCAATGAAGATGAGCGGCTCTGTCGTCTCATCCGTCTCCTCCACGCCATAAGGTAGGTCCTTGAGTAGCCTGTCCCCAACTCGGGGGGCCGCAACGAGCTTGCCATCGTAAAGTTCGTCAGAAGGGAACCGCATGATCTTCTCGTGCATGCGGTACTGCGTCGTAAGCATCCTCTTGATCCCCGAGCCATGTAGTGCCAGCAACCGATCAAAAAGCGTCGTCTCGAGCGACGGACCCCCCTTTTTCGCAGATGCCCCCTTCGAAGAGTTAAGACTCTTAATCGTCGGCGGCAACTGCAAATGATCCCCCGCACAAACCGCCTTCTTCGCCGCCAGTAGCGCAACCCAACACTGCGCCTCGAGAGCTTGACTCGCCTCATCGATGATCACCACATCAAACTGTTCCTGCCTGAGTTGAAACCCCCCGGCTCCATGCAGCGTCGCCAGCACGACTTTACTCCCCTTTATCAGTTCATCCACGCACCTCCTCTCCCGCTCGCGATACTCCTTTCTTAGATCCTTCAGCTGCGCATAGATCGCCCTGCGTTCTCGTCCCGAGCGCGTCTTGCGGATCGAGGACTGCAGGGTATCCATCTCGGAGCGGATGTCCTGCACGATGGCGCTGGCGTCGGAGGTGCGGGTGAGGATGTCGAGAGAGTAGGGGAGGATGGAGGGGAGCAGGCGGGCGGGGTGGCCGAGGCGGATGAGCGGGATTTGGTGCGGGGCTAGGCGCTCGACGATGTTGTCGACGGAGATGTTGGAGGGACCGCAGACGAGGATACGGAGGTTGCGGGAGAGGAGTTGAAGGATCAGTTCGATTAGGGTGTGAGTTTTGCCTGTCTGTTGTGTAGACGTCAGGGGGGATGGTCCCTTGATAGCTGTAAAGGGGGATGTAATTCCTCTGAGTGATATAGAGGATGAAAAGGGGGAATATATATATATATATATATATATATATATATATATAAAGAAGGAGAATGGGGCTGAGGACTTACCCCTGGGGGGCCGTGGATGAGAGCAATCTCCTTAGACGCCAGCGCAAACCGAATGGCATCCTTCTGACTATCATTCAGCGTCTTGTCGAACCACTCAATATTGCCCACCTCCGGATCCTTCGACAGATCCTCAGGCACTGGCGACGGCGAGGACAGCCCAAATAGCACCCTTATGAAGGGCGTGTACTCCGCTTCGCTCATCTTAGCCAGCTTATCCATCGTTTGGGACATCCTGCCTGCCGTCAGTATCTCTTCCCCATCTCACGCAGAACATGTCACAATCCCCGAGGAGATGCCCCGAACAGTAAGCTCACCTCCGATAAGTAACATCATCCGCCACCTTAACAATCCAACACCTCCCCTCGGGAATCCTCTCCTCCCCGCGTTCAGCATCCTCCTCCTCGACCGCCACACACACCGTCCCCTTCCCGACCTTCGTCACAACCCCCTTCACTCCCGTCTGCTTTTCACCCCCTCCGGAACCCCCATCGCCCCCCGCAAGCCCCTTGGTCTTCCCCCTCTTGGTAGTCTTGATCCCACTCTGGGCGTGCAGCTCCGAGACAAGGACGATATCACCCACGCGGATGGCGTGCTCGGGAAGTTCGGAGGTGGAAATGGTGAAGGCGGGGTCGGGGCCGAGCTCGAGGACGGTTTTTCCGCCGAGGCCGGTGCGTTGGGAGAGGATGGTTAGGTTGGTCAGGGCTACGCCGGCACGTTCTGGGACAGGTTAGCAGGGGATCTAATGGTGTGACGGAAGAGGAAGGAAGGGGTAGAGCTAGGTTGAGTTCAGGGGTGAGGGAGGGAGGTAGTATGTTAATTTGTATAAAAGGGGGAATTACGAGGATAAGGGTGAGGACGAGTAGTGCCCCGAATGAACTGGCGACAAAAGACGCTGGTAGCCCGGAATACGCCCGCTTAAGCGGGCTAACTATATGCCTGGCTTACATCGCGTGTGCAATGGAGCTTGATACATCATGAAATGAGCAGAGCGATGTACATACGCAGAGCAGAAGGTGAGTGCAGCGACACGAGCGCTGATGACTCCTCAATCTCAGCTTGGACCTCAGCTGCCAGAAGAGACAGCTGGGTCTGGGCAAATGAGGGAATATCGATTGACGGCATGTTGTGCTGCGGCAAGGTGTTTGTTTCTACTACGCAAGCGATTGCCGTAAACCCGTTCTTGAGTGAGAACTAGTTGAGATGTTGAGCGAAAGTTGTTGCAGTTTGTTTGATGTGGGGGCGGGGCAGATGATTTATGATTTCAGGTTGCGATTGGACTTGGACAAGGAAAAGGAACGCAACAGCAAGTCCCCAGGCCCAGGCAGCAAATGGGTTGCGCAATGGGTCCCAAAAAAAAAAATAAACAAAAACCACGGAGAGCATTTCAATGGCTCAATACTGTGTAATTGACATCTTTATTGCTCTAAATCCAATTGCGTTCCTATATCTAACCGTCCAAATCATGCACCAAACCCAGCCCCTCCATACCTCACGCCTTACCTCTTCTTTCTACTTACACTATATCGTACACTGCGTGCCCCCCCTACGGACTCTGTAAAGCAAGTATAACAATCAAGCTCGCCAGCGTGACCGCAAACGCGATAAAAGCAACCAATATAATCGTCCCCCGACTAGCAGGGAACTTCCCCCGAATAACCCAGTACTGGCCCTGCAGGTACCGGTTATACCCTAGTAACAAAATCAAGATACTAATCGCCAAGAATATGGTACCAAGCGGCTTCCCCAAGTGCCGTAGTGACTCGGCCCGCTTGGAATCACCCTCCAGCGACGTGTTTAACCGAAAGAGCTGTGTAATCGCTATGCCGATGGACGCAAAGGCTAGGGAGGTTCGCAGCCAAGCTAGGAATGTGCGTTCTACAGCCGGCGGTTAGCTACTCCCTCTAGAGGATGGTCGTAAGTAGGGGAACGCACCCAACGCCAGATGGTCCCTCGCCACACTCCCTTTATTCTCCAGCTCGATGCTCTTAAAATACCGCAGCGTCCTCTTCCACCGCGACTCTTCCTTCTGCCCGGTATTTGTGCTCCCCCTCATCGACTGGCTATCCCCGCTATCACAACCAGCTGCCCCTGACGCTACAAGTGGCTGCGACGGCGCCTGGTCCTGCCTCTCGACGCCGGCGGTAGTAAAGGACTTTTTTGGTTGGATTGATCTCCGTCTCGTCGAGTTGGGTGCTGTCTGCGCTGTGCTGAGGTAGTTCAAACTGGGCTGTCTGGTCGGCTGCGTCGTGACGATCGATTCACTGGCATAACCGCCGCCATGGTGGCTATCGTCAAGGTCGGGGGGAAGTGCGGTGTGTGGTGACGGCGAGCTGGCCAGCAGCGGCCGTAGCCCGGGGTTGATGCTGCCAGGGTCGGTCTGGTCGAGGGATTCGGCGCGCTCACGGGCTCCCTGTTGTAAGTGGGGTGGTTAGCTTTCTGTTCTCGCGGGGCAGCTGAGGGGCTGTGAGCAAGGAGAGAAGATATAAGAAGACACAAACACTTCGTGAAGAGGTGAAGACGTCGTGTGCGGCAGGACCAAAGATAGCTGTGGCGATGCGGTCCATGGCTATGCGATAAAGGTGAAGGGTCGTCTGGGGGGTTCAGAAACGGGACGGAAGAGGGCACAGGGCAGAGTACAGGACACGAAAAAAAAAAAACTGCGTGTTGTTTAATGATCACGCCCCGCGACGACGTTGGCTGGCTACTTGAGCTGGAGCAGCAAGGTATATATGCAATGAAGAGAAAAAGCTTGTGAACTCCTCCAGCAGTGGGGAAGGCGAGCGAGCAATCCCTGCTCACAGTAGGCTCATGACAACCAGTATGTATGGAGGACAGCGATGTCAACGGGCGCAGCTAACCTCGAGGATTTGCTCAATGCGGTCGCGACTGGACTGGTGCTTTGGCAGCCGTCCCGTCGATTGAGGGCTGAGGGATGTCGACGATCGCGACGTGTTCAGGTCTCGGGGGCTCGTGGTCGTAGTGGTGGTGTTGGTCATGATGTCTAAGCGCCGGGCGGCACGAGATATGTATTAAACCGTAACCGTGTCTATCAGTCTCTTGCAGCTCTACCGGTTTTCTCTGCTGCAGCAGGGTCACAGGTTGCGTCATAGCCGTGTGTACGTATCGTAGCTATTGGCGCGCGACTGGGCATCGGTGGCGTCAGGACGCCTGCTGATTGCGACGATGCGATGAAAATAAAAACACATATCGTCTGGAGTGGAGGATCTATGGCCGGCAGGCCAATAAGAGATAAAGAGGCCAAAAGCTCGCCTTCGAACTCTTGGCTTTTGATCGACGGCGGCGACTTGAGACCAAAAGACGGGTTTGCCCGCCGCGTCGAGTTGCGCATCATGTGCTTGCACAGTGCATGGTAACCCATCATGAAGATTGTGAGATTTGATTGGCCAATGGCTGGGCTGATCCGCAGTTCGCCAAGAAGGAGCCCAGACACTGTGCTGCCCCTCCATCCCCCCCCCTCCATCCCCCCGCCAGGCCAAGAGGGGGGCATCGTTCAACTGTAGAAGCTTATGGACGTGACTACGACGTGTTTAGTGATAGATCGATGCTGAATAAAACCTTCTTCGAGGGACTTCTGTATCACCTTCCAGGCTGAAAGAAGAAACGACGTCATCTGACAAGCTTCTGGATCCCCTCATCTTTGTTTAAATCCGCAATCACCTCTTATCCCCGGAATCCCAACCCTGGCCGGTTATCTGCGGGCGTGTGCGACGTGAGAGAGACTGGGTTGCCCGAGGTTGATATCCAGGAGAACATCACCGATATAAAATACCAGAAAACATATAGTTTGTGTTCGCAGATATCCTTCGCGATACTCAACAACGAAACGAAGAACAAACTGCTCTTACATCTCACCAGAGACATCACGAATACAGCTTGAAACAGCACTTATACACACCATGGTTCACGCGATCCACGGCAAGCAAGTCGGCGACATCGGCTACGGCCTGATGGGTTAGTTTTCCCTTTACTCCCCTCACGAAACTCATCTTACTAAATCACCCAGGCCTCACCTGGCGTACCGATCCCCTCCCTGACGACCAAGCCTTCGCCGCCATCAAAGCCGCCCTCGCCGCCGGCTGTAACTACTTTAACGGCGGCGAGTTTTACGGGCCTCCCGACAACAACTCCCTGACCCTCCTCAACAAATACCTCGAGAAGTACCCCGAGGATGCCGACAAGTTCGTGCTCAACGTCAAAGGCTGCATCAAGCTCCCCTCCTTCGCACCCGACGGGACGCCCGAGGGCGTGAAGGCCAGCGTGGACAACTGCGTGCGCATGCTTGGCGGGAAGGGCAAGATTCATCAGTTCGAGCCGGCGAGGAAGGATCCGAATGTGGAAATTGAGACGACGATCGCTGCGTTGAAAGAGCAGGTTGATTCTGGGCTGGTCGGGGGGATCTCGCTGAGTGAGGTCAGTGCCGCGACGCTGAGAAGGGCAGCCAAGCTGGCGAAGATCGAGTCTGTTGAGGTTGAGCTGTCGCTGTGGGAGACAAGTCCGCTGGAGAATGGGCTTGCGGAGGCATGCGCTGAGTTGGATATCCCCATTCTGGCTTACTGTAAGCCCATTTCGCCCCCCCTTTGAAATCAACCAGGCAAAACTAACACCCAGATAGCACCCCTGGGCCGAGGCTTCCTCACAGGCAAGCTCAAATCCCCTGACGACATCCCCGAAGGCGACTTCCGCAAGCTGCTCCCACGCTTCCAGCCGGGAGCCTTCGAGAAGAACCTAGAGCTGGTTCACGAAGTCGAAAAGCTGGCCGCGCGCAAGGGATGCACGCCTGCGCAAGTCGCCATCGGCTGGTTGCTGGCGCTGTCGAAACGTCCAGGCATGCCACGTATTATTCCGATTCCAGGCGCATCATCCCCGGAGAGGATCCGCGAGAATTCAACGGTAGTGGAGCTGAGTGAGGAGGATATGGCCGAGATTGAGCGGATCAGAAAGGGTTTCCCGGTTGTGGGGGAGAGGTATCATAAGCATGGGATGGAGGTCTTGGATAATAGCGTTTGAGGGGTTGGCCGGGAACCTTCATGGCGAATGAATAGACGTTTTCCAAAGAGTTTATTGTTAGTTACCTATGGGAGTCGCAGAGTGAGAAGAGTGTTACAGAACCTGAACAATGAAGTCAGCCAAGAGACTTCGAAGTCAGGGATCCCGTTCTTCACACTGTGTTCTACTGTAAACCCGCAAAGTGTTGTACACAGTGCGAGGATCGGCAAATCTTGGCCTGCCCGCGTTTTGGAGCTGCGCCCAGCTTTCAGCTTCAACTTTCTTCAGGTTGCCAGGCCCTATATTCTCCCACGCCAGCACCTCAATCTGACAACATTCTGGGATTTTTTTTTGTGGCACCCCCGCCGCATTTACACCTCCATACACATCGCGAATCACCGATCGGTCGACTCAACCCACTTCCTTGGCCCGAAGCTGCCGACCACTCGGCTCCCCTACACCGCGCGTTCTCGACGCACAGCGACCCATTTCCGCGACCGAGTTCACCTTTTTCAACGACCGTTGCTTGAAAACCACCTGTCACCAAAATGCCGACCAAGTGGGTGGACTGGGACAAGACAACCCGGTCCAAAGACTACCGGGGCTCCGGTTCCTTCGCTACCTTCCTGATCATCGGGCGTAAGCTAACAAACCCCCACCTCCCCCCCCCCCTTTTGAAACCCCTTCTTCTGCCTAACCGACTCTCCGTATGCTAACCTCCGCACCAGCAACCTGCTTCTTCCTCGGCATCCTCTTCGCCTCTTTCCCCTATGACTTCCCCCTGCTCTGGACCTCCGCCCCCGTAACCCCCGAGTTCCTCGACCACATGGAGTCCCACCTTCGCCAAGTCTACCACTCGCCCCCGCTCATCTCCCGCATGCTGCACATCATCGTCTTCCTGGGCTTCCTCGGCTTCTTCACGAAACTCTTTCGCCCGAGCGAAGCCAACGTCCTCTTCGACGGCGGCTCGCTCATCCTCTATGTCATCGGCTGCGGCGTGTACCTGAGCAATATCGTCACGGGCATGAGGGCCGCGAGTCAACCCGGGGGGATGGCCGCTGGTAGTTCTGGGAATCGACGGAATGGCGCTGGAGGGGCGGGGGTTTATGAGGGTGTCCTTACGGGGGAGGTGGTGTTGGGGAGGGAGGACAGTCTACGCGTGCTGAGTGCCAGTCATGTTATCTTGGCGTTGGTACTGGTGGGTGTATTGGTGCTGCAGGCGGGGCAGTGGTATGCGGAGAGGAAAGAGGCCGAGGAGGTTGCCAAGGCGGAGAAGGAGGCCGGGGAGCGGAGGGGGAGTGGTGCGGCGGCCGTGGCGAAGAAGAAGAATTGAATGATTATTCGAGGGGAAATTGACGTTGACATGGAAAGGAGAGCTGTTTTTGGTTCTAAAATGGTTTGGATCCGGGATGATAGGCTGGTTGGTAGGGTTTGTATGGACGTGCTGTAGCTGGGTAGGTAATTGAGATGAAAGAGTATAAGACATATATTTCAACGAGCACAACGGCTGGCAGACGATTGCTTCTCGGATGGGAACAAGACAGTATTTCGACGGCACAAAATACTCCATGCTTCCTCTCCCCCCTCCCCCTCCCCCTCCCCCTCTGAATACATCTTGGGGAACTCGTCACGTTAGCTTAAGAGAGAGTAAGTCATTGCAAAACGAAACTGAAGTATTAACATTAGGCCCTATGTATCTTGACCCCATCGAACCATTATACACCATACCTGCTAATGATGATATCCTCAGCACACCTGATCGTTCCGCGGCAACTTACCGACTTCCAATTGCTTGTTAAGCCGTACGATACTTCGCCTCGAAGTCCGGAGTGAGTCGAGTACGGGGGCTCGGGTCCAGCTTCTGAGCCCCCCTTGGCCTTCTGACCGGCTCTGTCAATATGCGCAAATGATGTCGACAATCTGCTCATGCGCATCTCGACTTGACGCGTGGAGGTTGGTCAACATTCGTTCGCTTGTGTAAAGGCGATGTATTAGCGCCGCCATAGCGAACTACTAGGGCTGGCTGGTGTTGCGAGCGCCCGCCGGGAGAGGAGACTCGCACTCTGTCACCACGTTCACGATCTCGAGCAACGCGGTGATGAATACGCGAGCCGGCCAGACAGGGTTGGACGGCGCATGGCTTGCTTCCCCCTTGTTCGTCTCGTCTTCTTCCGTTGTCGTGTCCTCCTCTACCTTTTTAAACAAACATTTCAAAAGTCTCCCGCTAATTATCGTCGTTCTTACGACGTCTTTTTTTTTTGAATGATCAACTCCGACGAAGTTGGAGTTAATACCATTGAGTGTCAGTTGTTGGATGGACGTAAATAGAATGATAGGCATCATGAAGAGCATTTGGCAGGTGCCAACGCTGGCAATCGACGGCGCGGAACGTGCAGTAGAAAGGGTGTTTTCGTTGTTGAAGTCTACGATGTCTTCAGCGGTCATATTTTCGCACAAATGAAGCTCAATGAGGCCAGCTGTAGTAGCCTCTTTCGAACATATAGCACTTTGAGAGAGAGCAAATGAGGAACGCTGGAAGAAAGAAACCTGAGGAACTGGAGACTTGGGAGAAGAGTTGAGGGAACACTGCGCGTGCGCCAGCCAGCAGGTAGGAGTATTGTGCTGGCAATCATATGAAACTATTCAAAGGAATGAGAGGAGCGAAGTAAAAAAAACCTATATAGATGAGTGCCTTCAAGCAACGACGGATCGGCAGACATGTGCTTTAGTGAGGCTTAGCCACAAACTTAGAGTGGAAAAGACAGAGTGAGAGAACGGAAGACCTCGAAGAGACATTGATGTATGACAAGAGGAACTCATCAACATGTGGAGCGACCTCTACTGCGAAAAAAAAAAAAATAGCCTACTTTATGTTGTTGGCATATATGATAATCACTTTACACATCATCACTCAATAAACCAAGTCCAAATTACCTCGTAGGTAAATAGGCACCATCTTAACCCACACACATGTCGATACTCATTTCCCTAACTACCGTTACCTCAACTAGGCACCTGTAACCGCTCATGTGATATGGTGATTCCGCTTTTTTATTTTTCCTTCCTTACCCTTCCCCCTTTGACTAACCCGCAGACAAGAGACGAGAAACACTCACAAACCGCAACCCACGTGAAGAAAGGTATTAACTTTCGAAGCAAACCACTCAAGGATGAAGAAACTGTAAGTAAGTAAAAACCATATGTATGAGGGAATGGGAATTGGTAACAGGGAAGCAGGGGGAACGAAAGGGAAAAAAAAAAAAAAAAAAACAAAACTTATATGAAGATTGTGATGATAAACCCCCAAACTCCATGCCGCCTGCCAGCCGCCATGCATGCTGAACTGAAACTAAGTAAGGTATCCCATCCTTTAATACCTGATCGGCTTGAGAAAACCCTCCCGACCGAGCTCCATCCATCCATCCATCCATCCGTTCCGACCAACCAACCAATCAATCAATCAAGCAGAAAATTACACTAGTCTTAGCACAGGTTGCTTGTTTGTTTTTTTTTTTTTGTTTTGCATACCCTTTTTGAATCTCCAAGTTCCAGGCTAGTCCGCTTCTCTTCTCTTCCATGTCCTTGCCTTGCCTTTTTCCGTGTCCTGCTGTGCTGTGTGTGGCTCTGGCTAATCGCCATCACATCACATGCCACCTTCAACCTTCACCTCATCATCCTTTAAGACATGCTGTGCCCCCTATGGACTTGCTAAAAGCCCAAGTCATGTGACGAAATCTCCCTTTCAGATCAAATTTCTCCAAACCTTCTTGCGCCTGAACTTCACTTCCCCCCAGTCCCCGAAGGTCCAGGAACTTTCAACTTCAGCTTAATCACCTTCTTCTGTTGCTGCAAACCCCCCGTCCCTGAACCACTGGACCCTAGCCCTGCATTTGTTGTTCCAGCGCCGGCACTCGACAACGGCTCCTGACGCGACGAGCCATGCCCATGTTGCTGTTGTGGTGTATTTCCATGCAGAGAATGATCCCTATCCTTAGGCGCAGCCGTAGGTAAAGGTTTCCTCGCCTTCTTCACCGTGATACCATTGCCATTATTCCCAGCACCGGCATTCTGGCTCTGACTTGCGGCTCCCTGTGTTGAGCCAGACGATCCAGCCAATGATGAGCTTGAGCCGCCGGGTGCTGATGATGGCAGCGCCGTCCTTCCAGCAGCATAAGAAGAGGAAGACCCCTCCCCTGACGCAGCGCGCTGCGCACCAGTCCCAGCGGTGGAAGAAGAAGAGGGCTTGGAAGTGGGAAGCGTAATCCTCCTTGATGGAGCCCCTGTCCCCGACCCAGACTCTGTATTACTCCTCGACAGCGGCGGCTTCACGCCACTCCCCAACGAGAGAGCTCTCCGCTCGGCCGCGATAGCACCGTAAATCCTCTCCGGTAGACGATGCCACGCCTTAAATGGCACCGTGACAACCCTTCTCGGTCTTGCCGGCCCACCACCACCGTTTGCTGTGATTGTGCCGGCGCCATTCTCAAGTGCAACGGAAGCACTAGCAGTGCGCGCCTTCTTCGTCGAGCGACTTTGAAACGTCGACCCGGTAGTAGACGGGGCGTCGGCGTCGTCGCTTTTGCGCTTTTTGGATGTGGACGTGGATGAGGAGGACGCTTTGGGGGTTTTCTGCTCGCTGCTGATACTGCCCGCGCCGCTGACGGAAAGTTTGACAGTCTGTTTGGGGGGCAGGGATGGACCAGATGACATTGGCGGGGGAGAAGCTGCCAGCGGGGCTGATGAGACGCGTTGAAGGGGCTGGACAGCAATAGAGTCGGCGGGGGTGCCGGCTGTGGGTGTGGGAGGGGGCGCAGGGCGAATGATGCTGACCGAGATGGAGTCCTTGCGTTGGGCGGTTGACGGGGTAGGAGGTACGCTGCCCGACGGTAAGCTGATAGACGGCCTAGAGATCCTGATACGCTTCGGCTCCGGGGGCTTGTTATCCGCCGCCGAAGGCTGCCCAGCCACTGAACCAGAGGAAATAAAATCAAACGGCCGCTTGTTCCTCGGCTCCGTCCGATAATGCGTGGTGAAGCGCACAATGCACGATTTCCTATTAACCCCGGCCTTACCGTTGACCACCACTTCGCGCGTGCACTTCCAGATCTTAGGGTAGTTGAAGGTCATGAGGAGCGAGTCATCCGGCTCCCACATGGCCGAGCAGACGGTGAGAAGCTGGTGCTTTTCGCGGGCGCTGAGCCACGGCGACTCGATCGCCTTCCACATGGCATCCTGCAGCTCCATGTTGTCTTTGAGCTCGTCCTTGAGCGCGGCGATGGTTTGCTGGATGCTCTGGTTGCGCGTGGCGTCAAGCTTGCGCTGGCGGATCTCGCTCTCGCCGGCTTCGAGGATCAGGTCGCCGTCGTCGTGCTTGACCACATCTTCTTGGCGAGGCTGGGAGATGGAACTCTCTCCGAGGGCAATGGCGGCGAGACCTCGGCAAAATATCTTGAAGAGACGGTCGCGAACGAAAGGAGAGGGACAGGACGTCATGTCGGCAAGGAACAGCCTCAGGATGCAGGGCCTGGCCAGCAAGCCGAGCTCGACGAGGCATTCGTGGGCCTTGATGCGGATGAGATCGAGGTTCTCGTCCTGCAGGTACCTGACAAACTCGATCGGCTCGACGGGGATCACGCGGGCCTTCATCAGGCGCATCTTGCAGTCGAGCGTGGTGGTGGTCCAGATGTTGTGCCACGTCAACTCCCACTCATCTTTGCGGCGATACTTCTCGATCTCGTCGAGCACAGCCTTGATGAAGTCCTTGAGCTCGCTTTCGACGGGATCGTCCGACCTAAGCGACGAAAGAAGGTCCGTCTCGCCGGTATACTTCTCAGGGATGATGGAAGTTGTCAGGGCCTGCAGCAGCTTACAGATGTAGAAGTGGTCAGAGTATTCGCCCTCGGTCTCGGCGTTGAGGACGAGCAGGTCCAACAGGAAGCGGCGCGCGTCACGAGGGCAGAAGCCGTTCTCTCTGATCCGTGCAATGGCCTGCGGAATCGCGCACTGCACCTCGTACTGGGCCTTGTCGTAGAAATCGTTCGGCGCGGGCGGGTAAGTGACTTGGCCGTTCTTACCGATAACCTTGTCACAGAAAAAGTGGCGGTAGAGGAGGATGAGATGCGCCTTTCCGATGCAGTTGAGGTCCGGGTTGGCCTGCTTCGTCAGATCATGGGCAGCCATGACGCGAATGCCGTAGAAGTAGCGCCGATCCATGACGGTGCGGACATCGATAGTAGAAGTAACTGCATGGTGACGCTGCTTGGAGAAGAACAGCATGGCGTCTTGGTGAGCGACCACGTCGCGGTCCTGTTGCAGCTGAGCCGAGTACATGTACCCGGGCATGTCGCTATGCAAGGCGCAGAGCCACTCGAAGTTGCAGTCGAAACGAATCCACTCGTACGACTCTTGATCCATCTGCTGCTGGACGCTCTCGGACCAGTCTTGCAGGCCCCAGTCGATGGCGTCCTGGGGCGACATGAGCACGTCACCGAGCATGTTGAAATAAACAATATCATCCTCTTGGATGTCGTGCTTGTCGCCCGTGCTGGCGGCAGCGGCGGCCATGATGGCCTTTTTCGTACGCTTCATACGCTTGTACTTGGTGTTGTAAGCAATCTGGAGCTGGGTGTGGCCCTTGTCCTTGTCCGATATGGAAAGGTAGTGTTCATAAGGTGTGCCGTCGGCTTCGTGAACTCGGATGGTAATCGGGCCCGTAAAGTACTTGGGCACCGGCCCGGCCCACACCTCATGAACCTCCTCGAAAAGTTCGCGTTGAAAGACATCCTTGGTAATCGCCTTGGGCTGAGAGGAATCCTTGGCCTGAACCTGGGTGATCGTTATATCAACATTCAGGTTCTTCTTATTGAACCGCTGCTTAACCGAGAGCTTGGGGCACCCGGCGCCATGAACCCACTGCTCCCAGAGCTCATCCGGACGGTACTGGCTCTTCTTCTCACAGGCCTTGCGGAAATCGGCTTCAGAAAGGGAGGTCGTCTCGATGGTCGTGTTGATGTTTGCATTAGAAACAAGCTGCGAAATGACCCGGACGATGCCCGATGAGCCGGGGATCTTGGACATGCGCTGGTCCAGAATAAACAGGACCAGGGGTGCCTTGAGCGACATGAACTCAAGCTCAAAGTCGCCAACGTGGAGGTACTCGCCGAGGTCATGGAGGGAGGGGCGGTGAACGTCGACCTCGACAAGCCTGTCGGAAAGGGTCTTGATGTGAAAACGGTACCAGTTGTTACCGCAGAGGCTGCGCATGAAGAGGTCGGTCATGAACCACTGGATGCCAACAACCAGCCAGCTATCCGTGCGTTTGTTAGGGACAATGTGGATGCCGAAGTACTGGCACGCCAGAGCATGCACCAGCTTCCTGGTCACCTCGATCTCGGGGTCATGAGATCCTCGGTATAGAGCAGCCGGTTGCTGCAAAGAGACATGGAAGTCGCGGTCACGGTATCCGAGACCATGTCGTCGACGAAGCAGATCTTGTAGCTGTCGTAGGGGTAGCGCCCAAACTCTGGGGCGAAAAAGTCGGCAGCCCTGACGATGGGCGCACAGGTATGGCGAACTTCATCAGCGCGTCTGGGAAGGCAGTATGCGTGGATCTTAGCGGCGTTAACACCAAGCTTCTCATCCGCCTCCTCTGTCCGGAATTCGGACCAAAGGTCGATGTGTTCGAAGGGACCGATTGCAAAGGCAATGTGCTGAGCCGCCGTAAGCTGGGACTCGAACGTCATAATCTTCTTGTGGTTGTCAATCGGATCGATCTGCTCGCCGATCAGGTTGCCAGAGCAGATGACAGTCAGATCGAGCAGTCGCTCTTCGTCGGCAAGGTAGATGGTATTCTCGCCGGAGCGAGGGAATGCATCGCCCAGGGTCCTGGGGCACTTTATCGAGATCTTCCACGGATGACGAGACGCAGGGTCGTCGACACACGGGAAAATGCAGCAAGCCGTGCCGGGCTCGAGAGAGTGGCGAGTGTAGACGTGGGGATATCTCTGATCGCCTTCGTCGCAGCCAACAAAGTGAATCCCATCCCTGATGTGCTTAGAGCGAAAGGGAATGGAGATCTTAAGCCCATTTTTATCATTGGGATCGGGTGCGTCCAGCAGCGAGTCCTGGCCGACCTTCAAAGTCTTTATCTTCAAGATACGGCGCGGCTCATCCTTGTTCATGCCCTCAGGGCGCAGCGAGATTTTTAGAGCGCCGTCGCAAGGAACGGAACAGGGCTGGGAGACCCGGTCCAAGTTGGGAACTTCGGGACGCTTGATCGGGCGCAGCGACGCCATACGCTTCTTGAGGATGTGATGCTGAGTGGCACCGATCTGCCACTGGGACGGGGTCTGCATAAGGTCGTAGGGATCAGAAAAAGTCGCCTGGGTCTTAACGCCGTCGACAGTAACGTTCCCGAGGTCGATTTCGCAGTTGCGCGCATCCAGAGAGATTTCCTCCATATCGGGCAGCAGAGGGAATATCCAGAGTGTCGAAACACCGCTGATCTGCTTCTTAGCGAGATCAACATCGAGCTCGACTTCTTGCTTGATGACGACGAAGGGCTCGGCGCCCTGCGGCCACTCGAGGGCAGCAGGCTCGTTGATCTCGTTCTCGATCGGAGCGGGCATTGTGACTGTGTGCATTGCGAATGGAATTGGACGGTCGCAAGATCGCCGAGAGGTGCGATTTGTGGTACTTGGATTATTGGAAAACGAGTGCTCAAGAGAGAAAGGCTCGTTAGTTAGTTGCGCGAGCTCACAGGATCATTGCAATTGCAAGGTAAAAATCGCGGGAAACAGAATGGGCGCGCAGGAAGAAAACGCGATCTGGATATTCGTGTCTTCGCAGCTGACGTGTTCGAGTTGCATGTGCAAGCGACACAATAGGCAGCTGGAAGAAATTCTTCGTGGGAGAAGGATAAAAACTGGTCGTCGAGGAACTGGTGGTAAAAAGTCGGGGGAAGGGGGGGGGGGAACAATAGCAACGAGCTGCGCGCAGAATGGACAGCGGGCACAATAACCACAGTAGCAGCAGGGTACGCGTGCGCAGTCGCGGACGGAGGACGAGAATAGGCCGACGAAGCTGCGGCAAGTCGACAAGGCGTGTTGACTCGATAGGAGGAGATGGGATAGGAAGAAAGCGAGGAGGTGGTGTGTGGGAGGAGACCGGTCTGCTCACAGTCCCTCACGCAAAACCTGATGTGCGCCGCCTGCCCCAGGGCCCCTAGAGCCGGGCAGCGTGCGGCTCAACAGACGAGATGCAGCGGTGCGCCAGACCGATTGGAGCACCGTCTGATCAAACACTCGCGCAAAGGTGGTTTCGATGCCTCGCGGTGATGAGGCAGCTGGCGCGGTCGCATGCGCCTTGTCTCGATGTGACGCGAAGTTGAAGTGGACTGCCCAAGGGCCAAGACCCAAGACCCAAGACGCCAAAAGCTCTCTCTGCAGCCGCCTTCTTGGCATCCGGCGTTTTGCCGACACCCTGGTCGCCGCAGGCAGCGTGGGGTGCCCTTACAAGCCCCGCTCTGCAGCAGCTGGCTTCATGTTTGACCAGAAGTTGACCGAGGACCAAAGGAAGGGAACTTTTATTTTGTTTTCCTTCAATTTATTGCTAAACATGCTTCAATTCTATAACTTGAGCTAACGAAATCCATGGAATCGGAAGTTTTCGTGGAAATGATGTTTCCCTATAACAAAATCAAAATTTTCTGTGGGGCAAACGGAGGGTAGAGGGCTTGACGCAGGGGCCACATCCCACCACGAGCTGCCCCAGGAGCTTTGACCACATCATCCGGGTGAGATCTGCTGATCTGGAGCTGCGAGCTTGCGGCTGGGATTCGAACTCGAGGTCTCGACGCCCATGAGCATCGTCGGTTTCGTCGCCTGAGACACAATGAGACACGCAGGATGCCGCTGTACTTACCTCTCCAGTAAGACAATTGTCACGTTCAATACTACTTTACAATCGGGCCCTGCTACCATGTAGCGTGATATCTTGCCCAGGCTTGCTGATTGTTATGCTCATTCCCGCCATTATTTCCAATTCTTCTCCCGTATTGGGTACTTGTAAAAAGCTTCAAAAAAAAACAGCCTTAGTTAGACTCAGCTATGTTTTTTTTTAAAAAAAAATTAAACTTTTCGAGGTGACCGATGTGTTCTGTCCCCGACTGACCGTGTGATCCCAATTCCCATAACTTTATCTTCCCTCAGTCTCACTCATCTGATGTAATTAGACGACTTGTTCTCGCTCAAGCTGGACATCGGTCATAAAGGCGGCAGCCATAGGGAGCGTGAGCATCCGTCGGCCCCCTCTGGCGGTCGTTGCGTTCTTCAAGCAAAGAACGTCCCCGCCCGCAGACGGTCCCGGCAGTTGGCGCAGCACACCTGCCGGCACCAGATGCACTTGATGGCAAAGTGCCGCAGCTCCGTGCCGCAGAGCTCACACTTGTTGCCGATTGGCACCTGGGCGTGCCGGAGCCGGATGCGCTGCTCAAACGTTGGCGGGTGGGTGCACACCACCTCTCCGGGAGCCTTCTCTTCAGCCTGCAGGGCACAACGCCCGTGGTCAGTCATCATCGTTGCCAAGGGCTACAGCCAGTTATTAGGGCGAGGGTTGGGATACTCACCCGCCGGATCACCCGCTGCCTTTCCTTCTCGAGAAGCCTCTCCACCTCGGCGGGGATCTTCAGTTCGTGCTTGTCTGCGTCCCGGTCACCATTATGGCAGTACAGTTCTGGGTCGTTGGGGTCGAGAGGGACCCAGGGGCCGGCGCAAATTATGCAGAACTCGTGTCCACATACACAGCTGCTGAAGTCAGCAAACTGAGACAAAGAAAAATTGAGTGAGAAGGGAAATTGTCAACGAGAGAAACGAAGAAGAAGCAAACGAATTTCAACGTCAAGCAAGTGCCAATGACTACGGAAGAGGTCCATCAGTCCGCCAGCTCAGAGAGAGATAACTCACGTGATATGGTTGCAGCCCTCGCTGCGCGTCATGAGCCTCTTGCACCGCGGACAAAACTGGTATATCCTCTCCTTATTCTTACTCCGCTGCGCGGTCCTCACAAGATCCAAATCTGGCAAGATGTCCTCGAGCCGAGGGGCCACGATTTCGCGGCGACGTTGGACGGCCTCTTCCTAAGCGGCGCGTCCCTCTGCGTCGAGCTTCTCCAGCACGCGCCTCTCTGCCTCGACGGCCACAGGGTCCAGCTGAGGATCGACGTCGCCGCCATTCCGGAAATGGAGCACGGGCTCCCCGCAACACCTGGGTGGGAAGACCGCTCCGTCCGTCACGTTGTGGCACGCGACATATACAACGATCTTGAGGCAGCCCCGGCACCAGTGATGGTTCTTGGGGCAGACGTTGAGGGCGAGGTCGGAGGGGTCGTAGCCCTCGTGGCAGATGACGCACTAAGGGTTTTGGGTCAGCTAGCTGCCTTTGTGGTCGACTTTTCATCCATCATCCATCAACTGGCAGAGAGGGGTCAAGTTTGACTTACGGGAAGCGTACCCGCCATTGCTCCATGCAGACCACACAATCAGACTCTGATAGGGGCTGCCATGTTGGTCAGCTTGAAGCCGTTTTGAGACTTGTTGATGCAGCAGCCATTCTGTTAGGAAGAGAAAAGCTGGACAGGTTCAAAAAGAGGGGAAAAAAAAAAGAAACCTTGGATGACTAGCAATACATAGCAAAAGGAGAGAGCGGTTGGAATTGCGAATAAATAGGCATTGACCAAGATGTCCGCGCAGAATCAGCTCACCAAGACGTGGGATCGGGATTGCGATGTGCTGGAGGTTGCGCAGAATCACAATGTGATCGCTGAAGGAAGAGGGGAAAAAGGAGGGAAAAAAAAGCAGAGACATGGCGCAGACAGTTGGGGGAAAGTGCTTGGACGGAGCACGAGACGTGACCAGGGCAACAGATGACAAAGGTAGATCGCGATGTTCACGCAGGAAATAGGAGAGATCAGACCGCGAGGTAGACAAAGAACGATAAAAATATAAAGAGAAAAAAAGCAGGCGTGGTGACATATGGGGAATTGGTTGAAGTGCTTGACCACGACACAATTGATCAAAAAGAGTTAACTGACAATCACATATCGTGGTGTGAGCAACGAGGAAATGAACAAAAAAAGCAGGGACCATTAATATACATCGAGTTGGTGGCAGTGCCTGACCGAGACAAGAAGGATGATTGACCAGTAGGAACAATCAAGTCACGATATGCGCGTAGAACACAACAGCGATGGGATCGAGAAAAAATGCCAAGGGGAAAGGGGCCTAAGTCAAAAATATATAAAAACCAGCAACTGTGATGTGCACAAAACTAGCTGAATTGCCTGGCTGGTGTATAAAACTTACCCAGATCACGAACAGAAAAAGGGAAACATAGATCGCATTGTACGCGGGGTAGTTCAAGGAATCAATGGAAACGCACGTAGAATAAAGGGGGAAGCGGGGCTTATGATGGTTCTCTCTTCTCTCAACTAGTTGAAGCGTCTGGCCAAAGCGTCTCAGGGGGAGCCAGTAGAGCTTGCGGGATAGGCAATGACAACTTACCAGCGAAGCAAAATCTCGATGTAAGCTGTTGACTGGGACCCTGACTCACAAAAGACCAGAAAGCCTCTGCAGAATTCTTTACCAGGCATTCACAATCGCACAACCAAGCAATATTTTCCGTCTACCAAGTCTTGAGCCACAACACCTGAGATTCACCATTGGTGAGTCATTCCTGGTGACACAGATTCAAGATTTCATTGATAAGTTCATGTCATACAATCCAGAGCTGGATATGACAGATACTGATGGTGTCAATGATCCGATCAGGGTTAGTTAGTCTCTTAACGAAGGCTCAATTATTGAGCCTGCATCTTCTTCTCTTGGCGGAGGATGCAGATCCGAAGAATAAGAGAAATTTCCTCGCTAGTGTCATGGAGTACTTGCCGGCCGAAGACAGACAACTCTGGTTTGAGAACATCCGATAAGCCTGATCCGACGACTACTGACCTCGGCAGGGTCCTCTGATAAACTGGACTCGGCCTCTGTCAGCTGACCTCCCTAGGGCGAAGCACAGCAGTAGGGCGTTAAGAAGAACATGGCCTCTTGCCCTGGTCACCCAGATTGAGACAGTCCCAGCCAGGAGGGCAGTAGCGACCAAAAGAATGAGAACATCACCCAGGGCACTGTCAATCCCAAGGGTCAGCACAAGGCCCCGACACCAATGCTGCCTGCCTTCTCGAGGGCGGATGTGTCTTCCTGCAGGGCTGGTCAATCTCACTGTAGAGGCTTTCATGTCCCCTCTCTAGATTGCGTTTGCTCTCGATTGGATCTCTCACAACGAGATCAACGAAGAGGAGGAACTAGTTTGGTAAGGGAAGGTGAGAGGTACAAAATCAGAACCGTAAGCTGAAAAAAAAACCCTTCCATATCCCCCTTCACATTGGCTCAAGTTGACTCACTGGCATGAAACATTCCGTCAAGGAATGACTAACTTAGGGTTTCCACTCGTTCCGATTATTTAAGCCAATTCTCGAGACGTTTCCTAATATTCATCAAAGGGACCCCTACTCTCCTATCATAGCATTCGAGAATTTGCTTCAGGGTCTTGTCGTCCTGAGACATCCAGATAAAAACAGAATAAAGCGAGGTCCATCCTGATCTTTCTTGATAGTGTTCACACGGAGACCTAACAATGCTGTATCTGTTCCCCTGGGTGCTTTTGATTGTCACTACAATCAGCTTTATACCAGGATACCCAAATCTGGTGTCTTTCGATTCCAGTGAAATATCTGATAAGCATAGCTAGAGCGTGCACAGCAGTATAGCAGAACCATCAGGTAATGCAGATTTATTTTGAAGGGTAAGATGACAAGGCCATGAGTGTGTCAAGGCATCACAATGTTGAATGGTTCGCTTGCAGACCGCAGTTCCCGATCTTGAACAGTTACATCTATCTAGAAACAAAACACTATGATATATCTACCCTTTCACGTACCATGTGATAGACTGAGAGGAACGGATGCCAACGATGTCATCAGTACATTTGGTCTCCTGACATTGTGAGAACAATACTACATTTTGATGCACCTCAAACATGTCTTACATAGCTTTTCCAACCATCCAAACAAGGTTTATTGACAGTGAACCCACGAGCAAGCTCCTGTCCTGGAGAGACTTTGAGAGAGAGGTCAAAATAAAGTTTTGGAGGCGCTTGATTGTGACCAATGAGCGTACAGTGTCATCCCCAAGGAGGAATGTGGGGTAGTGCTAGGGTTAGGGTCGGACCGTGCCGGCTGCTGAATCCACCAGCCTTCTTCTGAAGTTATGGAAGAGGCAAAGAAAAACATGACAGTTGCTGAGATTCATAAAACTAGTTTAAAGGCCCACATGCCTCATTGAGCTGGGCTTGATAGCCAGGTTCAGCATTATGAGGCTCCTCCTCGCCGGCATGAAGTGCCTGTCTTCCTTCATACATGGCCACGGTGATTGAAGCGGCTTTGATGCGCACCTTCAGTTGGATTGAGTCAACCCACCACATGGTGTTAACTACCTTGTTGAGGCTGTCTAGAATGACGTTCAGATGCAGAGAATTTACCAGCTCACCAGCACACAGATCCCAGGTGATGTAGGCAACCTTCCGGAAGCCGGCACCATCGTACGGTGACATGGACGGCATTTAACACTATGATCGGTGCAGCGGTGTTACCTAAGACTGGAGTTGAAATACTGGATTGTGATTCAACCACATATGATGCACTTGTTAAGCTAAATGAGACACTGAAGTTGCTATGCCGGATGGGCTTTTGGCAGACAGCTATTATGGAAAGAATTCAGGAGACACTGCAATGTGAGAGTTGGGCAGATAAATTGGAGGAACATGGACTCTTTGGTGAGGCGCAGATACAAAAGTCAGAACTAGAGTCAAATTAGTGGTGAATAGCCACTTTCGCCTGACTGCTTCCGCCGCATGCTCCATCAAGCACCTCACCGGCTGTGCCCGCCTCGAGTCCAATATCAAAGCCGGGCCGGGTAGCCCACAGGTATGCTGAGTGTGACTGCACAATGCACCCATCCCCATCACAATGCCGAGCCCAACCCCGGGGCCGCATGCGCACCGCGCGTGTGCAGCCAGCATGCCTACAATTCAGCCTTTGCCGGCTGGTTTTTGCTCTTCCCTCTTCTATTTCCTAACTGACAGTAAAAGAAAAATACAGTGCCTGAGGCTGTCGGCACCAAGAAGTAGAGATGGCGGCCAACAACCCCGTTAAGGGGGATAAGGGGGAGGGCAAGGACCGCAAGGTTAGTTAGAACGACTTAAACATTGAGAAGAGTGAGACTTACCTCACCACCAGGATGGAGAACTCTACGGTCCCCTTTGGAAAGGCTCCCCCTACTGGACGCGCATCCGCGCCCTCGAGAACATCGATCTTCTCGCTTACTTTGGTGCCAACCGTATTCTTGCTCTCATTGGGGGCCGCACCATCCACGTAACTTTCCTTCTCTATCGCCTACGCCACGTCCTCCCCACAGTCACTATCCAAGATCCCCAGGCTGAGCACACAGGCATCGACTACCTCTGCGAACCTTTCTCCCTCTCCACAGACCACACCGAACTCAACCTGCGCGCACACTGGTCCAACCTCTGCAAGCACCTAGCCCAGCTGGAGCAAGAGTACGGCCGCCTGCTGGTGAAGCTTCTGACTGACCTGCGCAAGTTTGCAACACACTTCCAGCATTTGCAGCATGCAGGTGATAATAATGGGATGGACGAACCGAATCAGACATTTGCCTTTGTGCTGATCATTGAGGAGCTGTTGAGCGCGGGCTGGGAGGGGGCGATTGCACGCGACACGCTGCAGGCGATCCAGGTGGGCGTAGAGTGTACCAAGGAAGAGATCGATCAGATGCTGGGTGTGATGGAGGGCACGAGGGAGTACCTGCAGTCGGGAATAATTATGGGGGTTAGGGTGAATGAGGCAGAGGGGGTGGATGTTAGCAATTTGTGCGAGTTGCTGGAGATGGAGCGGGTCGGGATGGATGAGGAGATTATTCATCAGGGGATTGTGAAGATTAGGCAGCAGATGCAGCCGTTCAAGGAGTTGCGTGAGGCAGCAGAGTGTGTGGAAAGGAGCTTGAAGGCAGCTTGGGAGTTTTGCGAGAGACATGTGTGGTTCAAGGATGGGGATGCGGCGTGGTTGGTCATTGGGTTCAAGCACTGACTTAGGTATAATTCGTGATGCCACCAATGGTAGGAGGGACGGAAGCATGTAGAATGGACATGCTGAAATAAAATGGCGCTTGATGATATTTTAGGTCACGATGTTCCTGTGGATCAATCAGATGGTGAATGAAATGCAAAGTGAACTGAAGTTGTCTGGATTTCCCTTTGTTATATGTACTCCGCTCTTTGATAACTCAATCCAGTTGGTTGTCTGGTCAAAGTCGATCTTGTTGATCTTCTGATCCTATGATCTGATACAAAAAAAAAAAAAAAAACACAAAAGATCAAGCAAGGTTTATCTGAATGTACATATATATTTTATAGGTGCTTAGTCTTTGCTCTCACACAAAGTCAATCGGCTGATCAGAGTCGGTCATCTTTCGCTCCTAAGAAGCGGTCAAATTTTACATCTAGCATAAATGTGAAGCGAATAAAAGATGACAAACTTTTTTTTCTTTTTTTCCCTCTGTTGCTACATATACTCTGGCTTTTGTCCTTCTGATCAACATCAGCTAATCAAAGTCTGTCAGCTTGCGCAAGCTCTCGGTTGTGTATAAGATCTTGCGCAGTTCTTCAGCGCCAATTTTAACACCACCAGGAGCCGAACCCTCGGGCAGATTTGGGACTGGAGTCTGCTTCCAGTCTGTTTCTCCTTCAGAAGCCTTCTCAACTACCAGTAGGGATGAAAAGCCTTGTTCACTTGGCTCCATAGCAACCAGTAACCGGGTTGAGGATGAGGTGCCTAAGATCGCAACATCCAACGGGTTACCAGGGATCTTGATAGTCTCGCTGTGCCGCAGGGTGCTGTCTTCCTGAAGCTGGTAGCGGAAGAGCGCAGGGACGCTGTATCAACCGTTAGCATGGACTGCTCCCATACGCCAAAACGAAGAACTTACCGCTCGCAAATAACCCACACCCAACTTCCCTTCTCATCCTTTTGTGCCACGATCCTCGTCACAGCTAACTTATTCGCCTCCTCCCCAACAACCTCCTGCACCCTGGGCAGCAACGGTGCCTTGCCAACCAGCTTATTATGCACCAAATCCCACGAATACAAGTCATCATCACCGCCACCTGAAACTAGCACATCATTCCCCTGCCCACTCGCCGGCTTGACCATACACAACCGGCTCACAAACTCCTCATGCCCCATGCAAAACCCCTCAATAACATGTGCCTGCGCTAGCGCGCCCCGCGACACACGGATATGCTCGTCCCGATCGCCCGTCAGGATGTACGTCCTCGTCTTGCCGTCCACAGGCGAAGTCGCCTGCGCGACGCAGATGGCTGTCAACATCGACACATGGCCCAACAACAATGCATGCTCGAACTGCGGGCGGTTGTCCTGCGCAATGGGCTGCTTGCGCTCGAGGGCGGCCTTTTTCTGGTTCTCGAGGGCCTTGAGGTTGCGCTTGGTGTGGACAACCGTTTCGTCGGCTTTGAGACGGGGGATCGGGGTTGAGCCGCCGGTCGTAGAGGGAGTGCCGGGGGTGACGCTGCGGGAGATGAGAGTGTGCTGGGAGGGGATCGGCAGGTGGTCAGATGGGGTGAGCGGGAGGGCGTAGACGTCGCCGAACTTGTCGGCTGAGAGAAGGACGCGGTCGTCGGGCATAATGGCGAGGGCGCAGGGGCGTTTTGGCATTGGTCTGAGATGTTAGCATTACCTAGCTTATTGGTTCTGTGGGAGAAGAGGATGCCTACCTTTGGCTCAGCTGCTTCAGATTGCCGGCGCCGTCATGCTCAAATACCCAGATGGTCTTGTCGGAGTTGGTGATGGCCACGACGTGATGGCCGTCTGAGGTGATGTACAACCCCTGGATCCAGGGCGTCTCAAGCGCTGGGTTGGAGTCCTGCCAGCCCTTGGGCTTCCCCTGACCATTGACATTGGCAGAGCTAGCTTCTCGTCCATTCGATGCAGGCTCTTCTCCCTCCTCAAGTTTTCTGCGCTTGGCCGGCGGGCCCTCAGGAGCTGGAGACGACTGGGCCTCAGATTGAGTCTCACCCTTGGCAGAAGGGTACTTCCACGTTGAGATGTGCTCAAAAGAGGAGTTAAAAGAATGTATGTCGCTGCCACGGGCGGCAAAGATGATGCCACGACAGGCTTTGACGAGATGATAGGGGACGTCCACGGCAGCCATGTTTCAATTGGTCCGTTGATGAGGACGATGATGTTGGCGATGACTTCAATTGAGAGCTCAATTTTGAGCTCGGACTCTTTTTAAAAAAGCGACCTTGATTTCTCGATTTCTGAATGTATGAGTGAGCTATCCAGAATGGAAGCATTGCAAATTGTACCTACCAGATTGGACACTATTGATGGCTTTCAGCTTCGCAACTCAAGTGTTGATGAGTGAGATGAAGTTGCGCGGAAGCAATTTCTTGCCCAGCCACAAGTGGCTTGCCGACGCCTCAGAAAGGTACGTACCATTGGCACCCCGCCAAATGTAGGCAGAGTGGGGCAGAATAAGGACCATGATTGGCCAGCCACCGAAGCCCTAGCGATCAGCACCCTCCACAGCTGCAGCGAGCAATTGTGCGAAAATCCGGGAGCCGGTTTGCTTTTGGAACTTTTCTCATACATCGCGAACCTCACAACCGAGTTTCCACAAGCAAAATCAACGTAAACGCCCTTAAATATCCTGCCTTCATACTAAAGAAGATATGGGGGGCAAATCTGGAAACAAGGCCGGCTACTTCGACAAGCTGAAGGGCTTGTTGGAGGAGTACCCGTCCATTTTCGTGGTCTCCGTCGACAATGTCTCGTCGCAGCAGATGCACGAGATTCGTAAGGCCCTCCGCGGCCAGGGCGTCGTCCTGATGGGCAAGAACACCATGGTATGTATCAGATACGCTTCCGGTGTGATTGATTGACCTGCTAACCCTCTCCAGGTTCGCCGTGCCCTCAAGACCTTCATGCCCGACCACCCGGAGTACGAGCGCCTGCTGCCCTTCGTCAAGGGCAACGTCGGCTTCGTCTTTACCAACGGTGACCTGAAGGAGGTTCGCGAGAAGATCCTGTCCAACCGGATCAAGGCCCCGGCCCGCGCCGGTGCTATTGCCCCCGTCGACGTCTGGGTGCCCGCCGGCAATACTGGCATGGAACCCGGCAAGACATCGTTCTTCCAGGCCCTCGGTATCCCCACCAAGATCGCCCGTGGTACCATTGAAATCACCACCGATATCAAGCTCGTCGAGGCCGGTGCCAAGGTCGGCCCCTCCGAGGCTACCCTGCTCAACATGCTCAACATCTCCCCCTTCACCTACGGTATGGGCATTGCTCAGGTCTACGACCAGGGCAACACCTTCCCCGCCAGCGTACTCGACGTGAGCGAGGAGCAGCTCCTCAAGTCCTTCACCTCGGCCATCACCACCGTCGCCTCGCTCTCCCTGGCCCTCAACTACCCGACCCTGCCCTCCGTCATTCACTCTCTCATCAACTCCTACAAGAAGGTCCTTGCTGTTGCGGTTGAGACCGAGTACAGCTGGCCTGAGATTGAGGAGCTCAAGGATCGCATCGCCAACCCCGAGGCCTACGCCGTCGCTGCCCCGGCTGCCGCGGCTGCCGCCCCGGTTGAGGAGAAGAAGGAGGAGAAGAAGGAGGAGTCGGAGAAGGAGGAGTCTGACGATGAGGGCTTCGGTGGTCTCTTGTATGTCCCCCATGCTTTTTGCTGGTCCCTGAGAGCAATGCTAACAAGTCCCACAGCGATTAAATGTAACATGGAGATGGAGTTGGGCTGGCAACGCTGGGTTTGGTCTGGGAGAAAAATACATTTCCCTCGGCTACATAGATTGTTGGCGGCTCAATCAAGCATCTGTGTGTGATGATCATTCATTTCATGACGGTTTCCTTCGGTACATGCAAGTCTTTCATACCCGTGATGACCTCCAGGTTAGTATTCCTTGTTCCCTTTTTTTCCAGGTCGTTCTCGTGCCCTTCCGTGTCGATGATTATTTTACATGAACATCAAAGAGCTTTTTAACCCTGATTATCGTTGATGACAAACCCATCGGATGAGACATGTTTCTTTATCCTTGTCCTTTAGTTTACATGCAATACCATACACACAAGGGTATCGATGCTGACAAATCTTGCAGATGATCCTCTCATGTTTCCATGATTCCCAAGATCTATCCCACAACTGCTGTCGTTTCCGACTTCGTAGTATCCTCCTGGTCCTGTGTCATGTGTTGTTCCTGTTTCGGTGACTCCTGTAGTATTTGCTGGGCCACCCGTATGGCCTGCTCAGGCAGCCCAGCCAGGCGCGCCACCTTGAGCGCATGGCTCTGTCGGTTGACTCCCTTACGCAGCTTGTGCACGTAGACAAACCCGCCGCGTCCATCCTCCTCCACGTCGGTGCAGTACATATCTACCGCACCATCCGGCCCACCATCCTCAACCCTCAGCCCGTGCCTCGCAACCAGCTCCACAATATCATGAAAATGCGTCGCAAACAGCGCCCGGCACCGGTTCACCGTCACCAAGTGGTGTAACGCGGCAAACGCCACAGCCGTCCCGTCTTCGGGCGTCGTGCCCCTGCCCACCTCGTCCATGATCACGAAAGACCTTGGTGTTGCTTGTCGAAGGATTGCTGCCGTCTCCAGCATCTCCACCATGAATGTGCTCTGATCCTGGTACAGGTTGTCAGCGGAGCCGACCCGGCTGTAGATCGCATCGACGATGCCTAGGTGTGCGTAGTCGGCAGGTACGTAGCAGCCTACTTGGGCTAGAATTGTGATGAGGGCGTTTTGGCGCAGGAAGGTCGATTTGCCGGCCATGTTGGGGCCGGTTATGAGCCAGACGCGGGAGGGTTGCGGGTTGCGCGCGTTGGGAGGGGAGGTAAGTTTTGCAGTGTCGACGTCGTCTTCCAGACCTGACGGGGGGGGGACAAGATGCGTCACTGCGGTACCGCCCCCAATCAAACAGTCATTCTTTTGGAACGTCCGTCCCTGCTCAGCCAACCCCCCCTCAACAGTAGGGTGTCTTCCCCCAATAATCACCGTCCTGGTCCCATTATCCAAGGTCGGTCTGACCCATCCTTGTTCGGTCGCCAGCTTGGCGAAAGACGTCGTGATGTCAAGCTCGTCCAGCACCAGCGCGTTGCGCCGCAGTTTCACCAGATTCTTGACCACCCTCCCCCGGAGCAGGGCAAACACCCGCGACTCTTCGGTGCGGATTTGCGTGCGGACGGCGTCCAGCGCTTCACCGAGTGAGGTCCATTGGGGGTGGTGGAAGGAGCGGGTGGTGCGAGAGGTCGTGAGGGTGCGGGGTTGTTCTCCTGCTGGAGTACCACTGCCCTCAAGGGAGGGGTCGTCTACGGATTTGGGGGGTAACCGTGCGTCTTTGCCCTTGACGTGGCAGATGTGTCCTAGTCCTGGGGACCAGCGGAGGGTGAGCGAGGGGGCATTGAAGCGCGTGCGGAGGGACTCGGTGAGGGTTTCCTTGTCGCGCTTGAGCTGGGCGAGCTCGGCGTGTAAGCGGGTAAGGGCGGTGCTGGCACCGGGTTTCATGATGAAGAATTCCTTTTCGGGGTCATAGTGGTCGCGGAGGGATTGTGGTTTGGTTGAGCTTTTGGATTTGGCTGTTTTAGGGGGGGTTACGGAGGAGGCGGCTTTGGGGAGGAGGTTGCTGTCTTCCGGGGTGCCTTCGGTCTTGACGATCTCTTGGGCGAGAGCTATCATCTCGCCGGCTTCGTTGTCCTCAATCTCGTGCTGCGCGTTGAGACCCTCTTCGTCGATAGCGTCGCGGATCTTTTTGGCGAGCTTGAGGGGCTGGTCGAGGCTGATGCGGGAGATTAGTTGGGCAAGGCAGTCGGTTTGGCTTTCACCTTCGCCAGAGTCTGAGGAAGACTTCTTGACGGCCGAGGAGAGCAGGTTGACAATGTCCTCTGTTGCCCTGATCGTGTTGGCTAGACGAAGCAGGTCGTCGGCGTCGCCACGGTTAAGGGCAAACTTCTGGACCAGACGTTGAGAGTCGTGGCTGCGTCGGAGCAGCGTGATGATGGCATCGCGTAGATCTTCATCATTGATGAAGCGTGCTACGAGCTCCTGGCGGAAGTTGATGACCTCAAGGGAGGTCGAAGGAGCGCCTACTAAGATGTTAGCGACACCAGTTGACGCTGTATAGGACACAGAAGAATGTCTTACTAAGCCACTGAGTCAACAACCTCGCACCGCTCTGCGTCACAGTCCGCCGAATAGCATGCAGCAAGCTCCCCTTGAACACTCCATCACGAAGCGTCTGCTTGATCTCCAGCGACCGCATGCTATTCTTGTCAATCATCATCACGCTCGATGTCTCATATCGCACAGGCGGCTGCAGCTTCATGCTGAGCCCCTGGAGACGGTCCCGAACATAATGCAGCAACAAACTACCCGCCTGAACCTCGACATCCGTAAACTGGTCCGCCGTCGCCTCCGGGATCTCGGACTCCAGGTACGGTTCCCACTCGGCGAGCTGCTCCCGAAGACCGGTGCCGGATTTCCCCTCCCCCTCAGTCTCTGCCTCTTCCCGGGGTGGGGCCGGGGTATAGGTCAGGAGACAAGAGGCCTCTTGCAGGATAGTAAAGAGGGGGTGGGCATCCTGCTGGTCCCGATCTCGATAAGCAGGCTCCAGCGCCTTGTCGAGGACGATCTCACGGGGGGAGACGCGCGAAAGGACCGAGGAGAGGGACGCTAGCGTGGTCGTCTGTGTGAAGAAGTGGCCCGTCGACAGATCCAGCCAGGCCAGGCCAACACGGGTCGGGGCAGCAGTGGTAGCTGCGGTAGCTGCGGCACCAACAGCAGGTGTCACGGTTCCAGTCTCATCAAAGGGGGGCCTGGAGGTGGTGTGTTGCCCGGCTTGGCGGCTCTCAGTATCATCCGACAGGGCCGAGACGGGCGAATCATGATAGAGATGGATGGCCATGACATAATTGTTGGCATACGGATCCATGAAGTTCTCATCGATCAGCGTGCCGGGGGTGACGATACGGGTCACCCGGCGAGTGTGCATCAACCCACCCGACTTGACCTTGCCCGAGACGTCGTTGGGAAACTCCTCGGCGATGGCTACATGGCGATTCAGGTCTTGGACGAGGATCTTGAGGAAGCGATCCAGCTGGTAAAAGGGGAAGCCTGCCTACAAGGAGAGAAGATCAACACATCAGGACTTGACTTGACTCTTAACTCTAGGGAAATTCCAAGGCAAATCATCATAATGTTTGCAAGCAAAGCAAAGCAAAGCAGAGCAGAGCAGAGTAGAGCAGAGTAGAGCACAAGGAACAGGAACAGACGGGCGGCATTACCATGGACACAGGCCCGGCATTGGTCTTCTTCTGGGCTACCTTGATGTTGAGCAGCGGTCCATACTCCTCAGCCTGCTCAAAGTACAGCTCGTAAAAGCCGCCGACGCGGGTCAGCAGGACGCAGTTGTCAAATTTTTGCATGTTTCGGCGCGCCTGCAGCACCACTACCGGATATGAGGGCTCTTCCTCCAACTCCAGGGGCGGCAGAGGCTGTGGTTTTTGCTTTTGCGACTGCGACTGAGGCTGCTTCTGGGCTGATGAAGAAGAGGTCTCTGATGCCGCTGACGGCGGTTCGACCATGCCTTGGGGCAGGTCCTCCAGCTTAACAGTCGTGCGCGTCTTCTTGCCGCGGACTTGAGTCTGATTGACCTGGATGACCTGGTGACGTGGACTTGGGGAGTCGGAAATAGTGGCCGCAGCGGCCAGCATCGGCACCTTCCGTCTCAGGCGAGCAAGATTAAAAGACGACAATGCATGACGACCCGCCGTGGAGTAGTAGCATCGACAACAGCTCGACGCGGGGTAGGCGCCGACGATGTCATGAGCACCACTCCCGACAACACCCAACAGACTGCCGCTGCCATCACGGCATCCATGACCCTCATCACCATATCGATGCCCATCGCTCTCTCGACCATAAGGTGCCTTCCCAGAGAAGGACCGCAATGATGCCCGCGATGTCAGCGCAGTGGTTACATTCCGAAGACCTGACTGACCGACGGTGGCGGATATCGAGGATGGGATCGGGTGCGCAGCACGGGCATGCGAGAAAGGGCAGGAGATGCGCAGACGAGCGACGGGTGGTGGGCGCGCGGCGAGCATCAATTATGGCCTGTTCTTTGTCCCTTTTCTTTCCTTCTGGTGCTGCTGGGCTGCTAGGACCTTTTTTTTTTTTCGCAAATTATCCCGGGGTGCTCGGATCTGGGATGCCGGATCGTCGAAAAAAAAAAAAAGGTCCTTTTCCTTGTCTGGTCGCTCGGGAAATTGCCCCAGGGCCGAGGGGTCTGGAGACACGAGATGCAAGCGCGGAACTGCTGTGGGCAGACGCGTCCACGAAATCTCGAGGTTTCGAAGGTCTCCGCTGTCTCGCTTGTCTCACTCTCTCACGAGTCGCACAACGTGACTTCGAAAAATCGTCGGGACCTCTTCTTTGCAGGCAAGGGATCCACAACTGTTCACAACGAGCCACACCTCACCTCTCAAAAAAAGAGCCACATGAACCAGCGAACTGGGAACTTCAAACGGTGGGAACTGCAAGCTTGGCGCTTGGCTGGTGCGGGAGGCTCCACACCAAGGCCCCAAGTTGGCCTTAGCGTCTTTTGCACCTGGGGCTCTTGGGGCTTCGAGGCTTGCGCTAGCGACAAGCTTCTTTTGCTCCATTTTGGACGGATCTCAACTTTTCGCCCTGGCCGCTACAGAGCCTACAATAAGACTATTTTGGTGTCACTTTACTTGCCCGCGGCTCCAGCTCCGAGAGAAGTTCCGCTCCTACTAGGTTTTGTGTATTACTAGATAGAATCCAGCTGTATCGTGCGGGCGGCGCTGCTGTGTCATATCAAATGACAAATGTGGTACCCCTCAGCCCTATCCAGCCGTGCCACCTGCCGCCCGGCGCAGCCGGCCCAGGTTCCCAAAGCAAAGGTCCCAAGAGCTTTGGCCAACCATCAAGCTATGTACCACGGCAACACCGCAAGTTGGCTGTCACTTCCAGCGACAGCGACAGCAACGACGACGGGAGTCCCAGGAAGAAAAAAAGAAAGGTTCCAGGGCCGGCTGGTTGGGCTGTGTCGCGGGCCCTGGGTCCCTGTCCCACCGTTGAAGCGCACTGCCGCATCAGGCTAGTTCCCAGATGAGACAATGGGGCCATGGGCCCATTTATCATCTCGATCGACAGGTTGCTGCGAGCGAAGTCGGCATCTTCCAAAAAATGTTGCACGGATCATGCGTCCCGAGGAAAACGCGCCAGTCAAACCTCAACACAGTAAGCAGATGACGAACGACAGTGGATGGCTGATTCCGTTCCGGCAGTTCCAGAGGTTTTGAAATTTTTTTTTCCTTTTTTTTTCCCCAGTATTCGCAGCCTTGCCAGCAAGGAAGCCAAGGACAATGGTGGTGATACATGAGATGAGTCTCGAGATTGGCGCCCAAACGGGGAAAGGGATTTCAATGTCCACACAGCACGCACAGCATACAGCATGACGACGTGACTAATGATTGATATAATGCCGACGTGGCCGGCAGATACACGACTACATGCCCGTGAATATGACCGACGTGACCGAACGCGCAGCGCGAGGTGTATTCATTGTCTATTTCGTGTCGATTTGGCGTTGAATCGTGTATGACACGGCGGCGCGTCGCGCAAAAACCGCCCCATGGACTCCCGATGGCCAAACCGATGATGGCAGAAATCTGGGCGCGATGGGTCGATGTTAATTGCGCCGTCACGACTGGCAAGTCCACTATTGTGTGCTGGCAATCTGCCGTCGTCATCTCAACCTGCCCTTTCCCCCTTTGACTCGTGCTTGTGAGGGGGAAGGGGAAGGCAGTGATGCAATGATGCCTATACTACTACACACAACAGTGGTGACAGACATAACAACTGTCCAATGCAAGATCAGGCTGGGTCTGCAGTCAGATTGGAAGTGAAATCACAGATCCGACGCATCGTGCGGGTTGGGCTGGGCGGCAGGCAGGTGATGGAGGACCGGCTATCTGGCTCCGCGGTGGCCTGCCTGTCTGCCATCTCCTCAGGTTGATGCGATGCGATGTGGACGACGCATGGGTAAACTGGGTGTCTGATGCGGATGGAGATGGGAGATAGGCATACGTCGATGCGAACCGATGCGATGGCGATGCTGGACGAGCGGGAAAAGAAGCGATTCGATGTGCTGGCACGCCATTGCTCCAGCTATCGATCGATGCATCCATCTATGCCATCCGCGTGTCCATGTTTGGGTTGGTATCTTTGGTATCCAGCCATCCAGCGTCAACCATTGTGGCGGCATCAACACGCCTGCCTACGGATCCGTACCTTCACCGTAAGGCCTGGAGTGAGAGTCTAGATTTGCTTGATCAGATACGTAGATTAAGTGCGACTGCGACACTGCATAATCCCTATGGATGGCGGTTTACAGGTGCAACAGGACGTTGCCTGCGCCGCGGATTAAGGATGCCAGTGAGCAGGATGGATGGCGTGGATGAGGTGTCGGCATCCGGTACGTACCAGCCGAGGGTGGCGCACCAAGACCGCAAGGGCCCCCAATCCCAGTCGAAGCCAAACCGACGCGCAAGCGGCACCCGGCGGGCAGCAACATGGGGCAGGTTCTGGGCAGGATGGGGCGGGATGGGGCAGGGCTGGCGGTGACCAATTATATCGCGGCGCCTCGACTGGCATGATCCAAGTCGGCCCAAGAGTGGCCCGATCTTGCTCTCAGCCTGGGTACGCCGCCGTGGGCCATTTGCTCGCCCATTAGGGGCAACCCTGCCCATCTGCCAGTCGTGCGCCAATCTGCACGTCGCCATCGACCGATTTGCGCCCCGTTTGCGCTCGTTCTGCCATCATTGCCCACCTTTTCCGGCCCCGTCTCAGGCCATTTTGCGCCCCTCACCCCTCCCGCTTAGATGCCTCGCTGCCCGCTACGGATGCACTACGGAGCAAAAACAGTAGCGCAGAAAGGGCAAGAGAGCCAAATCGAACGGCTACTCCCCGCTCCGGGCACGCCCCAGCTCTGGATCGAGGATAGGCCGGCTCCTCCCCCTCCAAAGTTCGAACGCAGGACCCCAGCCAGCCGAGCGATGCTTCCGCTCCATTCCATCGTCATCATCGATTGTGTAGTTCATCACCGCAAGCTGATAATGGCTGATGAGCTGGTTGCCAAAACTTGCCATTGCCGTTGCCGTGCTGGGTCCGTGACTCCTTGTTTGTGGAGCCCATCTCGATGCCGACGACGCCATGGGCTCCATGATCTCCCATGCGTGTTCTGCGTTTCTGCCGTACATTCCCCTGATGTCGGATGTCTGACTTGGCGGTCAGGGTCAGGATATCGCCGGCGGTGCGCTGGAATGCCGTGATGCCGGGAGTGCGCGAGTGCGTGAGTGCGTGGTGGGTGCCACGATGCTGGTGATGGGCATTGGGAACATGTCAGTCGGATGCCATTCTGCGCCGTTCTGTGCCCATATGCTGCACCATATGGATGCTGACTCCCGGCCCCGTCCCTGCCAGCTACATGCCCGGCCCCATGCTTTCATGCCAGTAGCCCATCTCGTTAGTCGTCAGGTTCCGAAGTTTGGCCTGTCTGATCTGTCTAGTCTGGTGTTGTCTGGTGCTGCCATGTTGGTCCTGATGGGCTGGATGGGCTGCCCATTGCCATGCTGGTGAACCCACACTGCCCACCACTTAATCTACGAACAGGCACAGCAACCAACTTACCACTGACCTACCAACGTGCTTCTGCCCTTCTTACCCCCCCCCCCCTTACCTTCTTCCTCCTTCCTCCCTCTTCCCCTCCGGGGCGTTCCCTATCTAAGCCGTTGCTGCGAGTAAGCTCCTTCGCTTCGGCTGTTTCCAGTTTCCAATTCCAGCCCCGGCCTGCTATAAAGAAGTCTGTCTCGCACTCACACCCCCTCTCCCACCCCTGTTCTTTCCTGGATCCCGTTTCCATCTATTGCCCATAATTCTGGTCGATCTGCTGCCCTAGAAAGTTTGTGGACGACCTCCCTTAGCCTCCTGCGAACACAGAGACAACACAGAAGACACACATATTACGCCTTGGTCCGCCACCCACAGCAGACAGACGCATACATCGCCCACTTTGCTCCCATCTAACCCGTCTGTGACCCTAAATCCAACGCTACTCCGTTGATCAGCCAACACCCAAGCTTGAACGTTGGCCCGAAGCCGAGTAACCCCGTCCCGGAGCCAAAGTATCCACCCGCCGGGCACTTGTCTCCGATTCGATTCCCTTCGCCCACCCACCTAACCACGACGTACTATTTCCCGCATAACCACCTCCTCCACCCACCAGAGAGTCAGAGCAACAGCATGGCAACCTCTATACCATTACCCTTCCAAGCTCAGATCCCCGTCACTCCGCCGCCAGACTTCCAAATGTTCATGAAGGGGCCAACGCCGCCACCGCCTCATACTACCACGCCATTCCCGAACCCTTTCTCGCCTCTGGCAGCCCATCATCCCAACCACGTCGCGGCTGCCGCCGCCGCCGCAGCATATTTCCATCATCCCCCTCATCAAGAAAAGTCGACGTTTTCTTCTCCTCATCCGTCACCCCTCCAGCCTCAGACGACGCAGAAGCAAACCACGCCTCAGCAGAGACAACCTTCTCCTCACCCAGGTCCCCAGCCATCCCCGACAGCATGCCCTTGCGCAGCCGCAGCAGCCGCCGCCTCTTCACAAAACCCCCAAGCCGCCTCCTGCTCAACCTCTAAACCCCCACCGCCCTCGCCCCTCGGCCCAGACCCCGCCAGTAACACAACCATGGACCCCTCCGCGGCGGCAGCAGCAGCCGCCGCCGCTGCCACAGCCGTTGACCCCCGCTACATCGCTATGGCCTCCCGCATCGCAAGCTACTACCAGCAGCGGTGCCAGGCGGTTGCCAACTTCCAGCAACAGCGGTGCCAGGCTTGGGCCAACGCTCAGCGCCAAAAGTGCCAGGAGATGATGCAGGCCGCGACGGTCATCGTGGCGTGGTACATCCGTGACCGCATCCAGCGCAAGCGGCGGAAGCAGAGGAAAGCGTTTAAACGGGGGTTGGCACAGCGGGCGAGGGAGGCGATCCGCGAGAGGGAGAGTGGACGCGGGATGAGTAAGGGGGAGAGGGTGAGACGGTGGGTGATGAGTGTACCGACTGGGGAGGAGAATGCGTCACAGGCGGGGAGCGCGGCGGCTAGGAGGAGCCCGGAGCTGCCTGCGGATCAGGAGGAAAGGGAGTTTGATATTGATCGGGAAAGGGGGGAGGATAAGGATAGTCAGTTGTATAATGTGGCGGATAACTTGATTAAGAGTCATCTGGCGCGGATTGATGTGCCGCTGTTGGGGGTGCTGTCGTTTGATCCGGAGAGCGAGAGCAGCGATAGTGAGGAGAGCGATTATGAGCTGATGGATTATGAGGATGAGCCAGAGCTGGGAGAAGAAGATCCGGGGGAGGAAGAGGAGGAGGAGGATGATGATGATGAGGAGGAGGAATATGACGATGAGGATGACGCGGAGGACGATGATGGGTATAATGATTATGATGACTACTACGAGGACCAACGCCGAGGCCGCGGTGCTGGCAGAGATGGGAAGGCTGATGAGACTGCCTCTAAGGCGGCTCAGATCGGCACGACGAAGGGTAGCCGCAAGCGGTCGCGGAGTTCGGTTTCATGACGGATATCTTGGATGGACGGGTACGGGTTTTTCTTCACTGTTTGCATGGGTTGGGTTTCGTTGTTTGTTCCAAGTATCTTTCCTGGGCAACTGATTGGATCTCTGGCTTCTGGCGGCGTTCTGGTCTTTGGATATTTCTCGTCTGGGGTTTTCCATCATGTCGGGGTAATGTTTTGCAGCTCGGATACATACCTCAGGCTCCTGGTGATAGAGTTCGCCAGCAATGCGCCCCTTATCTTGCAAGTAGGATTTGTTAATCGTGGCATATAGACTTGATTTACCGCTCTCCTTCACTTGCTCCTTCATACCGTGGTCCCGTGGTGATCTGTGCTTGACTTGGATTGCTTTCCCGTCGTTTCGGCCGTTCATGAGATCGTAGACGCAGATTTCATCTCACCGTGAGTTGCCGAGGCCGCACTTGCGGCTCTTGAGGTCGCACTAACTCATTTTGAGCAACTCATCCCGTGTATATATGATGATGGGATGAGATCTGGTTGTGAGCGGTAGCGCGGGGAGATGTAACAGTGCCTGATCACTCATATCAGCCTTGGGTAACAGACTCGGCGCGGATCCCGTTGAAACAACACATCCCATGACAGAGACACATGTTGTTTGTGTCCGTTTTTTTACTTACTTCAATTCATCCCGTATCATACATTAATGAGAGACATCTCATTTCGGTGGCCCACTCGTGCGGTTACAAGGCTCTCTCATCTCACGGTCTGCCGAAGTCAAGAAAACATCATGAACTCGGGTCGTTGGAGTTGCAGAAAAGCGAGGGTTCATCCTCTCACCGCCTTCCTCTGATTGGCCAGACCATGTGTGGAGAATGCGGGGAGCCAAGCCCTCCCCGCTTTCTGCTGGTTTGGGAAGTTCGCCTTGCCAGCTTGCCAAGTCGCTGCCCGCCTGCTCCTCCTCCAGCAATCCCGTGACCAGCAGCGGCAGCTGCATCCGTCCAACCAACCCCAGGCCAGGTACCCTCCGTCCTGTCCTCCAATTCTCCAATCCATCCGAGTTCATTGACTTCATTGGTCTTCCTGGTCCCCCAGTTTGGCTTTGTGTCACTTCAGATCCGCGTCTTGATGTCAAGCCCCGTCCTCCATCTGATATTTTGCCGTAACCCTCCAACCTCTCGCTCGCTGTTTCTTACATCCTCGAGTCCTTCAAACTACCTCCATTAAGCTACCTACTTGTTAGTGACCAGCCCCTCAAGCTCTGACGCAAGAGGGTTTTTGTATCATCAGCTTCGATCCTCAATTCTCCTTCGGTGATCATTGCCTCTCTGCTCTTCCTTCTTACCTCTACAACTTCCTCAATATACTCCCGTTTTCCATCCCTCTACTCCCGTGACTGCTCTTGAAAACAACACAATGGGTGGCGAGACCTTCGACGTGAAGGGCCCCAGGCCCAACGACTATCCCCTACGGGCACCCAAACCAGTCGGCCAGCTGATCAGCCACATCTACAAGGACCGGATTGCTCAGTTCTATAACGGCGGACAGTATGAGCACCAGAACCTGCGCGCCATGATGAAGGAGGACAGTGTCTCCGGGGAACCGCACGTCCAACTCTGGGTGTGGCATGCCCCAGGCCAGACCCGTCCATCCTTCGAGGAGGCTGTCTCCAATCAATTCGTCAAGACCAATGTCGGCGAGTGGTTCGGCCCGTCGTGGACAACCCACTGGTTCCGTGTCGTCCTCACGGTCCCCGAGCATCTCCAGAACAAGAGACTTCTCGAGTTCCATTGGGACTCTAACAGCGAGGGCCTCGTCTGGTCAGAGGACGGGAAGCCGCTGCAGGGCCTGACGGGCGGCGGCGAGCGTGTGGAATGGATCCTGCCAGACTCGTTTCGTGACGGTAAAGAGCATACTATCTACATTGAGATGGCCTGCAACCGCATGTTCGGCAACGCCCCTGGTGGTGATTCTATCCAACCTCCCGACCCCAACAAGTACTTCCGTTTGGACAAGGCCGAGATCGTGGCCATTGATCCCGACGCCCGCCAGCTCTGGATCGACATATGGATTCTCCAGGACGCGGCTAGGGAGTTTCCTGGGGACTCGTGGGAGTCCCATAAGGCGCTTCAAGTCTGCAATGAGATCATTGAGGCCTTTGAGCTTGGGAACCGCGAGTCACTCAAGAAGTGCCGGAAGATTGCTGAGCAGTACCTGGGCCCGAACGTCGACTCGCCCAATGTGTACAACAGCGGCAAGGAGCCGCTCGTCTATGCCATTGGTCACTGCCATATCGACAGCTGCTGGTTGTGGCCGTTCGCCGAGACGAAGCGCAAGGTCGTCCGGTCGTGGTCGAGCCAGTGCGATCTGATGGACCGCTATCCGGAGCTCAACTTTGTCTGCTCTCAGGCTCAGCAATACAAGTGGCTCAAGCAGCTGTATCCCTATGCCTTTGAGCGTGTCAAGAAGAAGGTTGCCGAGGGCCGCTTCCATCCCATCGGCGGCAGCTGGGTCGAGCACGACACCAACATGCCCAGCGGCGAGTCACTCGTCCGTCAGTTCCTGTACGGCCAGCGCTTCTACGAGAGTAACTTCGGCAAGCGCTGCAAGACCTTCTGGCTACCAGACACCTTTGGCTACTCGGCGCAGCTGCCGCAGCTCTGCCGTCTGGCCGGCATGACGCGCTTTCTGACGCAGAAGCTCAGCTGGAACAACATCAACCGCTTCCCGCACACCACGTTCAACTGGGTAGCCCTCGACGGCTCGCAGGTCATCTGCCACATGCCCCCATCCGAGACGTACACGGCCGAGGCACACTTCGGTGACGTCAAGCGCAGCATGTCGCAGCACAAGTCTTTAGACCAGGACAACACGTCGCTGCTCGTCTTCGGCAAGGGTGACGGCGGTGGTGGTCCGACCTGGGTGCAGATCGAGAAGTTACGCCGATGCCGTGGCATCAGCGACACGGTTGGTTTGCTGCCGCGCGTGCACATGGGCAGCTCGGTTGATGATTTCTTTGATCGGCTTGAGAGGAAGGCTGATACGTTCGTGACGTGGTATGGGGAGCTGTACTTTGAGCTGCATCGCGGCACGTACACCACGCAAGCGAAGAACAAGAAGAATAATCGGAGGGCGGAGGCTAAGCTGAGGGATCTGGAGCTGTTGGCGACGATTGCGTCAGTGCAGGATAAGAGCTACAAGTATCCAAAGGAGGAGTTTGATGCCATGTGGGAGAATGTTCTGCTCTGCCAATTCCACGATTGTCTGCCCGGTAGCTCGATTGAGATGGCGTATCGGGAGTCGGATCAGGTGAGCACCTAGGTTGGTTCGAAATGCTGAATAAGCGCATACTAACTATTGGCCAGATGTACGCCGACGTCTTTAGCACGGCGGAGAAGATCATGAAAGGCGTGTCTCAGGTCCTTGGACTTGAGCCTGCCTTGAACCACATGTCCACGACCAACACGGTTGCGCTGAACACCCTCCCGTGGCCTCGCCGGGAGCTGGTCAAGATCTCTGAGAAGGAGGCTGCCGTTGCTCACGGAACAGGCCCGTTCCTGAAGCTGCAGAAGCTGGAGACGACCAAGCCGCTGGTGACCCTTCGCCAGGTAACGAAGGGCGCCTTTGTGCTAGAGAATAGCCAGCTCAGAGTCCATGTCGAGAAGGGCGTCATCACGTCGCTCTACGATAAGCAGGCCAATCGCGAGGTGATTCCCAAGGGCCAGAAGGCGAACCAGTACGTCATCTTCGATGACAAGCCTCTATACTGGCAGGCTTGGGACGTGGAAGTCTACCACCTCGACACCCGTAAGGAGCTCCCGTCGGGCGAAACCGAGGTGCATGAAAACACCCCCCATCGCGTCAGCGTCGTCACCCGCACCAAGGTCAGCGACAAGAGCCATATCCAGACCATTATCGCGCTCAATGGTGCTGTCGAGGGCGAGCAGTCGTGGGTCGAGGTGCAGAGCAAGGTCGACTGGCACGAGACCATGAAATTCCTCAAGGTCGAGTTCCCCGTCGACGTGCGCAACACGGAGGCGAGCTACGAGACGGCGTTTGGCATCGTTCGTCGCCCGACGCACTACAACACCAGCTGGGACATGGCCAAGTTCGAGGTGTGCGCCCACCGCTGGGCCGATCTGTCTGAGTACGGCTACGGCGTGTCCATCCTCAACGACTCCAAGTACGGCTTTGCTACCGCCGGCCAGACCATGCGTCTCTCGCTGCTGCGCAGCCCCAAGGCGCCCGATGCCCATGCCGACATGGGCACGCACCATATTCGTTGGGCGATCCTCCCCCATCAGGGTTCGCTCTCTCACGTCACAATCCGCAAGGCCTTCGAGTTCAACAACCCGACCAAGCTATACTCCTCACCCGACGCGGCTGCCCTCGTGGCCGCGCCCCCGCCGGTCTGGCTCACACCCGACTCGAGCCCGGCCATCGTGCTCGACACAGTCAAGCGCGGCGAGGACGACGAGGATGTGTCGCGCGGCGAGCTGCCTGCGCGCAAGGGACAGAGTGTCATTCTGCGGATGTATGATAGCTTAGGTGGTTTGGCGAGAGGTACGGTTGTGACCACCTGGCCACTCAAGAAGGTGTGCAAGGTTAATTTGCTCGAGGATGATCTCGAGGTGGTGCCGTGGGAGAATGGACGGTTCACGGTGGAGCTGAGGCCTTTCGAGGTGGCGTCTTATCGGTTGGTGTTGGCTTAGTTACGAAAGGGCCTTATTGAGCTTTGAGCAGCATTTTCTGCTGGAATTGACTGAACGGAGCATATTGGTATTCTTCGAAGTCTTGACGTCGTCGATGGAGGAGGGACCTTGGGAGGAGTGAAAATTGAGAGGAAATGAAGTCTTTCATTGTAGGGTTGTACGCCGTTTACGGATTACCTAAGCTTTGAATCAAGGGTTAGGGTTAGGGTTTTCCCCTAACCGTCAAAAGGAGCCAAATGCGCGCCACTCCCAGATATCCCCAGCGCGAGATCACAGACGTGAACTTGAAAGGAGTGAGCAAGCCCACAATAGCAGGAAGGAACATGGGCAATTGCCCAAGCATTAAACAAAGTAATCGTAGTGCGCGTTGTGAGAATTTTCTGAATGCAATTGCGATGTGCCGGCCGTGTCCTCCGTTTTCATGTGCAGGCGTAATTTTGGTGCCCCTTGCCATCCCTTTTCCCAGCGCGAGCCCCTTTACGCTGCGAAACTTCCCCAGTCAAGAAGCACTGCTGCACAGCGCCATTCAGCGGATTCAGCGCCCCAGCGCCAAGCGACGGAAGCTTCCCAACAACCGAGCGCCAGCAGTGCGAGCAGCTTGGAAATCGGCTGCGTCGACGGAATTTTTTTTTTCAACTTCATCGACGGCTCGCTCTTCTCTCTTATATTTTCTTTTCTTCTTTTTTTTCATCAATTTTTCGTCGGCTACCGCAATGGCCATGGCGACCGCCGCCGCAGCCGCAACGCGATCGCGCCGGGCCGAGAGGCGCGCGAAGGAGCCGGCCGCGCCCTCACAGCAGCAGCAACAACCAGTACAGCAGCAGCAGCAGCAGCAGCAGCAGCTCGCCCGTGCGAAGCGGGCAAGAGACTTTACCGACCATGGCGACAGGGACACTGTCGTCGCGAAGAAGCCGCGTTTGGGGATTGCCGTCGAATTCCCCACGAAGCCGTTGCCGCCGCCGCCGCCGCCGCCTTCTCGTCCGACCACCTCCTCCGTCGCCAGCAACAGCAGCAGCAGCAACAGCAGCAGCAACAGCAGAGATGGTGGTGCCGCCGAGGTAAGTTGCCTGTCGGGCCGCCACGCACGGCCGTCAGACCGTCAACAACTGGCGGGTCCTTTTCGTCTTCGCCTACGTCCGGTGTCACTGACTCGTGCTACCACCAGCAGATCCAACAACAGCAGCAACGGCCGCAAGGCCGCACAAAACACCAGACAAAGGTCGCCAATGGGTTGAAGGCAGAGCTCAGCCGGCTTCAGCCTAGCTCGGCTGACACTGCCGCCGCCGTGGGGGGCGTTCCCGAGCAGGGGACTGGACGAAAGCTCCGCTCGCAGGAGAGCACTCGTCTCAAGTCGGAGTTGTCCAACTACTTTCCCGAGTACGACGAGATCATTGGGAATGATCCAAAGGAAGAACGTAAGTGTTGCTTTCGTCATCAGAGTCCAAATTTTAGCCTCTATTGGCGCTGACAAGTTGGTATCAGACCTGCTCAACCTTGAGACTCCCATCGTCATCGTGCCCGCGGCCAATCAAGCTCCGATCTCCTACGACAAGTACCCCGTCATGAGCTTCGGAGACCACCTCTTCACCGATTTGTGGGATTCGCAAGTCATCGACTTCAGCTTCCTCAACAGCAAGGTCAGCCACAACCTTACTGAGAAGGACGACCCCCTCCCCGATTCACTGTTCGAGCTCCCTCACAAGCGGGCCGAGCGTCAGGAGCGCTCGATCCGGAACACTGAGAAGGGCCGAGCAAAGCATGAGAAGGAGCAGGTGGTCCGGCTGCTGGAGGGACTGCAGGGCCCGGAATGGCTGCGCATTCTGGGCGTCCACGGGCCGACGACCGAGGCCAAGCGCCGGCAATACGAGCCCGCGCGCGAATACTTCATCTCGGGGTGCCAGGCGATTCTCGATAAGTTCAAGCGCTGGACCGCCGAGGAGAAGCGCCGAAAGCAGATGGAGAAGGACAAGGCGGCCGCGCAGCAGGCGGCTGCTGCCGGATCCGTCGAGTCCCCGCAACACGACAAGGAGAAGGAGGAGAAGAAGTCACAGCCAGAGAAGAGCAAGAAGAAGTCGGCTAGGGCCAGCAAATCGCGCGAAGTCGACAACGACGAAGAGGACCAAGAGGTCCCCGACAGCGAATTCGACTCCGACTCCGACGATGGTTCTGGCGTCTACGAAGAGCCGGCTGCGTTTAAGGGCAAGCCGCCCGACCTAGACGACCACGACGATGCGGACGTGGAGAAACAGCTCCGCGAAGAGGCCCTGGCTGCTGCGGCGGCCAAGAGAAGAACAAAGAGCGCCAAGGGCAAGCGTACCGCCACTACTACCTCAGCCTCGTCATCCTCCCGATGCAAAAAGACCGTCGGTCCCTCCAAACGCCCCGTCTCCGCTGCCACCGCTCAGAATAAGAACAGATCTGCTTCCGTCCCTACCACCGCCCCCGCCACAGGCGCTTCTTCTGCCAAGCCCAAAAAGAAGACCGCTGATAACAACAAGGGCGACAAAGAAGCGTCCTCTTCTAAGTCTACTAAAGAACTTACTTCCTTCTTCACCTCCCGCGCACAGCGCGATGCCGCTCTCGCTAGACATGCCTTCCATCCCTCTACTACCTCTACGTCCACTACCTCAAGACCTACCCGTCGCACGACCCGCTCCAGCGAAAAGATCCTTGCCTGGGGCCATGCCCTCCCTGATGTGCGCGAAACCGAATTTGCGTTACCAAAAGACATGCTGGAGGATGAGAACCTTAAGGAGATCAGGCTAACGCGGAGTCAGAGTCATAACAAGAAGAGGAGGGCTGAGCAGAAGGAGGAGAATAATGACAGCGATGCTGTGGGTGCATCTAAGAGGCGCAGACGCTCTTGAATTACTTGTTGATCTGGTAATGGATCCGACAGAGCTCCGAAATAAAGGAGTTTTACTGACACACACACACACACACACACACGCACACCTACCTGCCAACTTCTACCTCTTTACCTATCCACCTACATACCGAGATTGTGTTGATTCTTGCACCAGCCTGTCAATACCACTACGTACCTACTTACCTGCTCTTACTTGTTACTTTAACTTTTTACTTTGTTTGGGTGAAGGGTGGGTTCATACTTCACTTTAACTTTCATTTTGCTTTCTTCAGCCCTGTTTTACCTAACTTTGCTTCGGTTCAGGTTTTTTTTTTTTTTCAGTCGGGTTTTTATCGATTTAAGCATTATGACAAAAGGGTTTGGTTGGTTTGGAGGAGGAGCATTGATTAGCATAGGTATTATAACTTCGGCCTTGGGATTCGGATTCGGATTCGGATCATCTTTTAAAATGATTGATGCCTGCTGGACGGACATCGATCAATCGATCAGGTAAGGGAATACATGACGACAAGAATAAGAACAATTTTACTGCCAAGGGATCATGAGCCCTCTACCCATGTCAGTGTTTAAATACATCTATTGGGTGACGTCCTTGTGTGCGGTGCCATACCTCTTATTAAAAAAAAAGAAGTGTGGTGAGAATCAAGAAAGGAGAAGATATTAGATGGAAGAAGGGAAGAGAGAATGGAGGGGAAAAAGGGAAAGGGAAGTGGAAGGAGAACATCCACTCAGTGTCCATCTGCATAAACCGGCTCGGTCGAGCTCCCGACTGTTAAGCTACCGTACTACTAGCCTTGCAAGTCGCCTGAGCATTCTGTATCAGACACAAAAGTTCCCTTTGTAAACGCTTTATTCTCATTCCCAACTTCGAATCGCTAACCCTCTAGCTAGCTTACAACAAACACCTCCTTCCTCCCTCACAAAGTAACATTACGGCCGATGATCGAGAATCAGCCTCCCTGCTACTACCCTGTCTCTCTCTGTCCGCCTCCTTCCAGACACAGCAGTATGTTGTTGCTGTTGTTGTTGTTGCCGCTGCTGCTGCTGCTGCTGATGATGATGATGATGCCACCACCATTCTCCCTCCTCCCCTTCCCCACCCCAAGGCCACCCACCCTCCCCCACCCACAAGGGACGCACCATGCTGGGTAGCGGAGCTTGCTGCTGGTGCTGTTGGTGTTGGTACAGCCCGTTGTAATTTCGAACTTCTCGGCCTGCCCGCCCGTATGGGCCTCCGCCGGGATAGGGACCACCTGGTGCTGGTCCTGGGCCTTGTGTTGTTGTGTTGCCTGTTGGGGCTGCGGGTATGGGAGGGGGAATGAGGTCCTCGTCTCGGCGGGCAGCCATTTCCCTGAGGAGACCGAGAGCTATGTCGGGGTTGGTGAGGAGAAAGGATTCGGGGTCGTCGTCTAGGTGCTCGTCAGGGTTAGGGTTGAGATGACCGTTGGCAGAAAGACTCCCTTGAGACTGAGCGTGACCGTTATACTCCTTCTCCTTCCCCTTTCCCTTCCCAAGATCATCTTCATGATGTCCATCCTGATGCTGATACTGCTTCCCCCTCCCACAACCCGGATTCTTCCAAGGCTGCAAAAACCCCACCCTCGCAAACACCATCCTCACCAGTGGGTCTCCCTCCGGCAGTCCGTCATAAAGCGTGCGACAGGACTGTAGCACTTCCATCGTCGCAGCCTGGGAGCCAAGGCTTTCCAGGAGCAGGACAATGGCCCTCGCAACGGCGCGCTGGAAGGACGGGAGAAGGAAGCGGTGCGCGAGGAGGTATTGCCGGATGTGGTGCGTGTAGAGAGAGGTCCAGGAGCGACGGTCGGGGTCTTCTTTTTTTTCTTCTTCCTCCTGGGGTTGTTGGGGCTCGCCTCGGATCCCTTGCCCTGTCCCGGAGCCCGGGCCCGGCTGTTCTCCCCCATAACGAGGATCATAAAGCTCCGGTGGCACCGGAGGGGGAGGGGGCGGCGGCGGCGGACGGCGGAGGAGGAGGAGGAGGAGGAGGAGGAAGGGGGTCTCCAGTTCCTCCTCGTCAGGACACCACAATTCCAACAATAATACGGTGGTGCCGCATCCACCGCCCCGCTACCGTAGATGTTTGTAACACAATGCCCACAATTGCAACTCGCGCGATGAATACACGGCCTTTTTGCCGGCCTCCCTGCCCCTCCTGCTGTGCTTAGCCCTGGAGGAGTGGGAGGTACCCATACTCCAGGGACGGGAGGGGCCACAGCAGGGGGGTAAACCGGGGGATAGTAATATGCCCCGCCGCCGTAGTTGGGGATCGGGCGGTTGGCATTGTTGTTGAGACGGTCGAGGATCAGGGTGGCAGCACCAGCAGGGTTGTCGCGGGCTAAGCGACGGATGTGTTCTGGCCGAACACCATGGGCTGCTGCTGCTGGTCCCGTTGCGGGGTCGGCGGGAGCGGTTGAGTTAGAGTCAGGGGAGGGGGCTGCTGCTTTGGACTTGCCTTTGCGATCGGGGGCTGGATGGTAGTGGGGGGCGGTTAGCAGATAATCAAACAAACAAGCAGAAGGATTGAGTATGCTTAAGGGGGAAGGGATGTACCGAGGGCTGCAGCGAGAGGCTTGATAGGCTCGTATTTCCCTTCGTAGAGATAGGCGACGAGGAAGTGGAAGAGGGCGGGGTCTTCTTCGGGGAGGTCGATGGCTTGGGCCTCGGACTCCTTGAAGTCGCCGCAGAGGGCCTTTTCAAAGTACTCACAACGAAGGAGGATGTGTTTGTGAACCTGGGAGTGTCAGTCCGCCTGATATTGTCAGGTTGCTGGTGAGAGAAATGGGCAGGACTTACGTAGAATGTTGCATTGTTAGGAGGAACCCCGACGTGGATGGGGATAATGGGGGAGTTGAACCTCCTGCCAGTCAAGTTATCAGCCCTTACTCCCCCATGTCTTTCCCTCTCCTAAGAGGCCCAGGTCACGGCCAAGCTGTCCCCAAGAAAGAAGGTGAAGACTCACCCATCATATGTCGAAACCCACAAATCAGCCTTCGGATCCGGCTCCTCGTCATCTTCTTGCCTTCGGCGCCGCTCAAGATCATCTGGCAAAGACTCAAGCACAACCACATCCGGAGGAACTGTCGACGGGGCTCGCATCACATCGGCTAGCGTTTGGAGAGGGGGTCGGCTGGGGCCAGCTTCGGCTGAAGTGGTGTTGCTGCCGATGCCATTCCCGACTGGAGCAGATGTACTCCTGCTCGAGCTGGCCTGTGCTGGGGGGTGAGACTCCCGGTTGAGACCTGAATTATTGCTGGTACTAGTACTGGCACTCGATGGGGCACTGGCACTGGCACTGGCACTGGCATTGGCATTGGCATTCCTGCTGGCATTGTCCTCCGCTAGGGATCTTTGGGTGGTCTGGTCTGAAACAGCTAACACAGGTGAAGTTGAAGAATTCAACGGAACAGAATCAGTCGCTGTGCTGCCTGCGTCTGGCCTCGTGCTTGCACCGGCATTGGGACCAGGGTCGTCACTCATGACTGCGGCGCAACAGGGCTCGAGCAAGTCGTGCGATGCGATCTACGTGAGGGAAGACGATTTTGTGCGACACCAGAGTGACAGAGAGGCGAAGTTATTCAGATAAGGGCCCAGATCACTGTTTGAAGGCTAAAATCCGAGTGCTACTGCTGTGGCGTAAATGTGAGATGCAAGATGGTGTGTTTGCTTTGAGCACTAAGTAGTAAATACTGGTCGGCTGGCTGTTGTTGTGTTAAATGTGTGTAGGTGTGTAAGTGGGCAAAGAAGTAAGTAGTTTTTAAGAGGCGAAGAAGGCTAAGTGAGCAGCGAAAAGATATTGGGAGATCAAAAAAGGTGTATGCAACGAAAATGCCCACTGGCAGCTCAGCTCGCCGGTATCGCTCATGAAGAAGGCTCCCAAGGTTGACTTAATAATTAGTAACTGGGAAAGCACGTCGCTCAAGAAGGCGGGGGGAGCTTGAAAGTGCTAGTAGCGGTCAGCCTTCCTAGGCAGCCCTGCGCGGTTGAAGCCCCTAAACATGGGATGAGGACAATCCCCAAGCTGGTGCGGCCGTGTGGTAGGCCTGTGAAGCATTGCTGTCCTTAAAAGATTCGTGGGATGAACGGGCGCATGAGAGCTGGCTGGCCGCACAATGATAATTAGTTTCTTAAGTGGTCATAGAGTAATTCAAGCATATCTGCACTTGGAGAGTCAAAAGAAAGCTACCGATCAATCAAGCAATGTGTCACAACGGCTAAGCACATACACCCGACATCGCAGACAACAGCCATGAGGCCATGATCAGCCAATCCCAGCACACCAAACAAACGAAAAGGCACAGCTTGGCGAACATTTTATCTTCTTCACACAGTCAGCGCCAGCCAGGATGTGCGCGCATGCTTGTGCTTGCCTGAGTCAGTGAGCTGCCAACTTCGTTGTAGTCGCCATGTGGGAGTGGGACTAAACATGCAGGTAGATCCGACAAGCAGCAAGCACTGCATACAGTGGGTAGCTGAAGTAGACTCAAAGCGGGGTAATGTCTCTAGGAGGAGGGGAGCTGGGCGGTTGATTAAGCTGGCATAGGACGACAACGTCCCAAACTGACAAAAAGCTCTGGGGACAGATGGACAGTCCATAAATATGGATAGGTGTCCAAAGCCTGTAAGGGACGGTTCAAAGGAAATTTATCTGGTATTGCCTATCTCTAGTTAAGCTTATCGGCCAGTACCTTCAGAGGGAGAAAAAATGGGAAAGGAAGAAAGGAATAACGAATGAACTAACTAATGATTGAAGGAATGAATATATGGATGGATGATTGGATGGATGAATACAAGAATGAACAAGCATAACAGTTACTTAACTTGGGTGTGCTCTTAGGTCATCGCAGGTCACGTGATATCCCTTGATTTGACCACACCCCATAGAGACATGTTCTGCTGAAGCCAATAGTTCCAACAATCCAATCAACGAAGCAGACCTGATGCGTCTTTGCCACTATGCACATGAGCAGGTGATGATGACTATCAATATTTGGCTAATTTTGGGTGAATATATACTTATATGCCAGTGCCAAAATGGGGATTGTTGGATCACCTACCATGGAATCTACGGTCTTCATCGCGGCCATGTGCATCATCTGAATCGAGTCGTGACAAAAAGTATGTTCATATGTGACTTAGTATGTGAGGCCGTGGGTGCGCTTTTGCAGTCCCGCGTGGTACTTGCACTGCCTGCCGTCATCTCTGCTGGATGATGACATTTGAGAGCAGCCAAGACTGCAGTTTCATGTTCACTTCTGACTGTCACCATGAAAATTCAGTGTTTGCCCTGCAAAGTTCAAACAGGTGCATCGTACTGAATCCACTTTTCACTCTGATCGACACGGAAATGAAATTTATATATTTTGATTGTCTTATCAGATGGCAAGAGTCGCATTGTCATCAACCATGTACAACAAGCCAGTGAGGACAGGACAGAAGCGTGGGGAAAGGAATCAAAAATAGGGTTTGGAAACACCTTGCGCTTTTAAGATTGCCAGCTGACAGCAAAAAATGAAGGCCCACTGATTTTTTTTTTTTTTTTTTTTACACATGATCAGGTGCATGGAACAAACTAATACCATTGATTGTTTTATTGTCAATCTACATCCCCAACAAAAGCAGCACTGGCAAGCTTTTCCCATCCCAGAATCCTCACTGCCAGCCTATCCTCTTCCCACTTTCACTACCTGACCCTGCCCATGTGGTTGCTGCTGTAGCTCCCGGCTGCCCCAGCCCAATCGGCCGACCACAAAACCAGAGATACCCACGACAAGCGTCCCCAAGACTGCCGCGCTTTGAACCCACGCCCTGTACAATAATCGCCACGCAGAGAGTGGGGGAGGGCTCTTCGGTGGTGGCTACGGGAGCGACGGGCAGTTGTGCTGCTGCTGCTGCTGCCCGGGAAGGGGAAGGGGGGCGCCGTCGTTGGACGACAACGGCACGGGCATGGTCAGCAGCGGGGCTGCTGCTGGGATCTTCGGCAGCCACCTGGCGGCAGGGGGGTCGGTGGCTGCGGTCGGTGTCGGGTTCGGGGTCGGGGCCTTGGAGCGGGGCGCCGGCGCGGACCGAGTCCGGCAGACAATTCCCGGATCATGTTGACCACGGATTAGTTCATGGCGCCGGGTAAGCCGAGGAGGATCAGACGGATGCCGACGACCAGGAAACGTACCGGTCTTGACCAAGTCCCAGTTGATGCTATTGGGACGGGAACTGTGCCATATTGATGGAGTTTCTATAACAGGAAGTTAAAAGTCCTCAAGATAACATAGCACTATTGAATGGTCTAAAGCAAAGTGGGATTAATGGCAGAGTTTGAGGTGAGCATGGTGTGTTACATATAACCGGGGAGGGCTTACTCCGAACAGGCATGCTCCATGGGTAATGCTAGGCAATATGGCTTCATAGACTGTTAAGGATACATTGAACTGAAGCACATGAAGAAGGTCCGAGCTAATGGGATTGCTTCCAATGGGATTACTTCCAACTACTGCCTGTGATACTACCCCAATGCCGAATGCATGCCGTTGGATGGACTATTCCAGTACAACAGGAAGTGGTAGAGTGACTCTCCCTTGTCCCATGATGTCTTCTATCTCATCGATATGTAATGTCGACATGACGAACCATTGAATAATTAGCAGATGCAGTCTTCGATCGATGCCAAAGCTGATGAAGAAAAAAAATAATGACAACTTAAATAGGACAAACAAGGTGAACAGGAACAGTGCAAGAGAAGGAACAGAAGCAACTCTTCATATTGGCGCCCGAGCCAAACAAGATACAAATACCAGCAACCCCTCTCTTATCCGACGCTCAACCAGCTTACCCAGTTTGAAAAGCTTCTCGTCTCTAAAGCAGTCAAAAACAGTTCAAGCATCCCAAAGTTCAATGGACCGCGACGTTTCTGGAATCCTGTGGCGCAAGATTCTCATGGGCAAGTGACCATCTCTCCACCCTCTCTGATCCCATCCATTTCCCTCCTTTATTTTACCTATATACATACTTATTGTCGTCTAACGCGATGATCAATGACGCCCCCAAACTCCAAAATCTAATCAACCCCAATCAATACAGGCGTAGGAACCCTGACTTTGATCGGCCTCGCCCGCGACGTCCGCTACGTTGGCGTCAACAACCTGATGCCGCCGCCCGAGCAGCGCCGCCGCCTCGTGTCGGCCCTCGCAGAGTTCCTCGTGGCCGCCCCAGAGGACCTGACCGACCAAGAGGCCCAGCAGCTTGCCCGGGCGCTGCCCGCTGCGGCGCGGGACGTCATTGTCCGGGAGGTTCAAGCCGCTCGACCGCCGGTCCCTCCCGGCCCCGTTGCCCTCGGCCCCATCCAGACCCAGCTCGGCCAGGGGACTATCGGCCCCCTCCGCCGGCGCTGGCAAATCAGCCTGGTCCTGACCGCGCTCTTGTTGCTCGGGAGATACATCCTTTTCGTCTTTGTTCCCTGGGCCTTCATCACTCTCGCATTCTCCGTGGCATGTTTGAAGGTGGGGCTGAGCCTTTATCTCCTCTACTTTTGCGTAGACTGTTTCTTCACGCCCGCGGACGACGAGTCCTGGAAAAGGAAAGAATGGCTTGCCGAGGAGCTCAACCGGTGCGTGAGTGGAAGGACGGAAGTGCGGCAAAGGATCGATGGCTCGGGTTAGGCAGTATGGGATGGGATGGGATGGGATGGAATGGAATGGGATGTACTGTTTTAGAGAGTACGAGTCAATGGGATATGGGTACCTTTGTCACGGATTGCCCTGTCTTTTGATATGCATGTATGGGAATGTACTGGTGGCCGAGTCAAAGTCTGGAGTCGTTTCCAGTCTTTTGTCCGTTTTCTCGGATCAAAACGCCGAAACTGATGCTATTTAACGAACCACGTCAGAACTATCTACCTATCGTAGGATCTTAACAGCACTCAAATCTCGCGGCTGGGCTTCTTGTAGTTGTCCCTGGCTTGGGTATTGAGTGCTGGGACTGGCGTCAAGGCCGGCCTTCAATGATATATTACCAGTGAGGCCTGAGACCGATATTGACACTTGAGACTGAGGTCGGGCCCAAACCTGGGGAGAGTGTGGGACACCGTGTACTGGCTGCTCCTGCTGGCTCTCGTTCTGGGCCAGTTTTACTAGACTGCTTAGGTTGGGCTCTAGGATCAAGCTAGGGCCTCGCTCAGGGGAAGGAGCCGAGGTTAGCATCGGTGTTTCAGTACTGGAGAATGAGCTAGTTCGCACCTCAGTGAAGGCAGAGGAGCTCTAGATAGATGATCACCTAGAGGGATTGTAAAGTTTCTGTATATAACTTACTATTATGCATCAGGAGTGCTTGTCTTGGAGAACAGGATGTCATTCATTATTATCATTGTAAGCGCAAACCAAAACACCATAAAAACGCTGATCAGCTCCGAACCGACCCCTTTTCCCCTCCCCCCCCCCCTTTCCCCCCAGACAGACTACCCAAAACACTGCTGCCTTCGTTCTCTCGCCCTAACTCTTTGCTGTCGCGAGTACGCTGGATTACAATGTCCAGTCTCCTGCCAATCTTCCTCCCAACCAACAAAACGAACTCGAGGCCTTGGATAATCCAGTGCAAGACTGAACCACACGACAAACTTGGAAGGGCAATTGCAGTACGAAAATTGTAAAAAGACACACAGATCAGTAACGTCCAGAACATGACCAAACATTTCAGCAAGTTGCGGGGGTACTGGGATAGGGGCTCGTTATGTCCCTCGCCCTCTGGCTGTTGCTGCTAGCCCTTGTCCCGAGCTTGGCTGCTTTGGCGGGGGGCGGACCGGAGACGGCGGGAGCAGGAGCCGGCAGCTGGGCCCGTAAGAACTTACTGACCACGGGGGACAGCGACTTGGCCAAGAGCCAGACCTTACCTTGGGTGAAGTCCCACAGCAGACTCTTGCCCAAGCACGACATGCCCCTGAAGGCGCGGCGGCGCAGGTCGCGGACCGCTTCGTCGGCCGCCAGAGGGGTAAAATGACCGGTGGTTCGCCGCCTTACGGCGATGCCGATGTCGATTGGCTCGACGATGCCTCGATGAAACCGGTCGAGATCAGTAACAGTTCTTGATATTGGATAAATGCAGCCTCCTGAGAGGGGAACTGGGGATAGCGACAAAAAGCAATCACTTACCGATTTTAAGATCGTGCCAGTAGAGCTGTGAGCCCTCGCGACTCGTTATGCTGAGTCACCCTTGGATGTACTCGGCAGATTCATTTCTTGAACGATCTTGCCCGGCATTGGTTTTGCAGTTGGGTTGGAGGTAAAGGCTGTTCGCTTCCATCTAATCACTGTTTCGGGACGACATTGTGCGATGTAGATAATGAAACAATGAGATACCTATGATGAATGAGACTCAGTTAAAACTAAATGCTAACATATGTCGACACTAATGCTAATGAGCGATGACTTAGGGAGAATGTTGGAACTCGATGAGACCGGCACTTCTGTTCAAATCCCATTGTGATCCTACCTTACCGGTTGCTGTTACTCATCGAAAAGCTTGTGAAGTTTAGATTACCACATGCCAGTTGCTAGCCAAGGGCGGATGGAAGTTGGGGCTTAACGTCTTGTCGTCCCTGCTGGACATGGCGTCACCCAGCATCAAGAAGGGAAGATTGGGCACCGACAGTAAGAAACAGTCGAAAGCAAATGCCAGGAAGGCAAGCTACCTTCTCACAGGATATTTAAACATGTAACTGACCTCTCACCCCTTCCCTCCCCCCCTCAAAAACGCCAAACTTCTTCCATCCTAGCGCATTACTGCTCTCGACATGTTTTATGTCCAGCGTTACCTGACAGTATCATTGCTCTGATCATGCTTAGACCTTTCATCACAAGCTCAAATATCGTTTTTTTTCACCTCCGTAATATATGTAAATCGATGCTCATTATGTCTGCATCAGCGAACCAAATTCAGCCCCCCCCCCCTTCTCTCCCCAACTTCCTCAAAATTCATGGTGGCCTCTTTTTTAAGGCATTCAAAGGGGCATTTGTCAAAGGCAGAATGGAACGAGATAGTTCTGGTTACCTAATACCCCCGGACCAGTACTGCACGCTGGTTCTGCGCGGCCTAGTGGTGTGCTTGTCCGCTCTCCCGACGGACCTCGCTAAGCACGAGGGCTTCAGGATTGCCGAGGAGCTGCCCGTGGTGGTCCGTCAGCTGACCCGGACCCTCGATCCTGGCCAACCCACGACGGCCGCCTCTGCCTACAGAGTCCGAGTCAGGAGGGCAGTCTTCGGGCTCGTAGCTTGCAGGACGACTTCTTGTCTCGGTATGGTCCCGTCGGTGTGTTTCGTGTCGGTTCTCGCGCTCCTCAAAGAGAGAGCCAAAAACCTTCTGCGCGCCTGCGGTGATGGATAGGAGAGGCCGGAGGTGATAAGGGAACTAAGCCGGGTGATTTGACGAATGGTGTCGAAGACGGGGCCAGGGTCACGGTTTTTCTTTCAAGGAGGGATTTTTTTGAATTGAGAACTTTCGCGTTTTCTTTTTTTTTCTTTTTTTTTTAGATTTAGTGAATAGGACTTAGTGGGATATGGTTATCGTCATTATAAACTGACTTACTGTGATACTGATGTGTTTGGATATGTGAATTTTTATGGTCGTTCTGGACTGTGGTTCCCCTGCGGTCCTGCGTTTCAGTTCAGCGGCCGGCCCCCTTGCCCGACTTCAAAGCCACCACCACCACGGCTTCCGCTAGTTCGTCCTCGGGGACCAGTTCGTCGGTCTATGTTGCGGTCCCCGGCGCTGCCCAGCAGCAGCAGCAACAGCCCAGTGAAGATGGCAGCCAGCTCTCTGTAGCAGCCAGGTCTCGGTGCCGCTGTCGGAGCCCTAGCCAGGAAGCCAGCCCCTAACATGAGGGATGGCAAACCTCTTCGCGTCGCTGCTCTAAGTTTTTCTTTATGTGGGTTGAGTGCTTTTGTGGTTGTGCTTCTTGATGAGAAAAGATTGGAGGATAGACACATGGTTGCTGGTCTCTAAATGAGATCATGGAAGCTGGAGCACAAACGCACCTCAGTCTTCGTCTCTCATCAGTTAGAGGGGAAAGGAGGGGGAGGGGGAAGGGGGATTTCTGTTTACATTGAGAGTTTTGGTTGTGTTTTTGTTATCCTGGGTTTAGCGATTGGTTTGTTCGTTGTTGATTGCTTTGCTTTAGGGTAAGACTTGAAGCTAACACACCACCACACACCATCGCGGTATAGTTTATGCACTCAGGTATGTAAGTAAAATTCCCTTTTTGCTTTCCTCGCTCCAGTTAACTACTAAGTATGTAGGGGGACTAGCCATCTATCTTGCTAGCTAGCTAAACACCAACCTAACCACCAACAAACAAACACAAAATCCCACCATCCATCCATCCATCCATCCGTTGTCCGTCAATCAACACAGAACATACAATACACTTAAAACACATAGTGATACATCCCGACCATCCATCTCCATATGGCCCTTGAACTTGGGCACCGCCTTCCCTTTCCCATGATGAGTAAAAGTTCACCAACCGAACAAACATACCAACCACATTATATCATAGTATCAGCATTGGATATTGGATTTCCTGAGACTGAGACCAACCAGTCAATCCAATCAATCAATCAATCAATCAATCAATCAATCGATGGACGAACCAACCAACCCAACAAGAACCGAACATGTATGGCTCCAATCAATGATGATGATGATGACCGACGTATGCAGGCTCTGAAGAATATGATCGCCATTCACTGACCATTGCCATGCGATGCGGTGAGATGCGATGCAGTGCAGTATTGAGTTGACATGTAAGTAAAGTAGGGTAGGTAAGTGAAATGTAGGCCGGTGAGTACCTAGGCATGCTCCCCTGACCGAGAAGAGAAGACAACCCATACTCAATTCACCAAAAGTAGGTAGTAGGTCGTCACCTTTGACAGAGAGGTGGCCTTCATCCTCCGTCATCATAAATCGCTCATTTTTTTTTTTTGAGCTTGATCAACTCTCTTTCATTCCGCCATGATACCTCCCCAACCCCAAACTTTCAACCCTCAAGAAAGTAAATTCCTTAGACTAGGACTCGCACTTGCCCCACTCGGCCTAGGAGGCACCGGTTGAGACACCGGCTCCCTAGCTTGCTCCCGATCCCCCCTAACCTCCCTAGTAGCATCCCACTCCCTAACAGGAGGCAGCTGATGCTGTTGCGACGGCGGTGGAACCGGAGGAGGAGGAGGAGGAGGAGGAGGAGGAGGAGGAGCATGATACCTTGCCCCTTGCTCCCCAGGATAATGCCCCTCGTACTCAACCGGGCCATAACGCCCTTGCTCAGGATACTCCCTAGCCTGCGGCTGCGGCGGCGGAGGGGGAGGAGGCAAAACCCCATCCCTCAAATCCCGTAATTCCCTCAACGGCGGCACCGCCGGAGCACCAGCCCCACTCGTCGTCGGCGGCGGAGGAGGACCCCAAGGCTGACGAAGATAATTCGGCGGCGGGGGGGGAGCGGCTGCTCCAGTCTCTCTAGTAGGCTCTCTAGGTTGCGGCGATGGAAGGGGCGGACCTTCCTGATGATGTTGATGCATGTGGGAGCCCATAACCATGGAATGGGAGTGAGAGCGAGAATGAGAATGACTGTGACTATGACTGTGGTGATGAGATGGCGGAGGGGGAGGCTGTGGGCCGTGATGGCTCGGGTGATGGGGCGTCGTCGGAGGGAGATAAGGTGCAGGTGCGCTGCTCGATCCTGGACCTGGAGGAGGGGGGGGTGGCGGCGGTGGCGGCGGGGGACCCGGCATGTGTCTAGGAGATTGCGGTACGCCATTAACGAACGGCGGGGGCGGACCTGCCAGGTGCCCGTTAGACCCAGGAGGAGGAGGAGGAGGAGGCGGCGCGGGGGCCGAGGTGTGAGGAGGGTAATGGTTTGAGGCACCGATGGGAGGGGGCGCAGATGGTTCGGCGGCGCAAGAGCCGGGAGGGAAGTCGGAGGAGGCGATGGGCCATTGCCATTAACTTCGCGCGGGGTCGGATGCAATGGAGGAGGCGGCGGACCGCGGTGCCAATCGTAGCTTCGAGAACCATAGTTAGGCGGCGGGGGAGGGGGAGGAGGGGGAACACCCGGATTCCGAGCACCCAAGGGAGGAGGTAAAGTCGGCGGGGGTACCTGCGGGCCGGGCTGCACTATGCTGGGCAGCGCCAGGGGACCAGCGGCGGGCGCCTGAAGCAACGGTGGAGGCTGGCCAGGGTTCGGACCAGGACCCGGAGTCGGCGGCGGACCCCAAGCGTACGGGGTCCTGCCGTGGCCATGAGACCTGGGCTCAGTCGGAGTCGGACCCAATGGGGGCAGAACGGGAGGAGCCTGGGACGGCTGACGCGGCGGCTCAAGGACGGGCGGAGGGGTCGGCTCCTTGGCCGGCTGCTGTAGAGTGGGCTGACGACCGGCCTTCTTACACTTATGGCACTGGAAACTGCGCTGCTCGACGAACTTACGCGCCTCGGAGCTTAGCTGTGCTACTTCTTCCTGTGTCAAGTCGACCGGATACCACTTCGGGCTGACGTCAACGCCGCAAGTAATGCACACCTTGCCCCACGGATGGCGAGGGTTGAGAGAAGTATCAACTCCGTTGGTGATGGTGCTGTGCGACGACGAGTACGACGACGAGGAGGAGTCGCCATTAAGTACCGCCGCCAGCGATGTCCGTCTGTTCAGCTGGTGATGGTGATGATGATGATGATGATGATGATGATGTGCCGCACTGCCACTGCTGCCAGAAGACGAGGAGGACGAGGACCCGTTGGCCATCTGCTTGGACGCTATCGACAGCTGATTCGCCTTGCGCGCGCAGCCCGTCAGCGTCAAATCGGCCTGCTTGAAGTTCTGCACATATAGTTGCAGAGCGTTCATGCCCGTAGCCTCATCGACAATGTCATACATGCGATGGACGATCGTCTTGGTCGGCACATGGTCCTTGCACCACACCGCCGCCGACATGACGCCAGTCTCGCCCTTTATGGTGACGATGCGGAACTGATCGCGACGCGAACCCTTGACCGGCGTAATATCGAAGCCCAGGACATAGCCGGCCTGGTTGGCGCACTCCACATGAACCGGCGCGTGGCAGTGATGGCAGTACACACAGGCGCCCTTCCGCGTCTTACACACCTTGCACGTCTCCTCGTAGCGGGCACGCGGGATCAGCGGGATGCCCTCGCTGGGCGCCAAACCCTTGGCGTTGCCGAACTTGATCTCGGCCGTCCACACGGCGCAGGTGACGTGAACCCAGTTGTTGTCGGCCGTGCGCTTGAGCGGCTCGTGGGGGTTGATGGGCCGGTTCATCTCCTCCTGCTTCTTGCGGTAGTACTCGATGGCACGCTGGTACGTCTCGCGCTCGATGCGTTCGCGTTCGCGCTCCTTGTCCGTCTTTTTCTTGTGCGAGTTGGAGATCTTGGGCGGGTCGAGGAACTCGTGCTCGGTAAACTCGATCGGGCAGAGGACGCACTTGTAGTGCTGCGAGGGGTCAGAGCTCATCCATTATTCTCAGATAGTGGAAAAAAAAACAAAAAAAAAAAAGAGAGAGAGAGAGAGAGAGAGAGAGAGAGAGAGAGAGAGAGAGAAGAGAGAGAGAGAGAACAGAAACCTACGATAGAGAGCTGCGGGTTCTTGTCATTCAGACACATGTCGCAAATCCACTTGCCCGGCGCGCGGTTGTCCACAACACCATAGCAGTTACGGTGCACCGTGAGCCGGCACTCCTTGCACGACAAGTGCTGGTCGCCCATTGGCTCCATCTCGTGGCAGATGGCACACGGCAGCGTCTTCGGCTTGGGAATCTCGGGCATCGGAGGAGGTGCTGGCGCAGGAGGGGCCTGCTTCTCCTTTTCCTTCTCCCTCTCGGCTGCTGCTGCTGCTGCTGCTGCTGCTGCTGCTGCTGCTGCTGCTGCTGCTGCCGCCGTTTTCTCCTTGTCGGCAGCTGCTTTCTTCTTGTTGGACGAGGAGGCCGCATTCGACGCGCTGCTACTACTAGCAGCCTCCGAGGGAGCGCGGTCACCATCCCTGTCCTTCTCTTCCTTGATCTTTTCCTTATCCTTCTCTTTATCCTTGTCGACGCTACTCTTCAGCTTTTTCCTAGGAGGCTCCGACGAAGCAGCAGTCTTCTCTCTCGCAGAATCCTTCTGCTCGCGCTCAGGGCTGGCCTTCTCCGACTCCGGCGTCGAATACCGCGTGTTAGCCATCATCTCGTCGGCTGCCAACAGCTCCTTGTACAAGTCCTCATCGACCTTGCGCTTCCAGCCTCGGCCGCCGTTCTGGGCCATCTTCTTGGCCACCTCCTCGACGTCCTCCCACTGGATGGCATAGCGACGCCAGAGCTCTGCGCACCGCCGGCACAGCGCCTGGATGTACTGCTCCTTCTTCTCGCCCTGGCCGGCCTTGCTCTTATCGCCATTCTTGCCGCTGCCGCTCTCCTTCTCAGAGATGGGGCTCATGGCCCCCGCGGGGGCACGGCGCCACTGGCGCGACTTCTTGGTCGAGCAAAACTTGCAGATAAACGACTTCTTCAGCGTCTTGGCCTTGTCCGTGTCGAACGCCGAGTCGTCCTGGTCATCCGCGACATCATCCGCCAGCTTGTTCGCGGCCGCCTCGGCCTTCTTGGCATCCTTCTTGCCCTTGCGGCCCGAGAAGTTGCCCCAGACCTGCTTGCCGCGCTCCGTCTTCTTCCACGTGTAGTACCAGCGAGTGATAGTTGCGGCACTCAGCGTCTTGACGTGCTTCTTGACGAGGTGCAGCTCCGACCCGTACTTGGCGACGCCCTCCTCAAACTTCTTCTGCTCGGCCGGCGTCAGCTCGGGCTCCTTGAACTCGGCCTTGGGCGTGCGGGCCAACTCCTCGAGAGCCCTTTTCGCATCAAAGTTGCACCGGAACAGGATGTCGCGCGCCACGTCCTGCAGGTTGGTCGAGTACTTGGGCAGGCCCAGACTCAACGCCATGCTGCGCGCTGTGTCCATGTAAGCGTCGAGCTCATCGTGCGTCATGCTGGAGCCGCACTCTTCGGGGGGCTTGAAGAGCAGCGTGGCCGTGTCGTCGCCGCCTCTCTCCACATAGCCCGGGGGCTCATCCTGGATCCATTTGGGCCGCTTCTCCTTGCGAATGCGCTCGGCCTCGAGAGCAGCTTGCTGCTCCTTGGTGAGCTTGCTGCTGCCCTTACCCTTCTTGATGTCAATCGTCGGTTTCACGTACTGCACAGGCCGACCGTACCAGGGGGGCACGACGGCCTGATGGCGCAGACCTAGCCGGGTGCTCGCACGGGGGAAGATGCGGTCATCCAGATCCAGCGCATCCTCAGCCTTGCAATGCATGCCAAGATAGCGATACGGCCACAGGCTGGCATGATAGATCTGCTCGGCCGTAGGCGGGGGGTGAGCCGGTTCGTCGACAGGGGTGGTACGACTGGTGCGACCAGAGCCCTCGGGGGGCGTCGGCATCGGGCATCTCTTCATCTTCGTCATCGTAGGCATCGTCGTCGTCGGCCTCGAGGATGGATTGCTGGTCGGCAAGGTTTGGTGTGTTACGGGCCTCGAGCTCGCGTTCGCGGGCGCGGCTGCATGCGGCGCACGACCAAGCAAAGCCGCGGCTTGGCTTCTTCAGCAGGGGGGGCCGCACGCAATTCATGTGGTACGTAGCCTGGCACATGGCACAGTCCACCGAATCATTGCTGCAATTGGTCCGTTCGTTAGCACGCGGTCTGGCTCCACTTTGCCTTGCTGCTTTCGGCACGCTGATGACGGCACTGCGGTAGCAGGTGGGTATTAGGTAACCTTGGTGGTGCACTGTTGCACTGGCGGGAACGCTGACTGGGTCGGGCCCGTGCTGGCTGCTGCTGCTGCTGCTGCTGCTGCCGCCGCTACTCTTGCTGCTCCTGCTGCTGAGCCCTGGATCTTGGCCCTTGGCGCCCATTGTTTTCTTTTCAGTTTCTCTCCTCATTGGACTCCCGACCCCCCCCCCCGCGCCACCCCGCCAAATTAAAGACGAGACAGCGAGACAGCAACAACGAAACAGCTGCGGGAAGCTCGGCTGCCCGCTCACACGTCCACGTCCCACGTCCATCCCTCCGTTCCAGCACAGCGCCCACCAGCACAGCTCTCACACAGCTCACCCAGCTCACCCAGCTCACACAACAAACCATCATGCCATTGGAGGTAAAAAAAAAGAAAGAAAGAAAGAAAAGAAAAAAACCGGATAGGGAGAGAGGAAACTTACTTGGCACAATACGTACTGCATCGTTTGCATGTCTTAACCGCGCTCGTCAACTCCTTGCCGCGACCTTGTTCGGTCAGGACATACTTCCAGCGCTCATCCAGCACCTTCTTGACGTGCTCGGGCACGTTGATGACCAGCTTGGTGGGAATCACTTCGTAGTTCTTTTGGATGTAGCGGTCGTAGAGCTTCTCATACCAGAAGCAGTCGGGTTGCCGCTTGTAGGCTGCGAGATCGGGGATCTCCGTCTTGTGCATAATCTGGCACTTGCCGCGCAAGGCCGTCAGAGGGCTGATGTCGGAGTGCATCGTCGCAAAGACAAGCCGCGTGTCCTGCACCTTGCGCCCGATGTCCTTGGGCCGATAGTACCAGTTGACGCGGATTGCGTCGACCGGCTGCGTCGGGTCGTTCTTGACGTGCAGGAACTCCATGATGCGGCCTAAGTAATAGGGCTCTCCGGGAGGCTCGCACACCAAGTAAACATGGTCTGCAGCTGTCAGCTTGACGTTCAAAGACAAGTACATGATCGGATGTCGACCTACCATTCACCGACAGCACTGTGCCATCGTCGGCAACCATCTTGCCATCCTTCGTCGGCCGGCCCTTGCACTTCTCAAAGGTGAGCATGTTACTCTCTGGGTAGCCCTTGTACAAGCTCCGATCGCTGCCCAGGCCGTTGCCAGCTAGACGCTTCTGCAGCGCTGATGACCCCGACGAGCCAGTAGACCCCGACGGAGTCTGCGTGCCGCTGGGCGTCGCAGAATCCGTCGCCTTGCGCTTTTTGCCTTTGCTCGGCCCACTGGTCGTGCCATTCGCTGTGGATGATGATGATGAACTTGCTGATGGGCCTTGGCTCTGCTCCTTGGTGCCGTTCTGGGCAGAAGTGCTTTGCTTACTCTCGCTCGGCAGCGGTTTTCTCGATGAGCCGCTGCCACTTTTCGACTGGGATGATGATGATGATGATGACGATGATGACGACGACGACGACGACGACGACGACGACGACGATGATGATGATGATGTTGCATTGGTCGACTGCCCCGCCGAAGAGCTTGCTGTCGATGGAGCTGCTGATAAGGCATCCTTGTCCTTGTCCTTCTTAGAACTGGACTTCTTGCTGGTGGAACTATTGGAATCATCGTCAAATATGTCGAAATCAAAATCCTTGTCCTCGGCATAATTGGGGCGCGGGGCGCCGTTACGGTTTCGCGACCGAGTGCCGTAGGGCGACGCCTGCGACCCAGAGGCCGACGACTTTTCCATCGTGGATGACTGCGCCGATGAGGCTGATGATGAAGTTGAGTCGTTGGAGTTCGAGTTTGCACTGGACGCGCTCGCAGCTGATGTTGGGTCAGACATGCGAGGCAGTACGGATGAAGCTATTGAGGATGACGGGGCAGCAGGCCCCGAGTTACTGGTAGTAATAGTACCTTGGCCCTGGTCGTCCGGCGTGTGGTGGTTCGCGGATTGGCTTTGGCTCTTGTGCGCCATGGCGGGCCAAGAAGATAAGGGGGAAAGGTCAAGAGTGCGCCCGCAGAGGCCAGATTATATGCCTGGACTCCGCCGGCGCTGTCGGTCCTGCTCAAGGCTACAGATGTGACTTAGGGTGAAATGAAAATGCTGAGCCGGGGGAGCCCTGATCACCCTGGGGGTTGCGTGAAAGAAGCAGCAACAATATCGACCCAGACGGAAAACCGGAGGTTTGGACCCGGTGATGGGCCATAAGACAATATTGGCCGCCGACGGATTCTCTGACTGACTGATGGGACTGAGGATGGGAAGAAAGCCTGGTCAGATGGTCGTCGTTGGGGGTGGGGTTTTTTTTTGGGAAGGGGGGGGGGTAAGGGGGGGAAGGGAAGGAGGAGAGAGAGAGAGAGAGAGAGAGAGAGAGAGAGAGAGAGAGAGAGAGAGAGAGAGTGAGAGAGAGAGAGAGCAACCAGATGCGGTGTGTTGAAAATGCCCGATGCGGTTCGAGAATAAGTTGATGTCGAGGTGAGGGTGAGATACGCGAGGATGCCGCGCTGCAATAAGGTGAGGTTGGGGGTTGAGTGGACGAGGATGAGTGAGGCTAGGGTGAGAGAGTAAGTCGTGCGGCAAGCAAGAATTAAGTAAGTCGAGGTGCGAAGTGCAAGGTGCAATTGCCAGTTGCCGAGCTGCTCCACGGGCCCAGGTCAAACCGTCAGGGCGGCCGATGGGCGTCAGGTTAAGGAGATTCGCTCTTAAGATTTCAGATGGACCGGGAATCGCGGTGGCGGCTACCAGATTGCATGCATGTACGGAAAAGGCGATGAGGGTGCGTGCCCTGGCAGATGGCAGCAAACTGGCAGTTTGGCAGCGAGAACGACGACTGAGATGATGGTGAGCTTTGTTTACTCGCTCATATGTCTAGTCTCAGTCCCATGCTCGTGCCCTGCAGCCTTTCCTCTCTCCTCGTCCTGTCCCGGGAATAATGGCGCGGGCAGATCAATGGGATCGGTAGATCAAGGTGACAAACAGCACGCCGTGGCCGTAGGGGGCGTGTATGTAAGGTACGGATGGTATGGATGTATGGAGAGTACGGATTACACAGCGGTCAGGATGGCGAGAATGATCGCTGGACGGGATGCTAGAGTCGAAGAGGGCTGGCCTTCCTACCGTCCGTCGACGTGATGTAGAGTGCAGATGGACGTCAAAAAGGGAAAGAAGAGTAAAAAAGAAATCTACGAGATATGCAGATGTGGGAAGAAACAGAAAAATGGCCAAGGCAAATAATGGAGACGGCCGGGAGTGAGCGAGAAACGTCAAATGGCAGGGAACCTGGAAGCTTAATGGAGGAGGGCAGGCGAATGGGTATGCATGGTCATACCGGTTGCAAGGTGCAAGGTTATGTTACTGTACTTGTATGTAAAACATACACTACCACTACCTGCACTCCAGTCCCAGTCCAAAGTCCACACACCTCACGCTTGTCGCTCTTGTAATGTCCTGCGATTTTTGCTTGGCTTTTTCTGGGCTGTACCTATTAGCAGTATCGACGTATCTTTTCCCCCCCTTTCTTATGCGATTCATTATCCATCATTGTTCGGCCAGCCAATGCATCCGTTTCCCATCGCCGCGTCTCCCTCTCTTTCTCTCTCTCTCTCTTGACTATGTCTTGCTGGCATCGGCGCGGCCACTCTCCCCCGTTCAGATTGGCTGCCCTGATCCCCCCACCAAACTCTCCATCCCCCATCTGTCGAAGCAGGCGCCATCCGTCAGCAATCACACACAAAACAGCCTCCAGAGACGAAGCAGCAGCGCAGCACACACACACACACACACACAGCGAAGCACAGGCAGCCTGGCGACAGAGCGACAGAGCATAGTCCGGGGAGTGGGTCGCCGCTTGCTGGGCCTGTGGGTCCACGAACCGAAGGTTTGATATTGCGTGCGGTACGGAGGTACATTCCGCTGGCAGCGCTCGCTGCTGCAGCAGACCCAGGATGTGGGTCCCTTACCCGATGAGGGAGTGTGCCTCTGTACCTTACGCAAAATATGCGTATTGCCCCGTATTGTGCAGGGATTTGTACTCCCACATCTCACACAAGACTTCATAACACCGGCAAACCCATTTCAACCCCATCCCCCACGAGCCTGCCAACCAACTTCACCTCTCGCTCTCACGACGTCCTGGCTGTCCCTCCAGCTTGCCAATTTTTTTTTTTTCCATAATGCGATGGGATGGTGCTGGTGCACCGAGTGACGAGACGCGGCAGCCCACGACGCGCCGAAATCGATGGGGCATCCGCCGGGATGGATGGTCGATGGATGGATGGGGGGATGTGGGTTCACCGATCTGCCCCCGGCAACCCAGAGGGAGGTGTGCGCCCTCGCGGGCGGCTTCGCCTTGGGCAGCTAGATTTCGCTCACAGCAGATTGGGCCGAGCTGTGTTGCGGTTGTGGCATCGGGCTGCCCGCCCATACCTTTAGGCCGATGATGATCTCTCTTCTGTCCTATCCCATTCATCATTGATTCCCCTCGGTAGGTGGTTGTGGTGATGATCTCTCACCATCATGAGACGGCCGATGTGATGCAAGATGTTGGCGGGACGTTCCATCGACGGCGCAGTGCGGTCTGGAATGAAATTGGTCGGGACGGCCGCACTGCCCGAACAGCACCCGATCACATCCCATAAGCCACGAGCCGCGCACTCTGCCTGCCTGCCAGCATCCTCGCGCCCTTGGCGGTCGACGTAACGCCATCGAGCCGCAGCCTGGTTTTCGAGGTGAACCTGTCGACCATTCATAGTCGCATACCATCCACTGCATTGGCCTCTAAAGCAGTGATCGTTGTCCCAACTAATGACTACTCTACGCACTGCTCATCGCCAGCAAGCCAGCTGAGCTTGCCGCCGCACGTCGTTGCAGCTTTTTTTTTTTTGAAGGCATGATGTTGCGTTTGCCCCAGTGATCCACATGTACGGTAATTAACCGTACCGTATGTCACATACGCACCCCCGGTCTAGCCACGGAAAAGCTTCCACCACCCACCATCCCGATCTCCGACTTCAGTCCATCGAACCCAGCGTTCATACTGCAGAAACGCCGCCTCTGATGGCTGCCGACGATTTGATATGGTATTTCTCGATGCCCAGCTTGCTCATCTTCATAATTTCTTCTCCAAGACCCTCTCCCCCGCGACATCGCGATCCCGAGCAAGGCTCGCCGTCTTCCCCCTGGTCAGCCCACTCAAAGAGCACAGTCTGTCTAGTAGCCACTCAGCCGTCCGGGCCTCCCTGCCTCCCCTTCTCGTAGAAACATTTGGGCAGTTTTCTTTGTCCAACGGCCGATGACCTTGCCCGGCCCGGCGTGTGTGGCACATCCCCCACAAGCCTCATCTCAGCCAGCCGTCCTCCTTTGTTATGGTTTTTTTTCCCATCCCGATGATTGTCTGCCCGCGCCGTTTTTTTTTTTTTTTTTGAGTTTTGCCTGTCTGTCATTAGCATTATGGGGCAGTGATGCTACTGATTCTGTGATGGGGGAGGAAGGCAAAGGCCGATGCGGGTTAAAGCTACGACGCAAAAAGGAAGCTTAAAGCGGTTCCAGCCCGGCGCGTGCCGATCTCGTCTCGTGGGACCGTCCTGTCCCTCCACCACAACCACCTCACCCCTGCTTCCAGACCCCGTCGACACGACGCGGCGACACCAGACTTTGAAAAACCGGAGGGCCCCTTTCCCTTCCCCTCCCCTCCCCTTTGAGAAAAATCCTATGTGAATTGTTCTATTCAAAGTGTCTTGCATTTCTTCAGTCCTCATCAATCGACGAGCTGCACTAGCCCTTACCTAGCTAGCATCAACCCAACCGATCAGGTTCGCGAGATCTCTCGCTTTTTTTTGTTCGTTCTTCTGCTGTGCAGACCTTTTTTGGGGGTTGACAGGATCGTCGTTCGAAGGTCTGGGGTACTGGGCCGAACAGGCTCTGGTGTCTTGGCTCAAAACGTTCACCTCCGACTGGTCCGTGTGGCCCTTTTCCCGCCCTGGGCGCCTGCACCGCGCTGCCTGCCGCCTTGCTCGCTGACCACCTGTTGGACCTCACCTCATGGCATTGCCGACGACCACGATTGCCAACTCATCTACGACGACCTGCTTTTTACAACATGTTATGCCAATGATTTTTTTTTACCTCGATGACAAACTCAGCAACCCTACATTTTTTTTTTGCTTCCCGGCTGGCGGGAATCACGACGGAGACTTGAGGACGATGACTCGGCGACGTGCGAGGCAGCGCCGTCCTCCATTTCCCTCCACAAGCAATCCTAGGACCAGGCTGTGGAGACACAGCTCTCACACAGGCAAGCCGGATACTCGGGGGGACAACCCATCATTACAGCAGCAGCAGCAGCAGCAGCAACAACAACATCCATGCATCACCACACAGGGCTTGAATTCTTCAATGTTGCTCATCACAGCACAGTAGAACATGAGTGCCGAAGTGAGTATGTATGGAATGAATGAGTGCTTGTAATATTGAACGATGGCATGCCCCTGTTGCTGGCGGGCTCTTCAGGCAGTTTGACCGACCGAGCGGCCGGCTGGCCTCCCTAACTTACAGTACTTACCCCTTGATCGGTCATCGAATGGCCGCAGCGGTAGCAGGAGAGCAGCAGCTTGTTTCAAAATGCTCAAACAAACATACACAATAACTGTCCAGACCCTGGATGGGAGGGAGGAAATCCATCATGGAGGGTACCTACCTAGGTGCCTAGGTAGGTTAAGAGGATATCCCCTCTCGCCATAGTAGACAAAACCTCCGTTCACTGCCCTTACGACAAACTTTGGGTTATGAAAATCCATCACTTCCTTACCAAACCCTCATCAGCTACGCAGCTACAGTTAGGTAGCTAGGGGTTATGTGTGTGTGTGTGTGTGGGTGCGTTCCGTTCTGTCTGTTGTCTCTGAGAGTCCCCAACGCACACGGTGGATTCTTGGTGCGTCGCTACACAGCAGAGCATGCAGCAGCGCCCACCCACCGGCTGGCCGTCGACCGGCTTCATCATGCCTACCTGCAAATGTACTCGTCCATGACCCGGGATAGGTAGGTGCCTCCCTACATCCATGGGTGCCGTTGCGGTGATAGGTGAGGTGGATAAGGTAGGTATGTTAGTCGTGTGTCTGATCTGATTGATGAGTAATTATAGTCCTACTCTACGCACCTAGGTAGCGATTCGGTACTATTACCTGCGCAATCCATATATGCATGAAGTGAGGGAAAAAAAAAAAAAAAAGAGAGAGAGAGAGAGCGAGACATCTCTGCAGGCACCATGATTGCGACTTCATCAGGTAGGTTACAGGTAGCAGAGTACCATGAAAAGCGGGATGCCAACCTGCTGCGAATCTACTCTCTGGCCGTCTGAGCTGGTGCTGAATGAATGGGGCTGTGTTGGCAGGCAAGCATGGAATTTCTGGCCAGCTCAGTCAGCCGGCTTGATCGTGATCGTGCATCACGATCAGATCAGCTGGGAAATCTCACTACAAATATACCTGCGCCACACCATCCATGAAAAGGGTTCTGGAATAGGTAGTGTAGCCGCTAGCTGGGGGGTGATCACACGATGATTGTGAGAGGAGGGGGGGGAAAAAGAGCGTCGCGATTTATGGAGTGTCCGATCCGAAGCTGCCAACCAGCTAGGTATATTGCAACAGCGGTATACCCGTATAGAAAAAAAAAAAAAAAAACAAGCCTACCTGAATACTGTTAAACAACGGGATGCGATGGGAAGGTATTGATGCTCTTTGTGTGAGCCCCGTGAGGGCATGAAATCAAACGGGGAATAGAGATCTCCCAGATGAGATGAAATCCCTGGCCGAAGATTGGTCGATCGAAAGCATTCGAGACTCATCAGCGGGTGACGACGGAGGGGCGAGCACGGCTGTCGGTATGACAGTGCGAATATTACTCATTTATGAGTACGTACTGGGTTCATGGGTCATGGTGTCTGTGTGCTCCCTTTTCCTGGTGTTGCCGAACCGCGATGTGACTTTTTCGCTGTCAGGGTCGCTTTTCTTCCCTGGGCGCAGCGGCTTGCCGACCTGGGGAGCATAGCTCCGCGTTTGCATTCGTCAGGTTATTAGGTAGACAGAGGTTGTCACGGGATCTAGGTGAGGTAAGAATAACCCCCCCAAATGACAGTAAGATGTCGCTTGTAAGGACCTGGTTGGTGATGTGGATGGGTTCATCTACCCCTAACATTTGAGACTTGGGGCCTGACCAACAACAGTGAGAAAACTTTAAATGCAGAAGAGAAGATCTGTTTATAATCACCGCCGCAATTTTACACCAAGCGCGAGAGGGGGCTTTATTAAAGGCTGCAAATCATAAAACCATGCAACAATTCTTCTCAACAGAAAAAAAAAGCTCGGCCGTCAGCCATCATCCAGCAGCACCTCAACAAGCGGGGCCACACAATAGTGGAGAAAATAGCCACAAATAATGTTCGCGAGTATTTTTTTTTTTTTTTTAGTCCAGCAGTGACCATAAATGATATGAACCAAGAGGAGAATATGGATGGAAACAGCCTCTCCCTGTCTTGCTGGCATCGAGTTGTAGATATTGTTGTGAGAATTTCCCAGTTGACCTGAGGAAGATCAACAAAGAGCTCCCTGAGGCCCTACTGAGGATGTATGACTCTATACGACTCAAGATATTCTTTTTCCCAACATTGTGCAATTGGGGAGTCTAACAGCGACTGCGTAGAGGAAGAGGAGGAGGAGGAAGAGGAGGAGGAGGAGGAGGAGGAGGAGGAGGAGGAGGAGGAGCAGGAGGAGCAGCAGGCGGCTTTGCTGCGTGGCATGCGCATCACAAATGGTCTCTATTCCTGTTGCTGTCGCTGCTTCCATCCGCCGTCGGGCCCGCCCCCGTCCTTTGTCGGGTCCCCGGGCCAAGAAAAGCAGGGCGAGGTGGGGACATTCCAGTGGCAGCGCGCACGCGCTTGTGGGAAAGCAGCTTCTTGGCCGCCCCATCCGCCGCCGCCAGCCCAACGGAATGGGAATTGGAGAGCTGGAGCTGAGAGACAGTGCTTGACTGGATGACGTGCTATGTTTTCCATAAAAAAATAGCAAAAGGTTTTCTTTCGAGGTCATTTCCTTTGGTCCTTTGGGTTAGAAGGTCCAGACACTTGGAACGATCGACATCCCGAGCCGGAGGTGACGGACCGCTGGTTTTGTGCCCTCAGGTCCTAGCAGCCGAGAGTGAATCTCACCCCATCCGGAGCCGTCCCATGCGTTTCAGATCGTCGTGTGCCCTGGACACCAAGTGTCTTGACCTCGACAAGCCGCGATGGAATTAGCTTGCCAGGAGGAAAAGTCTATCGTAGGCCGGTAGAGATAAGTAGAGTGCGTTGAAATCAGTGAGACACCGGAAGCTCGGTGTTCTAGCTGTGGGTAATAGTCCCTGTGTCACCATCTCATCAATTCTGCCTGGCTCCAGGCGAAACTGCTTCTGCTGATCGTTTTGTGTGCCTCTCAGCAACAGCAGTGCAGTCCTACATCGGCATGGCCAAGCAAAAGTTGGTTGTGGTGGTCGTTCCAGCGACGAACGAGAGAGGGGCCAACCAATCCCATCATCATCGTCATCTTCGTCCTCCTCATCTTCCAGAACCAACAGCAAGGGGACGCGGCCTAGTTGGTGCCATGCTCACTCTGGAACATCAACAAGGAGAGACCCACCAGCAGCCCCACCAATCCGTGGGGCGGTTGTTCAAACTTGCCGGTGGGGCTGACCAGGACGATTTCTTCGTTGCTCCCAAACGGCCGGGAAAATTACCAGGTATTGTGACGTGTGACGCGTGATACAGGTCGGTTACGGGAATAGTTTACGGGTCGGGATTGGCTGGGGCGTGGGAGTGGGAGCTGCAGGCACTCTTCCAAACAGGCAGGGGTGAGAGTGAGAGCGACGCGCCGCCGTCGCGACGACAGGCGAAGCCGCGACTCAAGCAGCCATCGAGGTTCTCGGCTTTTTTTTTTTTGGCAGGACACCACATCATCTGAATGGCAGTCTAACCGATGAAATAGCTGTGATGGTTTTGAATATGCGAAACTAAAGGCATGGTGTCGTTGAAAATTTGCTGAATTGCTTCCAGTAGTCGCCGTGGGGTCTAGGCCTGATATTGAAACATCGACGACATCGATGCCCTGCTCTCAGTTCACATGCAGACAGTAAGCGCAGCCACCTTGACTGGCGACGGCAGGCGAAGGTGCTGCTTTGCAAACAGGCGATGGCCTACCAACAACAGAATCATGAGCTGGGCGTTAGGCATAAGACTTCCGTCCAACAAATTCTAAACCGTCAGCAGCAGAGTCTCTCCATCCACTCTACCACGGCTCCCGCCGCTCTTGCTGGCCAGAAACGGCCTTATCATCATTCTTTGCTCCTCCATACCCCTTCTGAACCCCAACAAAGCATCTCCCCCTGCAACAATGTCAATAGCAATAGTAATGGCTCCTCCTCGGCTTCGTCATCAACAAGCCTAGCACAACCACCGCCCCCAAAACGTCCAGCCTTGCTGCACCCCCCTCCCAACCAACCGCCCCGCCTAACCGCCAGCCGCATCGAGCACCCCTCCGGCGGCCCAGTCCCCTATGACGGAACCTCCGAGTACTCCCAGCGCCAGGCCATCTCGTGCACGCCCACGCCGACCCTCGACCCGCTCCTCTCCTTGTGGCACCCGGTCTACGGCCTGCCCCGCAAGCTTGTCGCGAACCTCTCCGCGCTAGGTATCAAGTCGATTTACCCGTGGCAAAAGGCTTGCCTGCTGGGGCCCGGCCTGCTCGATGGGGAGAAGAATCTGGTGTACAGCGCCCCGACGGGGGGCGGCAAGTCGCTGTGGCTGATGTGCTGATGCTAAAGAGGGTACTGGAGGATAAGGAGGCGAAGGCGATTCTGGTGCTGCCGTATGTGGCGCTCGTGCAGGAGAAGGTGAGGTGGTTAAGGAATGTGGTGAGTGGGATTTCGAGGGAGGAGTTGGGGCAGGGGGAGGAAGAGAAGTCGGGGGGGTTGTGGGCGACTAGGCCGGATAAGGATACCATACGGGTTGTGGGGTTCTTCGGAGGGAGTAAAATCAGGGCGACGTGGGCGGATTTTGATGTCGCTGTTTGCACGTTTGAGAAGGTACGTAAATAGGTTCGGGCGGAGGAAAAAGGGGGGGGGAGAAAGTGAAAAAGATGGTCAAGAGAGTTTAGGCTGATGGTTGGCATCTAGGCGAATTCTCTAGTCAACCAGGCAATCGAGGACTGCAGTATCTCGGCACTGCGCGCGAGCTGAAGGACCCTGTGTTGAACGCCGTCGTGGCGCTGGCCAACGAAACGGCCCGCGCGGGATATGGAGTGCTGGTGTTTTCGAGCAGCCGTGCGCGTTGTGAGTCGGATTCTCTGTTGATCAGCCGTGTGTTGCCATCATTTGCGGAAGCAGACCCCTTGATCCAGGAGAAGAGAGTGGATTTATTGGGGGAGTTGAGGAGTCTTAGTACCGGGCTGGATCCCGTGCTGGAGCAGACTATCCCTTCAGGGGTGGCATTTCATCGTAGGTTTTTTTTGTTTTTTTTGTTTTTTTGTTTTTTTTTGGTTATAAAGGGAATTGTGTTAACAATGGTACAGATGTAGGTTATGCTGTTTGGCTACCTTATCGATCTGTTACTGACCGTGCAGGCTGGTTTGACAACGGAGGAGCGTGAGCTGGTCGCCAAAGCGTATGATGAGGGCGTGTTGAAGGTTTGCGTCGCAACATGCTCTCTAGCCGCGGGCATCAACCGTAAGTATTCCAGATCCTACTCAGGACTCAAAACTAACAACATATAGTGCCCGCCAGACGAGTGATCCTCCACAATGCTCGCGTGGGTCGAGATCTCGTCGGACCAGCTATGCTGTAAGCACCCTGACGGGTGGAGTGAAGCAAGATAGGTACTGACGGAACCAGCCGTCAAATGCGTGGCCGAGCCGGCCGTAAAGGCAAGGACGAAGTAGGAGAGACATACCTCTGTTGTCGCAAGAGCGATCTTGAAGCCGTCATCGACCTGATGCACGCCGACCTCCCACAGATTTCCAGCTGCCTCATTTCAGACAAGCGCCGGATCCAGCGGGCCCTCCTCGAAATCATCGCTATCCGCCTTGCCACCAGCCGCGGGTCATTCGACGACTATATCAGCAAAACCATGCTCTCACTGACGGCCGACCCTACCGAGATCCAGGAGCACGTCGAAGCCAGCCTGGCCGACCTGCAAGAGATGGAGTTCATCACGGTTGACGAGCGAGATGGCACTTACCAGGCTACGCAGCTGGGCAAGGCAGTTGTCGCGTCTTCGCTGAACCTGGAGGACGGGATCTTCATCCACAAGGAGTTGAAGGCCGCACTGCAAGCTTTCGTGCTTGACGGCGAGATGCACGCGCTGTACAACTTCACGCCGGTGCAGGATCTGGGTAGCGTCCCGATTAACTGGCGAGTGTTTTGGAATGAAATGCAGCAGTTGGACGAGAGCGGGCTGAGGGTTATGCGGTTCCTAGGGTTGAAGCATGCTACCGTGAGCCGGATGTGAGTGCTGCCCCTGGAGCGTTTCCTCTGTCCACGAAAGTTGGCGCTAACTCTCTTATACAAAGGCTCCAAGGCGGCACGCTCAGCGAATCCACGCCCGAAGAAAAGGAGCTCTCGCGACGATACCACCGGTTCTATCTCGCGCTGCAGCTGCGCGATCTCTGCAATGAAATACCCATCCACCGCGTTGCAAAGAAGTATGACATGCCGCGCGGCTTTGTGCAGAGCCTGGCGCAGACATGCAAGGGCTTCGCAGCAGGAATGATTAAGTTTTGCGAGACCATGGGCTGGGGGTGAGTTTTCCTCCCCACTTCCCCCGAAGAGGAATGAAACATTCCGGTGTATACTGACCGAATCACTTAGTGCCATGGCAGCGGCCCTAGACCACTTCTTTGACCGGCTGGAGGCCGAGGCCCGGTCGGATTTGCTTGCCTTGGCAAAGATTACGCTTGTGAAGAGTCACACGGCGTAGGTTTCCGTTACTTTACCTTTTCGCTCTCTCTCCGTGTTGCTGTCACGGTGGTAGAAGTTAACCCTTTGTTTCTGTAGACGCGTTTTCTGGGAGAACGGTTTCAAAACCGTCGCGGCTGTGGCCAACGCGGACCCGCAGGAATTGCTCCCTATCCTGATGCAGGCACAACCAAACAAGGTCCGGCTTGGGACTAAGGACGAGCAGAAGTTGAAGGAGAAGTTGCTTGCTAAGGCGAAGGCCATCTCAGAGTCGGCGAATCGGCTATGGCGTAGGTCTTTTCTTCTTCTTGCTTTCCCTGTTAAATGGTTTACTAACTGTGGTTGGGTAACAGAGCCGGAGATGCAGCAGGATATTTATGATGGGGAGGAGTAACGGTAGTGAAAGGATAACATTGATAGCGTCTTTCATGGGTAAACGAGGACGGTGCTGTATTATGGTTATGATACCTGAGTGCATGCTTTGCCAGAGCTGGAGATGGAATCAATGATAAACCATCGGGGAAAGTTTCTCCAATTTCATACTTTTTTCATATTTATGTTAAATTTTCCTCATCCTTTCCTTCTCTCCTTCTTCCACTCTTTGAGTTAGTAAAACTTAAATGAAAATGGCCGATCCGATCCTATGGTATGAGGTTGCAAAGCTCTAACACGATGGTCACGGCCTGGTTACAAATTGTGATGTGCATCTTGAGGAAAGTATTTCTGTCTGTAGGGCTTTTTTGGATGCTCGATTCAGCGGAGGTAACTTGAAACTGGAAAATGCCTAGATGTTGGTTGCTTTGCCACTTAGCTCACCTGCGCTGGGACGCTGATGCTTAAGGCAACCAACCATCAAGGCAGATAGACAACTCCAAGCCACAAAGCTTATACCCTCGGTGAGAAATGGCGGTCTGCAAAACCGAAGGCAGAATCATCAATCTCAATGCTGAGCATCCTTTTTTTTTCTAACCAGCTGGCGTTTGAGCGTGACACTTCCGACAGGTTTAAGTACCCTACCTTGTCATACTGCAACACACAACAACAACGATGCTCCCAGGAGAAGCGCCACTCCTGTGAGCTAGTCAATCTGCCGGCCGTATGGCTTTTGACATTCTACAGACCTTGACCTTGACTCCTTTTGTGTGTGTGTGTGTAATGTGTAACGTGTTGCTACCGGTACTGCTGGTCCTGCCGGTTCTGCGTAGGGTAGCGGTATCTCGCTATTCAACTTCCCTATGGTGTCGGGAGCACCAATGTGTTGGTGCGCCAAGTCCTTACACTAGCCTTACACTAGGTTGGCCAGACCTTGGGAGAGTGGGAAGGCGAGAGAGTGATAGAAAGCTTGCATGTTGCACGCATCCGCTGCCCAGGGGCAAGGATCTGCTGGCGCTGCAAGCACTTAATGCCCAACCAAGCGTTAAGAAGCGCAGCGGCGGCGCAGGCAGATAGGCAGGCAGGGCAGGTCAATGAAATGGGCACGCGACATGCGACATGAAAGCCATCAATACCCTATATCTCGGCGTCTGCCGGGTCATCCAAAGTACCTATCAAAGTACCTAATCATGCTGGTGTTGAAACCCTGCCTGCCGACTCAACCCAATGGAAGCTTGGAGAAGGGTCTAGCATGTTCGAGGTTTGTGAGAGCCGCAGCGCGATATGGGAAGGGCAAGCCTCAAACCCGAGAAGCATCTAGAGATTTCATCAAAGCTCGCCAGTGTGGCAGCAGCCTGGCTGGCAAAACGGGTGATTACACCAAAACCTTCAGTTTAAAGTTTGCCGTCCGGAGAAAGCCTAATTTTTAGATCGCTAAAAAGAAGTTTTGGGAAGCGCTCGCGTGGGAACGACCTGGGGGAATGGATGGATGGATGGAATGTGGTTTTGAAGCGGAGTGAAACGTGCATCGAAAATCTGCCCGGCCTCCCGGCGCGGCCGCCCCACAAGGCTCTTGTTCTGTCGTGACGCTCTCTCCAGCCACACCTGGGTGGGGCATTAGCCAGAAACACCTCTTTTTCCCCTAGGAGAAGGGGAATCTGAACTTTCCACGACGCGCAGGAAACCCCACAGAACGACTAGGGTGGATCATCGATTGGAGACCCACAGCCCGCTGGTTTAGCCAAGTGGAGACCAGTAAGGTACCTGGTGTTATGCAGGCGCGCCCTGCGAATCAAAAGTCACCCGTGCTAAGTGCACCAGCCACACTCCAGAGCCTTCGATCGATTTCCATTGAGAGGGGCTGAATGCGTCCGTGGAGGGAGGCGGCGAGTCGGTTTGCTTCGCTTTGGTGGGAAAGTGGGAAGGCTTGGGGACCAGTCAGCCTGCCTGAGGGAGTTCCAGGTTACTGCATATACCTCGCGGTCTGTTGCTCTGTCTCGTCTGGGCGTGTCTGTGTTGTCGCAAAAGGCTTGCCAGCCGATTTTTACAAGTCTCGAACTTTTTTTTTCGTTTTTTTGGGGGGAGGTGTCCTATCGATCGGGTTTGGGACCGCGCAGGAGATTTCCCTTTTTTTTCTGGAATAGACTCCTCCATCAACCACACGCACTCAGCACACAAGGCACACTTTACGATACACACCAACAAGAGACCAGACCGGACAACGGTTCGCAAGCGCAGGAGCTTATCGGCCTCATCTGGCACCCTGCTACCTCCGAGAGACACTTCTCACCTTCACTGAAGTTCTCCATTCCGCACTGCTTGGTAGGTAGCCCCAGCCACTGCATAAAGCCCCGGCCTGGTCACCCCCGGTGATCGCACTTTGCTCCGGAACATTCCCCCACCAGCTCGACTTTTTGTGACAGCCATATCTTTTTTGTTCTTGACCCGCGGCTGACACCAGTGCTACGCAGTTCACGGGGAATCCAGCAGAATTTCTCAAAGCCCGCTGAGACTTGACAGTCAGGCTCCGAAACACTCCAACCCTCGATCTAAACACCCTTACCACCTCTTTCCCCGCCTTCTCCGACCTCTTCAGACACATCTCCCAAGATGGTCAAAGAAACAAAACTCTACGACATCCTCGGCGTACGTACTGGGTTGGGTACTAAAAACAGCCAGCTGGACGGCAGATGCTGACTTTCGCAGGTTTCGCCGAATGCCACTGAGCAGGAACTCAAGAAGGCCTACAAGACTGGTGCTCTCAAGTACCATCCAGGTAGGTATATACCTGCCGTTGAAACCTCGAGTTCGTACACTGACGCTTCCCAGACAAGAACCGCAACAACCCGGCAGCCGAGCAAAAGTTCAAGGAGCTCTCTCATGCCTACGAGATCCTGTCGGACCCGCAGAAGCGCCACATCTACGACCAGTATGGCGAGGCTGGACTAGAAGGCGGTGGTGCCGGTGCCGGTCCTGGCATGGCCGCTGAGGACCTGTTCGCCCAGTTCTTCGGCGGCGGTGGTTTCGGCGGCATGTTCAGCGGTATGGGCGGCATGGGCGGCCAGCCGCGTACCCCGCCTAAGGCCAAGACCATTCACCACGTTCACCAGGTTTCTCTCGAGGATATCTACCGGGGCAAGGTGTCGAAGTTGGCCCTGCAGCGCTCTATCATCTGCCCAAAGTGCGAGGGTCGTGGCGGCAAGGAGGGCGCCGTGCGCAGGTGTCCCGGGTGCGACGGTCATGGTATGAAGACCATGATGCGCCAGATGGGCCCCATGATTCAGCGCTTCCAGACTGTCTGCCCCGACTGCAATGGTGAGGGTGAGATGATAAATGCCAAGGATCGCTGCAAGGAGTGTGGCGGCAAGAAGACCGTCGTTAACCGCAAGGTTCTTCACGTGCCCATCGATCGCGGCGTCCGCTCTGGCACCAAGGTCGAGTTCCGCGGCGAAGGTGACCAAGCCCCTGGTATCCTTCCTGGTGACGTCGTCTTCGTCATCGAGCAGAAGCCCCACCCGCGCTTCGAACGCCGCGATGATGACCTGCTCTACCGCTGCGACATCGACCTCGTCACCGCCCTGGCTGGTGGTACCATCTACATTGAGCACCTTGACGACCGGTGGTTGAGCGTTGAGATTCTGCCGGGCGAGGCTATTGCGCCAGGTAAGCTGACTTCTTCTCTTCGCTTTGTATAGCCTTGGGTTCCTGATGCTAACATCTCACCAGGTTCCGTCAAGATGATCCGCGGCCAGGGTATGCCAGCGCCCCGTCACCACACCTTCGGTAATATGTATATCCAATTCAACGTCAAGTTCCCGGAGAAGAACTGGACTCAGGACCCGGAGGCCTTTGAGGCGCTCCGCAAGTTCCTGCCAGCGCCTGCCCAGCAGAACGTGCCTCCCGAGTCCATGACCGAGCCTGCCGACTTGGAGGAGGTTGATAATGCCAACCGCGGCTTCGGCGACTCGGCCATGGAGGAGGACGAGGAGCACGAGCATCCTCATGCCGAACGCGTGCAGTGCGCTTCGCAGTAAGGGGTTCGTGGGAAAGTGGTTTTATGATGGATGCTTGCTGTTAGCCTCTCTATTGAGGAGAGTAATGACAGTAGGCTGGAATGATAATGAAGTCAATGAAGGGTCAAGCAGCGGCAAATGGGCATAGAGCATTTTCCTCCGCATCACGTACGTCGGTCGTCGTTTTTTTTCGATTTCATATCTTTCGGGAGGGAGAGAGAGGGACACTGAGGTAACACGGGAATACTGATGTGTCTTTTTATTTCTTGCTTTTTCCTACTAAAGTTTCGCTTCTTCTCTCGATAGACATTGAAAACCGACGTCGGGACGGAACTAAGAGAGAGAAACCCTCGGCCAGGTGTGATATTAACTCTACCGGGTTGGGTTAGGTTTCCCGTTAATTAATGAGAGAGGTTTTCTCGCATGGTTGAGAGAAGAGGTATGGAAGAGAGGCGGATGGATGGATACATGGCTGGGAAGAGGAGGAGGAGCGATCAGGGGCTGTGGCATGAAAGGAGGGCTGGAATATGGTTCTCGCTTTTTTTTTTTCCCCATGTCCTCTATTTTTTTTCCGCTGTGCGTTTTTAGGGAGGAAGGTCGGTCAAATGGGATAAACATCAAAAAATACCCCAGGGTATCATCACTTCACATCATCGCATCACAGCCAACACGCATGAGAGGCATAGGAGAGACATGAGGCTACCTACCTACCTATCTGCCTGCCTGCCTTCATACGATGCTCGATGAGCTTGCTTGCCTTAGTCTGCTTGCTCTTGGATGGATGAGTCGCTTGCTTGGTGATGCCTGCCTGGTTGTTGCTTATGTGTGTGCCTGTGTGTGTGTGTTGTGTGTTCGATAAGAATGAGTGGACATCTACCTACCTCCCGTAGCATACCTAGGTACCTACTCCGTAATTTGCTCCTGAACTGGAAGTGCTCTGACGTGTTATGACGACCAATACTCAAATATATATGGAGCTGCTCATTAATAGTACTGAATTTATGTGGCCCTCAACTGTCTGTTTCGCTGTTTCTGCTTCCTTGGTTTGAAGTCCACATCGTCATAGTAGTACTGGAGAAGACATTGTCTTCCCGTCTATTCGTCTTCCCCCTCCTTCCCCTTCTCATTTCGGTTTTCTCTCTCCTGCATTAACTCCCTAGGAGCTCTTTGGCCCTAAACTTTGAATGACATGTCTCAGTCGAAGTCCAGATAGGGCCTACAGTAACTAGCGAGACAGCGTCTTTTCTCAAAGTAAAGAGAGATATTTAAGCCCTAAGATGGATGATGGGACCACCCTCGGCTGGCTCGGAGGCCTCGAAACAACAACAACAACAACAACAACAAAAAACAATAAATGCATATCCTAAAAGAGAGAAAATTAATGTAATAACTGGCACTAAAAAAATAATACGAAAATTAATTGTAGGACGTTCGGCGGGGACAACATTTCAATAAAACTCTGCTATTATATAAACTTGCTTTATTTAAACTAAGCTCGTCATTACTTGAAAGATCTGGGTTGCTGCTACGTAACGAAGAATTCTATTGCCGTCATCTTTATATCCTAATTGAACCACTCCAAAATACGAAGGGGAAACAAAACAACAATGCTGTAAATTTGCGTTCCTCACCTCAAAATTTGAACTAGTTACTTACCCTTAACCTTTTAACTCCTGAACAGCTTGATCGCTCTTTTTCTTCTCTTAAGCTGTTCCCTCATCTGTGTCCACCGGCTTGTATCGTTAATGTCTCTCTAAACCCCCCCCCGCTTTCTAAACTAACACAAATCGAGAAACTTTGATGCCCTAGATAATTAAGCAGCAGGCAGCGCCTAGGTAAGCGCCCTTTTGTCCAACAAAGCTCCCACAGCGGACCCTGACGAAGGTACGATCGATAGCTATGCTTCTGATGACTCAGCGGCGTAGGTATTCGTTGACTTATAGGTGGCCACTTCCTGTGCTGTGCCTTACAGCCGCCCCTATATATACCAATCTGATGGGTGGGTACCTAGATACAGAGTATAAGATGAAAGAAGCTTGAAACAAACCATGATGACTTCAAGCCGTCCCCTCCAAGACAAGATAGAGGCAGCATATAAATTCTTAACACCTCAAGCACCAACGCATCCCCAAGACCCAAGCGCACTCACTCAGTCTGAGCAGAGTCGAGAATCCCATCCATTCATTACAACCCAACACAGCAGAAATGTGTATCGGTTACCAATCAGACGGATAACACAAGACCCAAGACAACCTTGAGCTATAACCCCTTCCCAAGCAAACCCATTCCGAGATAGCAACATCATCTCCACCCCACTCACTCAATCATATCCACATCCTCCCCACCCTCTTGGTGAGGCGCTGCATTCCCCCCCTCACTCTGCTGCGCTTGCTGCTGCTGATTCCCCGCACCAACACTAGCAAAATAATCCTCCATCTCGGCATCCAACTCCTCTTGCGTCTTCTTCGGCCTACCATCCCTTCCCAACCGCGGATCCCGACCCCCCCTCTTTGGCCCAGGACCAGACCTCCTTCCGCTGCCGTTTCCACCACCGTCACGTCGTCTAGGCGGACTCCTCGACCTAGGCCTGTACCTATCCACCCCACCCCCACGCCTACCCCTTCCCCGACCGTTCTCCTCTCCAGAATTATCCCTCCCCGGACTCAAAGACCTAGACCTGACCCTCTCCGTGGAAACGGTAATCCTCTCCGCCAGGGGTCTGCCCGTTCCCAGCACCGAGGGCTTGACGGCACTATCGAAGGGATTACGACCACTGCCGCGTGAGGATGACGGGCCTGATGGGAGAAGAGTCAGACGGATCGGCTGGCCGGCGGCGTTGGCGCCGTCAAATTCTTTGATGGCCTGTACAGCGTCGCGGTGGTGTTCGTAGGTGACGAAGGCGACGCCCTCGGAGCGGCCGGCGCGGTCGTATTTGAGGTGGACGGAGATAACGGGGCCTATGCGGGAGAAGAGGCCCTGGGGAGGGGTTAGCACGGTATACTCTATGAAGGGCGAAACGCAGAGGGACGTACTTCGAGATCTTGCTGCGTCAGTTCGTAGTGCAGGTTGTCTACCCTAAGCTTGGTGCCACGGGGATCGCTGCAGTTGCACATCAGCCTAGACTCCCACCCATCTCTTCCAGACCTAAATCATACCTATTCGGCTCCGGAGAGCGACGACGACCTTTGGAAGCAGCAGGGCGGCGACCGCTGTCATCCTCGAATTTGTCATGAACCCATTCGCTGTCTCACTGTCAGCGTCGAACGCTTCCCCAATGCTTCTTGTAAAGGTACATACGAGTCCAAGTTTCGCGGCTCATCGTCTCTGAAGGACTGTCCCGCCAAAACGCGATGGACAGAGCCATCGGGGGCGGTAGTTAGCGGGCAAAATTCAAATGCTGGAGTCGGTTACCTTCTCTCCTTCCCCTGGATGTGTCATTGTCGCCGCATCCATCTACCGCCATCATCGACAACAGCAAGGGCTGCTGACTCGTATCATATCAACCAAGGAGCGTGAGGGAAGGAAGAGGGGGCATTGTGACCGCAATGCGACTCGACAGCAGCAGATGGGCGGACGGCCATGACCAAGGGGGAAGAAGGACGGACAAGAGGAGAGGGATTATTCCACCTATTAACATCAGTATCCCCCTTCATACCCACGCAGAATGATTCTTTAAACGTACCTTTCTAACGCCATCTCTAGGCCTATCATCTCTCTCACGACGGCGACTTGCACCACCGCGCGAGCCTCTGTTAAAATTGTTCTGCACCAACGCGTCAGCCTGGTTTCCCATACTCTGTAACCACCCAATTTTTGTTACTCACCTTCTTGCGATCGGCAAGAATCTCATCCAGACTACGGTCGAGTATGTTGCTCATCTTGTTGGATTTCCCAGTCAAATTGAGTCAACAAATGTCGTTGTCAGAAGTTGTTGAAGGTTGGCGAAGAGAGCGCGAGGACAAGGCTGCGGGTGTCAAGCCGCGCATGGTTGACAACCCAAGACCCTGCGAACCGTGCACCGGGCCACCGCATTGGGGACCCACTCATCATGCAGCGCTATGTGCTTATCAGGTTATCAGTATCATTTCACTTAAAACAACATCAGACTTGGCAAGGCAAATACACCGATAAACATCATCACCAGTTCAGACGGGACGGGCACAATCGTTTGTGAGTGTTTTGCTGTCGGCCATCCAAACATTCAAAGCAAACATTGAGCACAACATTCTCAGCACATTAAAGCAAGCAACTAAGCTGTCAGGGCCAGGTATCCTTTTGTCTTTCAGTCTACGTCGCATTTTGGTAACCTCCCTGGATGGACTCTGGATACACATGAAGATGGGGAAGGGGGAAAAAAACACTGAGAAAGGAAAAAGAGAAGAGAGCCAGAAAGCCAGCCAAGCAAGAACGTGAAAACGAGTATCAAACACCCGCCGTCCCTTGTATGTATGTCAGAGTGAGAAAAAGCGTGAAAACTATGCACCGATCCCGTCACAGATGAAGGCAATTAAAGCGCAAGTCAACACGTTTTCCCCCTCTTCCAAACTTTTGTTGTGTGATTTTCTTTCCCCTCTTTCTCAGTGCTTCTTTTAATTGTCACGCTCCCCCGAAATGCCAGACTCCCACAGTAGAAAAAAAAGGAAGGGAGGAAAAAAGAGGAAAAAAAAGAACCCGTTTCGTAAGCCGGCAAAGATTCTTTGCTCTCTTGTCAACACTTCATACACGCAAAAACTCCTCCTTCTATCAGAAAAACTTAAAACCTGTGTCACACACAATGCCCTCGCTCGATATACTGCAATGAAATGCAAATGCCGATATCTAAGGGAGTTGTGCGTGAGGTCTGGTTTTAATTTGCCGAAAGAAAGAGCGGTTTCTCTTGGGGGTACTTTGCTTTGGCACTAGTAAACTCCGAGATGCGAAAGATGCTGAAGTTGTTTTTGGTTGACAATGCGCCTTTTTATTTGTGTTCTCTCTCTTTCTTTCTCTCTCTCTCAATTACTCTGTTTCTGCCTGATGCCGTGTTTAGATCAAATCGGCCACGTTCATGGGCATCTCCTCGATCTGGGTGCTGTAAAACTGCTCAATCTCACGCATCATGCGCACATCCTCGGCAGTAACGAAGTTGATGGCAACACCCTTACGGCCGAAACGACCACCGCGACCAATACGGTGGATGTAGTTCTCACGGTTGGTAGGCAGGTCATAGTTGATGACCAGCGACACCTGCTGGACATCGATACCACGGGCGAGCAGGTCGGTAGCGATGAGCACACGCGACGAGCCGGAACGGAACTCCTTCATGATCAGGTCACGTTGGGCCTGATCCATGTCACCGTGCATAGCCGAGACGGTGAAGTCGCGCTGGGTCAGCTTCTCAGTGAGCCAGTCAACCTTGCGACGGGTGTTGCAGAAGATGACGGCCTGGGTAATGGTGACCGTCTCGTACAGATCGGAGAGAGTGTCCAGCTTCCACTCCTCCTTCTCGACAGCAATGTAAAACTGCTTAATACCCTCCAAGGTAAGCTCGTCCTTCTTGACCAGAATGCGGACGGGGTCGCGCATGAACTTGGTCGTGACCTCGAGGACATCCTGAGGCATGGTGGCCGAGAGCAGGACGACCTGGGTGGACTGAGGCAGCAGTTGGAAGATGTCGTAGATCTGCTCGGTGAAACCACGCTGCAAAGGGTGTTAGAATATCATGCCACTGTGGCGCATTTTTGGGCATGTGAACCACAACTTACCGAAAGCATCTCGTCGGCCTCGTCAAGGACGAACATCTTCATGGCGTCGGTCTTGAGGAAGCGACGCTGAATCATGTCGTGGACACGGCCAGGGGTACCAACGACGATCTGAGGACCCTCCTGGAGGGCCTTCATGTCCTCGCGAACACTGGTGCCACCAATGCAGGCATGACACTCAACGTTCATGAAGTCGCCAATGGCGACGACAACCTTCTGGATCTGCTGGGCCAACTCGCGGGTCGGGGCCAGGATGAGGGCCTGGCACTGTTTCAGGTTGGGGTCGATCTTCTGCAGGACTGAGATGGAGAAGGTGGCTGTCTTGCCAGTACCGGATTGGGCCTGGGCGATGACATCGTGGCCTGGTGTTGTCAGCATTGTTTTTCAAGTTCTTTGTTAAAGAGCGGCTTCTGCTTACCCTTGATGACAGGCATGATAGCCCGCTGCTGGATAGCAGACGGGCGCTCGAAACCGTAGGCATAGATACCTGTGAAAAGTTAGCACGGCGTCGTCACCGACTTGTTATTGGGTGTTCCTACCGCGAAGCAGCTCAGGCTTCAAATTCATCTCATCAAACGAGTCGACGGTCTCATCGTAGTTAGACTCGATCTGTCCTGTATTGCATTGTCAGCAGCCAAGTCCGGATCGCGAGTGATAGAATGGCATAGGGCAGCATGGAAAGATTGGGCGGGGGGACGCGGGGCAGCTCTCTGGACAGCAGCTATCTCGGTGAGGGAGCGCGAGGGGCATCGCGGGTAGACAAAAAAAACAACAACAGATGACAGCAACAATGTAGAACATACCCTCAGGGACATCCTCGAGACCCTTGTCGGTAGCCATGATTGCGATGTGGTGACGATCAAGTTGATTTCCAGATCCAAGCCCGGCTTAGATCTAGAAATGCAGTCGCTGAAAGCGGTTGATGGTGGGGCAACGAGAAAAAAATCCGCAGGTCGGCTCAAGCCGAGGGACCGCAGAAAATGGACGAGATCAAGAAAAAAAGATTACAGCGGTGAAGAAAAAAATAGATCCAGTGTTCCCAGTGTACTTCAACTGAGAACGAATGAATCTATGATCGTCGTGGCTATCGTGGCTGTTTGTTCTCGTCAATGTGGGTGTGGGCGAGAAGCAAAGGAAAGAGCCCGGGGGAAGGGTGGGAAAATATCGAAATTTATGAGCGCCTCAGGCAGCATCATCCCATCCCCCGCCCACACACTTGCGCACACGAGAGAGCGCACACACACACACACACACACACACACACATCCATTGATGTGTCCCCTGCTGCCACACACAAAGTCGCGGTGGGGCAATTTTTTTCACGCCGCTCGTCCACGGTTTTTTGGGGCCCAGCAGGGACCCGGACCCGGACCCCGGACCCTTTGGGCTTCTCTACGGCTTGCAATTGGGGGCTTTAGCAGGGTTCATGTCTCTTCTAGGGTTGTTTCTCTGTGGTCCCCTCCCATCTTCGGTTTTCCTCGGTGGCCATTCGTCAGTGCCCAGTGCTTAGTGCCTGTCGCCACACAAGCTGTCGTCCAGGTTTTCCAGCCCGAGTTCCAGTGCCTGCAGCCAGCCCGTGGGCCTGAAAGAATATTCCATGCAAGTCACTTGTACTGATTCCACGGCCACTTTTGTGCCACTGGTACTTTTGACTGCTTCTCCGTCACTTGGCATCACAGGCCATCTCAACTTGGGACGTTTCGGGCTCACCAACCGCCCCCTGAGCCCGACTCAGACCCGTTCCCGAGGCAAGGTATGGCCCTCATCTCACTTAGTCACCTTCAGATGATCTTGGCTGCTTGGTGTTTCGTTCGTGATGCTCTTGTCTTTGATTGAGCCTTCAAGTAAAAGTTTGTCAAGCCCCTCCATTGACCATTCTGTAGGGTTTGGGTCTTGATAAGACCTTTCAATATGACTGTCCTCCCATATTGTTACCCTATCAACGTGGTCGACGAGGCCAATGGTACGCCGACCATCCCGCCGCATCCACTCGGCATCAAACCACTGGGCAACAAGTACTTCTGGGATGGCCAAGATGCTCGCAAGTGCTTGGGGTTGCTGCAGGTGCTGCCGGACGAGGTGATCATGCAGATGCTCGAGTTCCTTGATCCGAAGACTTTAAGGCTGCTGGGCTACACGTGCCGTTTCCTCTTTGCCTGCTGCATGTCGGATGACTTGTGGAAGACTGTCTTTCTCGAGTGAGTAGTTCCTGAGTTGTAAGCCTGGACGTCAATGTAAGCATGACGGCCAAGGCTTCATTGTAGCAGCTGTTGACGGTCTCCCAGGTCTGAACTAGGCAGGAAGTCGTCCTTCCAGTGGCGTGGCTCATGGCGAGCAACCTTCTTGAATCAATCCCAGGAGCAAATTCCTCAGATAGATTGCAGCAATGTTTTCTCTGACCTGCTGCACCGTCCATTTGTCTGCAGCAAGGTGCCTTTAGAGCTTTTCACCAAGAACATCCCAGCTGCCAACCAGATTGACCGGTTGGAGGACATGTCATATGAAGAGTTTGCAGCCAACTGGAGCAAGAAGCCCTTCATCCTGACTAAGAATATCACGGCATGGCCAGTGACGAGCCAGTGGACGCTAGATACTCTGCTCCAGCAGTACCCCGACGTCGTCTTCCGCGCCGAGGCAGTCGATTGGACGTTCAAGACATACTACGACTACCTGAAGAACACCAACGACGAGAGCCCGCTGTACCTGTTCGACAAGAAGTTCGCCGAGAAGATGGGACTAACCATCGGCAAGGACCTTCCCGGGGCAGCGTACTGGAAGCCGGAATGCTTCGGCCCGGACCTTTTCGAGCTGCTAGGCGCCGAACGGCCAGCACATCGCTGGGTCATCATTGGTCCTGCGCGCAGCGGCTCGACATTCCACAAGGACCCCAACGCGACGAGCGCTTGGAATGCCGTCATCCAGGGCGCTAAGTACTGGGTGATGTTCCCGCCGTCGGCGCAGGTGCCTGGTGTGATTGCGTCGCAGGACGGTAGTGAGGTGACGAGCCCCCTGAGCATCGCCGAGTGGTTACTGGTCTTCCACCGAGAGGCTCGTAGGACGCCTGGCTGCCGGGAGGGCATCTGCCGTGCGGGCGAAATCCTTCATGTCCCGAGCGGTTGGTGGCATCTGGTCGTCAACTTGGAGGACGGCATCGCGCTGACGCAGAACTTTGTGCCCGAGGCGCATCTGAGCAGTGTGCTATCGTTCCTGAGGGACAAGCCTGAGCAGATCTCAGGCTTTCGTAGGGATATTGAAAATCCGTATGAGCTGTTTGTCGAGCGGCTGCGTCAGGAGAGGCCGGAGCTGCTCGAGGAGGCTTTGCGGCAGTTGGGCGGCAAGAAGCGGCGGTGGGAGAGCATTGTGAACGGCGACGACGGCGAGGGCGAGGGACAGCCTCAAAAGAGCGGGTTCAGCTTTGGGTTTGGGTTTGGCGACGACGAGCTTGAGGAAGAGATACCCTGATCTCGGGATGTTTACTGCAGTTGGTCTTGTCTGTATAGTGCTATCTCTCTGTACATTGGTCTGTACAAACACATCAATATATCCTTTCTTTTGCTTTCCTGGTTTGACTCCCTCGATCATCATCAGCCTCATGATTCCTTTCGTCCATTGAAACCTAAATCCGACGGCATGCCCAACGACCAACTGTCTCGAAGGATGTTGTCTTTGTCTTTGTAGCCCCCTCCCTTTTTTTTTTTTTCCTTACACGGGGGGGGCCACGGAGCACAGGCTGGCCCAAACAGTGAGAAAAGCAAGGACGTGGACGGCTCCTGCGGCGCCAAACAAGCATGATTGGGTTGCAGCGCAGGAAGGCCCAACGAGCCGGCCAATCAGGGGGGCGGCGGGGTCCCAACCGACACAGTGAGCGTGTGGGAATTTACTGTACATGGGCACCGACTCTGGTAGTGCTGGGCCAGTCAAAGAGGTGTCAAGACAGCCAAGGGGAACAGACCCCGCAGTTTTCCCCCCTTTGAACCACCAAAACTCCACTCCCTCTCCACACTTCACCCAAGCAGTACAGCAGCAGCGCAGCACCGCGAACAGCAAGCCAGCAACTGACCGCCGGCAGGAGCCCCTCAGGTCATAAGAGATTGAGAGAAGTCCAGGAAGCAGCAGCGACTGAGGCAACCGCAGACCGACAGCTCATCCATCTGCAGCGGCAGGCAGGCTTTAGGCGGGGCTCAGTGGGCGCCAGGCGGCTGACAGTTGACAGCACTGGCAATCTTTGACAGCCCAGGCCCATTCATATCTCAGGCCCAGGCTGAGGTCCAATCTCAAGCAGGCAAATCTGACGACCTCCCCGTCCCCGCCGTCCCCATCCCCGTCCCCGCCGCCCCGACCTCGATCTGCTTGGCTCAGCTGCCTGAACTCGACTTGCCTTCAACTTCTTCAAACGCTATCTTCGCCTCTGTCTTCGTGTGCGTCAGCTCGCAGGTGCAGTCTGCATTGCTTACCGCACTTTTGCTTCCCGTCTTTTCTTTCTTGGTTTTTGCCTTCAATTCGATCCCTCCGTTGACTTCGACCAGCACAGCTCAACAACAGTTGACTAAGCTACAACAGTCAACAAACACCTGACCCCAAACAACACAACAACAACAACAACAACAACAACAACAACACAAAAAAAAGCAAACACCACGCTCGCGTTGTATACCTGCTCCAGTCCCTCGTCCTGACCAAACCACCTAGAACGAGGTTAAAAGCAAGCTCACGCCCTCAGGCCCGTCAGCTGCATCGCATCACATCGCATGCTGGCGACCTCTTCCTCCTGGGTATGACAACATGCTGCCGGCGGCCGCCACTGCTTCAAGCCCCGTACCTCCCGTACCCGTGACTCTCGACCGGCGCATCCGCATCGTGTGTGTTGGCCTGCTGCCGGTATCGCTCTGAAGCCCCGTTCCTGCTGCCAGCTCACCCGCTTTTGCCGGACAAACCGTCTTTCTATTGCCTGCACTGCAGGAATAAACCCCGACCTTTCTTTACATTTCTACTTCCCACACTTCGACGAAGCTCGCCGTGTTTTCGCTCGTCGTCTTTAATCGATATATACCATCGTTCAATATATACTTCTAGCTACTAGCCCAATACCTACCATTTTCCACTCACCGACATGGTCTCCGACGAGACGTACGAGCTCTGCCTGCCCATCCTCCAGGACCCGAACCTGGACGACGAGGAGAAGACGGACAAGCTGGAGGAGCTGCTGAAGGAGAAGACAACACTCTCGGGCCAGGCGCTAGAAAATGCCATTCTCGACGCCCTGTGGCGCTTCCGGGACGGCGGTACCAATGCTACATCACCGCCCGCCATCCGGCACTCCATCCTGCGTCGGCCGTCCCCTGCCCCTTGGCGCGGCTCCGGCACCCCTGTCTCGGGCTCTCCCCGCCTCGGCGTCAGCCCGCTAGCTCCCCCGGGCTTCATGCACTCCCCCTTCGGCCGTACTAAGTCGTCGACTGCGTCGCCGTTTGGCTCCCCGCGCCCGTCACCTCGCCTAGCCTTTGCCGCTCCAGTACCTCATAGTCCCAGCCTCAGCGCCTACCAGTTTGCGACTGATGTAACTCCGTGTCAAGAAGTTTTTGGAGACTACCAATCGGACAATGTCGACTGGCTGGTTAGCGACGACGCCGTTAGTGTGACGTCGTCAATTGGCGGGACATTCAGCACAGGCGGCGGTCTGGGCACGACCAGCACGGGCACGACGTCCAGCGCCAGCGCTAGCGGGCTCAACGTCGCTGCGCCCGAGTTCGTCTCCCAGCGCGACCAGCACCAGCAGCAGGCCGACATGACGCCGCTCGACATGCTGCGGTCGATCCTCGGGCAGTCTAAGACCGACGAGGAGATCACGCAGGCGCTGGCCGCGCACGGGTATGACCTGGGCGCGACCATCTCGGCGTTTATGGAGCAGCAGCAGCGCGAACAGCAGTCTGAAGCAGACGGCAAGGAGGGTAATAATAATAATAGCAGCGGAAGCAGTAAAGTGGTGATTGGTAAGGCCATGACGCCGAATGGCCGGCCGGCCACCCCGGCCGAACAGCCGCCCACCAAGACGGGCGTCATCTGCAAGTACTTTTTGTCGACGGGGCAGTGCCTGCGGGCGGACTGTCGGTTTAGCCATGACCTGAGCAGTCACCTGTGCAAGTACGTGACGTAGGGGTGTGACTTTGAGGGTAGTGTACTGACCAGTGTAGGTACTGGCTCGCCGGCAACTGTCTCGCTGGCAACACATGCATCTTCTCGCACGACCCGGCCCATCTGATTAATCGGCTCAATATGGACGGCACGAATACTCCCCCGACGCAGCATGCTACGGTCAACCTGCAGGACTATAACAGCTTCCCGGCGCTGCAGCCTGGTACCCCTGAGCAATATGGCTATACGCTCGGCGTGGCCCCTCCCCCTGGGTTCCGGCACCATGAGCGTCCGCGGTCGCGGCCTGGCAGTCGGCACCAGCACAAGGATAATAACAGCAACAATAATAATACTCAAACGGCGCCGTCTCCTGATGATGCCGATGCATTCCCATCGCTCGGCTCGGTTGTCGTTAAACAGGCCAAGAAGCACGGCAAGCGCGGCGGACATGGTCATGGTTCTGGGAGTTCGAACAAGGATGGCAACTCCTCTGGTGCGCCGACCACCCTTGCGGATGTGGTCAAGATGTCGCCGTCGCCGAGTCCGTCAGCGCAGAAGAGCAAGGCGGCACGGAATGGCGGTAACTCCGCGGCGGCAAGCACTAGGAACAGCATGGAGAACAGCGCCGCTGCGCAGGCGATCCCTCCGCCGAAGCATATCCCATGGCTGGAGACGGGCGAGCGCGCGAATAAGGGGTATCTGAAGGCGCGCGCGGAGGCGATTAAGCATGGGGGTTTGAGGAACAAGTTCTTGCAGAGGTGCGTTCCCACTCTATGACGAACTAAATGGCCAAGTACTAATGGCTGTCTAGCGCCGCCCAAGCCTGGAACCGCAACGACGCCCGCGCAGCCAAGGCCCTATCCCTGCGCGGCCAGTCGGAAAACGACCTCATGCGCAAGGCCCACCGTGAAGCCGCCCGCCAGCTCTACGAAGACCGCCACAAGCCCGTCGACCAGTGCCCCGAGATCTACGTCGACCTGCATGGCCTGCATCCCGAAGAGGCCGTCGAGTACCTCGAGAGCGTGATGACCGAGTGTTCTGAGGAAACCAGGCCTATCTATGTTATCACCGGTACCTCGGGACCTACTGGAGGGGGAGGGAAGGGCAGTGGAGGGGGGAAGGATAAGGTTGGTAAGGCAGTCAGGAATTGGTTAAATGAGTGGCGGTTTGCTTGGAGGGAGTTTGCTGTGCCTGGGGATGGGAGGGGCACTAATTCTTCGGGTGCCGGAGCTGGGGCGGGGAGTATATTGGGGGTTGATGCGAGGAGTTGGGATAGAGGGCTTTCGGTGGATGGGGGGAGTTTTAAGAGGAGGGAAAACGATACTGAGGGGAATGGGGAGGTTAATAATAAGGAGAAAGAGAAAGATAAGGAGGAGGGGAGTCAAGTTCAGGATTTGCTGGCGCAGGGGGTCGAGATTGGAGAGGGGAAGGTTAAGCTGCTTGTGAGGGATACGTCCTCGTCGTCGTCGTCGACGACGACGACGACGACGACACATGCAACAGGTGGGGGGAAGGAGAAGGAGGTGTTGAAGGGACCGGCGGGGAAGAAATAGAACCTGGGTTCGATTAGGTTCTGGTGTTGGTGAATGTATGGTCTCGCGACTTTGAAGTACTCTACCCACCTATTGATCAATGATGCTTTAGAGACACTTAACTGCAACCAGGCTTAGATATGGAGTGCGGCCATTGGTCTGTCTGTCTGTTTGTCTGTCTGATCTGGGCAGGGCAGAACAGCGTGCCTTGTGTGAAATGTAGAGAGTGACTGGGCTAAGAGCAGGGGATAAAGCGAGTAATAAGTTTCCATTTTCCTGTCGTATTGTTGATGTGACGTGGTGACGGGAATGGTTGATGGTGATGGAGAGGGGACCCAAGGTAAGGTTATCCTCAAGGGTTCAGGTAAGGGTTGACCTCAGGGTTGGATTGTGAGGTCTGGTTAGAAACAAAGGTTAGGGTTGCAAATTCAACAAGCCAACATGTGATTGGTGCTGCTGCGGGTTCTTCATAATGAGGACAGTGAGCGGACAGTGTGCTTCCAGAGTCTGGTACCTCATCAGGGTCAGCGTTATGATTCTCATGGACGTTTTAGAACGCTGTTTGCTGAGTCCCTTCATAAAAAAATAAGGACCAAATGTACCCGTAGAGTTAACAGTCCTGCGATTTGTCATGCCGATCCCAAATCTGCCAGGCTTCTTCCTGTTGGCCGCCCGTCTTACACATAACCATCAGTACCTACACCTCCGTAAGCACACAGTGTGAATTGTTGACACCAAAGACTGCCGTCGCTCTGGACCAACGCGACTCGACCCGACATCCGCGTAATCCGCCCGATGTTGAGATTGACAGACGTCTTGGATCTCCCTTTTCAGACTCGTCCATTCCCAGGCTTCAGTTTCCATGCTGTTTTTTTTTCCCAAACCTTCTCCATTCATCGTCGCTCGCTCTCTCCGGATTCTATTTTAATTATTGAAGACGCTCTTTTGAAAGGAGTTGGCTTCGAAAAACAGGTGCTTTGAATAAAGGGGGTCGATGACCTAACCGTGATGTTGAGGTAGCGGCTTGGTTCAACAACTTCACTCGTACTTTGTTCGACTTCCGAGGGGTTTGACTCCTCCCGACGACCTCTCCCGTCACAGCGATACAGATCTCGTACCCCAATCCTACGTCTCACGATTCTCCCTACCAGCTCTCCTCGTAACGACACACAGAACAGCCCGCCAAATTGGCCCCCCTCTCATCCTCCTCCCGCCCGCGCCCCCGGCACCCCCTCACAAGCCACATGCGCTCCCCTTCCCTTCCGAGCCCCGGGCCGGGAGCACCAGCTCCTTTCCAATCGGCTTCCCCTGCTGACAGCACCTGCACGACCTTATCAACCCCCCGCCTTTCAGGCGGTGCCCCCTCAGCAATCAACGCCCGCCGACTGTCCTCCTCGACAACAAGGACCTACCCCAGCGTTTACAGCTCCTCCACAAGGAATGTCAATCTCAAGCAACTGGTCGGGAAGTTGCTCGCCACAGGGCAGAAACTCGCCCGCCGAGCGTGGCGCTCGTACCTGGCGCTGCCGCTCTTCCCGCACCGGGTGGGCGTCACAGTCGCTTTGGGGCTGTTGGGGACACTGGCTATCGTTATTCTCCTCTACTCGCATACCATTTTCACGACCGTTCTACCGTCTGTGGCACACAAGTGGCGGGGTTCTCCACTCGGCTGGGTGACTCTGTTCCTACTAACCTCCGCGACCGCCTTCCCCCCCATAATAGGCTACTCGACCTGCGTGACAGCTTCAGGCTTCATCTACGGCTTCCCCGGCGGCTGGCCTCTCGCAGCCCTTGCGACAATCGTCGGGAGCGCGGGGAGCTTCGTGGTGAGCAGGGGCGTGGCGGCAGGGTATGTGCAGAGGCTGGTCGGAGGCGATGCGAGGTTTGTCGCGCTAGGGCAGGTACTGAGGCGGGATGGGATCGGGGTGTTGGTGATGGTGAGATTGTGTCCACTGCCGTATAGTTTGAGTAATGGGTTTTTGGCGACTGTGGGACGGGTGGGGGTCGGGAGGTTTGTTGTGGCTACGGGTTTGGCGACGTAAGTTTCTTTATTCTCTCTCTCTCTCTCTCTCCCTCTTTCTCTCTCTCTTACTTTTGTTTGTTGAATGGGAGTAGCGTGCTGACCCCGGGGATAATAGGCCTAAGCTGTTGATACACACCTTCATCGGCTCGCGCCTGGCGCTCCTCGCCGAGTCAGGCTCCTCCATGACCCTCACCGACCGGCTGCTCAACTACGCGTCTATGCTCATCTTCGGCATACTGGGCGCCACCGTGGGGTGGATCATCTACCGTCGCACTATGCAGCGCGCAGCCGAACTTTCTGCTTCCCAAAACCAAGCAACGGATTCCTTGTTGGGCAGACGCTCAAATTATGCAGATGATGAGGACGATGACCCGGAGGGAGTGTTTGGCGATGTTGAGCAAGGGGTGATTGATGCGAATGGAGAGATGACACATCCGGATCAGTTGGATGTGGGGAATATGGGGGAGGATGATATTTCGCTTTGGGATACGGCGGGGCAGGAGGATTGGGGGGATGAGGAGCAAGGGGTTGGGAAGCATGGGAGGAGGCAAGGGAGCTTGGATTGAGGGTTGAAGGTGAGGAGGAGAAAAGTTGGGGTTGGTTCATCGCTGGAGGGAGGGTAGCTCCCGTATGGGGAGTTAATATATTCCGAAGAGTCAAGTTGTTTACTTTTCCCTCCAGGCCAGTTGTTAGTTTGGCCAAGGAGGAGTACTTGCAAAAGTGTCTACTCTTCTCTCTCTGTCTATACTTTGTGCAGAGGATTGGGCGGCGTTGGTCGGGAACGTTTTGGGCTTTTTTTAAACCTTTTGGAATTCTAGAGATGTTGATAGACGGGTTTGCTGGGCTGGCAGTTTAGTTTATATATTGGGTTTTCAAAGTATCCATCAATACCTGTTGGAAACCTAAGTGCTTCTTTTTTGTGTCTTTTTTTTTTTTTTGGCTGGGTCACAACACCATCACAGCGTGGAACGTAAGCCTTCCAGTGTGCCAGTTGCTAACATTATCCCATTCGCTGTCATTTCATATAAAATATCATTATCGAGTACAAGCGTTCATAATCTATACCATAGGTATCCCCAATGAAGTGGACAAAACCAAGACATATCCCCCAAGCCCAAACTCCTCGCCGATACCAGCGATGCCATACCATTATGTCAGGATGTACCATACCTTAACGTACCAAGTCAAACCATTGCCAAGCCAACCGCCAAACCAACATCATAATCATGAGAAGAAAGCAAGCCAAAAATGAAGGGGGGAAAAAAAAATTACTGCTTCTGACCCTGTGCCTGTGCCTGTGCCTGGCCATAGAATCTCGCCATAAACTCTATCGCCTGCTCCATTGAGTACCCAATAAAAACGGGGCCGGAGATGTTAAACACAAATTGCGGAATACCAGCATTCTGACTGGCAGGCGTCGCCGGATCCGGCATTGTAATAAACGTCGGCTGCGGGGTGCTCGACGAGCGCTGCTGTGCCTGTGCCTGCTGGGGTTGTTCCTGAGCAGACGGAGTCGCCTGTGGCTGGGGAGCAGGCTTCGGCTCAGAAGGGGGATGCCCCTCAGACTCGCCAAACCCCAGCTTGGTATGATCAAAAGGACATTTCCTCGGCGCCTCCGCCGCCTGCCCAGCCTCAACCGGCCTCGGTACCGATGGCTCCCTCCTTGTCGAGACAGGCACCGAAATGCCCCATGGCCGGCTAGGCGACTCCCCAACACGTACCTCCCTTAACGGCCGATCAAACCTGCTCTCCCTCACCTCCCCCTTGTCTTCCCCTTCCCCAGGAACCCCTGGCTCCACGCCCTTAGTCCACTCCTCCACCCTCTTAGCCCTCTCCCCAGCCGAGGCCTTCACCTTCTCCGACAGATCCTCATCCGAATCCCGCTGCGGCAGCATCGGCCGATGCAGCTGGCTCAGGTCCCGCACCATGTTGACCAAATTACCATACTTGGCGTCCAGCTTGCGGATCTGTTCCTCGTTGCGCTGGTACCGGCGCAGGCACACCTCGTGGCTGCGCGGCAGCTTGTGCTTGTGGGCCTCGACGTAGCGCGCGATTTCCTCGGGCGAGTGCTTATCGAGGAAGCGGATGGGGCATTTAGAGGGAGAGGAGGCGGATGGTAAAGAGGGGTCCAAAAGAGCGGCACATATGGGATCGGAAGGGGAGTGGGGGATTTGGGGTTTGAGGTTACTTGCGGAATCTTGAAGGGTGTCGGGCTGCTCAGCTGGAGGGGGAGTAGTGCTCTCTGGAATGGAAGGCTTGGAGAAAGGACAGGCCAGGGCGCCCTTTTTGCCCTCGACTGTAAAGTCCTTTTCCAAAACGGTCGACGAGAGGGTAGGCATCTCGGTGTCAGCGGGCACGGAGTCCAGGCGGCTGTCGTCGCGCTCGGTGAGAGCAATGGCAGAGACCAGCTTCTGGGCGGCGCGGCGACCTTCACGGATTAGCAAAGCGAGCTCGTGCTGGCTGGTTCCCGGGCGACGCTTGGGCAGGGGGACCGTCGACGACGCCGACGGCGGCTGCTGCAGGTCTGGGAGCTGGAGACGCGCTAGAGTCTCGGAGATCTCGGGGACTGCAGGAGCATACTTGTCCGCGAGCAGTTGATACTGCCAGCTAGTTAGCTGGGCTCAGATGAGATGAGGGATAAGCAAGGTCAGAGTGAGAAAATGTTCAATCAGTCTCGTAAGTTTCTCCATTTGCTCTCGAAAGAGCTCCAGATCTAGAGCTAAAAAATAAGAGATCATCATGTAAAAGGGAAAAATAAAAAAGAAATAAGATGTAAAATTAAATGAGGGATTGGGGGGGGTACCTGCTCATGTGCATAGCGCAGCTTGTGCTCGAGAATGGTCTTGAGATCGACCAGCGACTGCACCTCGTCGGCAAGCGCCACAAACGACTCAGCCAGAGTCTGCACGAGGTGGAAGGTGTTCATGACAGATGCGGGAGGCTGGCGCGGGCTCAGCCATTGGCCGTTTCACTTCATTTGTCAGCGTGTGACTGCCCGCCCTCCCCTCTTGTGTTTGTTTTGGGGAGAAAGAAAGCCGCGGCTACAGGAGAGTGCAGGATTTTAAGCAGTTTTTCCGATCCGCAAGGCTGCGGGGCTGGAGCGTGACCGTAATTACGCGAGTTACGAGAGGCGATGTTGAGGTGGTTGCAGAGGGCCAGCTGTTAGAGAGTATTCAACGAGTATCTTGGGTCAAGAAGGGTCGTAAAAAATATATATTACATTTCTATTGATACTTAAAGATGGAAATTTCTATAATATCTGGTTTTCTTGACTTGCAGAGTTGAGGGCTTGGCACTCTATCATCACCAGTGCCAATACGGCGTACTTACAAATGGGCGCTTGTTCAGCAAACGGATAATCTTGGAGGGGGTACGCCAGCGGTGGGGCATCCCAGCAGCGGGGCAGTAGTTCGGACGACTTCACTCAATCAGCTTCACAGATTGATCTGTTGAGAGAGGATGCTGAGTCTCTCAATTGGCTTTCATAAATTTAGAAAAAGAAAGCCCTAGATACATATACAATCTCTGCTTGCATAGAATTTTTTTTTAGGTTTTTTTATCCGAAATCAGTACCAGTTTCTTGAAAATATCTCCTGATGTCCTCTCCTCTTCCCCTCGTCGTGACATGGTGACCTTGAATTCCTCCGACTCTCCTTCCCCTTGTCGCGTGGCTATAAATCAACAACCCTTGGCTTACGTATCCCTTAAAGGCGGCAGTTTACATCAGCTTTGTTAACATAAATCCAGCCCCCCAATTACTATCGCCAGTTCAACATCTTAAACTTCATCCTCAACCACCACAATGAGTAACCTCAACCTCCCCGACCTCGCCCCAGCCGAACTCGTCAGCCGAACCTCCCATGTGGTGCCCGGTAAGCTCTCCTTTCTCCCAAAGTCTCATATTCAACAACACCCTTACTGACGGTCTTGCCCAGGCCAACTTCACATAACAGAACTCTTCTTCCGTGTCCCCCTAGACCACCACAACCCCTCCTCCAGACCCCGTATCACCCTCTTCGGCCGACTCGTCCGCAAAAATGAGCGCCCCGTCGACCCTTCCAAACCCTCTCCCACAAACCTCCCCTACCTCGTCTACCTCGAAGGCGGCCCCGGCTTCGGCAACCGCCAGCCGCAGCACCATCCCTTAACGTCCGCAGCCCTCGCCCGCGGCTACCAGGTCCTATACCTCGACTACCGCGGCACGGGGCTCTCGACGCCGGTAGATGTGTATACAATCGCTCCAGAAAGGCTTCCGGCTGAGATTGCGCCTGGAGAAGAAGACGCTGTTCGCGTGGCGACGTACTTGTCTCTGTTCAGAGCCGATTCCATAGTGCACGATCTCGAGGCTGTGCGGCTCTATTTGACACAATATGCCGAGAATAAGAAGTGGTCGCTCCTAGGCCAATCCTTCGGCGGGTTTGTGGCGACAACCTACCTATCCTACTATCCTTCTTCCCTAGCAGAGGTGTTCATAACCGGCGGTCTGCCCCCCATCAAACGGACCGCCCATGAAGTCTACACGCGCACGTTTGCCACGCTGCGCAAGCGCAATGAGGCGTACTACAAGAAATTCCCCGAGGACGTGAAGCGAGTCAGACGTATCGCGTCGTTTATACATAACTCTGACCCGACGACACACTCAATTCCTCTACCGGCGGGCGGTAGGCTAACTGTACCGGGCTTTTTGGCGTTAGGAATCGCGTTTGGCACGCATGGCGGGCTGGATGAGGTGCATAATACCGTGTTGCGGATGGATACGGACTTAGAGATATTTGGTTTTTTGACGCGGGGGACGTTGGCGGCTGTGGAGGCGGGGATTGCGTGGGAGGGACATCCTATTTACGCACTTTTACACGAGTGTATCTACTTTGCTAACCCCCCAACAAGGAGAGCTGAAGTGGGGGAGGAAGAGGTGCCTGAGCCGGGATGGGCAGCCTACCAAGTCGGCGCTCTAGACCCCCATTTCTCGTGGCTTCGCGGCGACGAGGCCATTTCCTCCCTCTTATCATCCCCTGAAACGCCCCTCTATTTCTCCGGGGAGATGATCTTCCCCATCCACATCTCCTCCTCTCCTTCTCTGTCCCCCTTCTTGGGGGCCGCCAACCTCCTTTCCAACCCGCGCTCCCCTATCTTCTCATCTGCCTTCCCCCTCTATGACCCCGGCCAACTCTCTAACAACCGCGTCCCGGTCTACGCCCTGTCTTATATAGAAGACATGTACGTCGACATCTCCTTCGCGCGGGAGACGGCCTCGATGATCAAGGGGATCAAGGTGTTGGAGACGAACGGGTTCTATCATGATGCGGTGCGGTCTAGGGCCGAGGAGGTGTTGGGGCTGTTGTGGAGGTTGAGGGATGATGAGGTTGATTAGGTGTTTGATTTGCCTCTTGATGTCGAGGATGAGGAGGACGGGGGGAGGATAGGGGAAAGGTTTGGCGGCGTGGTAGGGAGGTTGAAAAGGTTGGTCAGGGAAGCGACAAAGGCTACTTTGGGGAAGGGATATGAGGAGGGCGTTGAAGAGGATGGGGATGGCGGGGAGGTTGTTGTGAGGAGGAGGGGGAGTGAGGTTGTGGAGAGGATCGTGGTGATAGAGAGGAGGTTTGATTAGGGTAGGGGGCACCTACTGAGAGAGCGAGATAGCGTTGTCTGTGTTAAGATGGTCCCTTCTTTTTACTTAATCTGAGGTCTATATTCCCGGATTCTCTCGTCTGTGCCAGAGGATACACTCACCCATCCCTTTAGCTCTCTACCCTACTCTATATACCCCCTTTTACACCCTCAACCTCAACTAGACTGCTTCCTAATCACCATCTACCCGTCATACATCCCTTTCTGTTCATACCTCTTGATGCCTCAGCTAGGAACCCTCCTAAACACTAAATCCCCATCTGCTCCCCCCTTTTGTTCCCTCTCCTTCAAAATCCAACTCGCATCCCCCACAAACCTCGCCCCCGTCCCATCCTTCCTCCTCCCGTCCGCCACCACCCAGCAACCCCCTGCATCGACCTTACTCCTTACCTTCGCCGCTCCATCGGGTCGCTCGCTCTCTCCCTCGATGTACATCGCCTTTGCCGTCGCCGCGCCAAATAAGTTCGGCCAGGCCCTCGCCCCAACAACCCCCGGGGGATGAAGAAGTTTGGTGAAAGGAGATGGGGTCCGCACGCCGAGGGCTATGACGGGGGCAGACCCGAATGGGAGGGTTGCCGGGTCGAGGGGGCGCGGGAAGGGAGTTGCCCAGATGTTACGGCGGTATGGAGGGGCGGGAGGGGTGAGAAATTGGATGTAGCTTTGCTGGAGGAGGAGGTCGCCTTGGGGGTGGGGTGTTCTCCTCCTCCTCCTTCTTCTGATGTATCGGGGGCTTTGCTGTTTGACGGAGACGAAGAGTTGGGGCGGAAGGAGGAGATAAAGGAGGCGAGCGAGTCGGATTGGGAGGGGGAGAGATGCAGATCGGGGTCGAGCGAGAGCAGGCCTTGTTTGGGGCCCCAGCCGCCGCCGCCGGATACTGGACGTTACATTAGTCTCATTCTCTTGTAGAGTGGAAGGGGGAATAATCGAAGAGATGGGAATAAAACCGGGAATAGGGGAGAGACTTACCAACCCTCCTCAACTGCGCCCCACAACTCACCAATCTCGCCATTTGGTCCGCCGTCTTCCCCGCTAAATCCCCCTCCTCCCGCGGCACATACCTCTCTCTAAAGTCAATCTGCTCTAACATCGGCAGCCCAGCCTCGACATACCTTTTCGGGATCACCAACGCCCACACGTCCATCCCCGTCAGCTCCCCCTCATCGCTCGTCCAACCTTGCTTCTCCCTCTCCTTACGTCGGTGTTCCAACAGCGCCGGAATAACCTCCTCCAACTCCTTCGACGCCGGCACAGCCTGCCCGTCAACCTGCAGCTCCTTGAGGATATTCCCCAGCGCAGAGACGACCTCTCTCGCCGGGGTGAGGGGTACCAGCGGCGCAAGAAGAGTGCTCACGCTGTCCTCGCGATACTGTAGCATCCTTTCCGTAAACACAATCTCTTGCTTTCTTTTTTGCCCGGGTACAGTCCGCTCCAGCAAAGTGGGAACCTCCCCCGGCTGGGACGCCGACCAGCGGGAGGCGAACAAAGTGTACTCCGTTCCTGTGGTGAATATGGTATTCGCCAGCGGCAACTTGACCTTCACATGCCCCGTGTACTCCACGCGGGGAATATGCACCTCCAGATGCGGCGGCTCTTGCCCCGCCTCTCCCTGGATATCCTCCCCCGTCATATCATCCCACAAACCTCCTAACCACCGTCCCCCCATCCACCCCCTAGCCACGCTAACCCCCTCCGCACTCGCCAGTTGTCCCGTCCTCTTCTCCCAAACAGGCACCTCATCCACCACGGCGGCAAGACAATTCACGGTGCACCCTCTCGGCGCCTTTTGCGGGACGCGGCCAGGCACAGCGCCCGATGCTACAATGAGTTTGGCAAGGAAGTGCTCATCCTTTAACCAGTGGGCGAAGGATTGGGAGACGAGCACGATGGCGGCGCGGCGGGAGTGGAAGCGGGTTTGTTCGTCGCGGAGGGCGGGGTCGGAGGAAGAAGGGCCGGCGCCGATGCCGAGGGATTCTTCGAGGAGGGAGAGGGTTGCTTGCTTGGTTTGTCAGCTTCGTCCTTATTTACATTTATTTGACAGTAGATATTGTGACGTTTAGGGAAGGGAAGGAAACTAGAGGGATCAGAAGGAGAAGGAGAAGGGATACGAAGGGAAAAATAAACGGGGAAGAGGTCTTACCTGCAACTCTTCATTTGAAGCCCTCGAAGGGTCGAGGGAGATAGTTGCAGCGGCGAAATTCCTCCTGAGCGAGGGAGAGGGCCGTAAGATGGCCGAGCGTAGCCCTCGGCTTGGTAACGAGCGTCGGAGGGGAAACATTGCTGACAAATGGGAAAGATGGTTGTGATGATGCGGCATGGTGTTGAGCTTGAGATCAATTGAAGTTGGAATGCTTATCGATAAGGGAGCTGATAAGAAGGTGTGAGTGGTCCGTGCAGTGTGACATCATTAGGGTTATATAGGAGAGAGAGAGAGGAAGGGAAAAGGGAAGGGGGGGAGGAGTGGTTTTTAAAAGATTGGGGCTTCTTTAGGGTTGACTGTAGGAGAGGAGGAGGATAAGGTGAGAAAGAAGGGAGAATTAAGATTAGTTTTTTTTTTTTTTTTGGGTTAAGATTTGCTCTCTTTGGATTGCCAAGATACATCAAAACTTTAAACGAGAGGTCTATAGGTATAAAACAGAAAGCCAGCCCTATATGGCCCCTACGCATGATACCCTGCAACATAAATCAAAGATCCCTCCCTAACCTAATAACTCGTCAAGAGTTCGAAGCCCAAACTTATACCCGGTTTTCCTCCGCTAGTCTACCCAAGATAATTAGATAATTCCAAAGACGTCCAAGCCATATTCCATGAGGTATCCTCGTAAATAGCCAACCGGATCTCTCCCTAAATTTTTCATCCTCGCATTGGATCCATCGCTTGTTCTCCAATGATTCCCTCGAGAGCCCTAACTCCTAGAACCAGAAAGCTCACATAACAACGCACTTCTCCTTCTCCCTCTTCCTTCCTCCATACCCAGCATAACCCTGAGCCCCGACCCCCGCCATCCCCGTCCCATCCCCCATAACACTCCTCGGACCTCCAACAACCGTCCCCGTCATCGTATCAGCCACACTCCACCCCGTAACATCCGTCCACACGCTACTCTCTACATCAACCTCCCGTTCTTTCTTCTTCCCCTTCCCTTTCTTCTTCGTCTTACCCCGTTTCGTACTCACGCTCCTCGCTAGCTTAGCCTGACTCCTTGTGCTCCTGTCCCGCCCAACATACGTCCCGTCCGGGTTGACCCATCCGGCAAGTACCGCCGCCGAGGGTTGTTGCACCGGCCCCGCTCCTAATAGCGGTATCGTGCGGGGGGGCAAAGGTGGGACAGGGGGTACGTTATCCGCAGGTGTTGCTTGACGACGGCGGGACGCGGCAGTCGACCGCCTGCTCCCCCTCCGCGACAAGACAGACGGCACGCGGCGTGCAAAGAAGAACCCTCTCCTTCCCCCCGCTCTACTCGCCGTTCCTGTTCTCGGGGTTGTGGCACCGTCAGCACAGCGGCCCCCTGAACCCGTACAGCATTGCCCCTGGGCCCCTTGGGCGCCCGGGAACAATTCCCTCCTCTGTGCCCGTGCCCGCTGTTCCCGTTCAACCTCCCCGCCAAACTCCCCATCTAAGAACTCTGCTCTGCGCTGAGCCATGCCCCGGGGTCGGCGGGGTGTTGGGGATAGGATGGGGGTGTCTGCGCGCTCCAGGAGGGCTGTGGTCGTGTTGATACCTAGCCCGGATGCCGTACCAGGTCTGTCGTCTGACGGACGGGGAGCTGAGTCGAAACCACCTTGGACTCCTTTAGGTGTGGAAATAATCAGGGGCATTGGCTCAGCCGGGGCAATAGATGTGGTTATCGGCAACGGGAGGGCTGAAGCTGGGCGCTGATGCTGGGGAGGGGGGCGGTAAGAAGAGAGTGTTGACTGGGGTCTCCTCCACGCCGTAGGCTCCCCCGTGGTAGGGGTTGCTGCTGGTGGTCGTGGCTGCGTAAGAGCAGCAGCGGGGGAGGAGTTGACCTGGTTGGGCGCCGTAACAGGCGGTGCCGATAGCGGATAGCTTGTGCTCTGGGAGGTTGTTTGGATCGGCCACGTCCTCGACACCGAAAGTCTCCTTCCCGGGAGCTCCTCTCCCCGACTCCCCGGAATTTGGAGGGTCAGCGCAGGAGGCTGCCCCTGGAGAGTGGACACACGCCTAGCTTGCTGACGAGGGGAGCTCGGCGGGGTGCTGTCGTAGATATTCTCCCCGTTCAGATACCGCGGGTCAGTTACCGTCGTAGGCCGCTGTGGTTGAGCCTGGACCTGAGCCTGCTGCCGAACCGGAGCCCTCACTGCCCCTGGCAAAGCCGGTAAAGCAGGCAGAGCCGGCACTGGCGGGACCCCGGGCCCCGGCACCACAGTCACGGATTGCCCCTCCATCGCCGGCATCGAAACCCTATTATTCCCTGTCCCCGGAGCGACGGTATTTGACCTCCTCACCTGCGGCACCATCGAAGCCGAACTATGCCTGTAGGGATGCCTCATTACCTCCTGCTCCTCCATCACCACCCCTCCCACAGCCCCAGCCGGCACAACGGGCGCCGGCACGGATGGGGTAGCAACCGGCACAGCCCCCGTAACCTGCGGCGTAACAACCGGCACCAACTCCGAGACGCCGCCAACCCCAACAGTTCCCTTCTGCATACTCTCCAACAACTTTTTAATATCCACGCCCCTCAAAAACGCCGGCAAATCTCCGGGATCCTCCTTCTGATACGGGGGCGGGGGCGGCACCCAGTTATCTGCATCGCTTTCGTGCGGCGGGTATGGCCGGCCGTCGGCGCGGCGGTAGACGATGTGGTTACCCGCAGCAGACTGATATTGGCGGCGGGTGCGGGCGGCGGCGGTGGCGGCGCGGCGGAGGGTTGGGGCGGTACGGGGGGAGGCGTGTTCGTAGGGGGCATCTAAAGCCTCCTGCTCATCGATGGACTGTTCCTCGGTGTCATCGGTGGCTTGAGTGTCGCTCTGCGAAGCGGGGACGCCGATACGCCTCGGCACGAGGGGGTCATCCGCCACATTATCCGGCAGTGGCGGCGGTCTCGCCGTTGTAGTAGGGGCCAGCCCCCTAGCACGACTCGCCTTCTTCTGTGCCACAGTCCTCCTCCTCACAATCGCAACCTCGGTATCAATATCCCTATGCTCCTCCTCCAGGACTTCAGGCTCCTTCGACCCAACCTCAATAACCATCTCTTTGACACCTCCATCATGCGGGGAATAATCAAAATCCAACACGGTGATCCGCCCCCCGTCAACAAAATCAATCCCCTCCTCCTCCGTAGCACACACATTCGGCACGGCCCCCCGCGCGGCAATGATCAACCTCTCCTTCATGCACGACCCGCCGAAGTCAGCGACGAACTTGACCGTCTGCACACCCTCCAGCTCGGTGATCTTGTACCCCGCAACGAACGTGTTCCGCAGCTTATCACAGAGCAACTGCCACTGCGGGACGCGCGCTGAATCATCGCTATCTTGCTGGGCGCGCGATGAGCGGGAGGAGTGCCGCCTTAGGAGAGTCGAAGCAGTCGAGCTGCCGTCCGCGGAGGGTGTTACCGTCTCGGGCACGGCGTCCAGGTCCTCGGGCACGCCATACAGCCAGACGTCTTTGCCGCTGAAGCCGGCGGAGACGAGCTCGCCGTGGTAGGAGGCGGCGGGCAAAGTGCAGGGGAGGAGCTTGGCCTGGGAGTGGGCGCTGGGTAGAGGGCCGGTGAAGTAAGTCGTGCCGTTGCGCAGGTCGTCGATGCGGACGGCTCGGAAGGTCTCGAAGCTCCGGTCGTAGGTAAATGCCCAGGCGGCCTCCTCATACTTCCCGTCCTGGATCAGCACAGCGTGGCTGCAATCGCGGCTGGTATTAGGAAACAAGATCGAGGTCGTCCACAACGCGCTAATATTGTGATTCGTCAGGTGAGTCGTCCCGGGATCATAGTACGGCGCGGTAATCACCACAGTATGCGGCTGCGACGAGTGTACCGTGGTCCCCAGAATCTGTGTCCCATCAAACGAGAACGCCAGCGCATCCACCGAATCGCACTTCACCGACCTCCTCTCCGTCGGCACATTATTCGGGTTCAGCGACATCACCTCAATGCCCCCCTCATATGCCGCCGCCAGCACCGATCCACACGGCGACAGGGCAATTGTCCTCGGGGGATGATCCAGCAACAGCGACTGCGTGCGCTTGGGAGGCGCCTTGGTTAGGTCATACATATCGACCTGCATCTCGGTCGACAAGACAGCCAGCAAAGACCCCTCATCGTTGATACACGTCGCGGCCGGCCGTCTAGCGATCTTGAACTCGCGCTTCACCGTGATCTCCTCCGTGCGGGCGTCGATGACATGGATCCGCGACGAATTATACGCCAGCAGATGGTGCCCCCTCGGCGAGGCACTGAACTGGATGCCCTCCCCTCCGGGACAGGATGAGCTGCTGATCGAGTTGGAAATGACCCGAATAACCGTCCGGCTCGGACGCAGGTACGCCTCAAACAGGTTGCGCTTGACTTCACGAGCGAACAGTCGTCGTAGTCGCGGTAAGTCTTCGCCAGAAGCCTTCAGTGAACCCTTATGTGCCATGGCATAGGAAGGGCAGCGGGCGAGGTGATGAGCGTAGAGATGGGCCTGCTGGGCGACGGAACGCCATTTCGTGTTGAGCAGGGCCAGCGAGGCAAAGCCGTTGGAGTCGACGGTCTGGAGGATTCTGGGTCGCTAGTCAGCACGGGACATAAACGTAGTGAGAGAGAGAGGGGAGGGGAGGAGGGGGGGGGGGAACCTACTGCTCGATAATCTCGTCCGGCAGCCGGTCGAAGGCAGACGGCCTGCGCTCCTTTTGCTTGTCTTTGCTGTCTCTTAGACAGCCCCCGGGAGCGTCGGGGGCAGAATCGGTCAGCTCCAAGCTGACATCCTTAGTAACGTCGGTGTTACTGTCAGCATCCGCCTCCGACGGCCGTGTGTAGTCGTGGCCGGCATCGACGCCGACAGTATCAGGGGTCGCCATGATAGCTCGTTCCGGTTCACGATCGCCGGGGCTCGGGGTTAAGTATGGATCTGGAGAAGTGTAGGCGGGTCATGGCCTGTGGTCCACGTCGTCGTCGTTACCGTCGTTACTGAGAGCTCGTCATCGGGTGTGTGATGTGTAGGAGCCGTGGTTGTGCCGCGTCGATACTCCGCGGTCACCGAGCATAAGACAAACTGGAGGCCACAAGCGACGTGCGTGTGGACGGCGTGCGTGGCGTTGGTACTCCGTTAGAGCTGTGCTATAGAGCAGTGTTGGCTGAAGTTTGGCCTGACGCCGCGGTGGCGCTGCGATGCAGGCAGCTGTTGCTTGAGGCAAAGTACGAAGGCAACACGCTGGACACAGCTGAGTGATCAAACTCCGCTTCAATTGTTTGAGTAGAACAGCAGACACACAAAGCTGAACTCGGTGATCTTGGTGGCACAAGGCAATCAATACAGAGAGGCGAGGCGAGGCCAAGAGGGTTGTTCTTAGGCTAAAGCGCACAGGTGACGCAGCTACAGTGGTATGAGGCAAAGTTGACACTGATTGCGTACTCCCTGATAGCTGCGAGACTGCAGTGTGTTAAAAGTTTGCTCTGTTGGTCGGTAGCAATCCTATGGTCGTGCTCGTACTGTGGGGGTTTGTCGAGAAGGAAGATAAGACTCGAAGGATTCTGCTTGTACTTGGCTTGGGGGCACAGACATGCAATCGCAGTTAACAACGCACACAATCATGCCAACAAAACTGAGATGCAATGCTAAGTAACAAGGAGGAGTAGATTGGTTGATTGGATATAAAGTACGATAACTGGTATGTGGAAGCGCGGATGAGTCGGGAGTCCCCTCCCGGTGCTCACAAGGGCAGGTCGCTGATGCGCCAAGGCTTTGTAAGCCGCTGCGGCACCAGGCCTTTCTTGGAGCGGTCCTCCGCGCTTCTGCAGTGCTAAGGTGCTTGCTCTTCCGACCGTGGTGTCGTCGATGGAACGGGCATCCATCCACGCCTAAGGCGGTCGGTTCGGAAGTGAAGCTAGAGAAAAATAAAATAAAAATAAAATAAAATAAAATAAAAGAAGACCTAGATCTCAGAAATTATTGTTGTTAACCTTGCTGCCTTCAGTACCCTTTAGCCATGACGTGCCAGGCCCACAGCTCATCAGATCAAGGCGATACTTTATGCAGCAAACATCAGACGAGCTGCAAGCTGAGTTGAGCACCAGTCCAGCGGCACCATCACCATCTGAACCGTGGAAGCGATCACCAGAACGCATTCCCTTCCCAGCTGCCCTGTGTTGGAATGCACAATGTTGCCGTCGCCACCCTCCCCAGCACGACAACGGCGAGCTGCTCCGCTCACAGCTCCGAACTCCGTCCCTAGCCTTATTTGCCCTTTTGTGCCAGACAGACCAAAAATAGCACCGCCCCTTTTTGACGCCTGCAGTTTGCAGCGGCGTCATTGGGCCGGCTGCCGAAGCCCTGTGAACAAAAAAAGTCAAAAGTCCATAATCCACAATGGAGGGTACCTACTTATGCTCGAGGGGAAAAAAATAAGGGAGAAGTTGAGTTGCACTCGGCCTTCCGCGACCTCAATCCTTCCCATCCATCCTGGTCCAACTAGACGTAAGCTCGGAGCGCTTGGTCCTTACCTGCGGGTCAGAGAGAAGGCTTCAAACAAGAAGAGATGAAATGACTGCCTCATGTGGCCATTCAAACCAGAGATGCTCAAAAACCAGAGCTGCGTGATCAAACAACCACGCCCAATGGTAACTAGACTGCATGTTGGCCAGCTTGAAATCTGGCTGCCTGGTGCTGCGCTAACAGCACACGTTGGAGCAGCATGAAGTGGTGTCCAGGATCAGGGATTTTAAACATGAGATCGTGCCAATCGTGTCCACACGCGATGGAGCCGTTAATGGCGGTCAACATTCGGTAAGATTCAAGAAACAATGGAGTACTGGCATGGAGCGAATGCCAGGCACTCCGTGAGATGTTTTCCAAAACGAAAGAATGGAATTCGAAAACTGGGAAAAATTTGGTGCGATTTCCGGAAGCCACCAAAGCCGAGGGGGAAGGCAACAATGTGCACGGATCACAAGGTTAAAACACACGAGCCAGGGGTCTAGATTACATAAGGTAGGGCTAATGCACAGACCACTTGCCAAGACTCATTAAGCAATCCACGTGACCGCGCGACCGCGTCCTTGGTCCGTGCGCAGATCCTTAACGCGAGTCTGAGCTCACATTCCTTTTCGATTGACTTTCGCGCTCCATCCGGGTCGGGTGGAGTCCTGCCTCTGACCATCGACGTCATCACAACTTTTCGCCTGCATACCGGCGTCAGTCGGACACTCGTAACCGAAAAGAGCAGACCCTACTCGGAACACAAAACAAAACAAAATGGTGCGCCGCTCGGCCCGCAACGCCGCCAAAGAGCCCGCCACCACCACCACCACCACCACCACCACCGACCCTCACGAAGAGGCCATCAAGACCGAGACCAACGGCGCCGAAGCCGATTCCGAGGAGCTGAAGCAGCGCAATAAGCGCAAAGCTTCCGCCTCAGAGCCAAAACCCCAGTCAGTCGACAGCCCCGAAGCCGACTCTCCTGAGGAAGAAGAGTCCAAACCCGAGCCCAAGAAGCGCAAGACCACCTCCTCCACCAAACTCTCCTCCCAACAAGAACAAACCGAAATGCCCCTCGCCCCGCGCACCGCAGTCAACACCCTCCGCCGTGCGATGTACATCGGCGCGCACGTCTCCGCAGCCGGTGGGGTTCACAACTCCATCCCCAACGCCATCCACATCGGCGCGAACGCCTTTGCGCTCTTCCTCAAGTCCCAGCGCAAATGGACCAGCCCTCCCTTAGCCGACGACGCGAAGAACCAATTCCATGCCCTGATCAAGCAGCACGGGTACGATGCGACGAAGCACGTCGTTCCGCACGCGAGCTATCTGATCAACCTTGCGCAAGCGGACGCCGCGAAGGCAAAGCAGGCGTATGACTGCTTCCTGGATGATCTGAAGCGGTGCGAGGCGCTGGGAATAGGGCTGTATAACTTCCATCCGGGGTCGGCGGGTCCTGGGGGGGATATGAAGGCTGCGTGTGGGAGGATCGCTGCGCAACTTAATAAGGCGATCAAGGCGACGAAGAGTGTTGTGGTGTTGTTGGAGAATATGTGTGGCAGTGGGAATGTAGTCGGGGGGAGGTTTGAGGAACTGGCGGATATCATCTCGCAGGTGGAAGATAAGTCTCGAATTGGGGTTTGTCTGGATACTTGCCATGCTTTCACGGCTGGGTATGATTTGCGCACACCGGAGGCGTTTGCCCAGACGCTGGCCGAATTCGACCGCACCATTGGCCTCAAATACCTGAAGGCCTTGCACCTAAACGATAGCAAAGCCCCCTACCACTCGAACCGCGACCTCCACGCGAATATCGGCACAGGCTTCCTTGGCCTGCGTGCCTTCCACAACATAATGAACTGCCCCACCCTCGAAAATCTCCCCATGGTTCTAGAGACGCCTATCGAAGAGAAGGACGCGAAGGGCAAGACAGTGGAAAACAAGCAAATCTGGGCGGACGAGATCAAGCTTCTGGAGAGCTTGATCGGCATGGACGTGGAGAGCGAGGAGTTCAACAGGCTGGAGTGCGAGCTGCAGAAGAAGGGGGCTGCGGAGCGCAGGCGGATCGAGGAGCAGGTGGAGAAGAAGGCGACGAAGGAGAAGAAGAAGTTAGATGGGGGGAAGAAGGAGAGGGGCGCGATGGATGCTTTTGTGGTGAAGAAGAAAGGGGAGGGAGAAGCTTGAGTGAGATGACACAGAGATGGAAGCGCTCAGTAGCGATGAGCTGCATCGGCGTGACGATTTCGAGCTGCCCGGGGATAAGAGGGTTTTGTGTTTGCATGAGGATGATTCGCTGAATTGCACATCGCATTGGGATGGATGATATCGAGTTGCCTAAGGACCGCTTGTCTTGCTCATGGATGATAGGGGATCATAGTCTGGGAACGACTTTGGTACCAAAAGCTTGCTGATACCCGGTTTACTCTAGCGGTGGTCTTGATCCTAATTAATACTAGGTATGGTACCCATTATCATATCCATCCATCAAGTTCCTGACAGTGACGAACTCATAACCATTATTACCATAGCATGCCCTAACAAAGGAAATCATAACATAAGGATCATAGCACAGGGATATCATATACCCTGAGTGTATCCCAACCCTCATCCAACCCTTAACCCCATCTCCCCCCTCTTGTTTGAACACCCCCTCCTCCTTTTCACAGTTACCTCCTCCTCCCCCGAACCCACCCCTCCACTTTCCCCATCAACCCCCGCAACCCAGCCCCTCGTTCACAATTCGTCACCAACCACCCCTCCATCCGTTCCCTAACCCTCCTCATTCCCCTCAAACATGGCATCCTTCCCCCCTCTTCCCCTCCCACATACTCCCCAGGGTTCAACAACAAATCAAACGCCTCACTCCAAATCTCCTGCTGCCAGTAACGCTTCAGCGATTCCCTTATTCTATACCTCCTCCCATTACCTCCCGGGACGCGGACAGTTTCGATATACTTTCCGAAAAGCAGGCAGTAGAGTATCCCGGCGATGCCGTGGTAATCAATCTGCCACGTCCAGGAGCGGCCCTCGCGCATCTCGGCACAGTCTTGAGGTGTTGTTTTCCAGTCTGCGATGAAGGCAACATCGTCACGGAACATTTTCATGTCGATTGCCCGGCCGAAATCGATCAGCACAATGCCCCTCGCCGCCCAGCCCCCGGCTCCAGAAGGAGTCCACTGCGCGACGAGATGCTGGTTCTGGACGTCGCTCTCGTCGGGTAGACGCAAGAGACAATTATCCGGTTTCAGATCGCCGTGTAAGATTCCCTTGGTGTGTAACGCTTCGACGGTGCGCAGGACTTCGATCGCGAAGAACATCGCCAGGACTTCGTCCATCACGCCGGAGGATTCGGCGGAGCGGAAGAAGTTGACTACGTCGAGGAGCGTGCCGTGCGGGTAGTACGGCATGACGAGGAAGCCTTCATCCCGATACAAATGCAGCTCTAGGGCTGGTGACAGCGACGCCGTAGCCCGATGCTGCGGGCCGAGTCGGGAGTGCGCCAGCCGCATCATGTAAAACTCCCACGCCGAAGTAGACGGTGGGTCTTCCATTTTGATTGCCTCGCGGGCGCGACGTCGCAAATACGGGCTCCCCCTCCGGATGACGGCATTCTCATCATGCGTCTCGCTCTGCTCATCCTCATCCTCGTCAGGGGCGGAGTTGTCCACCAAATAAACCGGCGCAAACGCGCCCGCTCCCAGCTCCCTTCGAATTGTATACCGACCCTTCGCGCCAGGGAAGGAGAGGACTATGCCCGTGCCGTTGAGGCTGGAGGCCGCTTTGTCGGTGCTGCTGCGGTTTTTGCTGATAGTCTTGATGTACTTCCTGATTTCGGCCGCCCGGCCATGGGTTTGATTGGTGTTGTCGAAGAAACCTCCGTAGGAGGTCAGAGACGGGGAGAGCTGCTTGAGGATCTGAAGCCTGATCCCCTCGTCCATGGGGTTAACCTGCTGCTCTTTGATCACCGGTCCCTTCGGCGCAAGGGGGGTTTTCGGGGCCAGGGGCTGAGCCGGCTTTGGGGCAAAAGGTCTCCTCTGTCCTGCCTGACCCTGACTCCGCTCTTCCTCCCTGAATACTGGCACGCTCTTCTGCATCATCGGTAGTCTCATCTTCCTCCCACTCCCGAACCCGTCCCCTCTACTCGGACTTTCCGGTCCTTGGTTTTCCGCATCCTCCTCTTCCTCCTCCTCCTCCTCCTCCATCAACGGACTCGCCCCCTTTCTATCCCGACAAGGCGTCTTTCCCAACACGCTCCTAGCAGCGGTCAAACAAGTCAGACTCGTCTCCGTCCTCTCCGTGATAGGGGTCATGAACGGCAGACGACGGCTCGCTAGCTCTGTGGGGTCACGATACGGCCTGCGGGGAGGAGGGACATAGTCTTCGGGGGGGACGGGGATGAAGCTGCTCCTAGGACGAGATTGTTGAGGGGGACAGTCCTCCCGCATGTCGATAAGATCCGAATTCCCCGTCGTATCTGCCGTCGAGGGCCCATCTAAACCATGCACGTCCTTGCGGGAGAACTCTGACCATTCGCTCGCTCCATCATTCTCCTCTTCCCCGTCTTCATCCTCCTCTTCAACGCGGGTAATGTCCCCACGCACGGAGGACTTGTTCGTCATGTAAGTCGTCTCACCACACGTATAGTCATCCGACTCGAACTGCCGGTCGAACTGGCTGATCTCGCCGGTCGCGCGGTGAGCCTCGGGCGCGTTGAAGATGTCGTAGATGTCGTCCTGGGCCTCCTTGGTGTGGATGGTCATGGTGGTGGGCATCTCGTAGCTGGACACAGACATGACGGACGGCTCGATGGTCGAGCGGCGCTTTTTCTTTTTCTTGAGAGTCCGCGGGCCGGTGGGAGAATCGAGGTTGACTTTGACTGTGGGGGTGTTAGCCATCTTCTGTAGAGACACAATAGTAGTAGTAGGGGTTGGGAGTTTAGGGGGGGGGGGTTGGGAGGGGGGAGAAAGGGGGGAAGGACTTAACTGATCTGCGTCTCATTCACCTCAATAACCTTCTTCTTCCTGTTCCTCACCTCCCTGGTCAGGATTGGATTCCCGTTCTCATCCAAACGGACCATCCTACTCCCGGCCACAGGGGTCCTCTCTCCCATCTCGGTAATAGCAGTCTCGTCCATCATCATGGACACCGCCTCTTCTTCCTCTTCACTCTCCCACTCAACATCCAACCATCCCCTATTCCTCGCCCAAACCTCCTCAAAACTCAACTCCGTCCCGGGCTCATCCGGCGTGGGGTACACGGCCCGCAAATCGACAAATACCCGCTCCTTCTTCCCCGTAGCCGGGTTCACCGTAACCTGCAGCTTAGAATGATGGATCGGAATGTGCGACTGAGCCAATAATAACTTCTGCTTATGATCAAGGGTCTATATTTGTCTCTTAAAAACGCGCGAACGTACATGAAGCGTACATGACACGCACAACCCATACATTAGTCCTGATCATTCAAAAATACAATCAACATCTGGGCTGGCCCTGAAGGAGAGGAGAATCTGTACTTACCGGATCCCGGAAGACCTGCAGCTTCGGGCCAGCAGGTTTCTTCGTGCCGCTGGCTTGCTTCAGCGTCTCGCCTGCCCAGGGCTTCGGCTCCATCACGTTCTCCTTCTTGCGGTTCGCCATCGTGTCGATGCTGTCCCATCCCTTAGACGATGCCGACGATCCTGAGCCGCTCTTAGCAGGTATGGCCGGCTGCTGCTGCTTGGAATCAGCATCAGAAAAGATCTGCAGCTTGCTCTTCGGCTTGCTGGCCGCCCCTCCAACCCCCCGAGCATCCTGCCTCTGGGCCTGCGGATCCCTAGGCGCAGCATCTAAACTAAAGGGATCAACCCTCTCCGCTAACGCCCTCCTAACTGGTGGAATCGCCGGACTTCTCGGCCCCCCTTCCTCCCCCTCTTCCTGTCTAACCCTCTCCCACCTTCGTTCAAATTCTCCAAATTTCCTCACCAGCCTCCCCACGGGCCTCGCTTCTCTCTCAATTCCCAACTTCCACACCTCCTCAGCCTGCGCCCACCGCCCCACGCTCTCCAACCACCCGGCATACTCTTCATAGTACATGGCCAACCCCTCTCCAATCCCGTTCCGCGCAAGGTAGACGAAGGCTTCCCTAGGCGCATCACAAAACCATTGGATATAATATACCCAGAGTCTCAAATACCGCACGTCGTTCTTGTACTCCCCCCATCGGACGAACTCCCTCGTCGCTCTTTCCAGTAATTCCCCCAATCCCGACTCTTTCGTATTTTGTGCACTGGGGAACGTATCTAACGTCCACTTCACATACCGATCATATACATCCAGTGGATCATCGCTCTCCCCCAAATTCTTAATCTCTTCCTCGAACTCTGCCCGAGCGCGCTCAATCTCAGGGCGGTTGGCTAGCGACGTCGGGGTGGCCTGTTGTGCGAGGGGAGAGCGGGTGAACAGGTCGGCGAGCTTGCGGGCGGAGCGGCCGGATGGGAGGGCTTGAATGTTTTCTTTGTGGGACTCGATGATGGAGAAGTCAACAGGGGCTGGTTCGGCGGGAGCAGTCATTGGGGCAGCCGTGCGCTCTCCTCTTCTAGAGGGCGGCATCTTTTGACGATGTTGTTTGTGTGGTAGATGGATTTGGTAAGTTAGATGTAGGGTTGGGCCTAACGATTGTGTTTCTTTTTTTTAAGTAAAAAGAAAATTGTCTTCTCGAAACTAAACAACAACTGAAGAAGACAGTAGTCAGAAACAAAGATCAATGACCTTGTCACTGTTTATCACCGATAAGCTTGTCTGTGTGTGTGTGTGTGTGTGTGTTGTTGAGTGAATGTCAAGTCGACACGACGCGGTGTGTGGAACCATTTGTTTGGAGGGGCAACGAGTGGACGCTGCGGGCCGCGACTGGTCAGAAAATGCCATGTTTGGGCAGGTCAGTTTACCAATAATGTGCGTTGTCGTGGCAACCGACCATTGGCCCCGCCTGCAAGTTGACAGCTGCCGGACAGTTGACAGTATCAACCCCGCCTATAGAGGGGGAACGCGGGGCAGGGTCAGGGAACTCCAAGAGAAGTCTAGGAGTCCAGATCATCGCTCCTCGAGCTCGCCATGTCAGTCAAGGGACCGAACTTGCACGGAATTGATGAAGCACATGCAGCATTCCCCATCGGAATCTGCTGCAATTCCATGCCCGGAACCTTAAGCAGCGGGTAGCTACGGAGTTGGCGGCTTGGCTTACGATAGCTTCCAGGCGCTTCTACACAACAACCTGCACAAGCACCAACTTGAGTATCACGCATCACGATCATTACAGAGTCATGCACATCTCAACGGGTATCCACCCGAGGTATATTGGCTGGTATTCTCAGCTACTCCGCTTTACCATTTTTTCGTGAGCCTTCCGAAAACCTCCATCCGAGTGGTCATGTCTTCCTCCTCAACCAACCACCGAAACCAGGTTCCGGTTCCCTCCGAGTGGGTCTCCCGCATCCGCTTTACAGCTCAACGGCCTTGCGGAAGTTCTCGCCGGCATACACGGCATTGTCGCCGAGCTCCTCCTCAATGCGGAGAATCTGGTTGAGCTTGGCGAGACGCTCCGAGCGGCAAGGGGCACCAGTCTTGATTTGGCCCGAGCGGATGCCGACGACGATATCCGCGATGGTCACGTCCTCAGTCTCACCAGAGCGGTGCGAAACCATGACGCCCCAGCCGTCGGCGTACGAGTCCTTGGCGGCCTGAATGGCCTCGGTCAGGGTGCCGATCTGGTTGACCTTGAGCAGCAGGGCATTGCAGGCCTTCTGCTCAATGGCCTTCTTGATGCGCAGGGGGTTGGTGACAGTCAGGTCGTCACCGACAATCTGGACATCCTGGGTCTTGTAGAAGTAGCTCCAGGCCTCCCAGTCGTCCTCGGCGAACGGGTCCTCGATCGAAACGATGGGATACTTCTGGCAGAGCTCAGCGTAGAGGGCGGCGAGCTCCTCGTAGGTGAGCCACTTGCTGGGGTCGCTCTCGGGGTTCTTAAAGTCCAGGTCGTACTTCTTGACGTCCTCCTTGTAGAACTCGCTCGAGGCAACGTCCAGGGCGATCTTGACCTGGCCGGTGTAGCCAGCCTCCTCAATGGCCTCAGTGATCAGGTCGAGAGCCTCCTGAGGGGTCTGGATATCGGGGGCAACACCGCCCTCGTCGCCGACGTTGCCGGCCGACAGACCGTAGCGCTTCTTGGCGAGCGACTTGAGCTTCTGGTAGACCTCAGCACCCTGGCGCATGGCCTCCGAAAAGGTGGGGGCGGCCGAGGGGACAATCATGAATTCCTGGAAGGCCAGGCGGCCGCCGGCGTGAGAGCTGGCTTGTTAGCGGGGAACCGTTCCAATTGGGGTGCTTAGGACCTACCCGCCGTTCAGAACGTTCATGAAGGGAACAGGCAGGACATAGGGCTTCTTGGTGCCGGCGAGGTCCGAGATATGAGCATAGAGAGGAACGCCCTTCTCGGCAGCACCAGCCTTAGCAACGGCCAAGCTGACGCCGAGGATGGCGTTGGCGCCGAGCTTGGTCTTGTTGGGAGTGCCGTCGAGCTCGAGCAGGATGTCGTCGACGGCCTTCTGGTCCTTGACGTCGACGTTCTTCTCAATCAGCGCGGGGCCGATGATCTCGTTCACGTTCTTGACGGCCTGGAGGACGCCCTTGCCGCCCCACTTGGACTTGTCGCCATCGCGGAGCTCGCAAGCCTCGTGCTGGCCTGTTTTTTTGTCAGACAAAAGTTCGGGCGAAATGAAAGGAAAGAACTTACCGGTAGAGGCACCCGAGGGGACGATGGCGCGGTGAAGACCGAGCTCAGTCACGACATCGACCTCGACGGTGGGGTTGCCGCGAGAGTCGTAGACGTAGCGGGCGTGGATCTTGGAGATCGGCATTTTGCTGGCTGGGTCAGCGTTCAAGCTTAGTCAAGTGATGGGAGAGGACAGGGCATGTCGACGAAAGGCAGTTGGGCGGCGACCGACAATGGGGAAAGGCGCCAGGCTTAAGAATTCCACCTCTGCTACAGATGAAATTCGCTCAATTGCCATGGCAGCCGGCGCCCACGAGGTTATTCCCGCACGATTGGTCGCCACCGACGCAACCTCATCGCTGCCTTGATTTCGTCGACGAGCTGAGGGGGGAGGGGGACGAATGGGGAAGACCGCGAGGCGTAGAGTCACTACCACGCGAGCATCAGGGCACGAGGGCGGCATACCTGGTGTCGACTGGGCTGGTTCTTCGTGGGTGTTGCGAGGATGCGGTATGAGGCTGAGAGGTGCTTAGGAGGAAGGGAGAAGATGAAAGAGAGAAGATGGAAGAAAGAGAAAACGCGATGGCCTGGGAAAGATCAGGACTGGAAGTCGCCCAAAAAGGAGGGGCAGGATTGGTTGGTGGGGTGACGGGCAGCCAGTGACAGGTGGAGGGGGGCCTACGGCGTGTTACTGCGTGTTAATAATTCTATGGGGTCGTTGTACAAAATCTTAACAGAAGAGCAATGGCGGGCAGGAGCTCGCTCGGGGGGTACCTGCCGCATCCCTGGGTGGGCAAGCTGACAGCCAACCAATCACTCCAAAGCAATGTCACGACGAGGGACGGCGAGCAGCTGCAGAGGGCCGGCGGCGGGCTCCTCAGGCTTCGCGAAATCGATTGGCATGAGGCATCCCGTCATGTTGTTCCATGTTTGGGTCAGCCAATTTGGTGACCGCGGGGGTCCAAACTGGCGAGAATCCGTTGTCGGAGCTCCCCCGCGCAGCTTGGGGGCAGGGCTGGGCAACCACGGTGACAATTCAATTGAGTCAGCAAAGCTTCTATCTATTTGAGCTACTTACAAGCAACAAGATGCTTTTCTTCCCAAACTCTTGACGCAAACATTGGCCAACATTGTCCTCGACAATGGTGTCTGAATTATCTGTCGAGCTGTCAGCTGCCCCTCTCAACACCTCGTGTCAAGGACTCGAAGCTCCCGTCTGCTCTGGCGGACCCCGCAGCGGATGCTGTCTCTGGCCAAGCCAAGACTGTGGGTCTGGGCTGGGAGGATCCACCCAAAAAGAAGCAGATCGACTGCCATTGGAATCTTCTGACAGCTCACGAATTTCATGATACAAACATGTGCATGGTTTTGATGTCCGCTGCCGGGCGTTTGCATCGCCGTAAGGCACGACACGTACTCAAAGAAAAGGGGGGCTAGCCAAAAGGGGCTCGCTGGCAGCGAGCTTCTACTTATGTTTATGAGGTACATCGCCAGATGGGCATCTCCAGGGTTCAACCAAGCGTAGTAGTGACTCTCCCACCTTGTGCGAATGCAACGCTGCTGGCCTTGTCGCTGTGATTACGTAAAGTACAAACGACGTTGCCGACACGGATTTGGCAGCTCAACAGCGTCGCCGGGCCAAAAGCGCATCACGAAGAGTTCAACGGCTCCGTATGCGTTCAAGACGGCCGGGCCGACCTGCCCAATCGCCTCTAGCTGGCGTGGTGCTGGGCTGTCCCCGATGGAGTTGCTGTCAAAGCTTGCCAGCCTCATGACGGCGTACCGTACGGCCGTGTACTGGGCGCGAGCTGACCGCCTGCCCAGAAGGGCAAACGGGGTTAGGGACCTGCCGCTCTTTGTCGGTTTGCCGGCCAGAATCTGTCGTGTCTTTGCCGGGCGTGCCGTTGAGTCCAAATCTTAGAACCGCTCTGCTAAGTCTGCTGCCCGTTCTGGCTGGCCGATTGCTGAAGGATCCGGACCGTTTGTTGTTTGCCGACACAGCATTCCGGATTGTCTGAGTCTATTGTCTGACGAGGTCCTCCGTAAGGAGACTTGGTGTGCTTTGTTCGCCGCTGACCTAGCCATTGACCGTCTGCCAGGACTGGACAGTGACAGTGAAGACTGGCGACGGTTCCACTGCGGTAGTGACATTGCGGCATTGTGATCGAGGAGTGACTGGAGTGGACAGTTGCTGGGTTGAGCCATTGGATGATTGTTGGCTGGCCCTGTTTTGTTTCTTCTTTCCTGTAATTTTGTTTCATTTATTTTTACTCTCACTTTTTTCCCTCATAATGTTTCGCTCCTGCCTCGCTGTGCGGCCAGCAAGTCGCGGAGCGCAGAGATATTTGGTCTCAGCAGGCGTTCTTCGAGCCTCGTCGCCTTTGTCTGTGTCTAACCTTAGACTTACATCATCACAGTGTGTCCCCTCTGCCCCTCCTACCCCTCTCAACCAAACAACGGCAAGATCCGCAGCCAGCTCTGCCCCTCACTTGACTGTGCTGGCTGACCACTGGATTGCCCCGCAGTCCCTCTCTTAGTGCCAATTCCCGTCATCTTCACTCTGCTTCGACTTCGGCATACGCTACCTCTACTGCAACCACACCTGCTGCTCTGGGAACACAGAGCTCTTCTCTCGCCTATCGTCCGAAGCTCCCCTCCCGCCCTCTACGTCTCTGCCGTCCGTCGGCCCGCTACTGCTCCTACCGTCGTCACAACATGTGCCGCTCCCACGCCCTGACTGACGAGGGCGGCGCCGTCAAGGCCCCGGCCCGCGAGCTGCTGCCGACGAATGTCGTGCCGCGTCACTACCACGTCACTCTGGAGCCGAACTTCTCCAATTTTACCTTCGACGGTACTGTGGTCATCGACCTGGACGTCACCGAGGACTCCAAGACTATCTCGCTGCACACTCTGGAGATTGACATTCACAGCGCGAAGCTGCTGCAGGAGGGTGCAGTGGTTAGGTAGGCTCCTTATACTCTGCTTTTAACTCTGCTCCTGCTAACGCCTGCAGCTCCAACCCCGCCATCGCGTACGACGCCGACAACCAAGTGTCGACGCTGACCTTCGATAATGGCGTCGCCCAGGGCACCAAGGCCCAGCTCGAGGTCTCCTTCACCGGCATCCTCAACGATAAGATGGCCGGCTTCTACCGCTCGACCTACAAGAACCCCGACGGCAGCACCGGCGTCATGGCCGTCACCCAGATGGAGCCGACTGACGCCCGCCGGGCCTTCCCCTGCTTCGACGAGCCGTCGCTCAAAGCCGAGTTTACTGTGACTCTGATCGCCGACAAGCACCTGACCTGCCTGAGCAACATGGACGTGGCCTACGAGCGCGAGGTGCACTCGACCCAGACCAACGCCCCCAAGAAGGCCGTCACCTTCAACAAGTCGCCACTCATGTCGACCTACCTGGTTGCGTTCGTCGTTGGCGAGCTCAACTACATCGAGACGAACGAGTTCCGCGTGCCCGTCCGCGTCTATGCCCCGCCCAGCCAGGACATTGAGACCGGCCGCTTCTCGCTGAACTTGGCCGCTAAGACCCTGGCGTTCTACGAGAAGGTCTTCGGCATCGAGTTCCCCCTGCCCAAAATGGACCAGATCGCCATCCCCGACTTCGCCCAGGGCGCCATGGAGAATTGGGGTTTGGTCACCTACCGCGTGGTCGACCTGCTGCTCGACGAGAAGGTCAGCGGCGCGGCGACCAAGGAGCGCGTGGCCGAAGTCGTGCAGCACGAGCTGGCGCACCAGTGGTTCGGCAACCTGGTCACCATGGACTGGTGGGACGGTCTCTGGCTCAACGAGGGCTTTGCGACCTGGGCTTCGTGGTACTCGTGCAACATCTTCTACCCCGAGTGGAAGGTGTGGCAGACGTACGTCGTGGATAATCTCCAGCGTGCGCTAGCCCTCGACTCCCTCCGCAGCAGCCACCCCATCGAGGTTCCCGTCAAGCGCGCCGACGAGATCAACCAAATCTTTGATGCCATCTCCTACTCCAAGGGTTCGTGCGTGCTCCGCATGATCTCGACCTACCTCGGCGAGGACACCTTCCTCGAGGGCGTCCGCCGCTACCTCAAGAAGCATGCCTACGGCAACACCCGTACCAACGACCTGTGGACTGCCCTGGCTGATGCCTCGGGCAAAAAGGTCGAGGAGGTCATGGACATCTGGACCAAGCACGTCGGCTTCCCTGTTGTCACCGTCACCGAGCAAGACGACGGCAAGACCATCCACCTCAAGCAAAACCGCTTCCTGCGCACGGGAGACACCAAGCCTGAGGAAGACAAGGTCATCTACCCCGTGTTCCTCGGTCTCCGCACCAAGGATGGCGTGGATGAATCCAAGGTCCTCGACAAGCGCGAGGACGTCCTGGAAATCCCCGGCGGCACCGACTTCTACAAGCTCAACGCCAACCACACCGGCCTCTACCGCACCGCCTACTCCCCCGAGCGCCTCGCCAAGCTGGGCGACGCCGCCAAACAGGGTCTGTTGACAGTCGAGGACCGCGCGGGCATGATTGCTGATGCTGGTGCCCTGGCTACATCAGGGTATCAAAAAACCTCCGGCCTGCTCTCCCTCCTCAAGGGCTTCACCTTTGAAACGGAGTTCGTCGTCTGGAACGAGATCATCGCGCGTGTGGGCGCCGTCCAGGCGGCGTGGATCTTTGAGGACGCATCCCTGCGCGACGCGCTGGAGGCCTACCTCCGCGACCTGACCGCGCCCAAGGCGCACGAACTCGGGTGGGAGTTTACCGAGGCCGATGGCCACGTCCTGCAGCAGTTCAAGGCGATGATGTTTGGCACGGCCGGTGTTAGCGGGGATGAGAAGATTCGGGAGGCCGCAAGGGAGATGTTCGAGAAGTTCATGGCAGGGGATAAGGCGGCGATTCATCCCAATATTAGGGGATCAGTGTTCAGCATGGCGCTGAAGTATGGCGGGGTGGAGGAGTACGATAAGATTATGGAGTTCTATCGGACTTCGAATAACAGTGATGAGAGGAACACGGCGCTGCGCTGCCTCGGCCGGGCTAGGGACCCGGTCCTCATCCAGAGGACCTTGGATCTGCTATTTAGTGGAGAGGTCAAGGACCAGGATGTGTACATGCCTGTTTCGGGCTTGCGCAGCCATCCTGAGGGTATTGAGGCGATGTTCAAGTTTATGACAGAGAACTGGGAGCGGCTGACGCAGAAGCTGCCTCCTGCACTCAGCATGCTGGGGACGATGGTTAGTATCTTCACGTCGAGCTTTACGAAGCAGGAGCAGCTTGAGCAGGTAGAGACGTTCTTTAAGGAGCGGAGCACGGCCGGGTTTGAGATGAGCTTAGCCCAGAGCTTGGATTCAATTAGAAGTAAGATTGCGTGGGTGAAGCGGGATGCGGAGGATGTGAAAGTCTGGTTGAGGGAGAATGGGTATTTGAACTGAGTCCTCCAAAGAGATATGGGGGATGATTCTGTCTTGGGGTTAAAGCATCTCTTAAATGGCCAGATGACTGGCTCAACGGGGCATTCGAACCGGCTTTAGGTTGTTGTGTGGTTTCTGGCAGTCTTAGGACTGGTAGAAGAGAGGGCAGTGTAATATAGAGCCTGGATAAGGGCCATGATGAGGAAGTTAATTTCGTAGGGTTTTGCATGAGTGTGTACGTGGTTGCTTGTGGGCCTAACTTGATATTCCCCTGAATTTTGAAAAAGCAAGTTCCCCTGATTTCACGTGACGTAGTTTTTCCCCTTAACCCCCCCCCCCTCGACTTGTGGATTTGTATGCGTTCAATATCTATAAAATCATATTTTTTTTTTGAAAATTCAAGGCATCTCATAACTTTATCTTCACATATTGTTACATCCAAGTGTTGCTCTTGATTGCTGCTGCATGTGAGCTCCCCTCACTAATAAAGCTCAAAACATTCTTGCCAAAGTGAAGTTTCTCCACACTTCGATTTTCTCATTTCACTTCATATTCAACCTCACTTCTCACCACACCACTTAAACCACCAACACTCCCACTTCCCTACACAACTACCCAGTTCTAAGTCACCAAACCGTCACCATGGCCAAAGACAAGAAAAAATCCGAAGGCAAGAAAGCCAAAGCCGCAGAGAAAAAACTAAAAGCCGAGAAAAAGGCTGAGAAAAAGAACAAGAAACTTACCTCCAAGCGCGCCGCCGACGACAGTTCCGATGCCGAAGACATCGACATCGACGCCGTCCTGGAAGAGTACAAGAAGCAGCAGGAACAGTTCCACAAGATCACGGAGACTGTCCTCTCCGAGCCACCCCGCGCCCGCGCAGCCGCGACGCTGTTGGCGAACCCCGCCAATGCGAATCAGCTTTTGCTGTTTGGAGGAGAGTACTTTAATGGGTCTGTCGCGACGTTCTTCAATGATTTGTTGGTGTATTATATCGATAGAGATGAATGGCGGAGCATTACTTCCCCGAACGCGCCACTGCCGCGATCGGGTCACGCCTGGACCCGCGGCGGGAATCAGGCTAATGCGGTGTACCTTTTTGGAGGGGAGTTCTCATCGCCGAAGCAGGGGACTTTCTACCACTACAACGATTTCTGGAAGTTGGATCCTACCACTAAAGAATGGACTCGCTTGGAGCCGAAAGGAAAGACACCCCCCGCCCGGTCGGGCCACCGCATGACCTATTTCAAGCAGTACATTATTCTGTTCGGTGGCTTCCAAGACACGGCAAACCAGACCAAGTATCTGAATGACTTGTGGATTTATGACACAAACAATTTTGTCTGGTATTCCCCCGCCCTCCCGCAGGCGATGATCAAGCCCGAGCCACGATCAAGCTTCACCCTCTTGCCGCATGAGCAAGGGGCGGTGTTGTACGGCGGCTACTCCCGCGTCAAGGCAACTACATCTACCAACAGACAGGGCCAACAACAAAAAGGCGCGCAGCGCAACGTCATGAAGCCGATGGTGCACACAGACTGCTTCTTCCTTCGCATCACCCCTCCCCCAGCCGAGGCACCCTCGGGGACGCCGCCCACCGTGAGGTGGGAACGCCGCAAGAAGCCCGCTAACGCGCCCAACCCGCCGAGGGCGGGTGCTACCATGGCGTATCACAAGGGGCGGGGGATCCTGTTTGGGGGTGTGCATGATGTGGAGGAGAGCGAAGAGGGGATGGAGAGCGAGTTTTTCAATACGTTGTTTGTGTGGAATGTGGAGCGGAATCGGTTTTTCCAGTTACAGTTGAAGAAGCCACGAACACAAAATCAGGGGATGCAGAAGGCTGTAGGCGGGAGGAGGGCTAGGGCGAAGGAGAATGAGGAGGAGTTGCTTAGGCAGTTGGCTGCGCTTAGGGCGGGCGTGGGGATTGATGAAGGTGATGAGATGGAGGTTGATGAAGGGAAGAAAGAGGAAGGGGAGGAGAAAAAGAAGAAGGTTGTGAGAGAGATGCCGGTTAGCATGGAGCTGCCGCATCCGAGATTTAATGCCCAGCTGGCGGTGCAGGATGATGTGTTATACATATATGGGGGCACCTTTGAGAAGGGGGATAGAGAGTTTACCTTTGATGACATGTATGCGATTGATTTGGGACGGTTGGATGGGTGTAAGGAAATTTTCAAGAGGGAGGTTGAGGATTGGGTGGTAAGTTTTCACTCAGTCGGTTTTTATTTGAGCAGTGCTGACAATGCCAGGCCTCTGACGACGAGGAAGATGAGGAGGATGAAAGGGACGAGGAGATGGATGAGGATGAGGATGAAGAAGATGTTGAGATGGCTGATGAGGAGCCTAAGCAGCAGCTGTACACGCCCAGCAAGCGGAAGAAGAAACAAGAGGAGGGTGCTGCGGCTGAAGCGTCTGTTGCCCCTGCGGTTCCGGCTGAAGAGGAGGAGACTGAGGAGGCTGAGAAGCCTGTAGATGATGGGTTGCCGCATCCTAGGGTGAGTATACCCCCAACCTACCATTCATCTACCACCTAGTGAACGCAAAAGATACTAACCTTGAGGTCAGCCCTTCGAATCCCGCCGGGACTTCTTCCAACGCACCTGCAACGAGTGGCAGGACATCCTCATCAAGCAGCACCTGCCCGCGCAGGGCATCGACCCGTCGACCCTCACCATCAAGGAAATTAAGGCCAAGGCTTTCGAGCTGTCGGAAGAGAAGTGGTGGGACTGCCGCGAGGAGATCATGGCGCTCGAAGAAGAGCAGGAGGCGGCGGGCATTGGCGAGGTCGTGTCGCTTGCGGATCGTGGGGAGGGGCATGGCGGGCATGCTGGGGGGAGGAGGCGGTAATTGGTTTCTTTCTTTCTTTCTTTCTTCTTTTTTGAAGGTAATTCTTGGGACTCAAGGAAAGTTGTTGACGGCCTGGGGAAAAAGCTATGGATGGGAGGAGGATGTTGGCGTGGCCTTTGCTTGGCTATCAGGGGTGAGGGCTATCATACCCTCCCTCATTGCATTTAAGTCTTGGGTGTTCAAAAATAAAAAAAAAAATAGCATGGCTGTCAAGTTTCAATGCCCAAAAATGTCTCCATATGTCTTGAAGTGACCACCTTATGGTCCCCCTTTTCTCTAAGATTTACCCAACCCTGTGGGTGTAATTAACTGATCACGTGACCAGGCGTTGCCTCTGACGCGGTTTTGATTGCCCCTCGCGTCTCCTATATGCTTCGCTTTGCATTCCTTTCACATGCCCCTCCATTTCTTCTTTCCAGGTCTTCACGTCTGATCTCTATAATTGAGTTGCTACAATTGATGCTTGCCTACCGAGGGAATTAATCTTACCAGAATGCCGATCGGCATCCAGCGTCTCAACGCCAAACGCTCCCAGCCAAACGACCGCATCGTCTTCATCAAACCGCTCCCCGGACCCGATGAAGAAATCGCCCGTGACTTCCTAGAGCGCATCGCCGCGCAGTGCGGTATGCTCCCATGAATATGTCTTTCCATCACTAACATTTGCTAACAAACCACCCCAGTCCCCATAATGCGCCACCACCACTTGACCATCACCACCCTGGAGGAGCACGAACCCAACCGCGAGTTCGTCGGCCGCAACTTCAATGCTGGCGAGGTCATCCAACTCGTTCTCAAATCCCCTTACAACCCCCAGGCCTGGCTGCCGTTCGATTATGTACAAATGGTCATGATGCACGAGCTGGCGCATTGCAAGCACATGAACCATTCGCGAGCGTTTTGGGCCGTACGAAACCAGTTCGCTTCCGAGATGCGGGAGTTATGGGCGAAGGGGTATACGGGTGAGGGGATCTGGGGTAGAGGGAGGGGCCTGGGTACGGGTGAGTTTGAACGGAATGTCGTTGGGGCAGGGGAACAGCTGCCGGAGCATTTGTGTGGGGGGATGTATGTGAGCAGACCAAAAAGGAAGAGGAGAGTGTTAAGCTGGAAGGAGAGGAAAGAGAGGAGGATATTGAAGAAGTTTGGGGAGGGTGGGCAGGTGTTGGGGGAAGATGAGGGAGTGAGGAAGAGGTTGGAGAAGAAGAGTGTTGCGGCAAAGCCAAGGGTTGCCAACAGCGTCAGGGGCCGAGAGCTTAGAGCGGCGGCGGCGTTGGCGAGGTTTGAGCAGCAGAAGAAGGAGGAAGAAAAGAAGAGAGAGGTGATCACCATTGAGGATGATGAGGATGAGGAAGAGGAGGGGTCGGAGACAGAGAGTGGAGAGGAGTATGCGGATGCTATTGATATTAATGGCAAGGTGTTGCTGGATTCGAAGGGAGGTAGGATGGTGAGAGTTTGTGAGGACGAGGATCTGGATGATGCGGATGCGAACAATGAGCTGGAGGAGTTGAGGAATTTGGGGAGGAGACCGAAGCCTTCGGATCAGAAACCGTCAGCTTTATTTGCACAGAAGCAGGAAGCACGACAACCAAAACCACTGCCGACGCCTATGTCTACGATACCTAAAGCGCCCCCTCCGTCCCTACCATCAGCCGCTAATGTCAGCAACCCTCTTTCCACACCTTCTACACAAACCTCCATCAGCGTTTACACCAACGTAACCACTGCCTTGAACGCCAACGGCAGCAGAATAACCAACAATACTGCGAAGAGCAGTAATTCAACCTGCCCGATCTGCTCTTTCTCCAACGAGCCAGGCTCCGCGACCTGCTCTGTGTGCGCTCACGTCTTAGACACTCGAAGGATCCCCGATGCGTGGGCATGTACTAGCGTCATGTGTCGGGATAGCCAGTATCGGAATGCTGGAGATTGTGGAGTGTGCGGTGTTTGTGGGGAGAGGAAGCCTAAGGGCGGAAGTGTATGATGGAGGTCCAGAGGTTTGGTTGCTGGATGCAGCTTTGCCAGGGCATCCTCCATGATGGGCTTCGAAATGTCCGTTATTAGTTCAAAACTTATGGCTACCTAGCCAGCAGACAGGTCTATTACATCACTTCCCATGATACCCAGTTATTCGAGCCTAATATACCAAGAACATACCATTGCATCTAGTTTTCCCCGTCAAACAACCAAATACCCAAACAAATATGTCTCGGTTGCGATGGTTAGAGAGATACGGTGCAAATCCTTATGTTTCTGGAATTGAGGAGCCTAACAAAGGATAAGCGTCGGAAGTCAAAAACGGATGGATCCCTTTGATCCCACTGTTAGCGATTCCGTTCCGAACAGAGTCACACGAAATGAATTAACGGAATGCAATTTTGAGCATAGAGCAACGACCATGTCGAAAGGGACACAGCCATGTCGTTGCGACTGAGCTGTGTGTTGGGACGTGATCTAAGACATCAACAACATGGTCAACGGCAACAAAACAGCGGTGTAAATCCAGGCAACCTAGATATGTAGAAGCACTGTTTATATGTACGAACTTTTCGATGCTTTGCATCGAAACTTGAGTTGCAGATGAGTTAATTTCTTGATTTTATGAGGAATCTGCAGAGTCAGAAGATGTCGAAGTTTCAATGTCCTGCTAGGGTTACTCTCACCTCTCTGCTCGTCAAATCCATGATCAAACGGAGATACAACACTATACAGATAAAGAGTATCGTCTTTTTCACCACAATATGACAGATAAGAGAAGAGTGTTCTGTCAACCTATGTGACGATTTCATAGCCTGTTTAGGTGGGCTTAAAGCAGTAATCAGGTTATGGAATCTGTGAGACAGAAGTTACCACACAGAATGGTCAACATTGTGGTCACTAGTTAAGTAAGCGACTGGATGTATTGATGACTGAAGAGTCCTTGTGGATTTTTGATATCAAGCATTCTAGCATTTTCAAACAAAGGAGATTGGCTAGGATTAAAACTATCTATATATTTGCTGTGAGAATCCATCCAGCCTTCTTGAGATGGGTTCAAGTTTGGATTAAGGCTTATGGATCGAGAGACAGGGCACACATATTCAGGAGTACTGTAGTCACCAGTTGGTTTTGCACAACCGTTTGTATTACTGACTGGAGAGTTCTTCGTACCCCTCTCTCATTAGGAATTTAACTATCTTATACACTGATGATCTATCCTTGTTTCTACCAAAGGCCTTTCATCGTCGGTGACTCTTGACCCTATTCCCATAGGCCTTTTCCGACCTGCGTGAACTGCGTCTTTATTAGCCCAATTTGAAAGACATATTAGATAAGCTTCTTATTCTCCGCTTATTTCAAATCTTTCTCACATCCCTTCCTGTTGTGTTACTGATAGAAATGTCAGTCGACAGCTTCCCCACAGCTGGCGCAGCAAGGGACCGATGGGAAGGCTCCGAGAGGGATCAACAGGCAGACCAATTAGTAGGAGAGGTGCAGGTATCGCAGTTCTCACACCGCGATAAACTGCGATCTCTACGAGAGTCTATCATCGAGGCTTAAACAGGCAATGGTAACAACGCAAGCATACTAACGGCTTCGAGTATAAATAGGTATATGAAATCACCAATCCCCCACAGCTATGACTAAAACTTCTAAATAAGCAATAGGAAAAAGCCGTTACCCAAACCAACAACTGGTGACCGCAGTAAGCCACATAAACTATTGTGCGAGGACCCCAGTCCCTCGGTTTCACAACCTGGCCACTACCTTCGAGCCCATCTCAGAAGGTTGTGGAATTGTTACATATTACTCCTAGTGACTGGTGACCATTCTGGTGGAATATAAATATGCATAAGCTGGAAAACATTAAGCAGATTAACCCCAAATGAAGACATAACATCCGGCTCCAGCTCCGAGAGATTCCGCTTAGTAGGGACCATCTTTATCATCCGGGCCGCTTCATCCAGGGGTTCATCAACTGCCTGGCAATCAAAGCCCCATGTAACGGGTGACTTGGTCTGGTGCAGGCAGGGATCGACAATGGGTCAAATGGGTTAGATGATGGCCACTGACGATGTGAGGTGCACAACGAGGCCAATTGCTAGGTGTACTAATCTTTCGGCGTCCTCAGTGTCCTTGTGTTGAAGGGAGGATGAACAAGAGAAATCCTTCATCGTGTCCAAGTAGCTCCCTTTTATAAAATCCCTTTACCCTTGTGAGTACCTCGCGGTTTCCTGGGATCTTCAGGGATTTTCCTCATCATGGCAAGGCTATCTAACTCATTCTTGGCATCCCGTTATATTTCCCGGGTTCTACCAATCAAATATGCCTTTTGCCCTTCTCAGCTATTGTATCACTGGTGTTCCATATGTTGGCTGTCAAAATATTTCTTCTCCTTGGACTACCGTGTCCATGTGACACCCCAAACCGCCGGTGCTGCCTCTTCCCGTTCCGGCGTTCTCTCCAGCACTGGAGCCGCTAACCGGGATACAGCTATTGGATTGGCCGGGGCGGCAGCTATAGCAACCGCGGGCCTTGACGCTATAGTAAGAATGATAGAGTTCTCAGCGTCAGATCGCTTGTGTCTAGAAGGTAAATTTTATTACTAAGTTAGATGTGTTCAAACAATACTATCAAATCTTACAGCGATGCCTTATCGGACGGTGAACTGCTTTTTGAATTTGTTGTTGCACTGTGCTTGTGTCTTCCAGCAGGCTGTAACATAGCTGAGAGTGTGTAGGCTGGTTGTTGGTAGTTTGTGAGAACTGGAGATGCGTAAATGGCGATGAGAACGCGTTTACAAATTCAGAGCTATCGAGCTAAAATCTAACCTTAAAATGACTCAATGTTGAGACAAGGAGCTGGTGGAGGTCACCCTTGAGGCTCGTGTCCCGTATTACATTTGTGTTGTATTAAAGAATAACTTCTGTGTAAGATTTCTTACGGAAACCCAGGAAAGGATGTTCGAATGTCGAGGGATACTTGTTTTTGAACTTATTACGTCGACTCTACACTGAGTAGAAAGGCAGCATTTAGCAAAGACAGTAGGCGGCCTAGTGGCAAACTATGTGCTCACCGGGAATGCCGTATGGCACCTAGGTCATGGTCACGATGCCGGCGAGCATGGATGAAGCCTAGTCTATCGACTACTTAAAAACTGTACAAGGCCTGGAGGATTTCTGTAATTCGTTATAAGTGGATACCTTGCAGGATGACCACCTCCAGGCTCTAGTTCGTTCTTACTATCCAAGATATCGCAAAGTAGTTGTATTAATGGCGTAGGCAATTAATCCGGGCACATACTAACCGACCGAGATGATCCAGCCGGCCAAAACCAGATGGACAATCAGATCATAGGTATTGCCAACAGCTTCAGGGACAGTAACTCGGATGACCACGGACGAAGACCATGGTAGCTGTTCACCAGACAATTCTCGAGGCAGAAATACTGGTTTGCTTCACTAACCAAGTCCGCTACTGCCGCAAATGCAGAAAACAACCCTCATACCTAATCTAGTCCTGTGGCACATGCTTAAACCGAGTATGGCCGCACTTTCTTGTAATATACACTCGTAACCTGTCGGCCGCACACAGTCCAGGCTTCCCTGTTGTCTCACTCTGCTGTCTTATTGCTCTCACTTGCCTTTGTATTCTTCCATGCACTATTCCATGCTTTGTCCTCGTATATCCTTCCGTTGAAACAACAGTTACAGGAATCAGACTCATCACGCAAATACATTAAGCAGTTTAAGAATATTCGAACCTTTCGGCTCAGTCTTGGACAGTCATATGACACGAGATCCAACCCTTACTGCAGGAGATCAGGGTGAGCCCTTTTATTCAAAACCGCCACATATCCAAGTAGGCCTTGCCAGAGCAGATTAAAGGAGAGTTTATCCACGCACAAAGGCGCTAAGCTTCTCAAAACCCCTCAGCTGCAAACAGCTTGCAGAAAAACCGTGCAAGATCTTCGGTGCGAATATCGTTCCATCTGGAGGAGTCGAGGAACTTTTGAACCGTGTCTAGGCCTTCTGGGGAAACGAACGCCAGTGGTGTGCGCCCATCGCAACCTACTTAGTTCGGATCAACTCAGCCATCACATAACAGAGTTTTAACAACCTCGGTAAGGCCATACTGTACAGCATAACGTAGCGACATTCAGCCATAGTTGTGTTGCTGGGCTAGATCAACTCGGCCATCACGTAACAATCTTAACAACCTCCGAACTTAGGTTTTAACTCTTAAGGAGCAAGGCTGCTGCCTGATATCAGAAAATGCGGCATAAAGTTGTGCCACCATACTGATCCATTCGGATTTCGTCAATAAGTCAAGCAGCTGAGGAGTGCAGAAGGAACCTGCAGATGCATGATGTCCCCAGTAGCTAACAGCATAGGTGAGGAGAGATTTTTTCAAGTCGTTCGCGCGCCTTCTCATACGTCCTGACAGGATCACCTGAAAAGTTCTTAAACGAAAGGTATAATGCGCAGGTATTTGCGATATCAAGATGAGCGATCGAAAACCACCGAGTCAAAGTATCCTAGCAATATTCCTGAAATGTATAGTGGACAAGTTGGATGATTTCGCTTTCTTTGATGACAACGAGCCCACAACATGCCTAAAGCATGTCTTCAGCATCAGGGATTGCGGTTTCATCAATATAATCCTGAATATACCTGATAGTCCATGCATATTGAACTTCTATCATTTCCAGAGGACGTTAGGCATAGGTGATCCAGGATAACGCATGATTGGCAAGCTCCTTGTGACCATTCTGTTGCCCATTGATTCGCTCCATTGCGTTGTTATATGACTGGTGTAATTGGGCAAGCTTTGGCTCCTTTTCCTGAATTTGTTGCGAAGCCTGTTCAGTGCTTCACGGATGCGCTTTGCGCTAACTTTATTCTCTAAGGACATGAAGAAGTGAGCAACTAAGAACCTGATTTGTAAATAAGCATATGTTCAATTGAATCAAGAACCCATGGTTTATGGAAAACTATAGCTTACATACCATCTGCGATGCTGTAAACATACCTGACGATCTTATGTTGGAGGTCCAGATGCTTCCAGAGAGCGCGCAAATTAGACATCCGATTACGCATTTATCGTTCGATGTCGTCCTTTTGGGCTACATCTTAAGGAGAGAGTGTCCACGAAAGGCTTCCACAATATCAGATACAGGGCGGGATGTGGCCAAGAGGTTAACGTTACTCTCCCTCGATTGAAGGCGCAGTCATGTTTCAATGAATTTGGAACGAACATCGTCGCTCATCTGGCACTCGTCCAGCACATCAAGGTTAACAAAAACTCCATCCTTGTGGAGTGCGGCAACAGCATGGAACATCTCCTCAAGATCACTCAACGATGGCTGTGATCTATGCTTCTTGTGTTGTGCATAAGCATCCAAGACTGCTGATGGTGATGAACCTTGTCACTGAGTAGTTGCTTTACGAGGTTGGCAATGAGCTGCTCGACGTTTTGGCCGTCTACTCGCCGGAAGATACAGTATAGGTATGCGATGCCAACGTCACGATCTCTCAAATTCTTTTGGAGATAATCGACACAAGGATAGTCTTCCCAGCACCAGGCATGCCAGGGCAGAAGAGAGTCACTGGCTTCCTTGACAGCCTGGTGGATTGATCAGCTTGAGAAAAAAGAGGAACGAGACAGGTTCGAAGGAAACAAGAATTTTTATATAATATTCTTGGAACTGAGGAGAGTATAAGAACCACTGTCCTGTGCCTTCTTGTCTTCGGCGTAGAAAGTCGGCTTGTTGTAGCGACTAGTCCACCAAAGAGAGCCAGCTGAGGATATCTGTATCTTTTTGTTCTTATGGAACAGATGTCAGCTCAAGATCGGCCACGAGATGATTACTCGCAAATAAGCCAGATCAAGGTTCAGACAAACCTGCTTGGTGAAAGTTAGTCACCTGCGATAGAACGTGACTAATAAGATTTCCAGAACCAATGTTGTGGATGCTACGATGGAACTGAATATTGATGTTGTGGGTATTGCCAGGTGAGCGAGCGGTTTTGACAGCAGAATCAGTGTTATCGACAGCAGGGAAACCAGTGCTATTGATCGTAAGAGGATTAGTACTGTTAACGGCAGCGAAACCAGTGTTGTTCATCGTGGGAGGGTTGGTGTTGTTAACAGTAAGGTCATCAGCATTGTTGACGGAGGAAGGGGGGGGAAGGGAACAGTACTGACTCAGATAACACCAAGATTCTGCACAACTTAGATACTAATACCCTTTAGGTCTCTAAAGTGGGATATCTTAGAGAGTAAGAGCTTCCCAGTTATTTTTCGCCTTTCGCCTACAAGCCTTAGGTTCCGGCATCGGGTCAAGGCACGAGGATCTGTTGAGTTGCAACTGCTTCCCCTAGGTTCGAAAAGAAGCAGGACTTTGATGATTGCCTCTGGTCTAGCTGGATGTACTGTCAATAATGAAGAAATGAGGAACAATGAAAACAAAGGAATAAAGGCTCGGTAACCTTATGGGCTTGGCTTACCAACCAATACCAACTACAAGGCCACTCGCCAGACCCTCCGAAAGGCGTATATCCCATTTTATCAGAGAGATAGCCTCCGGTCGAGGCCCAACGTGTACAATCTTCACAACATTTATAGATGATTCGAGCGGTTATCCCACATTGATCGAGGCTAATAATATGGAAGAGCCGACATTGCTCGCTACATTGATCGACTAACCTTAAGGCTGTAGGCCTGCAGCGAACTACGTGGCTTAAACACTTATGAGTGATAAGCAAGTGGTTGTGAAATACGTAGGCGATTACCGTGGCTAACAACAGTTTGTGACACTAGAGAAAGCTTTCTGGTGCTGTAAGTCGGGTTAAACAAACTTGGTGCTACTCTTGGACCTTGGGCATAAGAACCATAACCACTCAGCTCAATAAGAGTCTAAGTCATCTCAGTAAAACTGTGGGAGGCATTGTAACTCATGTTACCTATAGGCTCTAAAGCTCGATGTTGTAAGGATAGTCGGGAAAGGGCGTTGTGTAGACAGATGAAGGTCACTTAGGCGCATAGGTTGGCGTTCTACGAAAGAGCTAAGTAGGTCTAGAAGTATACTTGCTAACGACAGATTCGATAGTGTTTCGGGAAGGGGGAACACCAAGTACGAGCGAACCTACCTACCCTAGCTAGCCTGACGGGATGAACCACTGTAGGTCACTTAAAGCAAGCACCAAGCTACCCTCCGTTTCGGAACGGTTTGGGCCATTCCAACGAGATGATGCGAAGGACTACTTCCCGGGCTAAATATGGGTGTAACCTTAAAGTACGACCCACACAGGAACTGTCGTGGTGTGTTTCTCTGCAGACGGGAGTGGCTTGTTTCTGCGTTTGCTTCAAGCCTTGACGGTTTGTTTGCAAGGAACAACTGGTCAATCCGCATGGCAAAGGCGATCGATCGATCCATCGATCACTGTGATGGCGATGCAGACGCACGGAGTTTGATCTACAGATGCTGTAGGTGGCTTGGAAGTACCGAGCGTCTCGATGATCAACGCCAACAATAGTATAGTTTGATATACACGTTCATCACCACAAAGAAATGTCTGGATCGTCGGCGTGCGCTAAGTTGAAACATTGCCTGTCTTTGATACCCTCAAAGTGGGCAGGTCTAAAATATCGGAGAATGATGTCCTCTGCAACGTCGTGACGCTGCCATATCGACTCTAAGACACCATCCTTACATCACGCATTTATCATCGCTAAATAACAACATGCTTCATTCCATTTCTTAAACACTGTGATAGTGGACATTTGAACAAATCCATCAATAATTTGTGTCAGTTGAAATTTATTTATTTATTTATTTATTTATTTATTTATTTATTTTGCTATTTGAAATGACTCGAGAGATCCATCTGAAAAGGTTTGTTGGGGATACAACATGGTTGTCCACGGTCCCGCTCTCGGCTGTGTTTCACCAGTGACCCCGCCTAGGTCAAACTGCACAACAACCCCTTGCAACTTTCAACTTCCCCGATGGGAATTCGTTCGATGCAAGGTAGGGTCGGTGGTTACCTGCCATGGGTGTTCGAAACAGCTAGGCCGTTATAATGCAACGATATACACAACACTGTCGTGATCATTGACGCCCTATAGGCAAGTTATGAATTCTTCCGGCGGTGGGGTGATCTCGCAAACTAGGTATGGTTTACGCTACGGGTCTTTTCTGAGATTCATCGTGAGAAACTAAGGAAACAGACTGCGTCATGCGGATTAACAGCGGCCTGGCTGGACATCGTCGATCTACAAACGCATAGAAAATAGATTTCGATGTCCATGACCTCGCAAACAGGCACAGCCCGTCTATCTCATCGATCGATGCGTGGCTGAGTTACGTGGGCGTTCTTGAACCCTTCTTGATTGGAGCGATTGTTGATCGATGTTTGAGCTCTGGTGGTCCCAGTGGGTGGACGTCGGAGTCAAGTCAAGTCAGGGGTCCATACTCAGGGGGGTGTGTGGGTTCACCTCACCTTGAACCTCACCATAAACCCAAGCACACACGATTTCTGTCCTTCCCCGCCGGAGACGCGATGGCACACGAATCGTTCGGTTGACGGGAGGAGATGGTGACATGGTACTTACTGCCTACGTGGAAGGCGGGTCTTTGAAGAACTTGGAATGTTTCTTGGTTTGGTAGGATTTGGTGTTAAAACCTATCTTCCCTCAATCCTCACCTTCGTTCACCTTTCAGCAACAATCCATCATTTGCTCTACCTCGAGCTCAGAACGTCGATTTTGTTCGGCTCACTTTGTTTCGTTCCTTCCTTTCCTTTTCCATTACCGCGCGCGGGTTCACGCATTTGCTTTCACATACACCGCAGTGCAGAGCAGCTTGCTGCCAGCCGGCTTTCCGTCTTTCCGTCATACTGGTCCGTTTGTGTATCCACGAACGGGACTTTAAGGGAGCTCAGTATTCCCCGATTGTTGTCTGATGTCCTTTGTGTGAGGTTTTGGAGGCAGATTTGATGCTGGCATCTGTTTTGTGACGACTTGGTCGAGAGATCCGTTTTTTTTTCCGACGTTGATTTGAGAGCTTGTTCAATCTGGCTTGGTCTGAGCGGGTATATCACGACAACGACGTCTTCGAGTTCTTCGAGTCCATCTCATTCTCTCAAGCTTGGCCCGAGACCTTCGTCTCTTACCTTCCATTCAAGCATTTCACTCTGCTTGACGAGACCACTCCGTCTATCACAATCTGACGACCGTCACAACTTACCTTTTCTCCAAACACGACCAAGATGTTCCTCTCCCGCTTCTTCTTCATTCTCCTATCTTCCTTGGGTTTCTTCACCCTCTCTTTCGCCGCGGCCGTCCCCCGTGACTGGAACGAAAAATACCACCACCCACGCGTCCTGGTGCCCCAATCCTACTACGAAGTACTTCGTCTCCGCTCAACAGCCTTTCTCAACTCGCGCTTTATCGCGACAAATATCGTCTGTTTGGATCGCTCCAAGTACGTTCCCCTATTTATCCCGCCGGCTCTCTCCATTGCAGAGGTGCTAACCATAGCTCAGGAGAATCCCCACAAAGGATGAATCCACTTCCCTCCTTTCTATCTGCCCTTCCTTCTCGACTTCCCCCTCGGCAACCGCGAAGTGCGGCATTTCCCAAAGGGAAGTGTCGGCGAGGTCCGGTGCGGCTGAGATCAAGTTGCAGGCTGTGAGGGAGAATGAGACGGTCGTGTCGTTAACGAAGGAGAGATGGGTACAGTGTGTGGCAGCCGCAAGGGAGGTGTGTCCGACGGGGAGTGTGGAGGCCGTGTGTGTGGGTGTGGCGAGTAGGGGCGGGGATGTTAAGTTCACGCTGACGGGGGTTTAATGTTTGGGAATTCGATGTTCTGAAGGGCTGGTTGGGACTTCGCTAACGGGTTGATGATGAGAATGCTTTGTTTAGGCACTTCCGAGAGCGCAGACTCAGGCACGGATGGGCTATGGGGTTGTGACTTTCTTGCTGGGTGTTCTGGTGTCATGGCTGGCTTTGGGAATAGTAGATGATGGTATGATGGATGATAGGACGAGTGTGCTGGGATGACATGTGTTCGATGATGAGGACGTGATGACCTTTCGTTCGCTTCAGACTGTACATATTCTGTTCTTGTCAGGGGTGTTGCCTTGTACATATCTCAATGTCCTCCGCTGTCACGATGTTGATGCAATTAACGATTCTTCCGGGATGCCTGAAGCTCAAGTCAACTGAGATGAATCCGAAAAGCAATGTCATACCTCAATTGAACAATTAAGGGTATCATCAACCTGAACGCCGTCCACCCATCTATACTAGAGCCCCCTCATATACCCCCCCCCTTTTTTTTTTTCCACACTGCATCCCTACAACCCATACCTCGTCACGCACTCCTCCCGATGCACCTCCAAACACCCTAACCCACATACCCGACTCCCACACTTCATACACTTCACTCTACCCCAATACCCACACACCCCGCAGAACACCCTCACCGGATATCTCGGCTCGTCCTCTTCAAACTTCCCTCTTGCCTCCAAATAATTCAGCGGCGGCGCCGTCATCAGCTCTCTCAACTCCTCGTCGCTCGGGAACGGTGGCACGCGGGAGACTAGCAGCGGGTCATCGTCACCTGGGTGGGACGGGGGAGGGGGTTTTGTGTACGGGGGGAGGATAGTGCTTAAGCGGGGGTAGCTGTTCGCTTTCTGCTCTCCCTTTTCTTCCCCAATCGATGTCGAAGGGGTGTCCGCATCCAACATAGGCGTATCTTCCCCCTCCTCTTTCTTCCCCTCCACAAACTGCACATGCACCATACTCCCTCTCTTCCCCCCCGCAGTAGCAGCCTTCTTCCTAGCCTCTTCCTCAGCCTTCTCCTTCGCCGCCGCTCTCTTCGCGGCAGCCTGGGCACGCTTGCTCTGCGTCGCACCCGCCCCAGCATTTGCGGCCGGCGCCGGTGAGCCACTCTTGGACGCATTCGCCGACGACGCGGCACTCAACTTACCGCCAGTCCCTGCCATCGCCGCCGCCGCAGCAGGATTCGACTCTGCCAGCGCAAGCATAGCAATGTAGTCATCTAAATGGTTGGCAAAGGTTTTTTGGGATTGGAGGATACGTCGCACGTTGGGGGTGTGTTTCTTTTCCGCTGTTCATGACCAACCAAGCTCCCATTAGCACCTTTTTCATCACCAATTGGGGGTTGTTGTTGTTGTTGTTGGGGACGTACGTCTCCCCCCACCCGGCTTCGCCGGAATGGGAATATTCACATCTCTATGGCTGTCCCTATCTAACGCCTCGAGCTCCTTGCGCACGCGCGTCTCTTCGCGGGCTGACAGATCGGATAGGCTGAGGGCGGGCTGGTTGCGGGCGGCACGTTTGCGGTTGGTGGGGGGCTGGAGGGCTTGCGGGGGCGTGGGCCCCGTGTCAGGCACGTAGGCCCAGCCGGGGGTGGTTTTGGTGGTGGTGCTGGCTATTTCGATGACGCCGAAGTTGTTCATGGTGGTGGTTGTTGGAGGATGGAATGGAGGATGTGAGAGAGAGCCAGAAGAGAGGGTCCGGGGATGTTTGATACTATGGACCCACTTTTGAGGTACGTACCCTGGACCCTTGGTCGGGGGCCGGGGAAGGGCAGACATCACGGTGTTAGTCGAGGTAAGAAGCCATATCGAGGTCAATTCATTCCATTTCTACCCTCTGGCAAAACGAAGTCAACAGAAGATCGTGTAATCAAGCCACGCCATGTACAGAAAGCACAACCATAATCCTTTCCCTCCACGAAATCCTCTAAGAAAACTTCCCTCAACTCCTTACCCTCTCTACCATGTCAACACCTTTTGCTCTTCCAACGCCTCACCTCCGACTCCTCCTCTCCAACGCCTCTAACCTCTCCTCTAGTGTCCCCAGATACCCACTCAGCCGGTCGACCGCTCTCTGCAGAGCCTATACACACGCGCCAACGCACAACAAGTCAGCCACTCCGCTCCCCGATGCCCTCCCTTCTGTCTCAAATGGCGACAGGGCAAGAAATAAAAAGGCCATTCTGAAGACAAACCAGCAGAGTCAAAGTTTTTCTTAAATAAGTCGCCAGCGGCAAGCAAGCAATGCAAATTAAAGGTAATAGCATAGGAAGATGAAGAAAAGGCATTACTAGGTCAAGCAAAGCAAGGCAAACCAATGAACTAATTTCAAAAGAACTAGGGTAGAAGGGTAGAAAAAAGAGGTAAAAGAAGTAAAAGTAGAAGGGAGGTAGGTAAATCAAGAATAAAAGGGTCAGATGCAAAGACGCACGTAAATGTCCTCAGTAAGCAGCTCGTTGGACGCCTTATACTCCTGCACGGCGTAGTAATAGACTCCGGCACCGGCGGCGGTGGTGCCGAGGAAGAAGCCGAAGAGTCTGGATAAGTCAGCCATAGAGTCCTGACAAATATTTTTCCTCAACTGTCCCTTTCCAATCTCCAAGGTTATATATATGCGGGCAAGCAGTAGAGTAACGGTTGACTACTACCGTCTAGCCCCCTACAACACGCTTCCCCAGGACAGAACGTCAATCCCTCCTAACTTCTTCAGTTTCATTCCCCAATATTCCAGTCGAGTTCAGTAAGGCACCTGTGTTGAAAAAAAAAAAAAAAAGAAAGAGAGAGAGAGAACCCACCCTCCCCTCAGCGCACCGATAGGCTTCCTCGGTGGAAGCGGGCTCACACTAATTCCAGAAGCGGCATTCTGCCTGGCAGACGAAGTACCAAACCCACGGGCAAGCCTCATGGGAGCCATGCGCGCCGCAAGGGTCCGTGACGTGATCGCAAGCATCTTGCCTTCTTGTTTTCTGTGCAATCGGTTCGGTTATGCCTTATTCGTTCGGGTTTTTTAGCTTCGTAGAGGATTCGATCGACGTGCAGGAGTCTCGCGGTACGTCTCGTTTCGTTCGTATAGCTCTCTGGCTTGAGAGGACTGGAGGACTTGGAAAGGGGGAGGAAGAGGTTTGCCTTGCTTGACCCTTGATCACAAGGGAAGAGGAGGAGGGGCTTGTTTCGTTGAGGGTCGGTCGCACCTAAATATGTTTACGTGGTATCGTATCGAAGACAATTTTAGAGTAAACAAATCAAGAAAGCGGTGAGCCAGTCGTCTGGTCACTCCCACACAAAATGTCCGCCTCTCTCAGCACACAGACAGAAGATCAAGCCCAAAGCCCCAGGTACCTCAGAGAGCGGGATGACAGCGAGCGAATTGCTTCATCGAATTGGAAAAAAGTGGACCCAGGTCTTCGGGCCGTCAACCCTGCCCCACATCAGAGACCGTTGGAACTTGGCATCAACATCATCAACTTCATACTTGGCATTTCGGCAGCGGCAGCCTGCTGCTGGGACAGAGAGGGCCGAAGAGTTAAGGGCAATCACAGAGGAACAAGTGGCCATTCTACACAGGTAGAGTCAACACAATAGCTCAGTGAACACTTCACAGACAGCCTAGCTGTCCAAGAGTAAACAAGCACTACACTTGGACATTGACACATCTTTGGCACACCCCCTCATCGCTTCTTAAACGAAGCAAATCTGTCAATGTCAATCAACCCTTATTCCCATTCATTCATTCCCATTGTACGTATCAGGTAGTCAGTTAAAGAACCTTGAAAAAGGAAAAAAAAAATCCCAACCCTATGTCACTAAAATACAATTCATTCCTCCCACCATTCCCTTTTTGCCTGTCCTTACACCCCTCACAGCTCATCATGGGCAGTCTCCTTACCCTCCTCAGCAGAAGCAGTCTCGCTAGCCGCTGTCTCTTCCGACGCGGCCGTCGAGGTCGGGGTAGCGCTAGTCTCACTGCTGCTGCTGGCAGCCGTGGCATTCTCCTCCTCATTCTCCGAAATCAGCGCCTTGTATTTGCCGTTCTCAGCCACAAACTTAATCATATCCTCCACCGACCGGTTGCCCGAGTAGGTAACCGGCTTGTCCTTCGCGCCAGCAGGATACATCTTGATGGTCGGGAAGCCCATGATGTCATCAGGGACATCGTTGGCCGTCGCATCAATCTTGGCAATGACAACCCGGTCCTTGAACTCCGAGTTGCTGTACAAGCGACCGAGCTCCTCATACTTGGGCGCAAGCGCCTTGCAGTGGCCGCACCAGGGCGCATAGAACTCAATGAGCACGTCCTTGGTGTCGTCGAGGACAATGTCGTTGTAGGTCTTGGCGACGACGACGGTGACGGGGCCCTCCTGCTTCTCAGGAATCGGCTCCGACTTGATGCTCGGCTCGATCTTGCCAGCCAGGTAGTCGTCGACGAACTGCTTGATAGAATCGTGCGTAATCTCCTTGTCCTGGTCGTACGGGAACTTCTGGTTCTTGGTGGTCTCCTGGATGGCGAAGGCCGGGAACTTGTCCGTCTTGAGGTTCAGGTTGCCCGCGTGCGCGCCGTACGCCTTGGCGTCGATCGTGCCGAAATTGATCTTGCCGCGGGTGGCCTCGGCAATGGGCTTGAGCTTCTCGCTCAGCTCCTTGCGCTCCTCGGGCGTCTCGGCAAAGATGTACGCCAGCGGGATGCCCGCCGCCATGTACTCGCCATAGGTCTCGGGGCCGATCTCGCCGATGAGCGGGGTGGCCGCGACCTTGGCCCACTTTTGGATGGCCTCCTCATCGAACTTCTCGGTGAAGACGGCCTTGCCCTCATCAAAGTCCTTGTACAGAACGATGGCGGGCGCCTTGACACCCTCGGCCTCGGCGAGTTCGGCGTCGCTGCTGCTGCCGAAGGGGTAGTTGTCACGGAGCTTCTCCGCGACCTTCTTGAAGACCTCAGCCGAGGCCTTGTCGCTGGCGTCGACATAGGCCACCAGCACGACCTTGTCAGCCTTCTTGAACTCCTCCAGCGTGTCCTTAGTCACATCGGAGACGGCGGGCAGCGACTGCTTGATCATGTAGGAAGTAATGGCAGCCGCCTTGCGCTGGCCCTTGTAAGGGGTGACATTATCCAAGCCACGGAACACCTTGAGCGTCGGGTAGCCTTCAACGCCGTGCTCCTGGCAGAGCTCGGTCTCCTCGGTGCAGTCGACCTTGACGAGCTTGATGTTCTTGTCCTTCAAGTTGGTTGCCGCCTCCTCGTACTCGGGCGCCAGGGCCTTGCAGTGGCCGCACCACGGGGCGAAGACTGTACTGTCAGCATCAATTGGTGGTGTGTCGGTTACTGGGGAACTCACACTCGGCAAGGACCAGGTCATTCGACTTGATAAAGTCGTCGAAGGTGTCCTTCTTGAGCTGGATGACGTCGGACGCCGAGGCCCAGGCCGCTGCGGCGAGCAGGCTGAGAGCAATCCTCTGAGCCTTGTGCATTTTGACTGTTGTTGCGGGTCAGCACCGAAAATGAACGGGGATAGGAATATGGATATCAAGTATTGAGATGGGAGCACAGGGTGGCACAAACCTGATGTGGTCGGCAATTAAAGGGGTTGTTTAGATGTGAAGAAGAAAAGTCGAAGCAGAGAAACCGACCAGAGAGGAGGCAAACAACGACAAGATGGTGCAAGAGACAGGAGGAGTGGTCGAGGACAGGATATCCCAGAAGAAAAGTGGTGTGGCCCTGTGGTGCTGGGCTTTCGCCTTCTTGTAGCTTGTGCTGGAGCGCCCAGTCTGGGGGGGTTGCTGGCGGGCTGAGGTGCGAGTGAACAGGTGTCTTTTCCGCCGCAGCAAGCCTCTAACCGCTCTTGGCACCGCCGGCGCTGCCAGCTGCGCTTCCTGAAAAGGACAGACGGTGGGGAGGAGTTGCTGTGGGGCGATCGGTGGATGCACAGTGTGTGTTAGGGTAGAAGGGAGACGGTAGGAGGGTTAAAAGGGTCGGCATGCATTCGATCGGAGTGATGACAGCCGGTATCCGGGTTCGTGATCTTTGTGTTACATGATTTGATCTATGGATTGGACGAAACTCCGTTGTTCAGCCACTGTTAAAGTTGTGAATGCCCTCGACCTGCTTTTCTAGACACAGTGCTTACCCGTCGATCGCCTGCCGAGTCTCTCCACATCTGGGCGCTGGGCTGGCCCACCAGGCCTGGGGTGTGTTGCCGTCGTGATCCCTTCCGTCGGCGCCAGATCCCACCAGGTTGATGACAAGTTGGCTGCAAGCTGGCCTTTCCGGGGCGTGAGAATGAGGTTCACAGCCCGAGATCGTACAATCTATTGAGAGGCTTATGTTCCATTATACCAAATCTAACGACTGCGGCTCTTCTTCATATTGACGTCTCTGGCTCTCAACGCATTAGTAGATTCATCTGCCCCGCATTATGGGGAGCTACCACAGTAGTTGCCCATCAACTGCCGCCGCATTGCAACATGCCCCTTTCTAACGGCCAGGCTGGCGCTACGCTCCAACAGTCCACTTAATCCCGGAGTGCCGGGCCACAGATACCGGAAGCATGGCGTGCGGACCGGCTGAGCATGAACTTTGGCCCTTGATTCCCGCGTCCCCAAGGGGTTCGACGGTCCGAAACGCTACCCTCCTTGATTTAGCATGCCGGGTCCACTAAACGCGACACAGCGGCCTGCAACGCTGTCCTGGCTTCTGGAAGTGTTTAACTGTGTCGGCGTGGTTGTTGACAGAGTGGCCATGTGGCGTTTTTTTTGGCTTGGCTGAGTAGAATCTTGTCCAGTTGGCTCGGTCACAATTCGGGTTTTGAGTCATGACACATCAGGCTGTCCAGCTAGACAATCTGGAGTTGGCATTTGTCCATACCTAGTGTCATTGCTTCTCCATCTAATGTCTTCACGAAGTCAGGCTTGACTCTTGTCCTTTACAACATAAACAAAAGAGACCAATGAAAGGAAAACACAAAGCAATCAAACGCATATTAGGCTATTTCTCTAAAGCTAACCAGTGGTCTGGCCTAGGGGACCCTAGACTTGGCCAAGTTTGATGATATTCCAACTGGATCAACACACGAGCTACAATCTCAACAAGATGTCTCAATCTTTGGAATCTTGCTAGAAAGGAACACATGATTCACAAAGCTGGACATGTCTTTGAACTTGTCTTTTATGGAAGCAACGCTAAGTTTCATTCACTGTCCAAGAACACCGTCGCCAAGTTGCCATTCGTAAACCCCTAACCCTTAACTTCCAATCCTAACCCTGAGATGACCTGCAGTTTGGCTTTCCCCAGAATAAACAAGCCCCTGAATCCTTTCCCTCCCTCCCATCCTCACCAGCTCTCTCACCAACTCCTTGACCATGAAAACCGGTCTAGTAATCAAGGCTTCAGTGTAAGTAGCTTCAAAAACGGGGAGAGCAGTCGTCGGTGTCTTCTCAGTGTCCGTCAGGGACTTGGTAAGGCTGACGGCAGGCTTTTCTTTTACTGTTTCCGAGGGCGTCAAGATCTCGGAGGGGTCATCTGGTTGACTTGTGGAATCCTGTTCAAGCTTGACGGTGCTGTTAGACCCGAGGCTGCCTTCTCTCCTTCCTCAGCCTTCTCTCACTCTCCCCCTTTAACCCCGCCAAGACCTAACACCCGAATCGACCTCCTTATCCTCCATCCCATCGTAATGCTCCTCCTCAGCAACTCGTTAGATGCTTCCTTCTCGGTTGTAATATTGCTGGCTGGCTGACAGCTTTTGGGACGCGATAATGAACAGTTTGCGCGAGCGAGGATTGCTGTATGCATTTGCTTAATCCCAAGGAATCTGGTACGTCTTTTTCTACTGAGGCAAAGCTCAAGGACAAGGATGTGGGGGCCCCTAACATGACTGCTGCAGCAAACTCTGTGCTGATGCGAGCAACCCGATGTTAACACCATCTGCGGTCGTAGCTAGGTCGATTCTAGTACTGGCCTACTGGTAGAACTTCCACTGACAATATCAGTGTCGCAATCTGTTTCAAGACAAGCCGATCTGAAGGGTGAAGAAGTTGTCCTATCGTCAGCTCAGGCTGCCCTGGCGCAAATCCTGCTGAGGATACTTCTGATTTTACCTTGTCCTATAGGCGGTTACAAGCCGGGCTGCTCCGGCGACTTCTACAACTTATGTCTTCTTCGGGATTCACACTCAGCAGCCATTGCGGATAAAGGGATAATTCGCAGAATGAGAGTTTTAGCAGTTTCAGTGTGCGGTGGCACTTGGCTGCTGCTCTCTTCATCTACAGCGGACGGGAGACCTCGACAGTCACACTCAGCAGAGTAGACTAGCTGGGGGCTGGTGATCCCCTATCAAAAGCACTCACAATGGGCAGTTGCTTTGTGCAGGCACAATTTCTCTTCGCTCGCAGTGAGCAGCGAAATTTGGCGCTCACACCGAGAAGCGGCAGTGAGCAGGAGAAGGGGTTGGCTCTATGTCAGTCATACTTCGAACAGTATCCATTATCGCCAGTGACAGCAAGCTTTCACACCAATCGGAAACTCTTATGAGAGTCATACGATTCCAAAAGCTGGACCCCGCCCCTATGCATGATAGCAGCTGCTCCCAGTATCTGTTCTGATGAGGCTTCGTGGCTGGGGGCCTTGTGAGCTTCATGCTGATACAACAAGAAGGGTCCGGACCATAATGGAGATCAAGCCACGACTGAGCGCCGTGACAACCAATCTTGGCCAAGGATTCATAAAGTGAAAGCAAGGTCGCATCTCATGGTCTACATGAACCATTGTGTGTAAGTTGCCTAAGGACACGACAGCGATCTTGATGTTTAGAGATAGTGCCAAGCACATTTCTCCAGTCATTGACTTGAGGTGTTCTCTTTGTAAAAGGGGTTTCTGCGTAGATGGGGTTTGTCATATTACGGGTTATTTACTGGGTTTGAAAACATCTTATTGAGGATTCAAGATACCCTAAGTGTTATCCCTGACGTAGAGTTTCATCCTTGAGTTGATATACTCTAATTCTACATTGCCGTAGAGGTCGCTGCCAAAGAAGTGGGTCAAGACCAACTCAACGATAGAATCCTGACTGCTAGAGGTAAGCCCTGGCGCTGAGGGAGAGTATAAATCTGTATAAGTCAGTCAGGGATGTTTTTCAGATGTTGTTCGTGACAGAGAGTCTCGTCTCGTCAACATAAGGTTTCTAGAGAGAAGCAAGAATCAATCAGGAACGCTGCTTGACAAAAGATTGTGTTATGGGAGGAGCTAAAAAAAAAAAAGGACAGAAACAACAACTTTCTGCTCCCAGGATGCCAAAGGGGCATTCACCACGAGAAAAGGGAGTTCGAACTCCAATCTACCCCTTGCAGAGTCATAATGAAGAAGGCAATACTGAGAATGGGTATGAGATTGCAAGATACAGACATAACACAAACACTCAGCTCTATCAGGTATCTTCGAACCAAGCCTCTCCCAACCAAAATCCATTCCCCTTTATTCTCTATCCTCCCCATTGCCCATCTCTGCCCTCATGAATATCTCCTCTTCCCCTTTTCCCAAACCTCTCATCCTTAGTCCCCTCCCCTAAAACACCCCCCCACCCAAGATAAACAACCTTTCCTCCTCACGTCTCGCCCACTGCACCACCCGATTCACCTCCCTCGCCATCCCCGCCCGTCCCACACACCCCGGTGCAACACAATACACCTCAAACGCGGGGGTACTCCAACCCAAGCACGCCAGTCCCTCTCCCTCCTTTTCGTCAGCCGTTGAATAAACAACCCTCAAATGCGCATGCCTAGCATGCAGGGCAGCATGTAGTTCTTCATAGACACTCATCAATTTCCTCCTCGCCAACAGGGTTTCGGTGGCTGTTGCCCCGGGCGGTGTGAGGGAGGAAAGAGAGGACATACACCATTGGACGTTGGGGCGGGACTTGTAAAGAAAGTGGAGGAGCGGGGTTTTGGGGAGGATGGAGGTTATGGAGGGACGGCCGGAGAGTGCGGTCGAACGGATTAGGGAAAGATAGCCTGTGGAGAGGAGTTGGGAAACCAGGCGAGTGCGCATGGATTGGAGGGCGTAGAAGGCCTCTCGAGAGGGGGAGATGAGGATAAGGGCTGTTAGGTCGTCGTCTGGTGTGTTGCTGGAGTTCTTGTTGCTGGCGTCAAGGTTAGATGACTCGGGAGGTTGGTTTTGGTCGTCCGGGGCCTTGTCGTCGAGAAAACTGACATACATATACAAATAGCCCGTGTTATTAAACGCCGGCAGACAAAGCGGGATCCAGTTCTCCCCTCCATTCCCCTTAATTCCCCCACTCTCAAATAGCATATTAAAAATCAGCTGCAAATCACTCGGATGCAGGCTGTGCTTCCTCGGGCGGATCACACTAACCAGCTTCCCACCCGCCACTAACAACCCATACAACAGCTCCTCGCACCGACTCTTCAAAAAGATATTCGTTATCGCCTGCCGCTGGCTCTTCCTCAACCTCAGACACTCTAGCGCGCTGAGCAGCGTGCTCGGCGACCCCTTTGTGAAACTGTCCGCCAGACTGGCCAGCAAACTTTCCGTCCCCTGTAGGGGACCACGTAGGTCTGTCGACGGCCGATGTGCAAAGATGTTTGTGAGAATAGGCAGCGTCAGCGTGCTCAGAATTTGCATATACAGCGCCTCCAGCTGAGCTCTCAACTGGGCGTCACTCTCCCTCAACCGGCTAATCGCGACAAAGTACAGCGGCCCCTTAATCAGAATGACAAACCTTACCTTCCCAGCCGTAAATCCCAATAACGGATTCCTTGCCCCCTCATAGAACGAAATAATTGTCTGCACCACACCCATGGTTGAGTTCACCAGACTTAAGTCCCCGTGCCGGCTCCAGATTGGTTTTCCCGCCGACGAGAGTATAAGATAATGTTTCAGCTTTCCCTTCCACAAAGCCAACCTCTCATCGTCGGGAAGTGTATCAGGGATGTTGTCTAACTCCCGCTCAAACCCTTCCATCCCTTCGCCTAGTCCTAACCCCTCAATCTCTGTTATTTCACCCTCCTCCCCAGACCCTTCCCCACACGCTTGTTGTTGTGCCCTCAACACCCGCCACGCCTTACTCTTCCTCCCTAACCCATCTCCGGCGAGTAAACTAGCTAGATCCCCCGCCGTCCCAGTAACCCCCCTCAAAGTCCCAGCGACGGAGGTGATGCTGGCTGTGTCTGTGTCCCGCTGGGGAGTAACGTGGCCGCTGGCTATGGAGGGGGTTGAGACGGATTGTGCGGAGGTTTGAGGGGGAGCGGGGAACGTGCCGCGGGTGCCGTCCGGGAAGGTCAGGGTTGCTATGTCGAGGGGGGAGAGGGCGATTGTGGGTTTTGGGGGAGGGGGAGCGGGGGGTTCGGTTGGCCTGGGGGAAGAAGACGCGGGTTCGGTTGCAGGAACGTCGTTGGGTTTGTTGTTGGGAGGAAAGTCGGTTGTGACTTGGGAGGGAGGTTCGGGAGCAGGCTGGGAGGACGGCTCAGGCTTTGTGGTGTCAGTCTGTTGTCCAGCGACCGTGCCTTCCGCGGCGACGGACTCGGGGGCGTTATTTTGGGTCATTGTCGGAGACCAGCTCGACTCGACTCTACTTCAACCTTGACTTTGGTTGGGATATTGTAAGGATATTCGCATATCTGCTTGATCTTCAGTATGACGCCAAGCTGGCGTCAGGAGCAGTCCACTCTGCTGCCATATCTTGGCGCAGTTGCGTCAGAAGCGTGTTAGCGTGAGCCTCGCGAGAAAGTCGGCCCTGATGTTGAAGTTGCGTGTAGGAACACGATCAGCGATGACGACGCGGGATAAGATAATCCAGATAAGATAGATGATAAGATAAAGCTCCAGGTCCACGCAAGCAGGCCAACCTTTTGTCCAATTTAATTGGCCGGTACCTGGACCGACAGGACCTCCACTGTGTCAAAACCCCACATCCTCCCACCTCACACTGTGGCCAGCAAGGCAGGTTGATCCAGCGAAACTGTCCTCCTCGTCCCCATCACCAAGCTCAACGTCGCAAGCTCTCCAACCGATTTCCCCCAAACATCACCCAAAGCCACATATAAACTTCTAGTCTCGACAGAAATGTCCTCAATCTCCCAATCCTCCCAGCGAAACCGTTAATTCGCCCCCTCCAATTCCCAAAAAATGTCCCACTCCCCCGCCGGCGCACCCACCGCGCGCCCCTCCACGCCCGACTCCTCCGACCGCGAATCCCCTGCGCCCTCCAGACCCTGGCGCAGCGCTTTAACCACCCTCGGCAGCGCCGACGACGAGATCCCCCACAAAGACAAAAACTATCGAAAGTATGCCAGCAACGTCGAGCGCGCCCTCTCCCTATTTGACACCGCGCTGCAAGAGTGGGCCGACTACATCAGTTTTCTGAACAGACTGCTCAAGGCGCTACAGGGTCGACCGGGGAATGTCACAGCCATCCCAGCCAAGGCAACAGTAGCGAAACGCCTAGCACAATGCCTCAACCCGTCCTTGCCATCGGGAGTGCACCAAAAAGCACTGGAAGTCTACACCTACGTGTTCAGCGTCATCGGCCGGGACGGGTTATCCCGCGATCTGGCACTCTACCTACCAGGCTTAGCACCAGTGTTAAGTTTCGCCTCCCTCTCCGTGCGTGCGCCGTTTCTGGACCTGCTGGAGCGGTACCTCGTCGACCTCGACCCGCGCGCCCTGCGCCCCGCGATGAAGAGTATCATCCTTGCACTGCTCCCGGGCCTGGAGGAGGAAACAAGCGAGGACTTTGATCGCACGCTGAGGCTCGTGGAACGGTTCAAGGCCTCGATACGCCCCAGCACGACTAATGCCATTACGGAGGTGCACTGGACGGGAGATGATTTCTTCTGGCAGTGTTTCTTTCTGGCGGGGATTACAGGGTCGTCGAGGCGGCCGGGGGCGTTGGCGTACTTGACGCGGTGTTTGCCCCGTTTGGGACAGCCATATCACGCAACGGGGGAGCAGATTTCGCAGGATGAGGTCGAGACGGCGGCCAGGCTGGCCGAGCTGGTTACTTCGCCGGAGCCGGGGCTGCTGATAAGATGTTTTTCGGCTGGGTTGGCGGACGAACAGTTGTTGATTCAGAGGGGGTTTTTGGATTTGTTGGTGACACACCTGCCGCTGCATTCGGAGATATTACAGAGGAAAGCGAAGCCGGGGGATTTGGAATTGTTGCTGCGGGCGGCGGTTGGGGTGACGGTACGAAGGGATATGAGCTTGAACCGGCGGCTATGGACGTGGCTTTTGGGGCCAGAACCGCCGGTTGAGGGGCATGGGGAGGGGGCTGCGACGGCAGAGTCGCCTTCGCATCCGGGAGCGGCGGCGCAGGGGTATTTGGCGTCACGGACGGAGTACTTTGAGAAGTTTGGGCTACAGCCGCTGACGAGGGCGTTGTTGAGTATGATTCGGTCCAACGAGAAGGATGCGAATCCTACTGAGCGGGCTAGGCCGTACAAGATTTGCTTGTCGTTGATGGATAGGTGGGAGATTGGGGGATTGGTCGTACCTGAACTGTTTCTCCCAATTGTGGACAGCGTGCGCGCGTTTAAGGGACGTGCGGCGAACAAGGCGGATTTTGCGGAGGTTTTAAGGAGTGCGAGCGTCTTTTTTGATGGGGTTGAGAGTGGCTTGATTTATAGTGAGATGTTGACGCTCATGGCGCAGGCTATTGGGCCGGGAGAGCTGAGTGAGGGGGAAAGAAGTGCAAAGCTGGACTTGGTCAGGTTTATGCTGAAGCATTTCAATGTGCGCGAGGAGGACATGGTCACGATACACGCGCCGTTGCTGGTGCTCGCCGTCCTGGGGATGATTGAGGAGGCGGAGGATCTAGCGCCAACTTTAGTCGAGGAGGCGCTTAATATTACCTCCAGCTTGCTTGATATGGTCCCGGAGAGGGCATTCACCAGCAAGACTGAGGCCACGGCCACCTCTACACCAGAAATCCCTTCCCTTCTCGACAAAATCCGCTCCTTCTACCTCTCCGACCAGGGCAACCTCGACGTCTCGCCGTCTCCCTTCCCCCCTGCTCTCCTATCCTCCCTCCTCCTGGCCAAAGCCTCCTCCTTAGTTTGCACCTCTCTCCGATCCCCCTCCAACCCCCAGATCTCCCTCCGGACCCGGATAATAACCCAAGCAATCACCAAATCCCCCTCCACAACCCCCCTCAACACCCCAACTCTTCTTCAGTCTCTCTACGACAGCCTATCTTCACCCACAACTATCCCCTTCCCAACATACACTTCCATCATTCTCCTGTCCTCAACCCTCTACTCCGTCTCCCGCATCAATCTTACCTCCCTCTCGGAGCTAGTCTCTCCCCTGGTGCGCCATGCCTGGGCATTTTTGTCACCCTCCGACCCTAAATACCACGTCGAGGTTGTGAGAAGCCTGTGGGCACTGCAAACCGCGCTGGGGAAGGACAATAGAGACATCGAGGCGGCGATTTGTAGTCTGATGATCCAAGGCGAGGTAATGAATGGGACGTTTTGTAGGAGGGAGGCCGAGAGGGGGAGAAGGTTTTGCGTGTTGTGGAATATGACGTTGCAGGATTATGGGAGTTCGGTGGGGTCGGAGAAGAAGGGGAAGGGGGAGAGTAAAGGGGGGAGACTGACCGGTGCGGAGAATTATGAGGTTATGTTGACAAGACCGATGTTTTTGATGCTCGATGCTCTCGCGGAAGAGAAGGCGCAGTTGTTTATGACGGTGAAGGGCTGGTTGGGGGGGATGGTGGGAGTAGAGAAGTAGGTGCTTCGGTTTTACTGTGGCTTAAGGAGTGCTCGAGAGGCTAACAGTTTGTCAGGATGTTCACCATATTCGTCTCTAAGTTCGCCTCAATCTCCTTCCTGCGACGCCGCCAACTCGGCCCGTCTGCCTGCCCGACCCCGTTTGCCGAAGACGATGACCTCGACATGGCGCTGTACTACATCCGCTCTCTCTCTAGCGTGTTTCGCTGGGCGCCGGAGGGGATATGGACAGTCCTCGCGAAGCGTCTCGTCAAGTCTGACGCCTACCAACCTCCCCTCTCCGAAATCAGTACGTCCCCTTTTCACCACCTCTTCCTCTCATCTCGCTAACAAATGTCATAGCCGGCACACAAGCCGACATCCCCCTCCAAGAATTCTTCCTGCACGTCGCGCTCGCCTGCCTAGCCCATGACCCCCCCACAACCCCCCTTTCTGATGGTGCCACAGACACCCCTCCGACGCAACTACACCGCGCATCCCTCACCCTCCTCCACCAAATCCTGCTTTCCCCCTACGCCGAGCCCCTCGCTCGCCTGCGCCTCGACACAATCCTGCTCGACAAGCTCGCGCATGCGTTGGCGGTCGGCACGGATCCACATGTGCAGGTGCTGTTGTTGGATGTGGTGTATGCTAGCTTAAAGTTGAGGGAGTTGGCCCCGTCGTCGGGCACCAAGGAAAACGAAGCTTCGGACGGGGCACTACACGAGAAGAAGGCGGCTGCTGCTGCGGGGGATGTAGGAAGGGGGAGTCGGGGGCTCCTTGTCGGGGGTTGTTGTACCCTCAGACAAGGCGCCGCCTGCTAACCTGCTCAAGTGTATCCTCACCGGCCTGGGGGCCAGTAGCAGCCGGCCAGTGCTGGACAGCTGGGTGGGGTTTTTGACGGCGTGTTTGCCCATGTACGAGGGGGGGATATTTCAGGTTGTGATACCGCTTGTGGAGACGTTGTGTCGGGAGATTGGGAATACGTTCTCGCATCTACAGAAGCTCTTCTCCGTTAATCATAGCCATCAGCACAATGGGGGGCAGGCAGGCCCGGAGACGACGCTCATAAGTTTGCTAAATGGGTTAGAGCAGGTGCTGGCTCATGCTCACGACAGACTCCTGACGGAGGAGGCCAAGGCGCAGGTGACCAAGCACCCTGAACAAGCGCAAGGCTTTTTCGGGAACATGGTGTCTGGAGTCTTTTCATCAGAGGGATCGTCGTCATCCAGTACGAACCTCACTTCCTCTGGGGGAGGGTCTGGCGGTGCCCAGGGGAGGAGCGCGACCGCCAACGATAGACTCACAGTGTTACTGGCCTTTCAGGATGCAGTCAGGATATGTTTTACGATCTGGTCTTGGGGGCATCCCGGCCAGGGGCAGGGTAAGGGTGTGGATATGACCAGCGCAGCGAGTCTGAACTACACCTCCCTCCGGATGCGCAACCGGGCTCGGAGGTTGCTCGAGCACCTGTTTGCCGCCGAAACCCTCGAATGTCTGGAAACAGCAATCCACATCTGGCGGACTACCCTCGAATCCCCAGACCCGTCTTTGGCGTCAGAAGTCTTCCGTCTGCTCCCGGCACTAGACGGCTCCCGACCGAAGCACACCGTGCCCGCGTTATTCAACGCCATCTACAGCCGGAGTAATCCTAGCGCACTGGACCCCTCGCGCAGAAGCACGCTGACGATTGATCTGGCGGATGTGGATTTGGCGGTGTTTTTGGTGGACTATATCAGGGAGCTGGAGGACGATACGATGGATGAGATATGGGGGGATTGTATGGCTTTTTTGAGAGATTTGTTGGGCAATCCGTTTCCGCATCGGGCGACGCTGCCATGTTTGCTGGAGTTTGCCGCTGTTATTGGCGAGAAGGTGGATAATACGCGGTTTGGGGAGGAGAAGAGAATGAGGAGAGAATTGGCGGTAAGTTCTTTTTTTTTTTGTTTTTCATCTTTTCATCTTCTTTTTCTCCCCTTTTCCCTATCTTATTTTTTTTTTCTTCGTGATCTCGATATCTTTATTAAGGAAAGTATGCTAACTATACCAGGACCTCTTCCTCCGCCTCCTCACAGCAATCTTCACGACCCGCCCCATCAGCTTCTCGGACATCCCCGACTCCTCCAAACGCCCTCTTTCTCCCCCCACCCGTACCACATCCAGCCCCCGTCTTCCCCAAGACCGTGCCGACGACGTCGTAGGCATCCTCGCTTCCATCGTCCCCTCCCTCCCCAAAATCCTCGTTGAGCCTGACCGCGTGCTCGCCGCCGCCTCCTCTATCTCCTCCAACGTCCTGGCCCCGGCTTTACGGTCTAAGTCCTTCCCCGACACTTTCAATCGTTCAGCCCTTTCGTTGCTACACGAACTTTCCCGCCTGCCACTGCCAGGCTCCTCCAGCTCTTCAGGAAGTGGCAGTAGTGCAGGGCAGAAGGCCCCCTGGAGGAAAGACGTCTCCGACGCCTTCAACGACCCGCGTTTCTTCTCCCTCCGCCCGCTGTCCCTCATTCCCTCGTCGATTTTACCCCTAATTAGGCAGTGGTGCGCCAATGACAAGGAACGCATGCCGGAGCTGTTATCGCGCCTCACACCTCCCTCCACGGCGGGGATTGTCTTTGGCGTGGGGGCCACCTCGGCCCGGTTAGAGGCCGATCGGAAAACGCAGCTCAACCTGAGGAGGATCGCGACCCTGGTGCTGGCGTGTCCTGTGGATACCTTCGTCTCGGACCTACCCGCACTCATCGAGAAGTTGACCGAGCTCCTAACGGCGACGGCGACGAGCTCACCAAGTTCGACGACCCGTTCTGACATCTACCTACTCCTCCGCGCGCTGATCCTGCGCATCAGCGCCGTGCATCTTGCGCCTCTCTGGCCGGTGTTGAACGCCGAACTGCACGCCGCGCTCGCGGCAGTTGTTGCACCGGATCATTCCGTGGCCGCAGATACGTATGGCTGTGCGGCGTTGCTCGGCGCCGCGAAGTTGTTAGATTTGTTGGTGTGTGTCGCGCCCGAGGGTTGGCAGGTGCATGAGTGGCTGTTTGTGACGGATACGATTGACGCTGTGTATCGTGCCGAAGGGAATGGGAGGTTGGTGGCGATGGTGGATGAGGTTTGTGAGGAGTTAGGCGCCGTCAGTATCCCCTTCCGTGATGGAGAGGTGCAGACACAAACGGTTGGTGGTATTTCGGGGGCGAGGAGGCCGTTGTTGGGCACGCCGGGGGGGATAAGTGATGAGGTTGGGTTGGAGAGGAAGGATGAGCTGGTTGCGAAGGTGCTGAGGCCGTTCTTTGGGCAGTTGAGTATTTATGCTTTTGAGAGTACGTATGCGATGGGACAGGTAGATGTGGAGGCTTGTGTGGAGGGCTTGGTGAAGGATGTGTTTGATGAGAGGACTATTGTTAGAGCGTTGTAGACGGATGGGTATGGGATTAGGATTAAAGAGTTTTAGTAGTAATAATAAATAACAGCCTTTTTCTTTCCTTCATACCTCCCTCCTCAAGGTCGCTCTCACCCTGGGTAATTAGGATTAAGTATATTTCGTACTGTAGCACACTAATATAACGCATCCATCCGTCTTTTTTTTTATTCATCATACATCCCCAACTTCATCGTCTCCCCTCTCCTAGGAGGTATCATTCATCACTCCTCCCCCCTCCCCCATCTTGGTCTTGATCTCCCCTCTCGGCAGGTATATATGCTACCAGCGCTTTACTCGCTCCATCCATACAATACTGCACGCACTCGATCTTTCTGTCTTCCCCATCCCCCACCAACGCGGCAATCTGCCTCAAATCACTTGTCCTCGGCAAATAAAGTACATGCTCCATCTCCCAACACATCCCATGCAACATTCTCAATCCATACGGCTGCATTCCCTCCAGATCAAACACCTCCTGCTCGCGATACCCGACCCCGCCCCACGGCGGCGACGCAAATAACACCGTCCTTGCTGGGTCAAGCCACAATCTGTCATCCACGCCCACTTCCTCGGGGGGTTTCCCCTCGAGTCGGGCGCGGCGTAAGCGAGAGAGGTACTCCATACTATCCCCCAGAACCCACGTAATACACTCACTGACCCCGTAGACCGCCGCGTTATGCTGCGCGCACGCCAGCGTAGCGGGGTCTTTTTCTATCGCTATAATCCGGGCCCATTTTTCTGCCAAGGCAAACGCGATGGTGTTCCCTCCCGCGCCGGCGAACAGGTCGACGATGGTGTCCTTGGAGGGGGTAGACCCTAAGTGGGAGGGGATGTCGGCCGCGATTCGACGGGCGATGGGTTCTGGGGTAACGCCGAACCAGGCTGACGGGGTAAGGCGGATGTCGTAGGCGTAGTGGAGGAAGAGACTGTGGCGTTGGTGAAAGTATCTGGTTTGTTGTTAGCATCGAGTCGAAGTGGTGATATCATGAATGAAGGATGTACCGCTTCAGGTCATGAGGGACTTCACTAATGTCATTGAAGTGAAGACACTCATCGGTCAGAGGGAGATGGTGGTCGAGGGGGGATATTTTCTTGGTTTTTGAGATTTTGGAGGGGCGTTTTTTCTCGGACCATTTTTTTAACTTCTCGAAGTCCTATTCTGATTGTATTAAAAAGATTTGGGAGTTAAGTCGCTGAAATTGGGGATCAGAACTTAATTGACGATATTGAGTGGAATTTATATGAGATTAGGGGTCAGTCAGCGATGAGTTTGATGATGGTTTTACTGTGAAGGTGAAGTTTACAGACAGAAAGCCAAGACGCCAAGACCAGCCATTTATGGACCCACCAATTTGGGCTCCCTTACATAATCAGACCCTCTCGGCCAGAATCGCAAGAGATCGATCGAGATCCTGAGATCTTGGCTGAAAATCCATCTTCAACCAGCTCACAGCTTGCCAGATGCACTGAAACTTGATACGACCATTGCTGCATTCAATCTTGCAGAGTTTATTGGATTTCCATATCATTTTTTTTACTTCACTCGAAATCGATGAACTGGAATGTGCACTCGTAATAATGGAAATCTGCAATTCTACGGTTTGTGACCGTGTGATCCTCCGATGCCCCAGGATAATTTTCGCCGTTATCAACTCACGAGTCTCAAGCTTCGCTCTCAACCCCGTATAGCTTACTACCCTTCCAGCAACGACTCGAGTAGCTTATTACAGGACCTTCAACCCTCACCCTGGACCCCCATACACCCTTCGCGCCAGCACCTCTCTCATGTCATGGCTCGCCCCCCTTCAACCAATCCCCATCCGCGACATGCCTATTTTTACCATCCTACTGGGGCAGCATCCTTTTGAAGCTCAGGCCGCCGGGCGGGCCGATCAGCACTGCCATCAAGGGTCTTAGATCTGACATGCTCTAACTGATGGATCCTATACGTACTACGAAAAGTTCTGACTTGTAGGTAGGTTGCCACGTCGCGGATGGGATGTTTAGCGTCTAGGATGCAAGCTGGTAGGAAAGGCTTCCAGAATGATGGGCTGGAAACGGGAGAATGATCCAGCCATGTACTGCAGCACGTGCTGGATGTTTAACTGTTACAGATTGAAACCTGGCATCTGTAGACACCCGGTCGACGTAACCTTCTTGGTATAGTAAGCTTATGGGTTCAGGGCTTTAGGGGCAAGGCTGCAATTCAAGCCCCTTCTCTCTCTCTCTCTCTCTCTCTCTCTCTGTGGATGCATTTGGACGCCTTTCTGCCATGGATAACATTAGGACAAAGAGGTTCTCAACAAAGACTGAGCAAGGTTAAGCTAAGATTGCTGCCATTGTTCTGCAGTCAGTCGGTTGTTCCGCGGAATTGGAGGAAATACACTGCGCCAGTCTGGCAGTCTTCCGTTGTCATTGATCTGTAACACAGCATACACTCCTCGCCCACAACCGCAAGACGAAGTATGGATCAAGACTATAGCCATTCTTACCGGTTCTTACCGGTTCCCAAAACTAGCAAATGACCACAAATGCTTTGTCAAATACTTTCCTAATGGCATCTGACAATGCATTCTCTCCTTCAAATCTTGCGTGAGCTTTGGACTCTACCTTTCAGGTGCATCGGTTTCTGTCATCGAGCTATCACAGAGAGCGGATTGGGCAATAGGAGTAGCTTGCTCTGTACTTTAAGTGAACTAGAAACCCTCGACTCGGAGATTCGCATCCGAAATGGCAGGCCACCATGGCAGATCTCCGGCTGGCCCCCCGGGTGTCAAACATCAGAGGGCTGTAGTCCGTGACCGCAAACCTTTCATATACGGGAGCACAACATTAGCGATTAGCCGTACCTCTCATTTGCATTACCTCTAAACTTGACACCATGAAATTGCAGGCTTGGCGATGTTACTGGGTTGGAGATCTGCCGCTTGCCCAGTGTTTAGAGAAAAAGGGTTAAGCATTATCTTCCATATGAGCATTAACATCACGATGGCTTGGCATATATGGTGGGATTGGCTCCGAGCCGGACGGGAATGAGATGGTGAATTTGGATTTTTTCATTGCAGAGCATATGGACTAATACCTGGGTGAGGATGACAAAATGATCCCGGATGCTCATGTCCCGCGCACCGTAAACCTCACCAGAGAATCCCACCCATCCAAGCAATATGCCTTGCCATTATTTCCAGACCCCAACTATTTGTTTCATGACTCCAGACTAACTGTTGGAACCATGTATTCATCCACTTCACATCGCAAGCAGCCGCCTGCACTGGGACAGTTTGCTCTCTGCCCCAGTGCTCCACCTGATGTTTGGATGGTTGGGTTCAGTGAGTGGTTGGTTGCGGCACACAACACAAGCGCTCCACTACCAACAAGCGAGCTAGGCAGGCTGTGCTTCTGTGTAACATATGCAACCGCTTTTCGGGCTCGGCAAGATCCCAAGCCAGTTGTTTCGTTTCGTTTCTCTCACCTGCCTTTTCATCGCGGCGCTTACAGTACTAACTTGGAATACTATGCATGCATGCAGGCATGCTGGAAGGAAGATTTCTGTCCAACGGTTTTTTTCTTTGACACTGGAAGGCTCAAAGATGTGCATCAAAGGATTTGTTAATACCGTTGCGTTGTGTTGGTATAGAGCGTGTAAAATGCCATGGCTGGGAATCCTTCAAGGACGTGGCGATTTCTGAACCGGCTCGTATGTAATGCAGACAATGCGATGATGATGATGATGATGATGATAGTGATCTCCAGTACAAGCGTGGATCAACCCGAGCTACGAGGTGCCCCCGCTACGCCACAAAACAGCAGGTCTCCCCTTCGGGCTGCTGACGCCTAAACGGCGCAACACAGCGACGAGCGATGACTAGCTTACTTGTGGTAGATGAGCCAAGCACTCCAGCGGCACTGCACTGCCGCGCATGTCACCATGTGGCGTTTTTGTGGAGAAACCGAAAGAGAGGACCCCAGCGACACAGCAACATGCTAAATGTGGTACCTTGTATTCTCACATTCTGGCATAGCCCTGTCTTTTTGTTTGTTTTTTTTTCCCCCTATTTCCCCCACCAATCAACCAATTATTACCAACTGCCCAGACCGGGATTTGGCTCTGGAGGGCCGGGTAGACAACACCACTGCAGGAACATAGGATACGGTACCACCTTACGATGGGAAATGGATCCGAAGATGCTGTAGCCCCGGGATGTATGCTGTGCCCCAACTGACAACTCATATCACGCTTGCCTACCTCTTCTATGTGCTGTTATCCTATCTCAGATGCCCCACAATGCTCTTTTGAAAGCATCCCTGAAAGAGGCATGAAACAACATCCCAAAGCCCGTCGTGATGATGATCCAAAATGGTTACCCTACCAACAAAGGAGGCGATCTTCGCGTGCTGTGCTGCAGCTACTCAGTGTACAGTGCTGTTACAATGTATGCAGCATATATGAGTAGGTGGACAAAACTGCATGCGGTAGTCCAGACAGTACCCAGCCTTGCCGTATACCCGCATTGCCCTGGCCGTTGAGCGGCAGCCACACAACAGCACCGCCGAGCCCCCTTGTTCAGGCTCTTCCTTTCTTTTCCCCAGATAGAACAGAAGAACCGCCCGACCGGGATGAGATGGGATGGCACACACACTCACGCCGACGCGGCGGAGCACGTTGCCGAGGGGTAGGTGGGTACGGCCGTTGACATCTGGTCTGTCGTCTCTCTCTCTCTCTCTCTCTCTCTCTCTCTCTCAACCCGGTCTCGTATAAGAAGTAACCGCCGGTTCCTTCCTCGATGTTGTTTGTTTCTTCTCACTCCCATTTCACATCTTTCTTGTTCTTCAGACACTAGCTCTTCTTCCTCCTAGCACTTACGACCTTTCTCTTCCTCTTTCTGCCACCAACAAGGTTGATTTGATTGCCCTTGACCTTTCTGTGTGAGCCTACAACACTTGGTTCCCTTAATCCTTGGGTCGGCAATATCTTCCTTCTACAGCCTAGTTCAACACATATCAACCGTTTGACTCCATTTTGCACATATATCACAATGCGTTTCTCGGAGAACGTCGCTCTACTGCTGGCTGCGGCTGGTGCTCGGGTTGCTGCTGACACTGGTGTATGTTTGCAATTCTTCCCCAGTTTTGGACGAGATATTCCGTGGGGCGATAATATAAGCTGACTGACACCAAAATAGGAACTTGGCGATGCCATCGTGGTGCAGGACAACCCAGTCGGTGTCGTCTACAAGGCTGTTTTGCCCGAGGAGGCATGGTTCAAGCCTGCCTATCCCGGTGGCGGCAACATCCAGGGTGAGGTGGTCGCTACTGCTGCCGCCGATGGTGTTGGTGTTACTTTCACCATCCGGTTGAGCAACCTGCCCAAGGAGGGCGGTCCGTTCCGTAAGTAGCCCCTCGTCAAAAAACATCTCAGTCTTGAGCGACCAATTTTAACAACCCCAGCCTACCACCTCCACGTCGACCCCGTCCCGTCCGACGGCAACTGCACCAAGACGCTCGCCCACCTGGACCCCTTCATCCGCGGCGAAGCAACTCCTTGCGACCCCGAGCAGCCCGCCACCTGTCAAGTGGGCGACCTGTCCGGCAAGTGGGGCGACATCATCCCCGACGAGAACGGCACCTTCGAGCAGACCTACACCGATCTGTACGCCTCGACCAAAGAGGGCATCGGCGCCTTCTTCGGCAACCGCTCTATCGTCGTCCATTTCCCGAACAAGACGCGCATCACCTGCGCCAACTTCTTCCAGGTTGAAGCGGGCGACGAGGGTGATTACTCCTCTGCATCGGAGACGTCGACCCTGACGCCGACGCTGTTGCCGACGACCTTCGAGACCGAGACTCAGACCTTCGGCATCCAGACCACTGGGCCGGAGCCGGACGCCCCCGTAGCGACTACTCTGCCCAACAATGTCTCGTTTACGGGTGGTAGCCCCGCGGCCCCGACTAACACTGGTGAGCTGGCTGGTAGCGCGGCGAACCTGAAGGCTAGCTTCGCTGGTGTAGTTGTGCTGGGTGCGGCGGCGGTTGCTTTGCTCATCTGAGTGAGGATCGTCTCGGTTGGAGAACATGGCATGATGAGCATGATGGAGGATCTCGGGAGGTGTGGAATCTTTATCGGATGGTTCATTGGCGTTTTGGCGTCCTGAGAGAAATACTATGGATCATAGGTACCCAACGTAACCTAATGACAACTTAATGGGATGGACAAACGGGGAGAATCAAAGGTTTAAGAGCACGATCGATGCCTTCTACGGTAGATAAATCATGAGTGATACGAACAGAAATGGTGATTTCGCATTTTTTTTTGCTTCCCTATCCGTGTTTTTCTCTTCCTAAACATGTCTCTATTTCAAACTTCACGGTCTCAATTCAAGTTTTTGGAGGTCATTGGCTCTTTGAACCTGCCAGTCCGTCATAGTGACGCCAGAGGCGGGCCGAGATCGAAGAGATCGAAGAGATCTCAGATCTCGCGCCAAGCTCTGCCACGGACAAAAGCTTGGCCTTGTTAGCGCCGACTCCACGTTCCGTTTAGGGAAGGAGAGTGGAGCTTTGGCGTCGATCTTGGGTGGGGCCGATGGGTGGCATGATGCATCGACGACGGGAGGGTTGGTGATGATATTGGGCAAGTGGGATGAGGAACTCATGTCAGGGAAGGATGGTGAAGAGCTTGAGGTCGTATGCCAATTAACTTTTTGGAATGAAGTGGGAGTTTTTGTTGGAGGTCTGCATAGGAAGCCCGTAACTGGAGCCATCACTCCAGGACCGTGGGATGTCTTGTCATCTGAACTCCTAGAGATTTTAAGGTCCACGCTCTAATGTTTACACAGTTTCTCTTCGCGACCTCTTAACTCTTGGGGAGGTCCGCTCTAACTCCTGGATACCACGGCATCTCATAATATCCGTGTGTCGACTTGTAACTTTGGCAATATCAGAAACATGTGGACAAAAGTGAGGAAATTAGGAGACGAGCCGCGATGTCCGTCCATGCCCTTTTCTGCTTCATTTTCCCGTCTAGAAATCTTTGCAAAATCTTAATGGGCTATTCAAGACTTACGCCATAGTATTGGAGTATCCTCTGTGATTGCATGTTAACTTTCAAGTGCCATCAGCCCATGGGTCGTGACTTTTCGCGTTCAAGATGGCATCACTTTCAGTCATAGCTCTCCCAAATGTCAAATGAGTATCCTCGTCGTTCGTACTCTTACGAACTCACTCATTCTCTATCTGTTTCTATGAGTTCTGCTAGAGTTTGCACCGTATGTTGTATCTACAAGAGCGTTGTCAAGACCGACGCCAGTCCTCGTAACTGGAGCCTCTGAATCGCGTCTACTCTCACGCTTTCCGGTTCAAGTAGATGGTCCGTTGAGAAGTAGTTAAAGGACTAAATCGAAGACTTTTGCATGTTTCACTTTCTTATAGCCTTGGTAAAATCTCCTCAGTTGTGCGAGAGCTAGGGCCCTAGGCACCCAGCCTCGGTGCCTCATCCCCCTCTCCCTAGCCCTCTCATCACCAGCTTTCATCCCAACCTCTTCCGCGCCTTGACTAACCTGGTCCAATCAGTCCTCCACACCAGGATACAAAACAAAGACCTTATATACTAGTTTTGCAACTTCTGAAAGCACTAAAAGCCCACAAAACCAGCGAGCTGATGAATGAACTGATGAAGTGATACCGTGCAGTCACGCACGACGCAGGCGGGCCTTAGAAGATGCACCAAGGGGGGGGGGCGCCCCGTTCGAATCTCGCGTATGGAAGCAACAGTCGTACTCTTCTGGGATATCCCGTTCAGTTAGCAAACTGCAGCACCCAATCCGCAAAACTCACTTGGACGCGGGTGAGGTACGGTGGAGGGTAAGTTCGTGCTGGTGCTGGTTCGGAACAGATGATTTTCGTAGCTAGAGTTCGCCTGGATGTGAGAGGACTGAGTTGAGCTTTTTGATGGGTTGGGGATGTTTGGCGATGATAATCTTTGGTGCTTAAGCAACCAACTTTTAATTCTCGGGACAGATAGAGTGTCCCTCAAGCTATACCTTCTCCTGTTAAGTTCATTAAGACCACGAACTGTCTAATTGCTAATCATTATCGACTTGTTGACTTGGAATACATCAAATCTCGTTTGAACTATTTGATATGAACAAATTGAACGCCCGAGGTAATGCTTCTCTAAGGTGAATTGCTGGGGTGGGCATAACATAGTATGTCGTCGGTCTTCGGTCTTTGTTTACTTAATCTTACTGATAATCTAACCAAGAATGATAATTGCGTGATGATCTTGAATCTAGAAATTCCAGTTATATTGAGTAATATATGCAATTTTTGGCCTATAGCAAAATACAGCATTCCTTCAGCGCATCGACTTGATCATTGTGAGTTCTACAAACATGCCCTCTTCTCAAACTCAACATTGCTATTGCTCCACTGGAACTCTCTACCTCCCATAAATCCATGTACTTAGCAAACAGGCTTGAACTTGCAAATCCTGGCCATTTTTACAACAAGAGAATCATGCCAGATCTGTTCCTTATATTCTTAGTGCCAAAAAGTTCCACATGAAAACAGTGCGTGCTCGATTGGACCATCTAGGTGTCCCTTGTTGATCAGATTCACCTTTCCTTCTTGGAATCAGTGGTAGTAGCTGCATTAACTACTTAACTGTCACCATCTACTGGAGATGTGTACCTCATAACAAATATTCCTTGTCTCAAGAGAAGATCATAATTGCTGTCCTCCACATATTCTGTAGAGTGCGTGAACAACTCTGTCAAGTCTTTCCATCATCCATAGTTTTCATGTTCGTAGCAACAATTGATAAGGTGTATCGCTAATTGTACCACAAGCAAAGACCCTAACGTGAAGTCAGGGGCACCACCTTACACAGCACCCTCCACGTCACACCGTTTCCGTCTACAGGGATGTTAAGAAGCACAAGGCAACCTCAATCCAACTACAAAGAAACAACCAGCTATCGAATAAGAATAACAGCACTAGGAAGTTCTCCTCGACCATTGCCCCCCCCCACCACGGCGTCCCAGGTTGCCCATCATGAACCCCTGAATCCTCTGGCAGTTCAGTTATCATCTACCCTGAGAATATCACCACCCAGTATTTACCCGCCCTCCCACGCAATCAACCCATCACCTCACCGCATCCACGGCAACAGAAAACCAGGCGCTGACCCCCATATAGCATTTTACCCGGACCAAACTGTCTTCAACACTGGTGCAAGTGACGCAAATCTACGTAACATAGTATCTACAGCTTATGGGACGCAGACATAGAACCAGATATGTGTACATAGCACTGAACCAGGCACGACAGAGAATGGTGGATGCTTGTAACAGCGGTTGTCATTGTTGGAATGCTACATCAGTTGTTGGGTTCAAACAAGGTTCGGGAATGTCCGCTGGGCACAGTGACAAAGATGGCAGTAGCTAGGTCCTTAGACGGACCAGGCAAGATTCTGCCGGGTGACAGGCAAACTAGTGGACAGTGATCGGATCATGGATCGCTTAGCATAACCCCTAACCCAGGATGACCGGGGGATTGATCCCATAGAGATTGTTGCTTACTCGGAGTCTCGAAAAAAAAAAAAAAAACAGCAAGTGCCGTGGAAAATCCCAACCAGTCCACTTCTCACTACGACTTCCTCTGGGAAGACAAAGTCGGTACTCGAGGCCTCCAGGCCACCGGTAATTATACCCGATATCCCAGTATTTGACAGCCCATTAAATCAACAAGGTAGAGTGAGTGATGAGATGATCTAGGATGATCTAGGATAGGATGGGATGGCTACTATCGGAGGAGCAGCCGAAAATGGCGCAGAACAGGCATTGCTACCTACTTGAGAAGAGCCCCAGAAGCACTATATCTCAAACACGAGTGTGGGCTGCTTGACTCTTTTTGTTGGTTAATCTTGTATTTTTTTTTTTTTGCTGGGCATTAGGGAAAGCAGAAAAGAAAGGCATTTACGCCAAGAAAATTCTGCATCTGCCAACAATTGCCTGTTTAGGGCCGACAGGCGCAGCGTTCCATCCACCGACTCGGGACCTGCGATGGCGAGACGCGATGTAACGAGTTGATGCCAGCAATGGGCAATCCAATCCAAGTATGTAGCTGTAGCCCAACCGGCGTCAAGTGGACATTTGGTTTGTTCGTGTGTGTGTGTGAACGCCGCTCAATCGAGGTTGTCTCTGTGGGAAGGCAAGGGAGGAGGCTCTTCGCTTGGGGGGTGGCCTAAATCCCGCACAACATCCAGAAGTGCCGCGAGCACTGGTGTCAAATCCCCCTTCTCGTTGCTTTACGATGCTAAGCACAAGAGAAGGTGCTGACCTCACCTCATCGCAGTCTCCTCTTAGCTGTTGTTCTATAACATAACTGCCCTATCGTGATCTATGCTGTGCAACGGGGGTTGAGCATATTGCCGGTGGCACAGGCAACATCAAACAATATCTTTCGGTCATACTCTGGCATCGAGACGCACTAGAGGCGAATCCCTAAAAACATATCGCCTCTCACCAGCAGCCCCAAAACAGGCAAGTCTCTTGAGTTGTAAGGCCGCCAAGGCCTCGCGGTAATAGATTCCCTCCACTTTTTATCAGATGACGCTAGGGGATAGGTCTGCTCAAGCAGGTTGTTTTTGGGCCCGGTTACTTTATCCTCCGACTCGGTTCTCGCCAATGTGGCCAGGTAGCGGGCCGAAGCACCGATTTTGCCAGAATGCTCTGTGTCCCAGACCTGACTTCCGTGAATTGACTTCAGTTAAATACGAGAGTTCGAGAAAGGAGATAGCTGTGATGAAATTCTGGCTAAAAGAAGATCAAACAACGAGAATCAAACTGTTGAGACCGGATTGTCGGCAGTGTGATGGGGGAAAAAAATGCCCAAAGACGACGTTATTGGGAGCAACAGCTGATGAAGGATGACGTTGCAGGCCGAAGGAATGTGATCCTCTAGGCAGTCGGGCAAGCGTTAAGCCCTACCAGTGGCTGTCAGTGGCTGTCAACAAGCAAAGTGGCGTTGAACAACGTCGTTGCATTGACAAGTGGTATGGCTTTTAGTCACTCCCAGACCGAGCACGAAACAAGCCCCGGGATTGCAGGGCTGCTCGCCGTTCCAGGGTATCATGATCCCCTGCGTTAGGTCCATGGAAGGCCATCCGAAGACCCGAGACCGGGCAGGCATCCCAGATGGTTTGCAGACAATGCAACTGTACGGCTGTCTGAGCTGCTGTGTAAGACATGAAGAGAGTGAGGGCAAAATGCTACGCTGCCTGAATCCTCACCAGATTTTCTGGAAGCGAACCGGCTGCAACTCTGGACGTCCGCTCACAACGCCCGGCTTTGCTGCTCCGTCCGGAGTTACTGGTACACCATCTCAGTCTAGAATCCCACGTAAGGTTTACCCGTCCGGAACTTCAGCCGACGACGGCCCAAGGTGATCGGGAGTTGGGTTGCTGCGAGCCACAAAAACGGCTCTAGCTTGCGAGTGTTTGGATGGGACTTCAACTGCACATGTGAGGCGGCGGAGAATAGCGTTTTTCCGGAGCGTTGATGCCAAGAACATGGAACTTTTTGGAGTTATTCCGGGCACCGTATGCTTCTTATATGTGTTCGTCCGACATTACGATGGATTCACAGATGGATGAGTAGGTACGCTGAATGCGCCCGCCGCATAACGTACATTATGGAATAAAACCAGGACACAGCGAAGTGGTGGAAAAAGAGGGCGATGTGGCAACACAGGGCTGACATACGCAGCGATGACAGGGAAGGCAGTAGTCGGGATATTGGACCTTGCAGCGAGGGTCCGAAATTGTTGAGAGATGATGACAGTGGGTGAAGTGGTGGATGAGTGGTCGAATGGTTCGCTTTGATAAACAGTTAATTTATCCAAGACTGGCCGTGATAAGCCAATGGGAGCTCCAGGCTGCCACTAGCGCTCGATTTGGAAGGAGAAACTCAGGATGCTGGGCTGATAGTTCGGTTCACGGCTCTGATTCCGATGACAGCAACGCTGAAGATTCGGCCTTTTCGACACTGTTGCACTTTGTCGAGAATCTTTATGCTCCACCACGGAGTCAGCTCAAAAAGAGCTGCGGAGGGCAAAAGATCCTGAAGGGGTTCTGGTTTGATTATGTAATCGGTATGGCGCCCCACCACTCAGCCCTGGCCAATCATGACAGGTCTTTTGTGTGTGTGTCTGTGTGCGTGGAGCAACCGGGGCTCTGAGATCTGTTTGGTGGGGTACGGCTGAGCCATCTCACAGATCCTGGAACAATTTTTCATTTTCTCCACGATCATAGGCAGCGCAGCAAAGTCAATGTTTGATCGTCCAACTTGCAGCTTTCGTCGTGGAGACAATTTAGCGGCTTTACGGCACGAATATTCGACCTAAAGTAGATCCATTGATTGCTCTATAATGGGATCAATCGGCACCACCGGGACCGATCATTCTGATCTTAACCTCAGATTCCCAGTGCCGCATAATCAAAGAGTCGGGATCCTGTTCGTCCCATGCTGGAGCTATGCTTCTGGAAGCTCCATCGAACGTCGCGGTCTTGAGCCCTAGGAACCGGCCGTTGAGACTGTCAAACCGTCCTTGACGGCCTCGGACCGCCTGCACGCGGCCGGTCCAGTCTGCTGGACTTGCCCTTCCCGCCATCTCTCCACGTGGAGATGGGAGATGTTCTCTGTCCCACAGACTCCCGACTGCTTGGCGTGCCGCGGATGCACAGTAACGCCTCTGCCGTCCCGAGCTCAGAAGTTGGTCTCTTGTAACTGAGCTTGACAACTTGATAAAAGAGCTCCTCAACCTCTCAACAGCCGGCGGCGATAACTCATCCCGCAAGCGTTGCATGATCTCACTGGCATGAAAGGCTGGTGCCAGATCAAGATTAGCCACATCGGAGTCGGCTGGCATTTTGGCAATTTGCTGGCCCTGCTGACAGATACTCGACGATCAGCTTCTATCGCCCTGCATGCCAAATAGCCAATATTAATTGTGTGCCATGAAGTGTGGCCTTGCCGCTCGAAGAGCTGACGGCAGAAATGAAGGGGCAGACCTCTTGAGCGTGAGTGCCGGGAAATGGGCCAATGCCGCGACATCATTTGATATGATGCAGCCAGCAGACCAGCTCTTTGCTTCGAGCTCCAAGCTTTCATTAGCACAAGAGGCTGCTTGAAAGCTCGCGTACAGACCTGTGGTTCACGCAGAGTGCTGCATGGAAGTGTCGAGCTACATGCAAGGTACCCGAGACCAGCAGACCAAAAGCAGAAGCTCAGGTCCAAACCTGGTTCTGCCGGCCCGGCGTTGCCATGACTGAAGCGATGAAGCAGCTCTGAGGTGCTGAAGCAACGTTCAGACAGGGCCCACTTGCATGACCGTTTGCTCAGGGCTTCTCCGCGCTCGGTCTTGTCCCCTCCTTCGCCATTCCTTCGATGACGCCCGCCTTGTGTTCTGGAAGCTGTCCGAAACAGCGTTAGTGCGCGGCCTTGTGGAGCAGGGCCAACAGGCGCCGTTGGGCCGTCTGGCCGAGCCTCACATGGGGTTTGGTTGGCTCAAATTAAAGGATAGCGCCAAACCAACTTTCCCCCGAATATCCTTAAGTCTTTTTGGCTGATGAATAAAACCAGTCAGGCGTGTAACCGCAAAGACGAAAAAAAAATAAGAATAGACTTGCGAAGAAAGATTATTGCCTCGAAGGGCAGGCATGCGTTGGAAGTTCAGGCCAGCTCAGCTCACCCCTCATTGCACCTCATTGAATCTCAGGTTGCCCGGTATGCGGACAACTGGACGTCCTGTCGCAGACAAGGACGGGGTTGCCTCGGGGCTCGGCAGGGGTGTTTTAGCGGGGCCGAGATCTCGCCAAAAGCGCCGAGAGACAACTTTGACGCGCTATTTGCGCCGCTGACGGATTTAAAACACACAAGCTTTGACGGCAACAAACTGAAGATGTACCGAAAAGAACATGACAAGCAGCAAGAGACGGGTAACAGCAGGGTCGGTAAACTTCTCACCGGACGATGCTTGCTTGCAAGCCCTCCTAATCTTGCGGCCCATTCGAGTAAAGGTTACACTTATCCGACGCTGCGACGTGGGCTCATATCTGGGATCGGACCGCTTTGCGCTTGGACGCTGATGGGCAATCCAGGCTTCTGATCGCCTTCTATGCCCATTCCTCTCAAGTCTCAAGATCGGATCTTCCTCATGAGGGGCGCACTCCCGACCGGATGCCACCCTTTCGCGCATAAAAGACTGCCAACCTTGAGCGAGGCTGCTACCTTGTTGCTCTTGGTGCGCTTGCGCTCAAGAGTCTCGGCGTATCCCTTTAACCCCAACCCTAGCTACACAGCAAAAGTCTGGGCACAACAGAGACGCTTGTGAGAGTGGACCAGTCCAGTCGACGTCCAAATACCCTATACAGAGAGACACACACCACTTCACCCAGCCAACTAAAGGACGCGTAATTCAATAGGTTCTCAGAGTCAAAGTAACCAGAGAGTTCCGCTGGACTCAATCTGGTATGGAGCGTCTGTACGAGTGTATATGTGTATGCTCCTTACCTGCTCAAGTACGATGCGTGCCTAATTTGGGCCTAATCAGGACCTGATTTGGTTGGTCCGTTGGCGGGGTTTTCTGGGGGCTGGGTTTTGGTATCATGGCACTTCAGAATATCTGAAGCTCTCCTAATCACTCAGTTCACACCCCCCCCCTCCTCGCCAAACAATCCTCGGGAGGGGTGTACTTTGGGAAACAAATGATTATGCCTAGCCAACCTAACCCAGGCAGGCCCGTCTAGGCGCCTGCTTGCTTGAGCTAGGTATCCCTATCGTCCTGATGTGCCGAAAGCCAGATCGGTTAATCGGTCGAGCCCAGCAGACTAGGCAGGGGCTTTTTGGCCGAGGAAGTTATGGCAGCAGGAAATCACATCAGTCTTGTCTTCCGAAGAGGAACATACTGGAAACAGTGTTTCAGGCATTTGCAATATGGCCAAAGGATGAAGTCACCCCATACCCCCCTGACAGGCAAACCCAATTTTTCCAGGTTAGCCTCTCCAGGGCCTGGTCTCGCATGGAAGCAGGCGATGCAGAGCCGAAAGAACCTGAGGTAGGCATGTATCAGAGTCGAGGGCGTGTTATGGATTTTACGTGCTCTATGTGTGGGTTTTTGCCTTCTTCTTCCTTTCAAAAATCTCCGATACACTTTCGGGCCTTCCCCACGAGCAGCAACGGCGGTCCTGGTCAATTTGGACTGGTTGCACCGTAGCCTATGTTGATCTAGTTACCTTCCATGTCCGGTTGCTGTCATTGTACCTCCCTTGCTGTTGCGATTCGATCTCCCCTCTGGGATAAAGAGACGAGCAGAAGAGCAGACTCATAATTTAACAACAACTTTTTAATATGGCCTTGTGCCTTTCTTTTAACTGACGTGATCCCCATTGTCACCTGGCCGCTGGGTCTTGCCACCGAACCTTTCTGTTCTACCCCCCATATTCGACTCGTTCTAGGTTCCCTTTTTTCGCAAGGCCTTTCGTCATAAGCGGCCTCGCTTCTTCTTATGATCTCCACGCCCCGGTCTGCCCTGTTCGGCTAGCTGAGGGAGTCTGCTGCCGCAACTATCGAGGTGCTTGCAGGACACAACCCCAGCCTTGCATAGAGGGGACCTCTTCCACTACCAGGGTCGCCTATCACTAATCGTATTGTTGACGCCATATTATCACATTGCTTTTCCGTCTAAAACGAGAGCAACTTCATAACGACCGCATCCTGGATAGTTTTGGTAATAAGTCTTTCACTCAGACATAGCACGCAACCCAACGAGTTACAGAAAGAGAAGGGGACGATCGGAGGACGATAACGACGAAAGAAAAGAAAGAGAAACCGCCGGGTCCCTGCGACAGGAAAAAGCAAGACCAGCAAAACGACGAGCGAGCAAACTCAAACCCCTGAAATTCCTCACTCAGTCAGTCAGTTCTCAAAACAGAGCAGAACAACACAACAACACATCGAAGCACATTGAGTCTCGCCAAGGCCTGGCAGCACGTTCTCATCACTCGCGCCACCCATTCCCAGCCTCAAAAGCAGTTGCGCCAGCGCCATCCTGACAGCGTTCGCCATCTGCGGGTGAAAAGCCGATCGATAAATCCCTGACAGCTGAATGGCCAAGACTGACGTCTGCTGCTTATCCCGCAGTCAAGGTAGTGTCATCGATTCCTGGAAAGGGGCCATTCAGAGCGAACTCCCAGCAGGCCTGAAGGCCCGCCACCAGCAGTGAACAACTGATCCTAATCGGGATCAGCATCTGCAACCAGACAAAGTGTCGTCGCCTTGAGCCCAGCAGGTTCTTATTACATCCAGTCGTGCTCGAGGCGAATTCGGATCTCTAACCTATTACCACGCTCACCTCTCAGCAAAGCTGTTCTCGGTTAAAGAGATACCTGACGCATTTACGTTTCCTACCTCTTGGGCGCTTCTAATAGTCTCCTCATTCTTTCCCTCTCCACGTTGACGTATCTTCCCCTGACCGAGGGAGACAACAAGGGAGCATCCCCTCCCCCACCTTGCCTCCTCTTCCCCCCCCCCCTTTCTCTCTCTCAATTGCCCATTTGCCGTTGCGAGCTTGCTCGAGACAAACCATACCTTCTTACCTATAACATACCTATCACATCCATACCCAGCATAGTAACAGCGCCTCCTCCCAAAACACACATAACCAGAGCTTCTGATACGCCGTTCCTCGCGCCCGGCGGTCCCGATCTTCGTCAACCTCGCCGACCCCCAGCACAGGTCCATAACGTCAATCAAGAGGCCGGACCGCATCAGCCAAAAAAAAGGTTGCACAGGAGCTTCCAAAAACAGCAGCCGCGGGAATCCCCTTGTCCTTGTTTCTTCTGGGCCACACTTACAGTAGGCCCATACAGACCATACAACCCCATATTAGTGGCCAGTGGGCGTATTGCGTATTATACACGGCCGCCGAGAGCAAAAGAGGAGGGAGGTTGCCCAAAGTTTGGGTTGCGAACCGCATCCATCGATTCGAAAAAAAGGGCTTCTGGCTTATCCAGTTCTCGACCTTTTTTCTCCCTGCAGCGTCGTTCCAGCCAAGTCGACGTCTGTTTGGTTTTGTGCACTTGCAGGGCATCACGTTTCTCCGCGCCCACACCGTCCTGACCAGACGTACATCCCGCGCTCACTGACTGGCTGAGGCCATCCCCAGAATCCTGTTGTTGTCAAGCAAGCATCTTGATTAAACAGCAGATACCCCTCAGGGACCTTAATCAGGCAGGCTGTTCTGAACAACTTTCGTTCCGCAACGTTTACTCGTTTGTTCACACAGGCTCGACTTGGGCTTCTGTCTTGCAGCCCATATAAACGTGCGTATTATCGACATCACATATACCCCCAGCTCCCCTTTCTTTCCTTGCCCAGTCAGTCACCAACCGTTGCCGAGTATCGTTGCTACCTCTTCCACACACGCACACACACACACACACACAAAAGCTGACACCGTGACAAGGCTTGCCTTGCCTTGCAGATCTGAGCGGAGCGGGCAGAACCGAAAGGGGTATATCTTGTTTTCGGGTCGTGTTACTTAGCTTGCTGTTTCTGTGAGCGGCGCGACCTCCACGGCCATATCGATTGGTGGACTGTCTGTCTTCATCACAACTGCATGCCCCGGATCCCATCATCATTGCACCCTGGAGTCTGGTCACCGTGAGCGTGCCCCTCCATCGCTGGATCAGAATCCGTAGACCCTGAACATTAGGTTATGCCATAAGACCCTGGCATTACTTATTTGCGGGGGTTCCTGTTTTTTTTAACCTGGAGCGACCAAGCTTGGTTGGAAGGACACAGCTCGAGCCTATCTCACTCCTCCCCTCTTAATCTTCAGCTTCAACTCTCAACCATTTGCACGACTCAAATCAGTCTCGCGTGCTGTCATCAGTCAGCATCGTCTCAAACCCCCGAATTATCCGATCTTATTTGCCACGCCATCAACACAGCCCCATGACAGACATAATGTCATATCAGTACCCCCCGCCGCCGAACGGCACCGACATCGAGGTGCCGTCCTCGGGCTACATGCCCTCATTTCCTGTCGGTTCGACTGATGAAGACTCGACTAGTCCCTCTCGGGAACGCTCGGATTCTATCTCCAGGACGATGAGGATCAACAGGTCAGTAACGATGCCGGTCACCGGGTCCTCACCAGCGCAGGCGACAGCAGGAGCGCAAGCATCTACTCCCCAACAGTCGACCACAACGACAGGCCAGCCGGAGGGCGAGAGGAGAAGAAACAAGCTGGGCTATCACCGGACGTCTGTTGCTTGCGGTAAGTCCAGTGTATGCCCATCGTGAAGATGACTCTGACTAGAAACTCCCAGGCCACTGCCGTCGCCGCAAGATCCGCTGTGTACCCTCACCAAACGACCCCCAAGGCCGCTGTGCCAACTGCATCCGTCTCAAAAAGGAATGCAGCTTCTACCCGGTCGATCAGCAGCCCCCTCTAGGCGACGCCCGTAAGAACTCGACCTCCCGGCCGACCGTCGGCCCCAAGCTGGCCTCAGCATCCCCCTCTTCGGCCCTGCAAGCTGGCCTCTCCCCGGATCTACACAGTTCAACCACCTACTCGCCTCTCGGCATTCCAGGCATCCAAAACATGCCGCCCCCTCCGTCAGACCCCAAACGTAAGTTCCCTCACCAACACCATTACCACAGCCGGCCTCGCTCGCCGCCATCAGCATCCTCCTCCTCCTCCTCCTCCTCCTCCTCCTCCTCCTCCTCCTCCGCACAGAACCAAGAAAGAGAAGAAGAAGCAACAGTCGCTAAAGCAAAACGGCTCAAAGTCGCCTCCTCTTCCCGGCCCTACGAATACGGAATTACCACAACAACACCCACGACTGCAGCAAATTGGATCACTCCCGACGCAGTCTCCTCCCCCACAACCTCCAAACCAGCCGACCTCGCCTGGCGCGCCTACCCCGCCGAATCTCCGTTGACCCCAGCCTTTCCCCCTTACACCCCTCACGCAGCCGGCCCCACTCCCGGCGCAACTTGGTCTGAGGGAACCGGAAGAGATGACATGACGGCAGCGGCATGGGGAACATACCCAGCCCCGCCAGCCCGCTCCCTCTCCTTTGGTGCAGAAGGCATGACCGCTGCTCATGCAGGGCAGTATCCCCCTCCTCCTCCACCGGCGCCTGCAGCGGGCGGGTTGCCGGGTAGGCCGGTGACAGGTAGCATGACTGGGATGGATACGGTTTCGACGGTGGCGGGGGGGATTGATCCGAGCACGGGAGTTGGGTATGCGTCGTGGCCGCCGCCAACCCAAGGGCCGTATGGGTATGGCGCGACGAAACCGGGGGATGGGTATGCGGCTACGACGACCGGGTGGTATGAGGAGGGAGCTGCGGCAGCGGGGTATTATTCGAGGTAATGATCGTTGAGGATGGTGGTTGGGCCCTTTGCGGAGGGTGAGAGGGGAAAAGTGGAAGTTGAATTGGCTGTGCATTCTTGGGGAAAGCCGTCTTGAAGTCGTCGGTCGAGTCGAGCTGAAGTTGCGGTGGTCGCTGAAGATCACGTTGCACGAGACATGCAGCAGCACAGCAGCTAAGCTCAACTGCACAGCGAATCCGGCCAAAGAAAGGCGATGCCCCGAGCGTGGTGGAGCGCGACGCGACGATCTGCGACACAGCGACACAGCAGGGTCTGTGTGTGACTGCTGCGGGTCGCTTGAGAGAGCAGAGTCTACCCTCACTCAAATCCCAACAATGCAGCATTATATGATGAACAGAGCTGGCTATCGAGCGATCAAGAGAGCATCGCGGCTTCATGATATCGGCATGCTACATGCTACTGCTCGGTTATCTCCATTGAACTTCATCGGCGGGCGCATTCACCCACACCAATGGCTACTCGCATATCTGGGCATCAATGTGCATGCAAGCTGGCGCTAGTAGGAAGTCACATGTCCACATCTAAGATCTTCGCCGCCAACCAAGACCACCAAAAGCACGGGGCGGCACAGCACGACACGGCATGCACGCCATACACACGGAGCGGAAGACAATAATCGCAGCCATGATGGCTTACAAGACTGCCACGCTCTCCGTGTTCTTCCCACCACATCTTGTTTCCCTCCTCAACTAGAGAAGCTGGCGGGACGCCGGTCACAGAACAAACTGCCGTTCTCGTCATGGTGCTCGTGACGGGAAGGCCTAGCACAAGCCTTGAGTCTCTTCCCCATACCCTCAACGACAAGGACCCTCTAGCGAAGGGCTGAGCAAGGTTACACGGGATCTGGTCATGCCAAAGAATTATGAGGAAAGAAGGAATGATGATGATCAACAACAATTACGTTTGATAGATGGATATGGATGGTTTGGGATGGCTGTATGTGTGAAAAAACGCAACGGTCTTGGGATTTTCATGATACTCTTGATTTTGCTTGGTTTTTCTTTTCTGGCCTGGCTCGGTTCGGACAGTTTTGCTTTTCTCGTCTTCCCTCCCCCCCCCTTTTTTTAACTTGCTTCTGTACGAGATTGTACTTTTATGTTTCCCATTATCATATCATTTGCCTGTGGCGGTCTTATTCTTTTCTTAGGAGCGACTGATTGAGTGCTTGCAGCTCAACTTCTACGTTTCTACTCTGGGTTGGGAGGCATGGATAGTGACACATACATATGATAGAAATGACGAGGGGAAATGGAATGGATTCTTTTTTTTATTGAGCGGACGCATCTTAGTAGTAAGAGTATACACCATGGCAATGTGTGATGTTTAGTTCACGAAGCTTTTGATCCTTTTGGATAGGTGTAAGATGTCCAGGTTCATGCAGCTGGGTACCGGCTTTTTTTTTTTGCTACTGCTTTCTACCTCGCGTTTTCGAGTCTTAGCTTCCAGTACGTCTATAACCTACCTACCACTCACAAAACACTCCAAGTTTTCTCTCGCTACGATGTCATTCACATTCGACCCCTGAATTCAACAAAAAAAAAGGAGGTTCCTGGCTAAAGTAAACACCGAGTGGGTCCTTCTTCCGTTGGCGTGGCAATCGGCCCTGGAGTTGTCTCCACTTCACCGTCCTTGCTGGTTTACCTGGCCACGGCCTCAACTCACCGGTAAAGCCGACCCCGAGATAAGGACTACGCGGACAAGCTGGTTTATCAGTCAGCTAAGATCAAGCCTGGAATGACTCGGATAGGTGCGGCGATGCAGCATTGACAACCTCTCAACAAGCCTGTTTCACGTGCTTTGTTTGACTCGTTTCGTTACAAACATCTCTCTCCGTTGGTGAAGGTGATCTGGCTCCATCCACCCTCGGTTTTTTTTTTTAAAAAAAAGCCGAACTCCCGCAGCCTGCCTGACATCCCTATCTGCACCCCAGATTGGGGGACTGAGCTTTCCCCGCATCTTTGACTCTGCTGCTTTCCCAGCCCATTCTGTTGTATGCTGCACCCGCGCGCTCGCCCTGAGTGATGCCAAGTTTGGTTAACATTCCTGAATGGTTGCCTTACAGCCCTGATCCATGCTGCTGGTTACAGTCAGGTAGTACACCTATGGTCGTGTCATGTTTAGCTTGGTGAAAGGGGGGGGGGCCTATAAGAGGACTGAGTTTGGGGTTTACGACTGGAGGAATATCATGATAGGGGCTCATGACCAGTTAGCCACTCCATAATTTGCCAGCTAGAAGATCTGTGCTCCCTCAGCGGCAAATTATCATGATTATTAGGGGGATATCATGAAAATGTGTTCAGGGATAGCGCATGTTTTTCTCCTGCCGGCCTTCTACGAAAGGAAGTCGAAACGGGGCGGGCATACTCTCCAGCCTACCGAACCGTTCGATATTTGGGACAAGGCTGTCTCGGCTTAGCTCGGGAATAGGGGCTTTCTCTCGGTGCTGCTATTACATTATCTTGTAGAGATGGTGCTGTTCTAGATCGAGTATACCCGCGAAACAAACATGCTATTTGAGGTATACTAGGCTATGTTACAGATGTTTTGTCAGCAAAAACAGATACTGGAAATGTTTGGTTCGGTGACCTCACCTGCAGCAGTTCATGCCGGCTAAGAGAGGTTCCGGAATCATGGCGCTTAGGGTTCTAACCAGACACGAGGAGATTGGTTGGAAGTGGATGGAAGTTCCATGGATACATGGGGACTACATGCTAGACTGTTATATCAATACGGGATTTTGCAGGTTTCTATGCTGTCATACATATATATATAGGTGGGATGAATCCCACCGGGAAGGGTCTATCACTGGCACTCCGGGGACTAGACCAATATGGAACACCGAAATAGATGCAGTTATAGCACAAAGCACTCATATGCGGTTCAATGCTCTTTCCTATACCTAATGTCTCCTGTTCTCACTCCTTCAGCTCAAACAACAACACCATCAACGCCACGTAACACACCAAGCTCAGCACTACCAACAATGCCACACTATTCCCACTCGTCCTAAATTTCTTCTTCACCACCACAACCGTATTCCTCCGACTCAAACTGTGCATACTACTCCCGGCTGTACTCCCTCCCCTCCCTCTACTCGGCCCTTGACCCCTCAAACTACCTCCCCTTCCTGTACCTCCCCCAACCCCAGTCCCCCCACCACTGTGTGGCTCCCCCCCCTCCTCCTCCTCATCAATGGCCTCCAAAGGCACCGTCTGCTCAACCTCTTCCTCCGAGTCAAAAAATTGCCTGTTGCCTTCGTACCTTCTGTAGATAGCTACGAGCAGCACCGCAGCGCCATAGCATGCAAACAGCGCCCCGATGGGGTAGAATTCAGACGTGAAGATGCGGAGTACGACAAGCGCGAAAGAGAATTGGCTGAGTGCCGTGCGCATATACGCGCCTTCGAAGGTGCGTTGGGCCGCGCGGATCTCGACGAGTCTAGTAGATTGGTTTAGGGTTCCATCTTAAAAGGGATGGGATCATCAAAGGTAGGGATAGGGAAATGAGAGACTGGTCGGGGAAGAAAGAATGAGATGTGATAGACGCAATGTGAGAAACAGTGTTGTCCCTTCGTGGCTGACCAGCCGCGCTCCGCGCCGAGACCGCACTACCGTCACAGACGGCTGTTCCCGTGAGATAAATGCGGGGAACGGCACGTGTGAGATGAGATGCGATGCGAACGCCTGGCTGGCTGTGCCTAGGCGGCGCTATGGCGGCAGGGATGAATGAGACGGGCCGATAGAAGTGTGGAACAAGACGGAAAAGGAGGGAGTGGTTGGAGATAGGGATGGTCAGGAGCTGGGGCGGGGCTTGGGGAGGGGTTTGTATACATTAGGCAAGAGTTGTTGGGAGCTGAGAGGGCAAAAATAGAACAGTTGTAGAATATGAGATCAGGTGTAGAAAGGAAGAGACTTACTCCTGACTCGTCAGGACGACAGACCGCGCGCGGTGTGTCCGCAGGTGAAGACGGTCTTCGGGGTGTAATTGGAAGGCCTCGATGGGATGTTAGCAAGGAACTTCACACATAGCCCTCAGAAATTTGTTTAAAAAAGAAAAACAAAAATAACTCGACGGTATCATCATGGACTATCAGAGTCAAAAAGAGATGGATGAGGGACGAGAGTCGCAGAGGAAGATGATATCAAAGTTAACATGTAACGACGAAGCCAGATAGGTCAACAATTACACTGAAACTAATCAGGACTTACATCCAACATAGACGCCATGATGCTCTGCTCTCAACAGAAGCCAGCGCTGAGCCACAATCCCGATTTTTTGACGAAGAAGAATTGAGATGGAGTTCATAGCTCCGATGAAAGACGTTGCGCCGATCTCTACTCAAACCCGAACCCCAACCCTCGCTAAGCCAAGCATCTCAGAGTGGGGCATTACTTGCGCCATCGTAACGGTCTCGTAAAGGTACGTTATCGTGGGACAGCACCAAAGCCGTAACTTTCCCCACGCTTGGCAGACCCACAAACCTGCAGCCGACAGGGATCAGCTGCAGCCTTGCGCTTGCGCGGTTGAAGCTTCGTGGCCGCTTCAACATTGTTTCTCCAACGAAGGGGACCAACGCAAAGCATCGTCGACGACAACAACCCCGTTTTTTTCACAACAAAATTTTTGAACCGTCCAAAGATTTCTAGAAGCAGCTCGAGGAGCTATATATCACTGGGATTACAAAATTCACAAATAATCACCCGACAATGGCACCCAAACGCTCCTCCGCCCGGGGACGCTCTGTCTCGCCCGCTCCTCCAGCAGCCGCTCCCTCTTCGACAACCACAACCTCAATAAACACCTCTTCAACAACTCCCGCCGTTACAACTGCTCCCCAACCAGCTCCCCAGTCTACCCCCGCCCCAGCCAAATCCAAACACTCGAGCGCGCCTCCTAGCTTCCAAAAGATCGTCTCCAATGTGGTCGACCACTACCTCCGCACAACGCCGCAGCGGACCAAGCTTTTGGATGCGTTTATGGCGTTCTTGGTTGCGGTTGGAGGGCTGCAGTTTGCGTATTGCATTTTGGCGGGGAATTATGTACGTTTTCCCCTTTTCCCGAAACATGACAGGACAGATGGGGAGGATGATGGAAAATAAGGGTATCAGGATGGGATTGGGACTAAACGTAGAGACAGCCATTTAACGCCTTCCTGTCTGGATTTGGTGCGACTGTGGGACAGTTTGTTCTTACTGGTACGTCTTCGACGACTGTATGGAAGAGAGGAATAAATGGGGGCTGACACCAAGGGCAGCGTCGTTGAGGATCCAGACGACCGAGGCGAACAAGGGGGATTTCCCTTCTGTGTCTCCTGAGAGGTGAGTCCCCGTTAACCTGGGCTTGACCAAAACCCAGAATCAGTGGACTGACGGGCAGTTTGGCAGAGCATTCGCCGATTACATCGTGTGCAGTCTGATCTTGCACTTTTTCTGCGTCAACTTTATCAACTAGAGCGGCATCGGTAATCGAGGTCAACAAGGGTTTTTCTTTTTTTTTTTTGTTTCGCGTTCTCATTTTTATCAATCATCTTTATCAATCACGGGACTGTATATACGGATGGTATCAGGAGTTTTATCGGGAATCTCTTCAAACACTTCCAACCAAACGTTTTAAACCGATCTTCCTTCTCACCCCTATGTCTCTATCCCTCAGCAGGGGTAGGCGATGCCACCGGCGGCGGCGGGGATGCTAGACCACCAGGCGTGCCCGGCGTCCCAGCTCTCGGCGGCCCTCCCCTAGGCGGCGGGCCAACCCCCTTGGGCGGAGGGGGCAGTGGTGTGCCCCTCCCACTCGGGGCATTATCCAGTTCCCTGCTCTTCTGCTCCTGTTCCCTGAAGTAATCATCCATGAGGTCAATGCCCACATGGTGATGCGGGCGTTCCTTTTTGCGTCTGCTTGCTGCCACGCCCCCGGCAGGGACTGTCGTCGTCGTATTTGCAGCGGGAGGAGGAGGCGCCTGAATCGGTACCATCTGCGCCGGCACCAACAACTCGCTCGGCTCAATTGGCGCAGCCTGTACCGCCGCCGCAGCAGCCTCCCCATCAAACATCGTCTCCCCCGGCGCATTCACCGGCTCACTCAGCGGCGCCGGCAGCCGATGCAGCGCCCCATACCCCAGGACACAGCCCAAGGCGCCCTCACCACCCCAGTCCCTGCTGGGAGTGATTGTCACCTCGCGGGTGACATTGTACTCATGGTTGTACACCCAGAGCCTCAGCGGGCGCCCAATGTGGTCGTCGACCAGCTCGGATAGGGCGCTCTCCCCATGGAGGGTACCGTCAGGGGTTCCGAGGATGTAATCGCTGTAGGGGAGGAGGCCGGCCGCGTCGGCAGGGGAACGAGCTGGGACGTCAAGAACGTGCCAGATGTTGGAGGTTACAGCGAGGGGCGTCCATTGGAGGGTTAGACCGAGCGATGGAGAGGAGGCGGGGACGGGGAGGTGAAGGGTGCGGGTGCGTTGGCCCTGGAAAGGGGTTAGCTATCCGAGCTTCGAAGAGAGATGTGGTAGAGTGTGTAGACAGACCTTTGCGCTCCACAAAGTGAGAATGACCATGCCCCCGGCACAGTTGCGCACCTCCTGTGCGAAGAGGTGAGGGTTGGAATTGTCAATGGTGCGCCCATTGATGCCGACGATGAAGTCAAACCATGGTTCGATGGGGAGCTGTGCGTTGGTGTTGCGCAGGACCTGGAAGCCGCAGCTACTGTCGCGGGCGCGAGCTGAAGCCGGGGGCTCGCCGTCGAGGCGGGAGATGAAGCGGTTGAGCGCGTTGAACATGGCGCTCTGATGCTTGTCGCTGTCGTTGGGAGTAGATGTGTACGGGGTTTTTGAGAGGGAGAGTGTTTTTGGGGAGGGGGGGGAGGAGGAGGAGGAGGAGGAGGAGGAGGACGAGAGTTACCAGCGCCGCATGTTAAGATACCGACCAGATGCTGTCTGGGGGAGGGAACAGCCTGAACTGTGGCGGCGCATGTGGCAGCAGTACCAGTAGCAGCAACAGCAACGGTGGCCTAGCTTGCTGCTGCGTTGATCGCGGGGTCCAGTTGGGGTGGTGGGTCCTGCAGGCTTGGCATACGGCGGGTCTTGGTTTTTTTTTGGTAGCCAAGGCAGCCAATCGCTTCCGGCGGTTGGGTATCCGCATCTGTTTTTGTGCTCGCCTTAGATCTCAGGCAACAGACGGCCCGCGCAACAGTGCGTGCAGCGGGTCCGCAGCTGACCTCATCCGGGTCTCCAACCACTCCGGAGAGCTCGGCCCACCAGCGTCCCTTTCGTCTCCCCTCGGTGTTGGAGCATCCCGACAAGAACGTCCCAAGCGTGTCGCGAGTTGGCCATCTGGAAAATTGGAGTCTTTGACCTTTTGATGCTTGGAATCTGTCTCAAGGAAGCTTAAACATTCAGCAAAATGAAGCCGATCGTCAGCGCGGTGCAAGCGTGGTCTTGGTAAGCATCCATCCTGACCATTGGATGAGATAGCGACGCTCGTCTGACGCCATTGATTTAGCTTCGTTATCTCCCTCTTCGCGATCGTCATCCTCTCCGTGCTGGGTCTCCTCTTTAAGAACAACCACCCCGAGCTGGTAGGCGGCGACGACGATCCGGAGAATGGGCCCGAGGTTGCGGCGACTGTTTTCACCGCTGTGATTATCTACACTGTAGGCTCCCTTTTGTTCCTTCCCAGTAACAACACAAACAGCATAAAATTAACATCCCGTGATTCCAGGGCTTCCTCGTCTTCTGCGGCATCCAGGGCCTGCTCCATCTGCGCGAGAACCGGAGAGGCGCCATCGCACTATAGGGGAGTCTGATGGGATTGTATAAGCACAGGCTTCATCATCACGGTTTACGGCTATGGCGTTCGGGTGTTCCGCTGGCGGCAACGGCATGATATTCATATATACGGAAGAGATCGGCTTTCTCAAGCATCCCTTTTTACTGATTTCAAGGGTCCGTGAATACTGCATTGCGGTTTGGGTCAGCTTCTTGTTGGGCGTTTTAGTTTTGGCTGCAACACGATAATCTCTGATTCAGTTTTTGGGATACCAGGTGACAGAGGAGTTTCGCCTGCTCAACCTTGTTGGAAAGGGTCGGGGGGTTGGTGAAGCTGGACTCTTGATACTGCTGGATTGGGGAGGGTTGCGCTGCATCGTCTTTTCTTTGTGTCTCTCATGAAGCCTACCAGCTTTTCCCCTTCGTTATCCGCCAACTCCTCCGACTACGAAAGTAGTCCATTCGGCCCAGCTCACTAATTGATTAAGACGATATCCCTTGACAAAATTCAAACAGGCCGCATCTTAGATACAACCTGGCTTTCGTTCTTCTTTTCTATGTGTGGCCATAACCTAACTGTCTAAACCATTTTTTTGGCACTCGCGGTGCAGAAACCCTCATTTTGTCTCTCAAAAAGAGTTTCGACCTCTGCAAGGTCTACCATCCGAAGTTCTGACCTCTTAGAGGCCGCCGTAAGCGCTTTGTGCCCCTCCTTCCCTCAGCTGAATCTTGGCTCTCGACTTGGCATCAGGCACCAGTGGGGTTCCTGCACAATGCCTTCCTCAACGTCTAAAGCTGTCGAGAACACTAGCGCTAGGCTGCCTGGACGTCGGATCACGGGATGCAGGCATCATTGGGGCCAGTGCGTCTGCAGGGGGGGGGATAGGGATTGGAATAAGCCTAGAAGAAGTTAACAAGGTTGCAGGGGCAAGAAAGATCCTATATACGGCTGAAAGAATCCTTGAGGGTGACTTATATATCAAGACGAACAAATGATTCTCGAGGTGCGGTGAAAGAGAGGTTAAGTCTCCTTCAGATTAAACCCGCTTTTTGACCACTGCATCCAGCTGCTTCCATTACTGGTCGAAATTATTCATTCTTACATATTTCATACATACTTCCCAGTCCTTGATCGTCCCTGACTGATCAATACCAATCCCCACCCCTTTCACTATCTCACCATCATCAAATTATCACCATGACTGCCGAATCTTCCATCCCCCCTGCCCCAACCCTCCCGGTGCCCCTGACCGAGCTGGTCAAGCACCTCGACTCCCACCGCGAAACCCCCGTCACAGAACTTATGGTCCCTTTCCGGCAGCACGAAGCCCATCTTCGCGCTCTCTTTGCCCAGGACCCCTCCAACCCCAAGCTGCAGGACCCCTACGTCAATGTGCTCCCCATCTTCACAGATGACACTCCCCGCATCCGGATCCGGGCTCGCAATCTGAGCCAGGAAACGAAGGAGGAGAAGGAGAAGTACATCATGCCTCTGCCAGCCAAACTGCGGAAGAAGGATGGCAGTCCCGCGGTTGTCGGGAGTCTGAAGGAGTTCCAGAAGAATTTTGATATCTTTTCGGAGCAAAGTCTTGCTGACATGGACTGGTATGCTTTACTTTGTGACTAGTCAGAGGAAAAGGGATAGGCGCTGACACTGAGCAGGAGCAATGTTGTTGCGGCGGGGTCGTCGGTCGTGAGCTGTTTACTACCCGTACCAGACGAGTATAAAGGCTCGAAGAAGCGGCTGAGAGAGTTTTATCATTAGAAATTCTGCCCGGCCTCGGACGTTGACTTGTTTCTCTATGGATTGACGGAGGAGCAGGCCATCGAAAAGATTAGGGATATCGAGAGAAGGGTGAGTGATGCTCTACTGCAGGATACGACAGTTGTCAGGACGAAGCATGCTATCACTATTTGTACGTCCCTTCTGACAGATTACAAAGACGAACTGTTACTAACCTGTCCGTTGCAGGCAGCCAATATCCTGTCCGGCACATCCAGATCGTCCTGCGCCTCTATAAATCAGTGTCGGAAATCCTCACCGGCTTCGACGTGGACTGTTCCGCGGCCGCCTACGACGGCTCGCAAGTCTGGGTTACCCCCCGCGCGCTGCAATCCTACATCACCCAGATCAACCACATCGACCTCTCCCGTCGCAGCCCCTCGTACGAAAACCGCCTCTCCAAGTACGCCCACCGCGGCTTCGAAATCTACTGGCAGCACCTTGACCGCTCGCGCATTGATCCCTCCATCTTCGAGCGTAGCTTCCAGCGCACGCTAGGATTGGCGAAGCTGCTAGTTCTCGAAAAACTGCCAACATCGCAGGCCAGAGATGAGTATCGCGTTCGGAGGCGTGAAGAGAGGGGTCGGCCGAGAGTCGATCCGTGGAGGTACAACTACAGCGGGGGGTTATCTGGTAATATCAAGGACCAACATGAGGACGAGGTGGCCGATTGGTGGATGGAAGAAGGCGAGGAGCTGAGTAATTACCATACCTTCACCATCCCGTACGGGCCGAGGATTACGGTGAAGAAGATTGAGCGGTTGTTGTTTAATCGGGATTTGCGTAAGTGCCTCCTAATTTTTTTTTTCTCGTTGAATTGCTCAAACGTATGTATGCTGACAATCACGCAGTCCTCAATGCCGAGTGGAATCAACCCGACGACCGCAAGGTCTATCTCCATCGTCACCCTCACTTTGTACGATTGCTTACCCCCTTCCCCCTTCCCCCCCCCCCCCCCAAAACACCTCCCTTCATCACTCCTTGTGTCTCACTAACCATTATCCCAGTTTGGCGATTTCGACGACATCATCAACGACTGCTGTGGCAGCTGCCCAGTCCCCAAAACCGAAGAAGAAAAGCGAATCGCCGAGGAAGAGTCCAAGACGTACATCTCGGGCCGCATTACCTTCCTCAAAGACGATCCAGGCCGCCAGACCATCGGCTCCTTCCACCCGCTGACCGACGACGACTGGACGGAGATGGCCTACGTCGGGAACACCCAACGCTTGTGCCAGGGCATTGTCGACAGGAATGTTGATGCGGTACGTGAGTGGCTCGCCCAGGAGGGCGCCGATGTGAACCAGAGGGACTTCACGGGCCGGACACCGCTCCATCTCGCCGTGATGTGCTCTACGCCGGAGGTAGTTAAGATGCTTGTGGAAGCGGGGGCCAGGCTAGTTGCCCGACTGGCGGATGGCAGGACAGCGCTGCATTTGGCCGCGCAGATGGGCGACGTAGAGATTGTCAAGATCTTGTTGGATCAGAGCGCAAAGAATGAAGCCGAGTGGGAGGAGAATCAGGAGAAGGCGGAGAAGGCAAGGAACGGGGACGGAGAGAGGGAGGATGATGAGAAAGAGGAGGAGGATGAAGATGAGTCTGATGGCTCAGATGGAGAAGACGAGGATATGTCCGTTCTGTCCTCTAACGACGCCGACGAGGATGACATGGCGCACAGCACGACGACCGGCTCTTTCGTCAAGCTGCGCAACAGGAAGAAAATAAAAGACGAGAAGCCTTCCGACGGCGACATCACCGCTCTCGACGAGGCCACCGGAGATGAGCCCGACTTCTATGACATCAATGTCACAGCGTGGGACATCCCCTGCTCTGCCCTGCACCTGGCCATCGTCGAAGGCCACTTCGACGTTGTCAAACTTCTGGTCCAGGAATACGGTGCAGACGTGCTGATCCCCGTCAAGCGCTTCATTTCGGGGTCCAAGAAGCCCTCCAGCGTGCTGCTGACTCTTGTCCTCGCGCTGGCCCTGCCGTCTGACAAGGCCGCCGAAATGACGCGCACGCTGCTCAGTCTGGGCGCCACATCCGCGCAGGCGGACCTAAGCGGGATGACGGCACTGCACCGATTTGTGGATGAGGACGCTCGGGCTGCGCTGGACGCCCTGTTGAAGGCGGATCCGGCGGGCGCAAAGATGGCGATCAACCATATGGCAAAGGTTGATCACTCCCGGTTGCGCACGCCGCTGTGTATGGCGATTATGCTCGGGTGCAGGGAGACGGCAAAGATGCTGCTTGAGCATGGTGCGCAGGCGCAGGTTCCTTATGAGGCTTGGTATGTTCTTTACTACTAGATGGTCGAGCTGGGCTTCCTGAGAAGCCGAGACTAACACGCGTTTAGGCTCAAGGCGATGAAGCAGCTTAAGGGCGAGAAGGAGCTTAGCGGCAAGTCATTTGCGGAGAACGAGAAGCGATTCCAGAGGTCCTTTCAGCAACCTCTCATCCTGGCACTGAACTCGGCCATCCCCGATCTCGCCATCGACTTGCTGGAGCGCGGCGCCGACCCGAACGCGTTAACGACCAACACTTGGGAGCGTCTGCACTACCGGTCGTCGTGGGAGACGGAGATCCACGGCACCAGCGCGCTGGACATCGTCGTTCGCAACATGTGGGAGGTGCGCAAGCAGCTCTACGTACTTGACAAGCGCCAGGAGGAAGGACCGTCAACGAGGAAGGGCCAAAGCTGCCCGCCGACATCGACGCCTACTGCAACCAGTTCCCTAAAGACAGCTACGAGTACTACATTGCGACCCGCCAGGCTAAGAAGGAGAGGGAGCAGTATGAGGAAAAGAAAAGGGCATGGGAGGAGAAGCGGAAAACGCTGTTGCTGGGAGTGGCACAGAAGAAGGAGGCACTGATGGAAGAGTTTGAGAAGCTGAAGAAGAAGATCCGGCATGCGCTGCTCGCTAAGGGCGCGAAGTCGTTCTACGAGCTGCATCCCGATGTCCGCCGTCCGGGTTACGACGCCGAGACGGCCTTGAGCCTGCTGGATCCCGAGGGTTTCAGCCAGATGCCGGAAAAGGATAAGGACGAGGACGAGGTCAAGACGTGGAAGACGGTGGCGTGGCCGTTCGACGTGTCTTTTGATTTCCGCGGGTGTGGCGACATCACGCAGGAGAGGCGGAAGGCTTATCTCGAGCTGTGAGCATTTTGGTCTTGAACTAGTTCGCGATCCTGAACACAAGTACTGACTGACTGACTGACTGACTGTAGATTCAACGCCGCCTTCCAAGGAGACATTGACACGCTGCGCAAGCTGACGCTCACGGGCGGCTGGGACGACGACAAGAAGGAGCCGGCCCTCGTCGTCACGGCCAGCGACGTGTTCGACAACAACCTGTTCACGCTGGCCTTCCGGCAGGGCCACTACGACGTGGCGCGCGAGATCCTGGCCATCGTCAAGGCGCAGTACGTGCCCAAGAAGAAGGTCAAGAAGCAGTACCGCCTGGCTGCTAGCGGGGACTACTACTCGGAGTGCGGCTCTGATGACTCTAGCTCTGATGCCGGCCTGAGGATTATCGGCGAGGAGGTGGACGATGGTACCCATGGAACCATTGCCAATGTGGGCGAGGTCTCGATGCAAGCTACGACGGATGTCTCGCCTCTGGAATACTTGGAAGAGAAGATGCAGAAGTTGATTCAGCGTACGTCTTGGTTCATCTCAGCGTGGCTGACTGGGAACTGACTGATTGACTGACTAACTGACCACCTACAGGCGTGATCACGAAGAACGACCTCCGCGGTCTCCGATTCCTGCTGGATGTGCACGAGGAGCTGGTCGCACAACGTGACAACGAGGATGACCAGGACCATGACGAGATTGAGCGGCAATTTGGGTACGTCTTGCCTGCGGCAACTTTTGAAGAGCTGCTCCGCGGGAGTCACATCGAGCTGCTGTCCGAATTGATCCGCCGCACCGGTGCCGGCCTGCCGCTGGCCGAGATGGTCTCCAAGACGGGCGTCGAGATAAAGGTCCAGCCGAAGTACTACCAGGGGCTGACGGTCAGGGGGAAAAAGAAGTGCGTCCTCACCCTCCTTCCCATTATCCTCTGGAGACACTACTGACCCTTAACAGACCAGCCGGCACCCAGGCCATTCAACATTGCCACCAAAGCACCAAGATGCCTGCCCCTCCTCTCTTGCTCGCTGCTCGGGGAGGCTGCATCGACTCGGTCGAGTGGTTCCTCGGTCCTACACCGCAGCGTCTGTATCTCGAGTTCGCCACTTCCCCGCAGGCGCAAAAGGATCCGCGCATCAAGCATCTCGCGCAGGCAGCCGGCGGCGTCGAGGGCCACATAATGAGATGGTTGAGCAGCCAGAGTACGTCTCTCTTCCCCCACCCTCCCTTTTTCGAGAGTACCTCGAGACTAACCGCCTATGCAGACGAGCTCCTCCTCCACGCTGCCATCTTAAACTCCAGCAACAACCGTTCCACAAAACTCATCTCCTCCTGCTCAAATCCCACCCCCATCTGCTCGAGGTCCGCGCGGCGAATGGCATGACACCGCTCCTCCTCGCCGTGTACCTCCACTGGGAGGATGCGGTCAAACTCCTCCTTTCCGCTGGCGCCGACCCCCGAGCACGCGACTGCGAAGACAGCAACCTTCTGCATTTGGCCCTGGACAACATAATCTTCCCCGATCAACTGCGCGCCCTCCTGGACCTCATCCCTAAGGATGTCCTCGCCCCGATGCTCAAAGAACGCGACTACCTCGGCCGGGGCGGACAGACCCCGCTGCACTGCTACCTCAACCGCCACCGCCACACACACGGCAGGACCCTACACCACGACGTCCTCCCCATCGTGCACGCCCTGCTGCACGGCATCAACCACGACGTCGTGAAGCAATCACTGCGGATGCTCGACGGCGCCGGCGAAACTCCTCTGCACACCCTGCTTCGCGAGCACTCGGAGCCGGCGCTGGTCCGACTCCTGCTCGAGCTGGATCCCGGCCTGCTCTACATCGAGAATGCTGTCGGGCTGACGCCGCTGGAGATGTTACACAACGCGTGGACGAACCATCAGGTGGTGGAAACGAGGCTTGCTTCCAATACCAGGTGTGAGAGGGGGGATAAGTACGATCTGTACGGCGAGCAGAACAACACGCTTTCGGCGCTGTTCTACCTGGATCCGGGGAAGTTTGTCAAGCCCCACGAAGAAAAGGAAGAGCAGGCGTGCTGGGCCAACGACTCGTAGAGTCGAACCCAGAAAGACGGGAATGAACCTGTGCTCCGGCTGTGGGCGTTGTGCAACTATTATCATAGGCACAACAGCGAGGAGAACAGGAAGCGTGTCCTCGTCAACCTTTACCAAGCCAATCTGGTTATGAAAAGGCTCGAGTCCCGGTACATGGCCAAACGATACCCGTTCGCAAGCGTTTTCGATGACTATTCGTCTGACTCGTACATCTCTGGTGACGATGACCAGCCCCAGCATCAGGAGACGCCTGGTCGGAAATACGTATCGGACTTCGTTACGCAATCATACTTGTACAGTTTGTTGGGCCCGTCGTGGAGACATGTGCTGCACGATGATGGCAAGGTTCCTTCTGAGGAGGAGGAGAAGCAGCTAGAGGAGCATGTGTCGTCGGTGTGTAAGAAGTGCGGGTGGAGGCATTGGCCAGACATAAGGGATTTAGAGGAGGGTGAGACCAAGCAGGAGGAGGATGTGGAGATGACGGGGGTTTAAGGATGAGAAGGGCTGATGGGTATTGAGATTCCTTTTTTTGGATATATTGAGCCGGATTTAGTGTGTTTGATTATTTTGCTTGCGTACGCTCTCATAGTTTCAATATCTGTCACATGGACACGGCAGTCCAAGGAAAGGGATGTCCCCGACTGCCAACACAAGGGACACCAGAGACAGGATGATTGTGAGCGGCGCAAATACGTGGTTGATCCCGGAAGATGTCTAGAGCCGGATGACCGAAGAGAATGAACCATATGGCCGAGGCATGATGAGGATTTTATAAAGGAAGCTGCCCGGTCATGATAGACTTCCCTTGGTTCCTCCTCTCCCTAACACAAGGACACTGAGGACCAAGAAAGATTATTACACGTAGTAATTGACTTCGCTGCGCACCCCACATCGTCAGTGGCCATCATCTAACCCATTTGACCTATTGTCGATCCCTGCCTGCACTAGACCAAGTCGCCCGTTACAATATCTCACCGCTTTTAACCTAAAAGAAGCTATAACAGTCAGCTTTTCATTCAATCAACTGAGATACAGCGCTTCTTAAGTTCCTGAGTGTTGAGGGTGTTGGTGTTAGTGAACAGAAAAGTGCTCAAAGAGGCACAGAAAGCTCCATGTTTGCGCTTTTTTTTTTTTTTCGTTGTCGTGAGGAGGAGAAGGGGGAGGGTGGGGGGCAAAGTAGTGCGTGAAAAGCATAAAACTTACGGGGTGAGTTCACTTGCGTCTGTGTGATAATTATACTTTAACAATCGTATGTCCTCTCCGTCCTAAGCATCAGCTCCGTATCTCTTGCATCCAAGGCTTTGAGCAAGCTAATAATGTAAACATTACTAGCCGCTCAGTATCGCCTCTCCGCGTCGCATGACTCAACTCAAAGGCACATCAGACAGACAGACAGACAGACAGACAGACAGACAGACAGAGCAAAGTAACCTATAAACCGAACCGAACCATTTTGTTAATCCCAAACTACTACCTTGGTATGTGATGAGAAAACTATGTAGACAGAACATCTTGTTTTGCTTAAGACAAAAAAAAACCAAAACTACCAACTACCTAATAACACCGCTTGTTTGAGGGGGTATAGACAGACAGACAGATAACAGGTGATGGCATAAATACAGACCCTGAATAGGCGAACCAGTCCTAAGTAATCCAGCCGGATAACATAGAAACCAAATAAGAGAATAATAAAAGGAGTAGGAAGAAGGAGGGGGGTGAGAAGTGAAAAAAAAAAAAGTGGTAAAAGTGAAGAAAAAAAGGAGTTTGCCGGATCCCTTCCATCCATATCTGACTTCCTACCACTGGCTGATCCAATCCCATCCTCAACTGCCAACCCGAAAATAAAACCCTAACTAATGTCTGTAAAGTAAAGTGCCCCTTGTCTGGCTCAAGAAACGGAACTCCCCCCTTCCTTAACCGAACCAACCAATCAATCCATCCACCCCCCATCACTCACCATCCGTCAAAGTCCTCAAACACCCTAACCAACCAACCAACCAACCAACCAGACAACCAACCAGACACGCACACCACGCGACCCTCAATACCTCCACCTAGGCTTCTCCTGCTGTACACTAGGATACTGTCCCTGCCTACTCGCCCCCCTCGACATCGCAACCCTAGCCCCTGCTAAAGCCTGCGGACTCACCCTCCCGCCCACTCCGACCCCAACCTGTCCCTCGTTCAACCCAATCACGCTGCCCCTAAACGGACTCCTGGCGGGAGTCCCTGTGCCGGTGGCTGAAGTAGAGGTGGAAGAGGACAACACACTCGCACGCCTGGACTGGCCCGTGGTACTCGTGGCGCGGGTGCTGGATCGGCTCCTCGAGGCAGAAGGGGGGTAGTGGGCGCCTACAAGGTGGGAGGAGGAAGAAGAAGGGGGGTAGTGGTGCGCGAGCGAAGACGCAGGTCTGCGTGGGGGGACGTCGGGTTTGCTGAAGTCTAGCGGGGGGAGACGAGCGCTCTGTGGTTGGACGGACGCGCGTCGGCTGGACTTGGTTGCGCTGGAGGCGGTGGTGCTGATGCTTAGGTCGGAGGAAGAGGCGGAGAGGGGCTCGCCTCTTGCAAGTCTGGGTTTGGCGGCGCTACCTGCGAGGCGCTCGCGGAAGGAGAGATTCTGACTCGAGGACGAGGGTGTGTTCCCCGCGGATCCGTTGAGCAAGGCCTCCTCGGGGATGGGCGACGCAGACGTGGCACGTATAAGGGGGCTGCGGGCGAGGGGGTGGTGTTGGGGGAGGGGGAGTTTGGAGGTGGAGGATGACGGGGTAGCGGGGACAGAGATGGATCTCCCCGCACCTTGGAGAGTGGTCTTCTTCGCGTAGGGGCTGGGCGTGGTCAGGGTGAGCGGTTTGAAGTTGTGTCCGACATCGAGGTCGTTGGTGTTAGTGGACGAGTTCCAGCGAGGGCGGGTAGCTAGGCTGGATGGCGGGCGGGATGTTGTGCGCTGGGTTGTGGGAGTGACGGCGCTTTCGCGGGAGAAGGGGACGGACAGGGTTGAGGAGGAGGAGGAGGAGGAGGAGGCCGGGAAGGCGGGAGGTTTGCGGGAAGAGAGCTTGCTCGACGGGGTAGGCAGCATAGAGTGTCTCTTTGCCGCGGGCGTGGTGTGGCCCAAAGCGCTAGCAGACCTCTGCTTGGGGGGCTGAAGACCCGATTTCCTGGCGGTAACCGGCATGATGACTGAGGACGGCGGCGACGTCTGCGGTGTCTCGTTGCCGCTGGCCAACGCCGACGACAGCTCCCCCGAGAGCATACTGCTCACCGAATCACGCAGCTGCTGCTCCGTCCTGCGATGCTCCCTCTCGGCCTGGATCTCCTCCAGCGCCGCATCCAACTCCCCAATCTGCTCCTTCAGCTGCGCCCATCTAGCCTGCATATCCACATGCAGCCTGACAATTTCCCCGTTCACCGTCAACCGATCGCTCAACCCCTTGTCTACGATCCCCAACACCCTCTCAATGGCCGGGCCATAATGTGTCTTCTTCGCCTCGTAACTCTCCAAGCTCTTCCCCCACGCCAGAGGGTTAGTCAGGTACAACCTTGCCTCAACCCCTTCCCGCACTTTATGCACGCTCCTCTCGACTGACTCATACATCTTCTGCGCTTGACGGCCCGCACTGCGGAAGACCAGCACCCAGCGGTCCTCGCCAAGCTCTTTCCTCAGGTTCTCCGCATCCCGCTCCAGCTTGCGATAGCTCTCGTCGAGCTCGAGCCGGCGCGTCTCTAGCTCCTCGCAGGCGGTCGGGAAGATCTTCTCGGCGCGGGCTTGGAAGACCGAAAGGCGCATGGGCAGGAAGTCGAGGGACGCACGCAACGGCTGCATGCGCGCGAACAGCGCCAGCAAACTCGAGTCGTCTTGCGGCGGGGTCGCGGCATTGAACGAGGGCGAGGTCGGGCTAATAGGCAGCGCCGTCATGCTGAACCGGTGGTTCGGGGTAGGCTGGAGATGCACGGTCGAAGTCCTGGGCTCCTCAATGAGCGTATCCAAGTCCGGTACGTCCGGCCCATCGCCCACGAGCGCCACGCAGGACCTGTGCCTCTTCTCCTCCAGCTCGAACACCAACCTGCTCAAATCATCCATCTCGTGCTGGATATCTCCGATCACATTATTCCACAGCTCCTCCCATTCCATGGCAATCTCCACCTGCGTCTTGACCCCCTTCAGCGTCTTATGAATCCGTGCCCACTCCGCCGTGATCCCCTCCATCTGGCTAACCGCCCTCTTGAGATCCTCGGGCGGCACAGCCGTGATATCCTCCCTCGCCTGCAACTCCTCAATGGCGCCCACATAAATCTTGATCAGCTCCTCAAACCTCAGTATAGCATTCTCCACCTCCTCAACACCCTCCCTGCCTCCCGCAGCCGCCCACTCCACATCATCGTCGGCCTCCAGCCCATCAATGACTTCAGACGCCTTGTAGATCCACCCGCGGATCTGCTCAGCCGCGCCGAGCAGCGCCTTAGCAGCCATCTGCGCGGTCGGGATCGCCGCGACCCTACTCGACAGCGACTCGGCATCGGGAAGCTGGATGGATGTCAGCTGGGCGATCTGGCTGGCAAACGACGCCCTGGAGAGCGTATAGACCGAGCCGGGCCGCTTCAGACCAAGGGGGTTAAACGGGATGTTCTCGTTGAAGGGCTCGCGGGAGGTGGTAGTGGAGACCGTCCCCGGCGAAACGACCGACGACCGGCGCGACTGAGGAGGCGTGTCCTTGGGCAAGGGGGGCGGCGGCACGTCGTCATCATCTTCGAGCGGCGGAGGACGTGTGTCACGCGCGATATGGGCACCGCGCGTGTCGGGCTGGGCTTTCACGCCGTTGCCGTTGGTGTGGTCCGGCAGGCGGTACTTGTTGGTGTCCATTAGGTTGTCGAGCGGCTCAGTGGCTGGGATTTCGGGAAGGAATTCGGGGCTTGGGGCGGCCGTCGATGTTTGTGTTTGGGATGGCTCGACTTCTGACTCGGACTTGCCTCCCTGGGACTTGTCGGACTTGAGGCTCGAGAAGGACGGGATGCGGGCGATGGCTGCCTTGGTGCCCTTCCAGGGGCGTCCGCGCTTCTCGATGACCGGAGCTGTCGGCTTCGCGAAGAGATGCTCGTCGAGCTTTCGTAGCTGCTCTTCGGGTAGGCGTCCCGGCTCGATTTGGCGTGATGGAGGAGGGGACTGCTTGCGCGTGCCGAAGCCGAGGGCTTTTAATCGCGCTGCGAGGCCAGGCGACGGCTTTCGACCTTTCTGCCTAGGGGGTGAGGTAAGTTGTGGGGGGTCGTGGCGTTATGGATGTTTGCAGCAGTCGTTAAGCCGTTTGGCTTTTGCTGTTGCTGTTGCTGTTGCTGTTGCTGTTGCTGTTGCTGTTGCTGTTGCTGTTGTTGTTGTTGTTGTTGTTGTTGTTGTTGTTGTTGTTGTTGTTGTTGTTGCTGCTGCTGTTGCTGCTGCTGCTGCTGCTTTGAATGTTGCAGTAATGGTTGTAAGCTTTGTTGTTGTGCGCTCTGAGGTTGCTGCGGCTGATAAGGGGCTGGCTTTGGCGGCAGCCCAGGACAACTGGGGCTGGCGGCCGCGGTTTGGTTTTGGTGTTCGCCGAGGGTCCGGTGCTGGATGTTGTCGTCGTGATTGGTGGCCGTGGCGTCGCACGACTGGTCCGGCTCGCTCTCGCTGGGGACGGACAGGGCGACGGACACGGACACGGAGATGTCGGAGGAGGTCAGGGAGGACTGCTCGGCGTTAGCATTGGATGCAGCATCGTGGCCGGACTCGGATCGGATGGCGTTGCGGTCGTGGTCGTGGTTGTGGTCGGACCCAGGTCCGGGGCTGGGGATGGCGTCGGCGATCTCGCTGATCTCGAGCACGGGCGGCGCAATGGCAATGTCGAGCAAAGGGACGGCGGTCTGATTGGTGTTGCAAGTGTCGTCGATTGTGTCAACTGTGTTGTCGTTACTGGCGGTGGTGCCAGTATTGGCGTTATTGTTGTTGTTATCGCCGCTCTCACTGCTGGGAGCAGCTGCAGCGGCAGCGGGGTCTGACATTTATTTTCTCGCTGATAATTGTCCCAAGATTTATTGTAAAAAAAAAAAAACCTGTTTCGGCGTGCAGCGCGCTGCTAGGTTGCGTCGATGGCTTTGGCGTGCAGCGGTGCTTGTCGGGTGCTTGTAGTACTTAGGTGCAGTAAAGTCACAGTCGGTAGCGGGTAGGTCGCACAGCTCCTTGTGTGGTTCTATGGTCAGGATTGGCCAGAAAGTTGGAGCAGTGCTGGGGGCGAGTGGCTGAAGCTTGGGTGAGCCACAAGCTTGGAAGCTTGGCCTGTTCAAGGTTGCTGGGGGGTCCAGTTGCTAGGGGGGCCAGAAGCTGCGTTAGCTCGTCGCTGCTCAGTGGCTCTCCTGTGGAAAGACTGGGAAGTTGGTGGACTGCCTATGCACTGCTGTGGGGGCGTTCGCGCTCGATATTGGCAAGGCCTCCCCTGGCGTCTCGCTGGCTGCACGTCCGACTGGTCGAGTCTATTGGGTCCAGGCTAGTGCTGCTGACACGATCAGGCGCTGCTCGGCTCCCCTGCTGGTGAGGATTTTCACTGGATAGATGATGAATGACTGTTTTTGAATCTTGTCTGATATCGAGATAGCCTGCTGCTGCTCACCGCTGGTGTTGTACACTGCTGGTCGCGATCGTCTGCGAGTAAAACGACATGCTGCAGCAGACACGGCACGCGCGACGCGACTGGCGCCCGGGAGTCTAATTCGATGCCACTGCAAGCCGGGGAAGGGGGGGGGGGTTCCGTCTGCGAGATTGATATTTGCGAGATTGCTGGTGGGCCGCGGCTCGCCGTGAGGGATTCGACTGGGTGTGACTGGCAAAAGCTGGCCTCACTTCTTGATACCACCAGTAATTCTAATGGTGTCTTGGAGTCTCTCCGTGTTGGCTGTAGATAGTAGAGAGTAGAGCATTGGCCTTTGGTGTGTGTGTGTCTCTTGTGGCAGGTTGGGCACGTTGGGTTCCAATCATTCAAAACAAGCTTTGTGATGCGCGTTCAAAGGGAGCGGGACACGGAGCTTCACTCATGAGGGGCGCCTGAATCGCGAAACGCCAGATTGCCGTTACCGTACGGAGCCTGAACGGAAAAACCATACCTTTTTTTTCTCTGCCATGCGTACCATGCGCGTGCGCCCCGGATTTTGCTAGATTTTCATGTTGCAAGCCGTCCCTCGAATCGAAATGCCACGCGGCCGCATCTGCGTCCTCGATCTTCATCATGGGGCTTTTTTCTTTTTCCGTCTTCATTTGCCCGGAGCTGAGTTTAATGACTTGCAAGTGTGATCTGTGATGCCAAGCCTTCCTTTTCTTGAGCCGTTTTTTTTTTGGTGATTTTTTCAGCGCTCTGCGCCCCGGAGAGCTCGGCTGAGATCACATGACTGCCTTGTCTGAGAAAGTCTTTGATCGTCGTGACACAGTAGACAGCTGCCCGTGTAAACGTGTTGCAATGTCTTGCTTCTCAGATCTACCATCTCTGTCCTTCGATCTCTATCATCTTTTCCCGGGCAACATGGACGCTTTGGACAGATGATGAGTTTTGCTTCGATCAACTCTCTCCTTTTTCAAGGCCCTCGTAAATTACAGTCTACGTATCAATAGAATATTACCCGTATGATCAGAGGGGCAGCCGTCATATCAGGCCAATGAATTCTTCCGCTTGAATTGCGCCGAGGTTACCGAATCCTCCTTACACATCACTGCCGATATCTCCTCCCAGATAGAGCAGGTATCCCGCTCTCCCTCGAAGCGTGCCACTGTCACCCCGATGACACGCGACGAGACGCGTACGCGTCCGCAACCTGCGCAATGGCACAGCAGCACTCAGCCGCGGCTTGCCGAACCCTGAAGATCCGCCAGCCTCAATTACGTAACCCCAGCCTTAGGGTTAGATGACAGGGCAAAACGGTAAGGACCCACCCGGGAAATCCCGTGGGGTTATTTGCAGGTATGCAGTGAGGGGTGAGGGGCATGCATTCGGATCATCTGATATGGCGGGGTGCAGGGTGCATGTACCCGAATCAACGGGACTCTGGTAGCAACAAACCAATCATTCCCGCAGTCCCGAGAAGAGAAACTTTTGTATAAGTCGAGGGCTAGCGGCAAATACCAGGACTAAACGACGCAATCCTCATGCACCAGCTTGATCAACCGGTCCAATTGGCTGTCCATTGGTGATTTGAACCTCGAGCTACAGCCTACAGGGTTGGATCCGTGGTTGCGCCCAGCAAGTTATCCCAGGTGCTGTCTCTAAACTCTCAGTTGTTCGCTGCGCCAACCTTGACTCCTATCTCCCGTCTCCCATCTCGTATCACGCTCCCCTCGGCCGTCTCGTCTCCCCAAAATGACGCTGCTGCGCCCGTTCCAGTCTGGCCTCCTCCGCCAGGGGGCTGTTCGCACCATGGGAGGCTTGGGAGCTATTGCGAAGTGCGTCGGCCAGATCATCTTTCCCCTCCCTCCCTCCCTCTCCCCCCCCCCCCAAAAAAAAACTCACCTTCGCAACTGCTCTCCAGGCCTATACTCACTCGCAATCTTCTTTGTCTCCGCACGCCAGACCCGCCGCTCGCTATGCCCAAACTCGATCCTTCGTCGCCAGCAGCGTCCGGCGCGACAGCGAAGCACAGCCCAAGGAGTCTCTAGCATCAGCTTCTGAAATGCACGATAAGCTCCCAGTGCCCTATGGCCCCAACCAGCTCCCTCCCTTCTTGCCAAACCCCCGCAACGGAAACTACTTCACCGTCGATAACCCCAACCGGGTGCTGGAATGCATCAGGCCCCTTGCTCCTAACCATAGGTACAAGGGTAGGAGTTTGTAAGTTTTTTTTTTTTTTTCCTTCTCCCAACTTTGGCCTACTGTGGGCGCATATGTATGTGTGTGAGAGCTAATGATGGCTAACGAGTTGGTATTAGTTCGAACATTTGGCTGCGGTAAGCTTGTTGAAACCCGGCGAGGTGATGGGGGCTTTGATTTGACTAGTTCATGCCAGTGACAACTGCCGCTGCGAGCAGTGCGTCTACCCTCCAACCCGGCAACGGTTGGCGAACACCTTCGACGTAGGTGATCCCCGTTCCGCTCTCGGGTCCCGCCTTTTGTAGACTTCCCATCTCACTCAGGCCCTCGTAGATCCCTGATGATATCCACGCCCTTCGGCACAGTGAGTCTGTCCAGGGTGTCCACATCGAATGTGAGTTTGTCCTCCTTTTCTAGATTCTTTTCTCTTTTTCTTAAAAAAGAAAAATAATATAAATCCCTTGCTCACACATACCGTAGGGTCCGATGGTCACACGAGCTTCTACGAGTGGGAATTTCTCCGTTGGTGGATGATGTTCACCAGCCGCGAGGCATACAACCAGCCTCCGTATGGCGCATACCGATATATCTTGTTACATATGTGCCAGCTGCTTACTCTCTCTCCAGGAGGTATCTTTGGGGCTCCGAGATCGCCCAACACCCTCCGACGGTCGACTACCAGGCGGCCATGACGACTGAAGCTGGCGTTGCCCAGATGACAGACAAGATCGTGAGAAGGCCCATTTTCCGGTTACCTCTTTTGCCTTGCCGGCTGCTAACAAGCCCCGCCCCCAGGTCAAATACGGCTTCGTCTTCGTCAAAAACGTGCCCTACGACAACCCCGACTACACCCGCCAACTCCTCGAGCGCATAGGACCCATCCGCCAAACCCACTATGGTGGCTTCTACGACTTCATCCCCGACATGGCCAAAGCCGACACCGCCTACACCAATTACGCTATCCCGGCCCACACCGACACGACTTACTTCTCCGACCCGGCCGGCCTGCAGTCCTTCCATCTGCTCGAGCACAAGCCCGCCCCGGGAGAAACAGAAGCGGTCGGCGGCGAGTCTTTGTTGGTGGATGGCTTCAAAGTGGCCGAGCTGCTCCGCAACTTCAAGCTCGACTATTATTATCATCTTGCCAAGATGCCCGTCATGTGGCACTGCAGCGGGAACGATGGCGTCACGATCCGGCCGTACAAGCTCTTCCCCGTGATCGAGGAGGACAAGTTCCTGCGCATTCCGATCCGCATCCGCTGGAACACGGCCGACCGGGGCGTCCTGCCGTACACCTCGTCGTGGCGGAGCCAGAAGGATTGGTGGCGGGCGGCGAAGAAGTTCGATGAGTTGTTGAAGGATCCCGCGAATGAGTATAAGTTCCAGTTGAAACCAGGGACGGTGTTGATCTTCAATAACTGGCGAGTATTGCATGGTAGGACCGCGTTTACCGGGATTAGGAGGATTTGTGGTGGCTACAGTAAGTGCATTCTCCTCTCACTCACATGTTTAGGATTGAGCGAGGGCTTTGGGTAGCTGACAGCGTTGACAGTCAACTTCGACGACTTCATGTCCACCTGGAGGAATACCAACTTCAAGCAGGAGGTTGTTCTGAGGGATGTCATTGGTTAAGAGCCTAGTATAGCATTCTTTGGAGTTGTGGTGTGGGCGGTATTTATTTTTTTTTGGGTATTTTTGTTGTGTGTGTGTGTGTGTGTGTGTGTGTGTGTGTGTGTGTGTTGACCGCGGTAAGTGGGCAGCGTAATACCTCACAGATCTACCTGTACAGTATATGAGCCATGAATGGACATATATGGATGAGCATGTGAATGTAGCTTGCATGTATAAATCTGCTTGGGGATGCGCGGTATAAAAGCTGTATGACTAGTATGTATAATGGTTAGGCAGGAGATTGGTGCCGGAAGACAAGAAAGACCACGGCATGGGCTGGATGAGGAAACTCCTTCGCCTTAGATGGGGGGTCTTTGAGAACGTCACTCGGGAGAATTCTACCGAGTTATCACTGCATCTCTCTCGCTTCCCCCGCTACGATGCCGACGCAGTGGCTGCGATTTCCGCTCCGTTCAGGGGTCCACTTGGATATATGTCGAGCGGCAGCTTGCATCAAATCTTCAGCCTCACCCGTGCTGCTGAGGAGTGTTTGTGCCTGCTTGAGTTTATGTGTGAAATACCTACCACCTTACACACCTTGGCTTTTCTCTAAATGTCGATACTAGTAAACATCTGAAATTGCGTGCGCTTTCTGTAAAATTTGGCAGGCTTGTTGGAGCTTTTTTTTTTTTTCATTTCGATCTTCATCCCCCATGTACGCCGTCCACATTCCAAACAGTGGGGTCACTCCTAACTCCATCTCTATAGGTTCCCCAGCGGACAAGACGCGGGGAACCGAAGGAAGGCATTGTCTGGTTGGATGATAGCCGTCCGGAGCGGGACCGAAACCTCCCAAACGTGTGTCGTTGGGTAGCCACCACCGTCGCAGGTGTCCGCTCGAATGGGCACCCCGTTGGGTGTTTACTGGCTGGCTGGATTGTTTGCGTTACGGAGATTGGATATTGTGGAGTGTTGTGTTGTGGATTTGGAGATATTGGACAGTGTGCGGGGAGTTGTCCTTTGGAGAGACATGCTTTTCTGGTCTCCATATAACCACTCTACATCTGTTGTCTTGTGGCAAAGTTTCCTTGCTTTCCGGCTTTCAGACTTCAAAAAGTCTTACTGCGGTACCGTAGTCTTGTCGTGCTGAACGCTACAAACACTTACCTGCCTCTCATACTCAAAATACCAACCTACGTTTCTCCAGGGAACAACCTCCATTACAAACAGACCCGATTTCAATCCCTCAATCACAACCATGACCGACGCCCGCGGCCTCTTCCCCCACAACACCACCTCCCCTCCCACAACCACCCGCGTCTTCCAACTCTTCTCCCTCCGCGGCAAGACTGCCGTCGTCTCCGGCGCCAGCTCAGGCATCGGCCTCGCCGCCGCCCAAGCCTTTGCCGAGGCCGGTGCCAACGTAGTGATATGGTACAAGAGCCGGAGGGAGATGGCCGAGCAGGCGGCGAGGGAGATTGAGGAGGAGTTCGGAGTCAAGTGTACATCCCTCCTTCCCCCCCCCTTTTTTTTTAAAAAAAAAACCATGAGTGATGACGGGAGCTGATGTTGTAATCAACAGGTCGGGCATATCAGGTTGATGTTACCTCCTACGAGGCTGTCATTTCGGCGTTAGAGGAGCAGCTCAAGGAATTCAACAACCGCCTCGACGTCTTCGTTGCCAATTCCGGCATCCCTTGGACCCAGGGTCCGATGCTAGACGGTGAACTCTCCCACTACCACGACGTGATCCGGACGAATCTCGACGGCGTCTTCCATTGCGCGCGGGCTGCGGGGTTACTATTCCGCCAACAAAAAGAACAATACCCCCAGACGTTCGACCCGCCGTTCACATCAGGAAGCTTCATCGCGACAGCCAGCATGAGCGGACACATTGTCAATGTGCCACAGCTACAGGCGGCCTATAACGCGAGTAAAGCTGCGGTGGTGCATCTGTGCAAGAGTTTGGCGGTCGAGTGGACGGGTTTCGCGAGGGCGAATTCCATCTCGCCAGGTTATATTAATACGACGATTTCGAAGTTTTGCTCACAAGAAATGAAGGAGGCTTGGAAGGACAAAATTCCTATGGGGTGAGTTTTGTTTTTTTTTTCATCTTGTTTTCACATTCCTTCAGGGTAGGAATTTTGGGGAAGGGTTTAAGTCGGGGGTTGCTTCAGGATGCTGACTTGCTGCTTCACTGCAGACGCGAGGGCGAGCCGCATGAGTTGAAGGGTGCATATCTCTACTTGGCGTCAGATGCATCGTCGTACACGACGGGAGCGGATATTGTGGTTGATGGCGGGTATTGTGCTCCATAATGAGGTATTAGTGAAAATGAACATCGGAAAGTAGATAGTTTAAGATAGTTGAGGCTTGACAAAAATTGAGTCTAGCCCAAGATTTCCAGACTACCCATAATAAGCTTAATCTGATGGATCTCGATGAAACTTCCATCACGATTCTCGACTTGAAGTTGTGATCGGTGTGTGAAGTGAACTCCCAAGGGGTCCTCTGGATAGAAAAGTCCCAAGCTCATTGCAGCTGACCGCCACTTGACACCGACTGGATGATGTAAGGCGTAAAGACGCGTATTAGTCACCGTATTATTACGCAACTCTGGTATCGATACGTTACGAGTCCAACACCCCCCAGCTGTGTCGGGAAGAGTCTGCCTTGTGCCTGTGATACCTGGTTAGCAAGGTTTATCATCATCCTGCCGGTGCGATGAAACAATGCTCGATTCCAGGTCCCAGGTCCTGTTACTGAGCAGAAAAGGATGCGGCAGGGACCGACCAACCAATGCAGCTAACTTTCAGCTCTCCGGTTGGTCAAGGAACGAACTCGGAGACAAGGCAGACTTGGAAGATCCACTGGAACAGAGTCTGAATAAAAAATAAATAAAAGAGGGCAAAATCTCTAACAAGAGATTTGATTTCGAGATAAATCAAGCATTTGACATTAACTGTTAGTGCATTTGGAGCCTCTGAGAACTGAATCACCATCACTTACACGGTGTCCAGTAAGTCCGTTTACCTGGCTGCCCCACGCGTAATTACAAGACAAGCTGGTGAAACGTCAAGTGCCCCGCCCCCCTCTCATCCATCCCACCCGAGTCCCCAGCTAAGGCTCTGGAGCTCCCGCTCGACTCCCAATCCCCGACAAGAGTTGCCTCTCCCCGACCTTCGGCCGCCCAACCCATCAGCCCGTCAGCCCTATCTCGCTTCCTGCCATACCCATCCTGCCCGTCCGTCCTGCCGTCAAATTTCAGGCTACGGGACATCAGACTTGGATTTCAATCCCATCAACCTCGTCCGACCTTACTAGCAGCGCCCGCCGACCTTCTGTTGGGCATCTGTACATCGCCGCCAGCTTAGCGTACCACAGTAGACTTTTTTCTCTTCGCTCGCTGCGGGACTCAGCGGACGACAGCCTTTCGTTCCAGGCAGCCGGCCATTCCACCGCGTCGACTGCACTCTTTTCCCTCTACACTTCCTCCTTACAACAGAGTCATCAGTAGTATTACTACCGCCAACCATGGACGGCGAAAACAACTACGCGTCGGCACCCCTCGACGACCGCCGCAACCTCCAGGTTGACAATGCCATTCGTGCCATTCGCAACAAGAAGCCGCCGCCGGAGATCGACTTCACCATCCACACCATGGAGGACGGCACCCAGGTCAGCACGCTGGAGCGTGTTGTCAAAGGTACGTCGGAGGATAGCGTCGTTTTTTTTTCCCCTAAATTTTTGCCTATGCGCCATGCTAACAGCCAGTCGCCAACAGACGTACAGGCACCGGCCATGTACAAGCCGACCGACGAGCAGTTCTGGCAGGACCCTGAGACAAAGACGCTCCCCAACATCCAGTTCCTCAAGCAGCACTTCTACCGCGAGGGCCGCCTGACCGAGGAGCAGGCGCTCTGGATCATCCGCAAGGGTACCGAACTGCTGCGCAAGGAGCCCAACCTGCTCGAGATGGATGCCCCCATCACCGTGTGCGGTGACGTGCACGGCCAGTACTACGACCTGATGAAGCTGTTCGAGGTCGGCGGCGACCCGGCCGAGACGAGGTATCTCTTCCTGGGCGACTACGTCGACCGCGGCTACTTCAGCATCGAGTGCGTTCTCTACCTCTGGGCGCTCAAGATCCACTACCCCAACTCGCTGTGGCTGCTGCGCGGCAACCATGAGTGTCGCCACTTGACCGACTACTTCACTTTCAAGCTGGAGTGCAAGCACAAGTACTCGGAGGCCGTCTACGAGGCCTGCATGGAGTCGTTCTGTTGCCTGCCGCTGGCGGCGGTTATGAACAAGCAGTTCCTGTGCATCCATGGTGGCCTCAGCCCCGAGCTGCACACTCTGGACGACCTGAGAAATGTACGTCCTACTTCAACCTGGCATACTGAACTGCTGCTAACCGACTTCAGATCGACCGCTTCCGCGAGCCCCCTACTCAGGGGCTAATGTGCGATATTCTCTGGGCTGACCCCCTTGAGGACTTTGGTCAGGAAAAGACAAATGACTATTTCGTGCACAACCACGTCCGCGGGTGTTCCTACTTCTTCTCCTACCCTGCCGCCTGCCACTTCTTGGAGAAGAACAACCTGCTTTCCATCATCCGCGCGCACGAAGCCCAAGACGCCGGCTACCGCATGTACCGCAAGACCCGCACAACCGGTTTCCCCAGTGTCATGACGATCTTCTCGGCCCCGAACTACCTTGATGTATACAACAATAAGGCTGCGGTGCTCAAGTACGAGAACAACGTCATGAACATCCGCCAGTTCAATTGCTCGCCCCACCCCTACTGGCTGCCCAACTTCATGGACGTCTTCACCTGGTCTCTGCCCTTCGTCGGTGAGAAGATCACCGACATGCTCATCGCCATCCTGAGCACCTGTTCCGAAGAGGAGCTCCGCGAAGATACCCAATCACCAGGTCCCATCTCTCCCGCCCAGCCCTCCGCCTCGAGTGTCAGCAGCCAAGCCGACCCTGAATCTATCGAGTTCAAGCGGCGGGCGATTAAGAACAAGATCCTGGCGATCGGCCGTCTATCGCGGGTGTTCAACGTGCTGCGCGAGGAATCGGAGCGCGTGACGGAGCTCAAGACGGTGGCGGGCGGCCGGCTGCCTGCGGGTACCCTCATGCTGGGAGCCGAGGGCATCAAGAACGCCATCAGCAGCTTCGAGGACGCCCGCAAGGTCGACCTGCAGAACGAGAGGCTCCCCCCGAGCCACGAGGAGGTGCAGAAGCAGCATGAGGAGGAGCGAGCTCAGGCCCTTGAAAGGGCTGCGCGTGAGGCCGAGCAGGACAAGAAGCTGCAGACGTTGTCTAGGCGTCTGAGCACGTGAGTTTTTTTTCCCCGCATTTTCTACAATTAATACAGTTTTTTTTGGTTTGAGTTACTACTTTCAGCGTTGAAGTTTTGGCTTTTCTTTGGCTTGGTGTTGTTGTTGTTGCTTCGTTTTCTTGTAATGCAGATGCGATATTGCGGTTGTCCTGCTGTTGTTGGTTTTTGCCATCATGATACATGATATGGCTAGAGCAACGTGATTGAATGATGACAGCGATGAAAGATGATCTTTTTGGTATTTCAAAGAAGGAAGAAAGAGAGAGCGAGAGAGCGGGAGAGCGGGAGAGAGAGAGAGAGAGAGAGAAGGGAGGAAAGAGGGAGAGTGAGTGAGTGATCAAGTGAACAAGCAATCCTAACTTTTCTCCAGCCCATTCCATCCTATTAAAGACTTTGGACCTGGCTTGCGTTGAAGACTCTATTGCTTGGACTTGCTTGTGTTGCGTTGAATTACATCAACTTGAACTGGCCACTGATAGATCTATTTCTCCCGCAGTGAACGTAAGAAACGATTCAAAACCCAAGAAGATAACGAGTTGGAAGTGCTGGATGAGAAGCAATGAAAGGTGCCATAGCGGCATTGGAACGGAGGACTCAGCGGGGCGAGGAGTAGGGAGCTTCAGTCAAGCAGCACCGCGTTGGGTTAACGCTAGGTGGACGTTGCATCACCACTTAGAGGAGAGGATGAGGGCTTGAGTGCAATCTCATGATAACCGCTAGGGATATCGACACCTACAGCAACATCGATAGCAGCAGCGAGGACACGGAGACTTGAGCATAGTAATAGTTGGTCAAGAAAGCAATACCGACCTAAAGGAGAGAGTCTTGTGGCCAGAGACAAGTGTGTTCTTCGTGTGTCTGTATTCTTATTAGGTAGTTCTTCGGTACCTCACTGTTCAGCGTTTGGGGGAATGTTATGTCTTCTTTCCCGCTTTCTGGTTGCCCGTCCCTGTAATGTTTACGCTGGCTTCGGGTTTTGCGTTCCAAAAGTGTAGGCGAGCAACAATACCCTACCTTGGTATGGATCCAAGAAGTAATAATCTCGGGTATTATGGGCATCTGGCAGAGGTTCAAGGCTTTTACTCAACTGTTAGTAGGCCGAAGGCCAGCAAGATGGCATGAGCAAGGCCCTCGAGGTTCGAATTCTTATGCTCCTTGCTCAAGCCCCTAACTCCCCGTCCCTGGAATATCAACTTATGTCGGGAACTTCTTGGAACGAGGAATCGCGAAATATCGTTTCGAACTGTTGCTCTGTTCACCATATCTGGCGGCCTGCGGCCGGAAGGCGCACTTCTCACTGCGAGCGAAAAACCAATTTGCCCAACCCGGTGCGAGAACTCAATTGCTGGACCCAGTTATCTGGCAACACGCGACGGTCAAACCCCGGCTGATGCGAAAAACCATCCCATTCCCTAATGCTGCAATATGGGGTTTTGTCCACCCCGAGAACCAACCAGGACGCCGGGACCTAGCACTCATAGCTGACGTATGACCGTCCGAACCGTTGCCATTGGGTTCACTATCCGGTTTTCCCTCGTAAACCGAAAATGCCAAATCGCTAGTAACCGCAACCGAGTCCGACTTTAAGCAACGAGCTCAACAACACCACCAGCCTCCTTCACCTTGCGCTCGGCCTCAGCGCTGACGTACCGAGCGCGGACAACGACGGGGATCTCAGGGAGACGGCCTGCTCACAAGTCAGTTTCACCCATGTCCAAGGCATCCTGCCTTCCGACGCGGTCGATCCTTACCCTTGCCGAGGAGCTTGGCATAGCCGTGGGAGAGGAGGTCGATGACGGGGGCAGTGTCCTTCTTCTGGCCGCTGAGGTACTGCTCCCGGACGTCGGAGGGGACGAGAGACCAGAGCTTATCGATGTTGATGCTCGGGCGCCAGTAGTGGTTGCGCAGGAGATGGAAGTCTGCAAAACCAGTCAATCCCCTGATGTTCTTCCTATCCCTCGAGAGATTCGTTCAGGATACGTACGCCTCATGCCAACCTTGCCGAAGTAACCAGGGTGGTCTGGTCGAGTGTGTTAGCCGGTGTTACCGAGTTAGAGTCGTCACGGTCAAGGGACGCGTCACAGGGTCCAAGAACTCTCCTTGAACCCCAAAAACACCAATCCCTAGCCGCTGTTGGGAAGTTGTTGCATACACTTATCGAGGTTGGTGCGGTGGTGGTGCTTTTCATAAAGTTAGCCAATGTTCAACAGTATCTCTGCCAAAATCTCCAAGACCATACCTGACCACCGGCCATACCACGACCACCGGGGTGCTTCCTGTGCTTGCCGACACGACTGTTTGCAGATTTTCGTCAATTTCGGTTCGCTCACTTCGATCGAGTCGTCGATACGTACCCCTTACCGGCGGACACCTGGAGAGCACAACAGTCAGCGTTTCGTCAAGACCCTCGAGACAGAGATTTTCAGGGTACGTACGTGGCCGCGGTGCTTTCTTGTCTTGGAAAACCGGGTAGGCTGCGAAAGTCAGCATCTCGCGCTCGAAACGACCGGACGTCAATTGGCGTACCATGTTGGCGGCTGGCTAGTGTCGATGAAGCTCAAAGGTCGTCGACGGTGATGGTATCGCAAGTCTGCTTTTTCGGGTCCCGCCGAGCTGAATTTAGGGCTGGGTATTTTTTTGGTGGCCACAAGAAAGTCGCTGCTGAGGTAAGCCGAGGATTTCCCGCGAAGAGTGGCGCACAGGCCACTTCAGGGGATTGCGGGGTTAGGGTTCGTGATCTTGACCGCAGGGTCCACTTCGAGTCCTTGGATTTGTGGAAGCTTGAGCTTCAAGCCTTCACTCTTGACTCCGTCCACCAGATGATACAGGGCGTTGGAATGTAGACTCTGGCTCGAGTTTTCGATGATGACCGCTCATGGATATCTGATCCTCAATTAATCCTCTTCAGAATCACAGATGAGCAGTTCCGTATCTTCAACCTCTTGCATTCTTATTGATGCTGTCTAGACAATTTGCATCACGAGCTCCAGCAAGTCAAAGTAAGCCTCTTGACTCCCTTCTGTCTTCTCCAAGCCCAAACCAAGAAGCAAAGATCTCTTTTCAGTGGGATCTCTCAAGAGCAAATGATTCGCAATCTGGGTGGCATACAGATGGCCTATTGTTTCGCGTTTCTCTCCCCCCCCACCTAACAAAGTCTTAGGTGTCAGATGACTGGGAGGAAGACCGGTCAAGCCAGCTGATGGCAAGGGCATGTCCACAGTAGCCGGCGATGGGTTCGCAAGAGAGACTTGAATCTTTAATTGTGTCAGTGGTAGACGCGACTATTGGGCAACATAACGTACCCATTGAGCAAGACGACCGCCTTGAGAGACAGTGATCATGATCTTGTCTGCGAAGGACATCAACTCTACCTCAGTAGGCAGTCCGTTGACTATTCCTGTTACCCTCTTGAATGGCGCAGGGAATGGCTCTGTATTGATATCTCCATCCATCTTCAACCCAGTTTGATGCTGTGGGAACAAGAGTGATATGAACAACTCGTTTGACCGTTTGACTCGGGTTGCTGTCCTGTCAACAGTCGGGACGCATAGGAGGACAGTCCATTGTACCTATTCGCACTGTATATCGCGCTGTGTCCCTGTGCCCCACCTCTTGTGGTGGGGACTTTTCCACCAAAGCTCATTAATTCTGCCGGGCGGACAGATTTTATCTCGAAATTCTTCAGCGCTCTTGAACTTCCCGACTTTTGTCTCAATGACCCCCCTGGGTGTGGCATTGGTTCCCTATTAGCCACTTAATTGTCTCGACACTGCACAAAATGATGGATATGGACATCTAATTTTTACATCTAATGCCAATTTCCTGAAATTCTGAATTATTATCACCCTTGACGGGGCCTTCCCGTCTACCGCCTTCAACACTGATCTTTCAATTTCTCGGGCCGTCCTGGTGAATATCAAACATGACTGGCCGCAAGAGTTTTGCCCCGAACCGGGTGCGCAAACGTAAAGTGCTGGATCGCATGCGGGCGGCTGAGAATGGCACCCGAGATGCTCCGCAAGACACGAATGTTCTCGAGATCACGCCTGCCGAGCAGGCCGAACGCGAGAGGAAAAAGGCCCAACTTCGCGAAGAGCTGAGGCCCGCTGGCGTCAAAGTCAGCAGCAAGAAGGCCAAGCGTCTGGAAAAGTACATCGAGAACAAGTTGAAGAAGGATGAGAACCGCGAGCTGCTCGCCAAGCTCGCCGCGAACAAAATCGACACCAGCCTGTTCGTCAGCGCTAAGAACCTTGGCCAGACCAAGGAGACAAAGAGAGATGCGTTGAGACGTGCTCTAAAGGAGCAGAACGCCGGTCTTACTCTCGAAAAGTCCGATGCCGAGCTTCTCTATCAGCGCCGGACGGTCGCAGACGTCGAACCACGAGAGAATGGCGTAGCAAGCTTGTCGGAGGATGAGGAGATGGAAGATTCGGCTACTCTCCAGAAAGGGGCTCGTTTGGCTGGACCGCGGCCTCAGCAAGAGCAGGCCAAAGAGGAACAACCAGAGTCGGAGGAGTCAGAGCAACAAGAAGAGGATCAGTCTGAACAGGCTCAACCAGAGCAACCTAAGCCTGTCATCCAAATCGCTCCTGGATCTGGTCTGAAGCGTCCTCTGGAACTTGATGAGTCAGGCCGCCCAAAGTTGGCCAAGCGACAGAAGCGCGGTGGTGTCAAGTCGAAATTCAAGGTCGAAGCACCAGTAGTACTGATGGAGCCTTCTTCTGAGGAGTGGAGCGGCTTCAGCGATGACCCTGACGCGGCTTCAGGAGCTGGGTCGGCAGAAGGGTCTAGCCAAGAGGAGTCCGCTAGCGAGAGCGAATCAAGCGAGTCGGACAACTCAGAGGAGAGCAGTGATGAAAACGAGGACATAGAGAGCTCTGAAGCGGAAGCGGAGGATGCAGAATCCGAGGACTCGGCCGAAGCTGCTCGGAGACGCCAGGAGCGGTCATCTGCCTTCAAGGCGTGGGCCCAACAAGCGCGAAATGAGGCGTTGGGTTACAAACCGGTCGAGACTGGGCCGCTCCAGATTCCCAAGCCCGCCAACTTCGTTCCTCGTCCTCTTGAAGAAGACCCTCTGCCGATCGAATTGCAGCCGACCACGAACGTCGACCGAAAGGCTTATGCGGTGCCTGTGAATCGGAGCCCTGAGATCCAGGCGGCTCGCTACCAGCTTCCTGTGTGCGCTGAGGAGCACACCATCATGGAAGCCATCCACAACAACGACGTGGTGGTCATCTGTGGTGCGACTGGTTCCGGCAAAACCACACAGATCCCTCAGTTTCTCTTCGAAGCTGGCTACGGTGCTCCGGACGGGCCCACGCCCGGCATGATTGGCGTGACGCAGCCCAGGCGTGTGGCTGCTGTTTCCATGTCGAAGCGTGTGGCTCAGGAGATGGGTGACCGTTCTGATACCGTCGCCTACCAGATCCGTTTCGAGGGTACCGTCGATCCCAAGACAGTCATCAAGTTCATGACCGACGGTGTGCTTCTTCGGGAGATCACACAAGACTTGACCCTAAAGAATTACTCTGCCATTGTGATTGATGAAGCTCACGAGCGGAGTGTCAACACCGATATCCTGATTGCCATCCTCAGCAGAGTGGTCAAGCTCAGGGCAGACCTGGCGAAGGAGAATCCAGCCATAAAGCCTCTGAAGCTGATCATCATGTCTGCCACGCTGAGAGTGGAAGAGTTCACGCATAATACAACTTTATTCCGTGTTCCTCCTCGTGTCATCGAGGTTGAAGGCCGTCAGCACGAGGTCACCATCCACTTCTCTCGCAGGACACGGCACGACTATGTTGAGGAGGCCTTCCGCAAGATCTGCAGGGGTCATCGCAAGCTTCCTCCGGGTGGTATGCTCGTCTTCCTAACCGGTCAGAACGAGATCATGCAGCTAGCCAAGAAGCTGAAGGCTGAGTTTGGCGGCATGACCTCCGCTGCTGGCCCGAAGGTGCGCATCTCTGCCAGCGAGGCCCCTGTCGAAGTTGAAGATATCGACTTTGGTGAGGCCGACGATCGCAATGTCAACGATGTGGACGACTACGACGATGTTGAATTCCCTTCGGACGACGAGGAGGAAGAGAAGGAGTTTGAGTTAGAAGATGAAGAAGTCGGCACCGGTCCGCGGAAGATGCACATCCTTCCTCTCTACTCTCTCCTCCCGACGAAAGAGCAGATGAAGGTCTTCGAGCCTCCTCCAGAGGGCCACCGTCTTGTTGTCCTGGCTACCAACGTTGCTGAAACTTCTTTGACAATTCCTGGTATTCGCTACGTTTTCGACTGCGGCCGCTCGAAGGAGCGTCGCTATAATCCTGTGACCGGCGTCCAGAGCTTTGAGATTGGCTGGATCAGCAAGGCGAGCGCACAGCAGAGAGCTGGTCGTGCCGGTCGTACGGGTCCTGGTCACTGCTGGAGGCTGTATTCGTCGGCTGTGTACGAGAGGGACTTCCCTCAATTCGCCGATCCCGAGCTCCTGCGGATGCCCATCGAGGGTGTCGTTCTCCAGCTGAAGGCCATGAATCTGCAGCGCGTGGTCAACTTCCCCTTCCCAACTCCTCCGCCACGCGAGAGTATCGCCAAAGCAGAAAAGCTCCTTACCTACCTGTCAGCCATCACCCCGGAGGGCAAGGTCACGCCTCTCGGACAGACCATGTCCATCTTCCCTCTGGCTCCTCGCTACGCCAAGATCCTGCTACTTGGCCATCAGCACGATTGCCTCCCCTACACCATCGCTCTTGTGGCCGGTTTGTCTGCTGGCGAGATCTTCATTCCCGAGAGTCAGGCGATCCCAGCGATTGTTGAGCAGAACGAGGAGTTCCGCACCAACGAGGATGTCATCGCTGAGGACAAGCGGGCCCGGATCCAGAAGGCATACAACACGGTCCACAAGAACTTTTGCTACCTTGACGACAAATCGGATGCCATCAAGCTGCTTCAGGTTGTCGGCGAGTTCGCTCACGAGCCAACCGAGGAGTGGTGCCAGAGCCACTTTGTTCGGTACAAGGCATTGAAGGAGGTCAGGCAGCTCCAGTCACAAATCGCCCAGCTGGTCCGGACCAACCTGCCCGCCTTTGCCAACTTTCAGCTGCCCGACAAGATGGGTCCGCCAACTCCCAAGCAAGTCCAAGCCTTGAAGCAGTTTGTCGCTGCGGGCTTCATCGACCAAGTCGCCATCCGGGCCGACAAAGCACCTAACCCACCGCCGATGCCACGCAAGCCTCACCGCGCCATCGACGTGCCATACATCCCCCTCATCCCTCTCGAGGACACCGGCGAACGCAGCACCGACCCGGAGCAAGCCCTTCTCGAAAAGCTGGTCTACATCCATCCCTCGTCGCCCCTTGCTCACCTCAGCGTCTCAGAGTGCCCTGAGTACATCGTCTACTCGCACCTGCAGCGCGGGTCCAACACTGGCGCGGACGGCGAGAAGAAGGCCAAGATCCGCATGCACGCCTTAACCGACTTGACCGGCTCACAGCTGGCTGCCCTCGCCAGGGGCACGCCGTTGATCAGCTATGGCAAGCCCATCAAGGAGGTTAAGGGATCGGAGAGCGAGGATGGAAAGACGAGGGAAGTCTGGGTCATCCCGTACCTTCGGGCCGAGACAGGTGGCGGGCTTGGATGGCCGCTGCCTGCTCGGAAAGTGACGCAGAGGAGGATACCAGGGAAGGGTTGGGTTGTCGAATGAGAGACAGGTATGTATCTTATTTTGATTTTAGTTTGGACAGGTGGTTGTCTGTCATGATGAGCTTCAAGGATTATGATCCCTCCATGATTATACACATCACCTATCTTATTCTTTTCCTCCGACTGAACATTTGGTCGAGGGCAAAGCCTTTCTGGTCTGGATTTTGTGAGTTGAATTGGGTACTAATTGTTTGACTCGAAAGGTTGTACGCTGCTCGATAGCTCCCTCTCTTTGCACCTTGAACCTGTGCTTGGGTAAGTGTTGGTGAATGGATTTTCTCTCCCTCCTGGTTATGATGAATTTCTTTAAGAGGCTGTTTATGATCCCCATGATTATAAACTATCACCTACATTGTTCTATTTTGCTGATGCAACTAATACCCAATCTCTGGTTGTTCACAACAATTCTTTTTTTTTGCTTTGGCTAACTGCTTGCTCTAAGGTTTCGTGTCTCACCCAGTGCCAGTCTTCCTATGGATCTGATGACAGTGCTTTGATGAGGTACGTTATTTCAGACTCCTTGCCCTTCATTGACATGATGAATCTCTTTTAGAGGCTGTTTATGAATCTGCATGATTATAAACAATCACCTACATTGTTCTACGTTCTGAAATGTGTTTCTTCTCAACAACTCTGCAGTCTGCAGTCATGACTCGTCCGTTAACATGTATTTTCAAAGATTTCAACCTTGGGCATTGTTATGGAGTCGGGACAAACCTATGGCAGGTATGTATGAACAGTTTTTCTTTTGTCAGTCTCTTGCTACTTGAGCTGTTTGTCGGGATGACTATCTCTCAAGAGTAGAGGGTGTCCGATGACTTTAATACTCACACCTACTATGACTCCTTGTCTGATGGCTTCCTTGGCTAAAACTTTGAGTTATTCCACTTTTGGGCTGCAACATGTGGCTAAGCTTCCTCACTTGCAGGACCTGACAGACTCTTTAGTGCTGGCGTATGGTTAGCCTGCGAGAGGTATGTATCTGGTTAATTTTCGTTTTATCTTAATTCCTGTCATGTGATGACTATCTCTGAAGTATGAAGAGGTCTTCCCATGATCTAAAGTGATGTCATGTCAATGATTCTCTGCCTGAGTGGTTGCCATGACTTTGGGATAGTCATGTCTTCTGTGTTCATTCTCAGAAAGTGGCTAACCTTGAGTAGAACCAGGTGTAGCTTAATCTTCTCTGCTCTTTCAAGTAGCTGTACTGGAACACACTCTCTGCTCGGTATGTCTCCTTTGTTTCATTCTCCTTTGTAACGTCTTCCCTTTCTTTCATGATGAGCCATACGCTATTAAGAGGGTCACCGATGAACTTAACTCATACTGTACGAGCTGGACAACTTGTGGCTGAGTAGTTTACATGGCTTTCTCTTTTGGTGCTTAGCTCATTGTACATCTGACATGTTGCTAACCTTATCTGTCACTCCAAGGATGACTCCGCAAACACTGTCTTCCTGCGATCATTAATTTGTTGTCATGGCATAGGTATGTGCTACCCCCCCAGAACTTTCCCCTCGTTGTGTTTTTCCATTCTTGTATCGTGATGAGCCATACGCTATTAAGAGGAGCACCCGATGAATTCAACCTTTATATGTACGAGCTGGACAACCTGCGGCTGAGTGGTTTTAACATTAACAAAAAAGTTTTTGTGTGCTTCTCACTTGCGTGGGGAACATTGCTAACTCTTTTGAGCGTCAGCTTTGTAGGAACCGATTGGCATGTCTGGGGCAGGTAACCTGCTGAACATTACTTTATTGTTAGGATTGGCGTCTTGGAACAGGTATGTCTGAGATGTTTGGTCTTTGATTGTTTTGTGCTTTCAATCCCCGTCATGATGAGAATTTCTAGTTTTGAAGAGGGTATCCTATGATCTACTACTCTCACTTGCTATGACTCCTTGGCTGAGATTACCTATCATTACCTTTCACTTTGGTTTTTTGCTTTTTTTCAAGCTTGGGATAGTGCTAACATCATCGCCCTAAGGTTCGGTTCAGGGATTGCAACATAGAGGGTGGCTCCTGCAAAGGGATAAGGCGATCGGCAAACAGGGTTTGGAGAGTTACGTATAGCATGACTTTTAGGGCTTTTCATCCAACTGAATGATACCCTTTGTTCTGGTGGTTGAGTTCCATTTCATCTGTGCATGCTGAACAGCTTTGTCCCATGATGCTTGAACGCATGATAATGCCATATCTGGACGTATCCTCTGCTATAAGACGGAAGGTAAATCAAACACTAGAAAGGGATGAGAAAAGCAAATAGTAGGTAAGGGTATCATAATGCCGAGGATAGCCCGCCCGTAACGCCCGTCTAGCAAAGCCCCTCCCCTTCTTTACTGTACCGCCAGAGTTTGTCCCGCCAGTTAATCAGCTCTTCCTTTCTTCTTGGCCGGCGCTCTCTCTGCCTTCTCTTCCTTCCTCTCACCTTCAGCTGCACCTTCAACTGCAGCAGAAGCTTTTTTCATTTTCTCACCGCCAGCCCCGGTCTTCGTACTACCGGCCGCTTCCTTCTTCTGCGGCGATACCGATACAGCACCTTCATCTTTATGTTGCTGAGTTTGACTTTGTTGAGGACTCAGAGCAAGCTTCTTGGGCGTCGAGTTCTTCTGCTGTGTGCCCGGATCCCCATCCTACGAGGTAGGTGTCACAGCCGCCTTGCTGCTCTTTCTCTTTTTGGGCTTGCCCATACCGGTACTCATGCCCCCTGTTCCCGGCCCAGTCGAGCTACTCGGCGTCTTCGGACTTTTGGTTTCTTTTCCTGTAACCTGCTTCCCTGACCCCATCGGGTTCTGTTGGACCTTGGTGTTGATAGCTGGCAGCGGGGGCAACCCACTACCGGGTTTTTTGTTGCCTGCTGCGGCGGTCGGTAGGGTCTGAATTTTACGGCCGGTTGAGGAGAGGTGGAAGTCTCCTGGTTTGCCGGTAATCGGGTTCTTGTCTAGGTGATGGTCGCCGAAGGTTTCGTGGATCATGAGGGTTTCTTCAAGCCAGCGGGGGTCGGGTGGGGGAAGGGCGGTGGTTGTGGTAGTAGTTGCTGGCTGAGAGGTTGGTTGGGATTGGGTCTGGGAGGAGGGTTGGTTGGCTTGGTTGGTTTGGGAGGTCATTGAGGGGGTCTTGTAGACGCGCCCGGTGCCAGGGGACCAGGATTGTACGCTTGCGGCGATGGGTAGGAGGCGGGATATTGAGGAGGAGGCGGATGCCTAGGAGAAAGTTAGTATCCGATCTTAGGGATAAGGTAGATGGAGATGGAGAGCATACCAAGCGCATGCTGATAATATCTGCCAGCGTCGGCGCCATATACACATTCTCCCCCACCAAGAAGTACGTCCCATGCACGCTAATCTCATCTTCCTCGCCCTGCCTCTTCCTCCGAGTTTGCTTATTAATAACCCAGACCCCCGTGCCCGTACCCGGCGCAGTCTCGGCGGGCTCCTGCGCAACGACAAACTCCAGCCCGGACATTTCGCGCAGGCGCCTCTCGAAGCGCTCGCGAGTTTCTAGGAACTGCATCATGGTCTGGTTGTGCAGACCCTGCTGGTAGAGAACTTCGTTGTTTGACGTCTTGTCGTAGAAGGGGGACTCGCGGAAGTAGAAGAGCACGCTGTTGTCGTGGATGCTGCCGCCCACTACGGCTGGGTTGGTGTGCCATTGGATTTCATCCAGCGGCATGGCGCTGGTGCTGGAGGAGGGGTCGGCCATGGTGTGTGTACAGAATTGGCGCTGGTCGAAATGGTAAAGGAGAGGCGGTGTTAGAGAGGGGTGGTAAGTAATAGAGGTCGGTCGCGATGAAGATGATCGAGTCGAAGTTCAATTGAGCCGTAAGTTGGAGCACGTCGAGGCATCCGCAGCCAAGAAAAGCTTGGCGCCTGTAACTGTGGGGCGCATGTGGGGCGGTTGCAGCCTGCGACGCGCAGCTGAGATCATCGACAAGATCGCAGCGATCAGGTTACTTTACATTCTCGCCATCAAACTTTCTTTTTTTGTCCTTCCCAACCTCGACTTCCTTAACCTCCCAAAATCACCGGAAGCCGAAAATCAAAATAGGCGACAAAAACAATGGACCTCCTTTCGACAGTCCGCAAAACCGGCTCCCGTGGCGGCGTCAACTTCAGCTGGGACGATGTCGCCAACAGCCAGTACCGCGAAAACTACCTAGGCCACAGCATCAAAGCGCCCGTCGGGCGCTGGGCTAGAGGCCGTGATCTCTTCTGGTACACGAAAGCAGACCCGCCGCCCGCAAGCGCAGCCGAGACGGAGGAAGAAAAAGCCGCGCGAGAGAGGGCAGAGGAGATTCGCAGATTAAAAGAAGCTGAGGAGGAGGCGATGGCTAGGGCGCTAGGTCTACCGATTCCGGCGAAGAAGGTTACGGGGGCAAATGCAGTTGAGATCGCGCCGAGGAGAGAGAAAGGGAAGGGTGAGGAGGAGGGCGATGGGAAGAAAACTGAGAAGAATGTGAACGTTAAAGAGGAGAGGGGGGAGCGGCATAAAGACTCGGAGCATAGGCATAGGAGACGACATAGGAGCAGGAGCAGGGATAGGGACAGGTCAAGGGAAAGAGAACGTGGGCGCGATCGTGACCGTGAGCGGGAGAGAGATAGTGGTCGGGAGCGCAGTCGCAGCCGGCACAGGAGACGGGACGGTTCAGTGAGTGATATCGACAGGGATCGTCGCCACCGGCGGAGAAGCCGCAGCCCTGAGCGTGACAGGCATCGAGGCGAGAAGCGCCGCGAGGACAGACTCGACGACGTTCGCGATCGGTATCACACTAGAAAGGATAGGGAAACCAAACGGTACAGCAGGAGCAGGAGCAGGAGCAGGAGCAGGAGTAGGGACAGGCTACGGTCCGAGAGGTTCGATCGGAGGAGGAGCAGGAGTCGGAGTCACAGCAAGACGAGGTATCGTGATAGGGATTAGGGAGAGGGATTGGTATGAGCGATGAATACGAAAGGAAAATTGGTATGGTTGGGATATGGTGTTGGCGTTTTCGGTTCTTACACGGGAGAGGTTCATCTACACGTATTGCCATTGAGCAGATCTTCTTTAATTAAGAGCTATCACAGAATGTTGGCTTTTCTGTGCTATTCACAAGACTCAAGATAGGCCAAAGGTATTAGTTTTTTTTTTTTTTTTTTTTCCTTTTCCAAATCATCGACATATCTTATCTCATGTCCCCAGATGCCTGAATAATGACCAAGCCATTCAATTGGTCTTGTAGGCGAACTAGTCACCCCTCAGAAGGCGTAGCAGGTCTGAGCAGCTGATCGATAACGCGTCGCCCTGTCGTCAGCCGCGACATTACCGTCGCTGATTGGTCAGATAGTTGCTATAAGATAAGATAAGCCTGTACAGCGGGGCCACCAGGGTAGCCTGTCCCGTTACACTCAAACGTCACAGGTACCGTTGCACCGTCCTCTCCTTGCCTCAGTGTGTGCTCTTGACTCTGGACTGACACACGGTCAACCTGACCTTTTGGACTTTCGTTCTTTCTTGTCTTCGCAGACCCCCAAATTTTGAGGGTAATTTAAGTGCTGGAAAGCATACAATGATGCCGAGAGCCGGCACTTACCGTACATAATCACGACCATTATCATCAAGCTTACCCCAGACGCTCGTTGTCGCATCGCATCGCCATTCGCATCGAATCTTCGACCCGCGGGCGGGGGAACCTGATTGACTTACCGAGCAGAGTTTGGACTCAGATTTGACACCCCAGATATTTAAATTACGAAGACTTTGTATACGCCATGGACTACGCCCGTCTACGCGCGGCCGCCCTCTCCGGCGAGGTCGAAGAGGCGGTGACGGTCGACACGCGCGCGCTCATCGACAAGGTCCTCGCGCGCTACTCGGGCGAGTGGACGACCCTGCGCGAGCTGATCCAGAACGCGGCCGATGCTCAAGCGTCGACCGTCACCGTCAAGTGGGAGACCATCCCGTCGACGTCCGTTCCCCTGCCGCAGAATGCGACGCCGTCGGATCTGTTGCAGCATACGTTAAGACATCATACCATTAGACGGCTGGTGGTGCAGAATGATGGGCTGCCGTTTAGCAAAACGGATTGGCAGCGGTTGAAGAGGATTGCGGAGGGGAATCCGGACGAGACGAAGATTGGTGCCTTTGGCGTCGGGTTCTACAGCGTGTTTGCGGATTGTGAGGAGCCATTCGTTAGCTCGGGCGCTGAGGCGATGGCGTTTTATTGGAAGGGGAATGCGCTGTTTACCAGGAAGGTCACGCTGCCGGAGGATCAGCAGAGCAAGTTGACTACCTTTGTGTTGGATTATCGGAGCACGACGACGCCGGTGCCGAATTTGTTGAGCGTAGCGCAGTTTCTGGCGACGAGCCTGACATTTGTGGCGTTACAGAGGATTGAGTTCTGGATTGATGAGTGGAGGGTGTTGGGGCTGGTGAAGAAGAGCTCGCCGAGCATGGAGGTGCTGGTTCCGAGGAGTTTGGAGACGACTACGAGGGAGAAGCATTTTAGGCTGACGGCGGCGGAGAGGATGAGCACTCAGATTGATGCGACATTCATGCACGTCTTGGGTTGGAAACCGCAGACTACGTCCTCAACAAGCAAACTCGCCGAGACGACCTTCGGCTCCGAGCTCTCCTCCCTCAAAGGCTTCTTCTCCCGTCTAACAGGTGTCTCCTCCCAAACAAAAGCCGCCAAGGAGGAGAAATCCCTCCAAGACACCGTCGCTCAAGACCTGACTGCCACTTCAACATCAACCATCTTCCTGCGCTCTATCTCAGCCCAGTTCGTCACCAGCGTATCCTCCTCCTTCGCAGCCGAGCTCGAGCGCGCAACTAAGAAGCCCCCCCCCAAAATCACGCGCATCTCGATACTTACCTCCTCTTACGATGAGACCGTTGCCTCGGAGGAGGCATCCTCCGCCGCAGCAGCCAAGATTGCAGATGTCTTTGCAACAGTCCTACCCAGCAAAAAGCCCGGCGGCCGGATCTTCATCGGTTTCCCTACCATGCAAACTACGGGAGCAGGGATGCACGTCTCCGCGCCGAGCGTGATTCCCACTGTCGAGCGGGAGGCGATTGATCTGAACGCCCGCTGGGTCAGAACGTGGAATGTGGAGATGCTTCGGGCGACCGGTATCCTTGCGCGGTTGGCGTTTGCGAGTGAGATGGCGGAGTTGGATCAGAAGCTGAAGCGCATGGCGCAAGCCAATGGTGACAACAAGAAGAAGGGAGGTGTTGTTGTGTCCGCAGCAGCGGATGTGCAAAAATGCGTCCCGGAAGCGCTGCACATCCTCAAAACGTATACCTTCACGGAGTCGACGCCCAATGCGTATGTGGCGCAGATTATTGAGGAGGGGTTCTGGACCGCGTGCAAAGAGCCGTTTATCGAGGTTTTCTCGTCGAGGGGCGTGCTGCCTTCGACCAAGGTGCGCAACTCGTCGGAGGAGATTGCGAGATTTGTGGCGGGGATTCCGGTTGTGTTGAAGGAGATGCGGGACGCACCGTTGATAAGGAAGCTGGTTGACTTCGGGCTGATTCAGGATGTCACAGTGGAGGATATTGCTCAGGAGTTGGGGAATAAGGCGCTTGATCGGGAGCAGCTCGGGCATTTCCTGCAGTGGATCACCAAAGGCGCGGCGGAGGGGGAGTTAGATCGGCCGAGCGTGCAGCGTCTGCTTGACGTCGCTGTCGCGACTGTCTCAGCCGACGGCGCTGACTCCGGCGAGGTCATCGCTCTCGGCTCGATCAAGTACTATCACAACAAGCTCATCCCAGCCCATCTTCCCATCCCGCCGACCACCATGCCGGTCGCTTTCACGGCGTCCATCCCTGAGGGGAAGCTCCTCTCCCTGGGATGGTCTCCCCTCTCCCTCGTGTTATGGCTCCAGTTCCTGATCGAGTCGGCCCCCACCAAACCCGCCGAGCAAGATCTGACGAGATCGGATAAGTTTGCCCATCAGGTGCTCAGCGTGCTGTCCAAGAACTGGGACAACCTCAGTCCGAATTCGCGGGCGACGGTGGTCGGCCTGTTGCAAAATATTACCGTCATGCCGACCAAAATGGGTATGAGGAAACCGGGCGAATCGTTCTTCCCCAGTGTGAAGCTCTTTGATGATTTGCCTACGCTAGAGGGATGTATCAATCTCAAAGAAAAGTTTCTTGTTGCGTTGGGCGTAAGGAAGACGGTTGATCTGGAGACCATTTTTACGAGACTGCTCACGCCAGGGGAGGGAGATGCGCAAGGAGCGAAGTGGAGCCATGTTGAGTTGATCAAGTATTTGACTTCTGTGCGGCAGGACATTCCGGCTGCAGATCTCAAGAAGCTGCGCGAGTCGCCTTTGTGTCCGGCGGAGGCGGGCCCGAAAGGGGCTGAGGCGAGTAAGCGGTCGGAGAGGCTGTACCGGGTGTGTGAGTTGTATGAGCCGAAGGATTCGCTCCGCGCGCTCGGGCTGCCCATCCTGCAGTGGCCTGGTCCGTCGGGGAGTTTCAGGAGTAATAGCCCTGAGGCAAAGTTCTTATTTTCGTTGGGGCTGAAGGCGTATCCGTCGGCGGAGCAGTTAGTCGAGATGATGGCTTCGCAAGACGAAGAGTTGAGGGGGAATGCGATGGCGTATTTTATTGCAAATCACCACCTCAATGGGTACACAAGTACGGATCTGGCGGGCACAGACAAGAGGATCTTGCCGATCGAGGGAAATGAGAAGGTGCTCGTAACGCCGTCGGCGTGTTATACGAATGAGAGGGCGGCTGTCATGGGGTATAATATCCTTCGCAGAGACCTACATCCTCATGCGATGAAGTTTGGCGTTGCTCGGGATCCGCCGATTTCGGGTTGTGTCGAAAAGCTGATTGCTAATCCGCCTGCGGACCGACAAGCGGCGGTTACGTTGTTCGAGTACCTCACTTCGCGGCTGGGCGATCTCAGACATAATGACCTCATGAGGCTTAGAGATGCGGCGATTGTGCCTGTGGTGAGGTCGGCGTCGGCGGCTGGTAAGAGCGGAAAGCCGACTGTTGTGCTCGTCGCGCCATCGAGAGTTTATCTCGGCAGCTCGTCGACGTATAAGGATATCTTTGACTTTGTCGATTTTGGGGCCGACGCGAACAGTTTCCTGTTCAAGTGCGGTGCGAAGAGCGAGCCGACCAAGCATGAGATTGCTCACCTGGCTTGTACCGAGCCAGCGAGATTGTTGAGTGTGCTGGAGAGCCCGGAGAAGTATCTTAGCTTACTTAAGTCCATTGCTGAGGATCTCTCGACTCTTAAGCGGGATAGAGATCTCTACCGCAAAATGAAGACCTCCCCCTGGTTGCTCGGCTCGAAGGAAGTCCCCTCGGGTAAGAACCGTTCTACAGACGACGACGAAGAAGAAGAAGATGCCACCATCAAATCCTACCTCCTCGCCTCCCCTCCGCAGCTCACCATCCTCGACGACTTTATCTCCTACCGCCTCTTCAAAGACTCCCTCCTCTGCGCCCCCGAAGAGGACCTCCTCGAAGACATGTACCTCGCCCTGGGCGCTACAACCCTCAGCAGCCGCGTCCAGGAAGATCTGCGCATCGGCCGGCCAACGCCCGACCAGCGCTCTGCCGAGTGGCTGCGCAAGCACGTCCTTGAAAGAGCAAAACTTTTTTTGCATGAATACGCCAAGGACAGGCCGAATGCCGTAAAGCACGATTACCGCTGGCTGGAGAAGAATCTCCGCGTCATCAGTGTCGCGTCGTTAGCTCTGCGCCGGACATTGAGGGGTGTCCAGGGCGGGAGGGTGCACGCCGAGAGTCGGAGCGCCGCGAGCATGAAGACGAGCGAGGGGCATGTGCTGTATGTCGCTGCGCCAGAGGGGGGGGAAGGGAAGCCGGATATGTATCAGGTTGGGCAGGCCATCTGTCAGATGTTGTTGACGAGGCCAAATCAGCATGCGTATTTCTTTTTTGAGCCGTTTTTGAAGTTGGGGTTGTTGGAGTTGAGAGCGAGAGGGTATAATGTCGATCGGATTTTGAGGGCGAAGGCTGCTGAGGCGAGGTTGGCTGAGGAGGAGAAGAGGAGGGCACTGGAAGCGGAGAGGCAAAAGCTAGAGGTGGAAGAGAGGGAGAGGAAGAGAGTCAAAGAACAGGAGCAGCAGCAGCAGCAGCAGCAGCGGCAGCAGCAGAGGGGTGTTCAGACGCCGCGACAGGGTGCTAGAATGCCCGGGGCGTTTGAGGAAGACTCTCCTGAGCAAGAGCAGGCATTGGTGAGGTCGCATAGCGGCCAGCAGCAGCACCAGCCGGAGCAGACCACGACAGTCAGGAGTCTTTTCAACGCATTTACACGCCGACTCGGCATCGACGTCGACACGCTCACATCCCCACAATCACAACAACAACCTCCCCCCAAACAGCCCGAATCTAAACCTTTTCCTTCTCCCCTAGCCCCTCTACCACCTACTTCCTCTGACAACGACCCCATCACGGGTCCTTTAACCTCCCCCTCCTCCCTCCGCCGAACCCTCCTCACAGCCATCCAACAAACCCGTGCCCACACCTCCCCTGAACTCATTTCTCCCCCGGCCCAAACTACCGTCCCTGAACTGCCGCTGTACTGCGACTCGACTCCCGCAGAACACATCTCCTTCGTAGCGGAAGCTCCCCGCGGCATGCACGTCTTCCTCCCCAAGGGTATGACCCTCCAAGCAACGGAGTTTGTCACCCAGCACGCGGAAGCAATTGGGCTATTTGAAGGTGTCCTGAGGGATGTAGTCGCAGTGTATGAATTGCCTTCGCCGGGCGTGGTGTCCATTTTCTGGGAAAGGGGGAAGACGGTTGCGTTTAATAGGGCAGGCAGTTTGTTTTGTAATTTGGCCTATTTCGAGGAGTTGCATGTTCATGGGGTGAAGACGAACCATGGGGGGATGGGAAGGGTTGAGGCAGTTACGTGGTGGTGGGTTGTACTGGCGCATGAGCTGGCACATAATCTCGTGAGCGTGCATGATGCTAAGCATGGATATTATACGTGAGTACATCCCTTTTCTTGTCTCTTCTTTTTATGGGCTATTTGACCTGTCAGGGGCTTGGAGAAAGTCTTAATGTAAAGAATCATTAGCTAACTTTTTCCTCAGCGAGTCCTTCCTCCAGCAGTACTTTGCCAAGATGATGGCTCTCGCCGCGCAGTGGCTGAATGCCCCAGCCTCTTCGGTTACTGCTGCTGGTGGTGCTAGAGGATCAGAGACTAGGACTTTGCCATCGTCGTCGTCGAGTGGGCGTCTGCAACGGGAGCCGTCACTGCCGTTGGAACCCCCGCCGCCATATAGTCCTTTCGACTAGGTAACCTATATAGGTTTGGGAGTTGGATGTTTAGAGGCAGAGATGCATACAGCATGGAGAAGCAGGGGCATACATGGCGTTTGGGTGTGTGAATTACTGTGATTGATTTATGGTTTAAAGTTAATGTTGTGTATAGCGTTCTTCACATTGTACGCAGAGCCCTCTTCATGGGGCAAGCTCGTTGTCCGCATGTCTTCCAGGGTTCATTGACTTTTGCTCAGGTGTACTCCGGATGTTTAGAGGATGGTAGGTCGTGCCATGTATTAACGCAATTCAACTAAGTTCAACCTAGGTAACAGCTCCATGTCACTTACATCGCCTTAGTCTGGTAAAGGAGACAGCTCAAACAATAAGCACCTTCTCAAACTCCTTCTCACACTTCACATCAAGCTGGTCACACGAGCCAACAACATCGCAGCTTGCTTTCAGCCGCACCATATCGAGCCCTGAGGGGTCTTCATCAAAGATCAGAAGCTTGTCGCAGTGCTCAACCTCGTAGACCCAGTGTCCCTCCTTCACCATGCCACATGTACTGCCCGGAGCGCAGTCCTCAGTTATGAACAGCTTTTTTTGTCACAGCTATGGCAGCTACGCATAGCTATATGTTCCACGCTGGATATATCATGCACTCTTGAGTCCTGGAGAACATCTTCAAAACGGCTCCATCCCATTAGAGTCTTGATGTCCAACACGGGAAATAGAATCTGCCGAGAGGTATCTGGAAAGTCATCTTCCAAGTTGAGTCCTAATTTCGTAACTACTTCTTTGAACTGTTGCCGCTCATGCTGATCCATGTCTTCTGTTGGCTTGACTTTTCTGTTGAACTCAACGAGGTCTAAGGCGGAGTCTCGATCCATGTAGCGGATGATAGTCCGCTGTACAAAGCCGGCTGCTAACGTATGTGAGCCTGTTTCTGACTCTCTCTGAGTTATGCCGCTGAATTGGTCTGGCAGAACAGGCCTCATCAAGGTTTGGAGTGGGGGGAATAGCAGTGGAAGAAGCTTGATGTTTAACATCCTCCAGGAAACAAAAAGCAGAATGTTAGCAAAGCGTCAAATTGTTCGTTGGTGTGATATCTCAGGTATGGAAGCTCTGCAACAAAGCGGATAGTGGTCCGGAGGAGCACATTAAACTGTCAGTGCCCCCGCTATCTGTAACTTCGATGGTAAATGGGCGATTTCTGTTGCTGTATTTGTTTGGGCTGGCCACTTCCTCTTCGTCGCTTCTCTGTGCTACATATTGTTGGTGTGTGATAGATAGAGAGCCAGCGACATTCGATACATCTGGGACCCATGAAGGTAGGTCAACGTCTTCGCGGTTCCCATTTGAACGATTCATGTCTAGATATCCGACCTGGGCCAGTGAATTGAAGCTATCATCTTCATCCATAGCACGGACAGCCCAATCCATATACACATCGCGAACAGGAAGCTGGTAATCTGGTATAATGTCATGTCCGGACGGTAACAAGTTGAGTAGGCCATAAACAGCATCTCGGGGTTCCGTTATAAGATGCGTACAGGCCATGTTCAATACAAACAAGAGGGTAGGTCTCAAGCGCTGCATCTGATACGCCCCGAGCGAGATCTGATCCGTTGCCCATTGCTGGAGTTTCTGGGTTGTCGTGACAATATTCCAGCCGTCCATGTCTCCCTCGACGGACTCATTACTATCGAGCTCTCGAAGATCCATGTTTGATGTTATCGACGATAGTGTCTGTATAAACAACGACTTGCGAAGCCGTTCGATTACTGTTAGCTCCGGCTCAACCAGATACCAGTGCGAGTTTCGGTCGACGAGCGCAAGTTCCTGAACAATCCAAATCCGTTTCTAGTATTCCTCCTCGACGAATTTGACGATGCTTTCCAGGTTCTTATCATCCTGCCACATCTTCTTGGTTGACTCCAGCCATTCGCGTCCAAGCTTTTCTCGCAGGTCGTTCCTTGTTCTTGAATCAATTTTAGAAGCAGGGCACTTTTATATGCGAGTTAGCTGACTTCACATCATCTCCTTGTTGTTGGTCCCTAGGTTTCGTATTTGGCTGCCACCTGTCCAGTATCCTTGGTTACTCTTTATGCCCCTGAGATAATGCCATCAAACACTCCGCGGTCTCTCTGATAACCTTTAGAGCCCGAGAAAGGAGAGGATGCTCGCCCAGCCACGATAGCACCGAAGTAGCGTTACGATAAACCTCTCCCATTAGCAGCACCTGACTGTTGCGCTCGGACATGTCGGCTTGGTTGATAGACAGGGTGTCGATCCAGAGGAGTATCCCGATCAACTCGCTGCTGGTGCTACTGTTGCTGTTGCTGTCGTTGCCATTGCTTCTCGGGTATCCTCCGACCGGCTGCCAGGTATCTGACCCTTCCTTCCTACCGGAGCCCGCGCCGAAAGCAGCGAAGGAAATCACGGAGATTAGGGCGTATATCGAAACTCTGACCATTCAATAAGACATAATAAGTACCGTTATTTTGATGACGGTTGTAGCCCTTGAAAGGATCACCCCGGGTATAGGAGAGCGCGTTGTAACTGAGCTTGTCGAGAAACGAGGAGGTAGTGAGAACCGCATGTATGGGACTATCACTGTCATATAAGTCTCGGTTATCATCATCATCATTGGCTTCCCCATTAGACTTAGTGCAGTAAGCAGATTCCGACTTTTATCTGGAGGAAGAAGCAAAAGAATCCGTATCTCACGCCGAATAGCATCTAATGGCTCGTAAATGGTTGTCAGATCTGTATCGTTGGTGTTGTCATCGCCAGGTATGTTACTCATGATCATATCTTATAGATCGACCCTCCGCTGAAGTTTGAGTAATAGAACCAAGACAGTTTGGTAGGACATTGTTGCTTCTGCTTACAGTATCTTCTTTATCACACAGTCTGATCTCTCACCAAGATGACAACGTATGCTTCTTTAGTTCCATGATATCAGAACCAGTACCACAGCCTTGGTTTAAATGAACACAATGCACCACTGCCACTAGACCGGACTTTCTGCATGCCTGTCTAAGCCACGACATCGGCAACAAATATTGAAGCCAATTATGAAGGCGTCTGCGGTGCAAAGGAGGGGGAGCTGGCAACTGGCAGGCAAAACTCACTTTCCTGGGGTTATTTATTGATGTAGCAAATCCTCACGAACGATTACCCGCTGGCCTACCAATGAGGCCAGCTGTTACCAATCGATTAACCCCAAGGCCGATCAGAACAAGTGGCAGCGCGGTCGCCGACAAAGTCGAGGATTATGTCTATTGGGCCGACTTCCTTGGGCAGGACAAAGTGGATCAGTCAGCAAAACACGCTCATCCAGCCCCGTGACTTGGTCCGGAGTCTCTATGATATCAAAAAAAATATAAGAATAGCTAGCTGGGAAGGAGCAGTATATTTCCGTTAACCTTAACTGTTCTTGTGCCAGGGATTCAAGTCACATGGCTCACTTTTGGATGGTAACCTTTAGTGATTAGTTCCAGGGCTTGGCCCCCTATGTTTTAGCCTTACTTTATTGATGTTCGTAAAATAGATAGGCATGCCTATGGGTTGGCGACGAGGTGTATTCAGGGTTCTTCATCCACAAAGTGCCCGTTTTGTTGCATCTCTCACATATCCTTTGCCCAATGATGGATAGAGTTATCAGTTGGTGTTGAGAACGAATGGTGAATTGTGTAAGATTCAAAGCTCAAACAATAAGAATCCTCTTAAACTCTTCCTCGAAACCTGCTTCAAACTTATCCCACAGCCCCACGACACAAGTTGCCTTAAGGCAAACCATCTCCAGCTCAGAAGACTGGTCTTGCTCTGAGGGTGGATGTTCAAAAACCAGCAGCTCGTCGCAGTGTTCAATCTTGTAGATTTGGTCCCCTTCTTTCACCATGCCCACTGTCTCTCCCAGTAAGTTCTCTGAAGTTACAAACAGTCTCATGGGACTGCGAAGCCGCTGGAGCATTCTTAACATAAACACAGAACACTCTCGACGTACTCTTGTGTCATTGAGAAGATCCCCAACACTGCTCCATCCCATCACATTCTGAATGTCCACGTTTGGAAAAAGCACCTTACGATAGCTATCCGGAAAGTCGTCGCCCAAGCTGAGTCCCAACTTGGGTACGATCTCTTCCACGCGGCGTTCATATGAGTTCAGCATATCCTCAACAGATTTCCCGAGACCACTCAAGTCAAGATGGATGCGTTTATATGAGTTCAGTATATCCCCTAGATATTCCCCGAGACCACTCAAGTCAACAATAAACTTCACAAAGGCACCTGCTAAAACATGAGGCCGCGCTTCAGGCTCTAGTTCAGTCTCCTGATGCCCGCGTTGCATAAGCGCCATCAGGACTCGGAGTGGTGGAATACCAATAGGAGACACTCGTCCATCCGCATCCTTCAGGTAGTCAAAGCAAAAGACGAGTAGATCCTTAACTTTCTTTGTGTCATCATCCTCCTCCTTGTTTAACAGAAATATCGTTTTAATAGTGGTCCAACAGCGTGCATAGACCTTCAGTGCTCCAGAATTGGTCACTTCGACGGAAAAGGGGTGGTCACCCTTGGTATGTGCGTGCACAGTGGTTTTGCTTGATGTGTTGATAGCGTTCAACACCATGCTTGGAGCTCTGCCACCATAAGCGTTAGATAGATCGGGGACCCATGATGGCAGGTCGAATTGATCTTCCCAGTTGCCGTTCGAACGCAGCAGTGCTAATGTACGTAAGTCTGCAATATACCCCAGCAGTTTGAAGCTTCCAGCTTCACTCATAGCGCGAATTGCCCAATCAATATACACATAGCGAACAGGATGTCGATAGTCTGGTACAATGCCATGCCCAGGCTGGAGTAAGTTCAGTAAGCCGTAGACAACATCTCGAGGGTCCGTTGCACGATGTGCGCAGGCTATGGCCAATATGAGCTCCGGGGAAGATCGGACGGTCCAGCACTGATGGAAAAGAATTGTTTGCTGGTCGTATATCCAATGCTTCACTTCTGGAAAGTCCTTGAAAATGCCTGAAGTGCTGAAGTCATCGGCCTTAGAGATAACATCAAGAACAGTAGCAGACTCAGAACCGATGACTAATGAAGCCCGAAATTTTGTCTCCTCCAACGGTAATAGGAACGGCGTATTGCTCAAAACGAAGTATGTGAAATGAGTCGAATCGATCATTGTCAGTTTGGGCCCGGTCACGTAAATATGCGTGGTGTTTTTTGCAAGCACAATTTCTTGAACAATCCATATCCGTTTCCAGTATTCTGCATCCAGGACATGCAGGAGGTCAAGGACATTTTGTTTATTGTTCCATATATCTTTTGTCAACTCCTGCCATCTCAGTGCAAGCTGAATCGTCGCCTGCATATGTGATGATTCAGCGGTTCTTGCGCGAATCTTGTCGAGTAGTAACCTGAATTTCACTTCAGGTTTTTGTTCCGAGTTCTGATAGATTTGTTCACGCTCAACAAGCGTTACTGGGAACCATGAGTTGAGAGCCTCTGTTGAATAATGGCCAAACGACGTCCAAGCTCTTCCATAACCTGTAGCCCCCGAGACATGCGGGAGTCTTCGCCTAGCCATGACATTACTAGAGCGGCTTCACGATAGAGCTCTCCCATCAGGAGTACCTGATTGCTTCGCTCCTCTAGGTCTCTCTGGTTAATGCACAGAGCGTCGATCCACAGGGGGGTTCCGACTATCTCGATAAGCTGGGAAATATCCATCAGAGGTACTCTTAAGGAATCGTGATAGCGGCGGAAGCAGCGTAGGAAGTCGTAAAGATTTGGCTGTATCTGAACACGCTGGCCATTGAGAATGATATATGTCTCGTTCTCGTTCCAAGCCTGATAGCCATAGAAAGGGTCACCCCACGTGTAGGAGAGCGCAATGTACCTGGGCTTAGCAAGAAGCGATGTGGTAGCGAGCACGGCACGTATGGGGCTATCATAATCATATTCAGACTCAGACTCAGACTCAGAGCCATTGTTTGCCGAGTTTTTTTTGCCTCTATCGTCACCATGCTCGCTTGAGTTTTGAGTAATGACGGAAGATCTGAGGTAATTATCCTCATCCTCAGACTCATGATTGGAGGTGGGGTTGACATCGTCGTTGTGGTCATCGTTACCAGTTCCCCTACTGGCTCTATCATTTGACGAGTCCTTTTCATCGCTATGGTTGGTATCAAGGTTCACATCGTCGCAATACTGAGTAGTCTGTTTGTCATTGAGCGATAACCCAATGATGTCAGGCTCAGCAGCTGATGATGCCTTTTTTGATGGAGGTAGAAGGAAGAGGACCCGAATTTCACGTCGAGCAGGGTTCAAGGGCTGGTAGATGCTTTCTAGATCCGGGGTCCCAGTTGCATCGCTGCTGAGCGTGCTGCTCATGATCGGCTTTTGTTGACCAAAGCTTTTGGCTAGGTTTTGACTAGTAAAATAAGCGACCGTGGAAAACACTTATGTATGTTGATTGTTTTTGTTGACAAAGAGGCCTTCCTACAAGGCCACCACACCGTCTTCTCTTTTGCAGCAGGGCGGGTCGTTGTTCTTATGTATGTGCCATAGCTTTAGTGCATGGTGACGGCAGTGCAAAAGGTAAGCAGTCATGGAAATGACAAACCAATCAAGCTAAACATTTCTGTTGTACAAATTAAGATAGGTACAATGTGCTGAGGTTTATTATGTTAGCCTCTTGACGGGCTCTCGTGCGGTCCTTGGAAACCTTTCGGTGAGCATTTCTGCCAAGGAACTAATAACCATACTTCGGCATATCTTTCATTTATAGGACCAGACAGACTTTATTGCCCTTCATAATCTCAAATCATACTTTTGTTCGTAATTATCTAAAGATAGCTTATGAACACACTCTCCCAAAAGGCCAACTAGTCAGCCTCAATGGTAGCGCTGCGTCTACCCAATCAAGAGCACGATAGGAGATGTGAGTCAGCCTTTACTCATAGGGTGGGTAACATGACCTCCTGCTCACTATATGCTTATTGGTTGAAAGGTGAGTTACATGTTCAGCAATCACTTGAGATCACCGACTGCGCCTCTCAGAAGAACCTGTAAACAACAGCCCCCCAGGCATCCGGGGCCTAGAGCTTGGCCCAGACTCCCCCCAGCCTCGCCTAGGCCGCATAAGGTCCCTCCTCCAGATACGGCGTCATGGTAAAGGGCTAATAAACCACAATCCAGCCGCTGGGACGGCCCTTCGGCCAAACCTTTCCTCAGCCTGTTTGACAGGAGGTGCCTCGCTAGGTGGCTTGCGAGGCATCAGGACACGGTGACTTCCTCGAGTACCACGTCCGGTTCAACCACCCGCCGAGTGCGATTAAAACTTGCTCTTGCGGCGAGACGGTATCCAGGTGACCATAGGGCAAGTCACACTGCCTATGTAGCTGATTTTCTAGAAGAAACGGTTTGGGGGTCTGCTTGGCTGTGACTATCTGTTTCAATGAGAATGGTAGAACATGCCATCTTGGGATGGAGTGTTAAGCTGAGAAGTTCTACTTTCTTTGAGCTTTTTTCTGGTAAACAGGCTCAAACAATTAGTAGCTCTTCATATCCTCCTTGATAATGCTCATCAACCTCGTCGCACAGTCCCACGGCCATCGCCTGCCCCACAAGCACGACGGTATTTGGAACGGAGGTTGAGTCCTGGAGACGAAAGGTTAGCAACTTATTGCAATGTTCAACCTCCCAAATGACATCACCCGGTTGGATGGCAGGGTCTCCAGACCCGATATAGCCTTCCTCTGTCCTAAAAAATCGAAAGATTCACAGGGGGAAAATGTCCATTGGAACTTTGGGGAACAACCGTTGCACTTCCGGGTCCTGAAAGATATCCGTGAGTTGGTTCCATCTCATTATCTGCGTCACATCAGCATCAGAGATGACGGCCCTCCGGTAAGCGTCTGGGAAATTGTTTCCTAAGCTTAATCCCAACGTTGATATAAGATCTCTCAAGCTCTCCATCCCATCAGGGGTCAGCTTGTCCAGATCTGCGAAGACTTCCCGTATCCCAGGAGCCACGCTCCAGGGGCAGAGCCTGCTGGTTTGCTTTCATGCAGCGGAACATAAGCCATTAGATGAAGGCTCCTGCTAGCTTGTGAGCTCCCTTTTCGGGCTTCTCAGCTAATAGTTTGTGGAACAGTCCCGGTAGCAACAGTCGGATAAGTACTTGAAGTGGTGGGATACTCGCAGGATGACCTTGCCCGGCTGCCCTCTCCCTGAGATAACGGAAACAGAAATGGAGCAGGGGATGGAATCCCCTTTGTCCTTCAAGGAAACCTTTCTCTGGCATGTTTATAACAGATCGAATTGTAGCTCGGCGGCGAGCGCGAACTCTCAGGGCGCCATTACGGCTGATACCGATCCGAAAAGAGCTGGTCTGCTGCTTGATGAATCATTGCGCGTATTCTTGGGCCCCTTCGGCTTGTCCCAGTCGGAGTCCCGCATTTCTATGCGGCTTTTAGAGTTGAACAGGTCTGGAACCCATGAAGGAAGCCCAAAGTCTGGGCCGCTCTTCTTCTTCGACCAGATCCAGGTCAATAGGTTCAAGTTTCCGCATTCGCGCATAGTACGAACGGCCCAGTCTATATATACGTCGCGGACGGAGCGCTGGTAGTCCGGCACAATCCCACAGTCAGGGGGCAGCAAGTTCAGCAGGCCATAGACAGCATCTAGTGGTTCCGTTGTATCATGTCCAAAGGCAGTATTGAGCACAAACATCAGAGAAGGCGTCTGCTCCCCGCGCTGTAGTTTGTGGAGCACCCACCACTGGTACACCTCAAAGCTGATTGTGTCCTTCAGCTTCCACATGATGAGGACATCTCTTTTCTCCTCATCCTCCTGGTTACCTTCATTCGCAACGGTTGTGATTGAACTGGTTAACAACCTCCAAAAATTTGTTAGGCATATTATCATCACCCTCATGTCAGATATCGATGCCATGTGAGGGCCTGGCCCAGTCATGAAGATGTGGGACTCGGGATTTGCAAGGACCATCTCCTGCACAATCCATATCCGGCGCCAGTACTTGGTATGGAAGACACGCAAGAGGCTTATTAGTGTTTGTTCATTATGCCAGATGTCCCGAGTCGACCGCATGAACTGGATCACTTGCTCATCTAGGCCTGGGACAGCCTCAGGTTTGGCATCTCTCTCTGCCATTGGCGGGCTTGTATCCTCCTCTCTCCTACTTCTCTTCCGATATTTTTTCTTCTGCTCAATCTCTTCAACATATCCCCTCCAGCGCCTAGCCAGCTCGCTTATAGTCCGCAGCCCGCGGGTTAATTTCCGATGTTCGCCAAGCCAGGATATAACAGCTGCCGCGCCACGATAAATGTCCCCCATCAGCATCACCTGGCTGTTTCGCTCGAGGATGTCCGATTGATTGATACAGAGGGCGTCGACCCAGAGCGGTAATCTCACTACCCCCTTTTCCTCGCTCCCTTCTTGGGCAAGGCGCCGAAGCAAAGATCGGAGGTGATGGCCACACGGATTGTCACAGCTGCCAGTTTGGATGTGGCGCTGCATGTTTCGGAAGAAATCGTACAGATTGGGCCGCACCTCGACGTGTTGGCCGTTGAGGAGAATGTATGGCTTTCTGGAACTGCGCGGTTGATAGTTGGCGAAGGGGTCAACCCATGTGTAGGAGAGCGCCATGTACGCTGGGTTGTCGAGAAGAGAGACGGTTTCGAGCGTAGTGTGAATGGGAATGTCATCGCCAGAGTCGTCCTCATTAGAGAAGGTATTGTTGGAAGTTTCAACACTGCAACAACTCTTTGGGGCAGATGTTTGTTCTTTGATTGGCACAATGAGCCACAGAAGGCGAATCTCTTTGCACGCGGGAGTCAGCGGTGCATAGCTGCTAGAAAAGTTGGGGACCTGATTGCTGCTGGTAGGCGAAGTCTTCATGATTAATGCGCATTGATCAGAAGTCTCCTGGCGAAATCCCGATTCGCTGACAATGGCTTCAGGCAGATACTGTGGAATAGGTGCTATTCATGCAAAGCAGCTTGCACGGTCGCTAGTTTCTTAAGGCACTCCGATGTTTCTTTGGCAGCATGGTGAGTAGATTGGGGCCTTGCTGCCCAACCGTTGTAGCCCGACGCTGTTGGACCAATTGACGCTTCTCCGACGAAAGACAGACAGCTGAGCAGCTTTGTGTGACCGCCTCCTCGAGCGGCCCCTTGTCTCAACAAAGAACAGGAGAAGGGACTTTTTTTTTTTTGAAAATTTCGACAGCTCAGAGATTGTTGCATTGCCATAAGCCTACGTCGATGACTTTAACCTTTTCAACAGAATCTGATGCCGCGACTGATTGACCAACACTGAAATCCGTAAGAGTAAACCAGTGATCTTGGATCAAGAGCAAACTGCTTGCATCGGCCATAATGGAAACAATAAGGTCTAACAGTTCCCAAGTTATTGGGGAACTTTATAGACCTCTAGACCCATCACGCCATGAGATTCATATCTCCTGGCTACTTCTCCCAGTAGACGAACCACCTCTCCCGAAGCCCGGCATTATCAATCCTCACAAGTCCTGCCGAGACAGTTCTGATAATAACGACAAAATTTGACGCCGAGATAACCCCAAATTCTTCAACCAGTTTTGCAGAGGAGAGCATCAGTATCCGCACCATCCTCACCACCGCTTCACTGCTCAATAATCCCGCCTATACTGCAATTTCTTACAGCCGGAGTAATCCCCTGTACAAGCTCAGATACCTATTCCGAGAGGACCATTGCAGCATTTTGGTCAATTGCAGGCGGGGGTGGAGGTAACAGCCGAAGCTGTATCATTTCTTAGGGTCCATTATGTTAAGACCACTACAAGTACTCCTAGTCTCTACCCCTCGTTGATCTCCCCAACTCTGGTTCTAGCACACTCCGATAGCCAGGATGGCATGACAATGGGAATACCGTTGTGGGTTGACGCCTTGTGTATCAACCAGAAAGACCATCTCGAGCGTAACAACCAAGTGTTGCTCATGGGGGAGATTTATCGCCGCGCGGCGAGCGTGATCTCTTGGCTGCGAGCAGCTCAATGTCTGATTGACGGAATACGGGTGGTGAAAAATATCACAGAATCCTGGCAATCGAGTTTGAAGAAGGCCCCTGAGGAATCAGAATCATGGAGAAAGAGGGTGAAGGCAAAAACGCCACGGACAGCCAGCTGGCCTAGTTCTCTCAGCTGGATGAGGATCGTATGTGGAATGACTCTGGTGTGGTCGATGTAATCGTCAGAGCTTTCCGCGCAAACTACTGGAGGAGACTCTGGGCCATGCAAGAACGCCTGTTAGCCAATCCAGATTTGCACCTATGCATGGCCGGATGAGCAATGATACCGCAAAAGACCTCAACACATTTGCTGAGTGCATCTGTCTGACAAGACTTGCGGTTGAACAAAGGGAGCTCCCGTGCCAACGCCTGAGCGATATCTTTGAAGAAGATTCTTGGGCAAGAGAGCAAGTCCTTATGAGCGATTTCATTGCAGAAAAAGCATTAAGAAATATACAACGAGGCGGAGCAACTCCAAACCTGTTGTTTGCATTGTGGATTGCTCTTTATTGCTGCATATCGGAGCCGCGAGATGCTGCATATGCGCTACCTAACCTACTCCCCTCTGGACATGACACTGTGCCCAACTACCAGCTCCCTACTCGCGATGTTTACATGGACTATGCAGTCAAGGCAATATACAAGAAGCTCGCAACTTTGACCTGTTGGCTCTTGCTCAGGATATCTACGCCAGCCGTTATCGATCTCATGCGTTTATGTTGCCTTCTTTGGTGCTTAATCTCCTCTCGATGGAAGAGCCTCGACACTTGGACTGGAAAAAAGTAGAGGGCAGTAAACAGTGTGACACCAATCCTCCCAATTCTGAGCAGCAGTTATTTTCTGTTGGTCATGCTCCTGACGGGGCGCTAAAAGTTTACTCGCGTCGTCGAGCGACTATTGAATTCAAAATTAAGCATGCCGCCACAGTCTCTGACCGGTCTGGTTTTTATCAACGTCTGCCAAAGACATCTACGAAGAGCACGACAGCATAAACAGAGCTATTTCGTGAACATCACACCGTTAGAAACCCAGATACGATTTTTACTACCCAAGTTATTCGATGAACTAGCCGCAAAGGAGTATGAGGCAGGCGTATACGCACTAGCGGATGGATTTACAAAGTTGTTAATTGGTACTCTGGCCAACTTGAAACCTACTTATACGCCAGTTAACTCAGGAGCAATTGGAGGAAAAGGCATGAATGTACCGGGCAAAGAATAAAATTATCAGCTGAGCCTTACGTCAAGGAAATGTCCGAAGTGGCCAGGTTTATATACACGTAAGAGAGCCGAGAACCAGGGAGCTTTGCCAGGGGACTAGTAAGGGAGCCACGCGCAAGTGCATGTGTATGGAACTACTGCGACGCCAGCGCACAAATTGGGGAGTTGGCCTCTAATGAGTGAGATACGTCTGGTGTCACAGTCGATGGAAATGTGGGATGACGACTTTAGCTTTTCCGTGGAAAGTCAGAAGCATGTATCATTTGAGCATCAAGGATCAGGCAGATTGCGCTTGTCATAATTGTTTATGGACTCACACTACCTACACTACCTACTCTCATTTCATCAAGGATAATAAATGTTAGTGTAGATTGTGCATCTTCTTAGGCTGTTATATCATGTCGTTGATTTTTTTTTTTTTGATGCATTCAGGGGTCCCTTATTGTTTTCTTGTCTTCTACTCAAAACAGTTGTTGCCACGGTAACCAGCTGGGGTTTTTTGTTCTTGAAGTCTTTGGACGACAACTGGAAAGCCTGCTCCACTCACTCTAACGGAGATGATGTTCTTCCACTCCGTGTAAGCTTTTATCGTAAAATACGCTCAGGGCAATTTTTGTTTGGCTTTATGAACTACAGTCAGAGGAGAGAGGGGAATATCGTCAGGTTTGCCCAAGTCCGACTTCTCAAGCTCAAAGTGATACCTAAAACAAATCAATTCCCATGCCCAACCGAACCTTTAACGCTCAAAATAATGTATACACACAATCATCAAACCAACTCTCCTACCCAAGAATTATTTACTGCCCCGGAATCTTAACATCCTCCCTCTGCCCATACGCCCTAGTAGCATACTTCCCCTGGTGCACAATCAGATCCTCCGGGCGATAATCGAACCGCCCGCTCAGATAGCTATCCAAAATCCTCTTCACGCCCTCGGCATACCTCTTCTGCGCATCCAAACTGGTGCCCGACATGTGCGGTACCATAGCATTGCCGCCACCGAAGGGGTTCTTCGCCGTGCGCAGCACATGGTCTGCGGGCGCGGGCTGCGGGAACCAGACATCACCGCCATACCCACGGAGATGACCAGTCCGCAGCGCCTCGGCGACATCCTCCTTTACAACAATCGCGCCGCGCGCTGTGTTGACGAGCCAGCTGCCGCGCTTCATCTTGGAGATGAGGTCCTTATTGAATAGACCCCGCGTGCTTTCATGCAGAGGGCAGTTGATGGTAACAACATCGCACTGCGCGAGCATCTCCTCCAGGTTCTCGACGCGGCGGCAGCCAATTTCTTTCTCCTTCTCTGGAGACAGAGGCTGGTAGTCGTAGTAGAGCAGCTCCTTGCAGTCGAAGCCCTTCAAGCGGCGCAGCACGCGCTCACCGATGCGGCCCACGCCAACGGTGCCGACGACTTTGCCTTCGAGATCGTACTCGTCCTTGGCAACTTCCGCAACGTCCCAGCGGCCGGCTTCGATCTGCTCGTGGGCGGGCACGAAGTTGCGAACCAGGACCAGGATGGTCATGACGACGTGCTCGGCGACGGAGACGACGTTTGAGCCGGTGACTTCGGCGACGGTAATACCGCCGTTAGTCTTGTTTGCGGCGTCGAGGTCGACGTGGTCCGAGCCGATGCCGGCTGTGACGGCTAGTTTGAGCTTCTTCGCGCGGGCAAGACGCTCGGCGGTCAGGTAACCGGGGTGGAAGCTGGGAGCTGTCAGTAGAGTGCGGTTTCTGGTGTTGTAGAAGCTGAGGACGCTTACGGAGTCGTGATGATAATCTCGGCATCCTCCAGCTCGCGGTCAAAGGTCGAGCCCTCGCGGTCCTTGTCGGAGGTGGTCACCAGGGTGTGGCCCTGGTCCTCGAGCCACTTGCGCAGACCGAGCTCGTTCTCGGTAGTACCGAGAAGGCCGGGGACCTGGTGATGTCAGCTTCCATCCAATTTTTTTTTTCCCCTTTTTGTCTCTCTCTTCAGCTCCTCCTGTCTGTATCTCCAAACTCCCAAGCACCCGTTGCCGCGCCATTACTCCTCGAGCCCAAACCACATACTCGGCCGGCTCCGACCCCATCCCGTATCAAGGGCATCCCCCGCCACGGGAACAGTGGAGCTGAGCTTCTTCGGCCCCACTTCGCCGAAAGAAGCCGAGAAAGTAAAGGGATCGGGGAAATGCCGCGCCGAGCCGTTGCTGGGAGCTGCAAGGACGATGCAAGTGTGATGCAAATGATCCCCACATCCACACATAGGACCCCGCATCACTGCATCACTGGCACGCTGGTATGCAGGGTCCTTCTCAAAGGTGTTCGGCAGAGTGATGAGGGTGTTTGAAGCCCAGAGACTTAGACGGAGAGAGGGTAAAGATTAGAAGAAAAGGGGAAGGGGAAGAGTTTACCTGCTTAGCATGCTCACCACCGTCGTACAAAACAGCCAGAACCTTGACCTTTTCACGGGGGAATGTGGTTAGCTTGCGGTAAGGGGCCCGAGTGTGATTGACAAGTTGAGGCGCTGTGATGGCCACGGGACGACATCCTGGACTTCTATGAACGGCTGTGTGGAGAGAAGAAGCTCTCCAGGGCCATGGGGTAAAGGCCTTTGAGGTAGAGCTATTTCTCAAGAGAGAAGAAGACAACAAAGGTGGACGCGATGAGGATAACAATGGGGAGGTGATGCGAACCATTTTGGCTTAAGTGTTGTGTGTAAGAGCTAAGAGTTGAGGTTGCTGGTGAGGTCTTAAGAGACGGAGGACAGAACTTCTCCACTTATAACCGATGGCAGGCGCGGGAGGGTCGAACCGTTCGTCAGGTAGTACAAAGACGGGATGAGGATGTAGAGGCTGAGATGTGATGAACCACCAACAGAAGCATCACCACAACAGCGGGGATCGATGGGCTCTTTATACTCCTCTTCTCAACCCCAATCCACATCTCTTCTAATTCCTGTCCCCTTGTCAGTATCTCATACGGCGGATACCATCCCCGAGAATCTCCTCTCGACATCAATTGACAGGGGCAGGCGTTCGGAGAGTGAGACAAACGCCGTCGGGTCGGGTTTTTGAACGGCTCCATTATCAGCGTGCCGGTGAGATGTTGGATGCCGAGCGGCAACCCCCGGGAGCGGCCACGCATCCGCTTCCAATTGCAGATCCCATTGGCGCCCGCCGTGGGGTTCGAGTGCGTGTACCACACCAATTGAGATCGTGGGTGTAGTGAGGGGATGGGTTTGGTGAGATGAAGGTCGTTGGAAGCCGGCCGGGGGGGGGGTTGAAGGGAAGACTGAATGCAATTGAGTTTGTGTAAGTGGTTTAGCCGGAGACATTACATTCTTTCTTGCGTTGCAGATGTCGTTCGCAAAGGAGCATCTCGGCGATTTAGTTGCATCACCTCCTCCCCGCTCGTTCATCCCATACCCATTGCCTGTAATGGTATCACTTGTCCCGTAGCTGTCGAGGTCCTTATCCTTACCAACCATTCCTCCATCCGCTGCACGCAGATCCTTCATCCCAGCTAGCCCCTCCCCTCTTCCGGCCTCAGCAAGGGACGACAGGCGTTCGAGAGTTTTCCGTGAGCCATAAATTTCCCATGAAGCAAGGTTTGAAGGGCGGATGAGCTGTTCCTGGCACCACAAGACGCAAGGCGGAGGACGCGGATATCTCGGTGTTGACTCGGCATCATCCCCAGCAACCTTGATGGCCCCTCACTAACCCATTCCACTCCGCAAACGAAGGAGACAAAGTGGGGTAGAAACGCAGGGGCCACATCAAGTTGTGAACACGACAGCAGATGAGGGAGGAGAGAACTTGTGTGTTCCACAGGGTTTGTGAGGTTACATGGTCAGCTGAAGGCTTGGACAAGTGGTTTTGACAACGAGATGGACTTCAAAGTGGCTGCAAGCTTGTTCATGGGCTGTCCAAATTGCCATCTTTCGACGCCGGAGAAGGCAAAGTTTTCGCAAAAGTTGCTTATTCGCGTACTAGATGTGCCGAGACAAATGGCTCTATCAGCAGCGGCTGAGATATAGCCGAGTAATAGATTTGGCAAAGCAGAATTACGCCCGGTTGCACATGATCGCCTATAAACAGATCAAATACGTACTCGATTGCAATAGGTAAGAGCCCACAAGATGTCAAATTAACCTTTGTATCTCGAGTATCAGAGACGAGGAGGTTGTTATCGCAACCAGTTTGCTCACGGGGGTTTCTCGTCGAGGAGTCTTCATATCTCAGGTTTCTCAGCGCCAGTTTATCAAAGAGATGATAGTAGATAAACTTTTTCCAGATTGATGACAAAGGAAAAAAAAGAAAAGAAAGGAAAAGAAAAGAAATAAAAAAGAGAGAGCCTCAGCTTCTCCAATGACAAACTTGTCAAAGACGCCTGCTTCAAAAGTGCTCCCTCAAATGAAGTAAGCATTCAAAAGTGGAATGGCAAAAGATGGACGAGTTCCAAAAGTTATATAGAGAGAAGCAATAAGTTTATTATTACTCACAAAGGCTTAAAAGGAATCTGATGCGGTTTCGGTAAGCCGTGTAAGACTTAAGTGCTGTCATAGCAGCCAGCTGCTCAGACATCTTTTCCGACTGTCCCAGTGCCCCTGATGCTGTTTTAAGGGACTGGTTTCAACCTCTCTTACCTTGGTATGCGTACATTCAAAACAGAGTGGTCTATACACGTCCAACCATCTACCCAACCAATGTAATATACACACAAAACATCTAACCCCACATGCATCTACTGCTAATAATACACCCGCCCCCTAAATCATCTCTACACCACAAAATTAACCACTCTCCCCCCTTCACAACAACAACCTTCTTAGCTTTCTCTCCGCCCTTACCCAGCCATTCCTCTAACCTCTGCCTATGTTCATCTTGCTTCATAATCTCCCCCACAACAAACTCCCTGAGCTTATCCCCCTCCAACCCCTCCGGCGCAATTCCAATCTCACACACGGCCCTCACCTTCCCATTCACCTGCACCGCGCACTTCATTTTCCTCTCTCTCAGCACCGCTTCACTGCCGTCCCGTTCGGGCCATCTTGCCCCCTCCTCGGACGCGAACAGACCGCTAGAGGTGGGTTCCAGGACAGACCAGCATTCTTCTGCTACCGCGGGGGTAACAGGGGCCATGAGCCGGATCAGGATGGATACCGCCTCACGAGCGATTTGGGGTGTTGCGCAAGACAATGTGTCAGAGAGCGTGTTGGTCAGTTGCATTAGGTCGGAGATGACGGTGTTGAGGGGGTAGACTTTCTCGTAGGATTGGGAGACGGAAGCGATTGTGGTTTGTGTGGTGCGCCAGAGGGCGGAGTTGGCGTCGTATTGTTTTAATTCCGCCTCACCGAGCGAGCTGAGGCGCGGGGCAAGGGATTCGAAGTAAGCCTTCGGGGTAGGGAAGTCGTAGTCGGGCGAGGGGGCCGTAGAGGTAACCTTCTCGACCAGATCGTGAACCCGACTGAGCCAGCGCGTCACGCCCACGATCTTGTCCCCATCCCAGTCGAGAACATCCCCGACGGGGGCTTGGAAGAGCATATGTGCGCGGGTAGCGTCCGCGCCGTGAGTGGCGATGACGGCAGTTGGGTCGACACCGTTGTGTTTGCTCTTGGACATCTTTTCGTAGGTAACATTAGGCTTTGTGCCCGTGGCCTTAATTCTTGGATTAGCCGGGTCCGACAGATCCAGCTCATCCGGCTTGAGAAACCTCCCCGTCGCGGGGTCGGTAAACGTCCTGCCGTGGACCATGCCCTGGGTGATAAGGCGTTTGAAAGGCTCGTGGCGTTCCGAGGCAGAGGAGGTTGGGAACAGCGGGGAGGTCATCAGAAACTTGTAGATGAACCGGGCATAGAGTAAGTGCAAGATTGCGTGCTCAATCCCGCCGATGTAGATATCCACGGGGAGCATGTCGCGCGCCTTTTGGGGGTCGAAGGGGCCAGCCTCGTTGTGTGGGTCGATGAAGCGCATGTAATACCAGCTGGAGTCGACGAACGTGTCCATCGTGTCGGTGTCACGCTTCGCTGGGCCGTGACATTTGGGGCACTCGGTATTCACCCACTCGTCGAGCGTTTCGAGAGGGTTGCCCGTCTTCTTCCCCGCCCAGTGGGCATCCACCTCCGGCAGCAACACGGGCAGCTGCTCATCCGGCACAGGAACCTCCCCGCAGGACGCACAATGCACAATGGGTATCGGCGTCCCCCAGTACCGCTGCCGACTGATCAACCAGTCCCTCAACCGCCATTTCTCCACGGGCTTGGCCAACCCGGCCTCAGCGAGCATCTTCACCAACATCTCGCCCGCCTCTTGCGACGGTTTGCCTTTGTACGGCCCGCTGTGCGCAGTCATGATGCCGTGGTCGAGGAACGGCTCGTTGGGGATCACTGTTGTCGACTCGTCCTCGTTCGAGGCAAGGACATACCGCACTGGTTCATCGCCGCGATGCGTGCGCCAGAAGGCATGGTCGCGCGCGTCGTGGGCCGGTACGCCCATGACGGCGCCTTCGCCGTAGTCGCCGATCACGTAGGGCGCCACATAGATGGGGAGGGATTGTTTGGTCGCGTCCGGGGTATCGGGGTGGTAGGCTAACGGGTTGATTGCCCTGATATGCGGCAGCATGTAGCCGACCTTCGAGTCTGGAGGCAAACCGGGCAGGGTGTCGAGGAAAGCCTGCAGTTCCGGGTCCGTTTCGGCAAGTTTGGTCACGATGGGATGGGTAGCTGCCAACGCGAGGTACTGCACTCCGAACAGAGTATCAGGCCGGGAGGTGTAGACCTCAATCGCGGCATGGACGTCTTGGTCGTAAGCAAGGATGGGGAACTTGATAGTCGCGCCCTTTGACTTCCCCAGCCAGTTACGCTGCATGGCGAGGACGCGCTCGGGCCAAGCCTCGTCTTTGGCGAGAAGCTCGAGGTCGTCGAGCAGGGCCTCGCGGAAGGCAGAGATGCGCAGAAACCACTGGTTGAGCTTGCGCTTCTCGACCTTGGCGCCAGACCGCCACGAGCAGCCGTTTGCGTCGACCTGCTCGTTGGCGAGGACGGTCTTATCGACAGGATCGTAGTTGACCTCGGCTTCGGTGCGGTAGGCGAGGCCGTGCTGGTGCAGCAGGAGGAAGATTTTCTGGGTGTGCTTGTAGAAGGAGGGGTCGCAGGTTGCAATCTCCTGTGGGAAAGCAAGGGAGGGGGGGGGGGCAAAAAGTTAGCTTTTCTATACACTTATTCAGGGGTTTGAAGTAACAAAGAGAATTGGACGTACACGTTCCCAGTCCCACGACCCATTCATCATCTGCAGCTGCTCCTTCATCCGCGCAATATTATCCTTAGTCCACGTCGCGGGATTAATACTCCGCTCAATGGCCGCATTCTCAGCTGGCAGACCAAAAGCGTCCCATCCCATGGGCAGCAACACGTTGTGTCCACGCAGGGCATTGTACCTCGCGATGGCATCGGCAATGGTATACACTCTCAAGTGGCCCAGGTGTAGGTATCCCGAAGGGTAAGGGAACATAGGCAGAATGTACTTGTCGACCTTGTCCTTAGTCTTATCCTTCTGTACCTGCTGCAGTTGGGCCCAACGCTTTCTCCATTTCAGGTCGAGTGCCGGAAGGTCGAGTTTGGCGGCAGCACGGCTGGTGATGGTAAAGGGACGAGCCCATGGGCGGAGGGGTATGAGCCCTGAGTACAGGGACCGCGAGAGCGGCCGGGCCAGGCGGCCAATTGACTTTGCCTGTGTGAGCAGCAGCATCTTACATGGCAATCTCGCCGTGTAAGATGGGCTGGAAATGTGTGAGTGAGAGGGCTCGAATGAGATCTCAGGGTTGTCTCGTGAGCAGCGAGCCAGGGTTGTGGGTGAGAGCTGATTATGAGATCGACGGGTGGGGCAGATCTGGCTTGGCACAGTTAGCGTGACGGTGGGGCTGGGTACTCAGGAAGGGATAAACCCATCTAAATGCCATAGTCGTATTGTTAATTTTTTTTTTCTCTAAAACGCGGCAGATTGAAAAATTTCACCAAATTTGAAGTGAGTTTTCTGTGAAAATTTTGGGATTATTGTTGAGATATTCTCCTTGGCGCTGTCGTCTCTCCTTGACTTGGGGCCCAGTGTAACACAGTACACGGTACATGGGACAAGACCCACCTGTCTTGGCTTCCGTATGCCGCTTGTCAGGCAAGCGGCTAGCGAAGGTTAACTTCCCCTTTCTCTTGACAGGGACATGCTTCTCCTTTCCTTGACCTCAGTGCTTGCTTCTCCTCTATGCCGACCGACTTTCCAGTACAATACTCTAATCTGCGAACAAGATAATTGTCCTACATTTCCAGAATTTTTCAGAAAGACTCCTCTACCGAACCCCGACTTGATTTTGATTCGCATCCCCTCGTCCTCCTCACCGCCAACGACCATCGACACCGAGCTCGACGATCGACACCCCCTTACACCTTCGGACTCTTAAATCCCTCCTAAGCTTATCTTCTTCCCTCCCGTCTGTCCGAAATGCTGTCGACCCCCTTCGCCCTGAGATAACCCTATCGATTGCCTTACGAGATCCAAAATGCCCCGCGACTCCCTCGAACTCGCCTCCCTCGCCTCTTCCAGCCCCCCGTCCTCCGGCGAAAGCCCTTCCAACCCTCCCTCCTCCCGACCCTCCCTCTCCTCCTCCCGCCGGGCCTCTCTCGAAGCAGATGACCCCCTCGACTCGGCTAACCCAGCCCGCGCCATCGCTGCCGCCCGCGCCCGCTCCTACTCCGTCGCGTCCACCTTTGACTTTGCGTCCAACCTCTTCCCTTTGAGCTCAACTGCCGGGGCAGGGTATGCACCACTGGGGGTACCAACGTCCGCGACGTTCGCTGGGACGGGCGGGTTGGGAGGGGCGTCGCTGGAGAAGCATAAGACGTTGACGTATCTGAATGGGTTGAGTCTAATTGTCGGGCTGATTATCGGGAGTGGGATATTCTCGAGTCCGAGCCAGGTGAACTCGAATGCGGGTTCGCCTGGGGCGGCGTTGATTGTGTGGGTTGTTGCTGGGGTGTTGGCGTGGACGGGAGCGGCGAGTTACGCGGAGCTTGGGGGTACGATACCACTTAACGGTGGCGCGCAAGTGTATCTGAGCAAAATATTTGGGGAGCTGGCAGGTTTTTTGTTTACGTGGGTGGCCGTGTTGGTGCTGAAGCCGGGCGGGGCTGCGATCGTCGCTATTATTATGGGTGAGTATCTGGTCAGGGCCGTGGTCGGCGCTGACGCGGCGAGTGTCAGTCCGTGGGTGAATAAAGGGGTTGCGATTGTGGGATTGGGGTTGGTTACGTTTCTGAATTGTGTGTCGACCAAGGTGGGCACCAGGATAAATGATATGTTGATGTTTATGAAGTTTGTGGCATTGATTGGAGTTACGGTTATTGGGATTGTTGTAGCCGTGACGGGATACTCCCACTCGGGGAAGGCGAACCACGATTGGAAGGACCATGCGTGGTTTGATGGCACAAAGCTGGATGCTTCGGCTTGGGCGGTGGCGCTCTACGCTGGGTTATGGGCGTATGACGGCTGGGATAATGTGAGTCCCCTTCCCCTTTTTTCTCCCTTTTCTCAACTTTACCCCCCCCCCTCCCCCAGCCCAAAAACAAAAAAAAAATAACCCCCGCAACCCAACTAAACTTTTTTTTTTTTTCACAGACCAACTACGTCGTAGGCGAATTCCGCCACCCCGGCCGAGACCTCCCCCGTGTCATCCACACCGCCATGCCACTCGTCATCGCCTGCTACATCCTCGCCAACGTGTCCTACTTCTTCGTGCTCCCCTTCGATACCATTAACTCATCCAACACGGTCGCCGTAAAATTCGGCTCGCAGGTCTTTGGAACCATTGGCGCCCTCATCTTCGCGCTAATCGTCTCAGCGTCCTGTTTCGGCGCGCTCAACTCCTCGACTTTTACCTCCTCGAGATTGGTGTACGTCGCCGGAAAGGAGGGGTACATCCCCTCCGTGTTTGGCAGACTCGGGTTGAGAGACGGGCAGGATCTGCATGCGTCTACCCCCCCGGGGCATGGCAGAAGTGGGATTTTGTCCCGCATCCGCGCAAAGCTGGTGAAATGGCTAGCCGACGACGAAGACACAGGCCTCTTCTTCACCCCGATCCCCGCACTAGCACTTAATTTCCTCCTTACCACAGGCTACATCCTCGTCGGCGAGTTTTCTACACTCCTCACCTTCTACGGCGTAGCAGGATACACCTTCTACTTCCTGACCGTTCTCGGCCTCATCGTCCTGCGCGTGCGTGAGCCACAGTTAGAGAGACCCTACAAAACGTGGATCACGACGCCAATCATCTTTTGCTGTGTGAGTCTGTTCTTGCTCAGCAGGGCGGTGTTTGCGCAGCCGTTGCAGACGCTGATTGTCGTGGCATTTGTTGTGGCGGGCGTGCCGGTCTATTTCATTAGGGTGAATGGGTTTATTAGTAGGCGGGGCGGGAGACGTAGGGGGAGACGGGTTGTGGATGAGGATGCCGAGAGTGAGAAGGAAGGGCGGGGGAGATGGTGGGCTTTTTGGAGGAGGTCATGAGCCTGTCTATCGTGTGCGATATCAAGATGGTTCCACAAAAACAAGTCGGGTTTTTGAGGGTTTGATGGGCTTGATGGGCTGTAAAGGGTTGGTTGGTTGGTTGGTTGGTTGGTAGGGTATATAATACGGGCCTAAATGCTAATAGAGAAGCCGATGTTTTGGCCTCTGGGAGGCTTGATATGGCATGTCACCGTTTGACAGCATTCTTTTTTTTGGGGGGAGATTATATTCGTGACAACCTTTGAAAAGGTGCCTAATATGTTCTCTCCTACCTTCCCATTTCCATTCCTCAGGGTATCTATCCAACCGAAACCTCACTCTCAACCTACCATTTCCCAACTTCATTTCCCACTTCTCATACTTCTTTATCCGCCTTTCTTCGCAAATAAACCCCCCTCCCCTCCCCAACCCCCCTAACCCTCACCTTCCCCGTCTCCCTCCCTCCTTCTCTCTTAACATCAACCTCTCTATACTCCTCCCTCTCCTGTCCCATCTCAGCCCATTCCCCCGTCCCATCCGACCCCAACGATGGGTCGTCCCTCCAGATCTCCACTTCATACCCCAACTCTTTGGTGAGGGTCTCACAGGAAAGTGCTGTGCTTGCGACGCGAAGGGCTTGCTCCAGGTCGCCGACTTCGAAGAATGCGTGGCGCGGGTACAGCGGGGTGGTTAAGAGGGAGAGAAGGAGGGGGTAGAAGATGTCGGAGGGGTGTGTCGGGTCGTAGAGTTGGGTCCAGGGGACGCGGGGTTGAGGGGGAAAGGATGGAGGTTGAGATTGGGTGTGTGACGCGAACCCAGACGCTCTCTCAGGCTGAACCTGAGAAGAGAAAGTTTCCAAAAGGGGATGGTTGGGGACTAAAGCGAGTTTTGGCTCGAAATTGCGCACTGAGCGGGTGGTTTGGGTCGCAAAGCCGCGGTGGGAGATGTATGGCGGGTTGCAGACCAGTAAATCAATGGGTTGGCCGTCAGGAGGGTGCATGGAGGGGGACAGAGGGGAGAATATGTTGCCTTGGTGGATGGTGAAGGTATACTTTCTGCTCTTGGGATCTTTTTCTTCCCCTGACATCAAGCCTGGCTCTGACCTTAACCCTAGCCCCGAGCCCAACCCCTTTACTGGGTTTAATCTCGACTCTTCTGAGTCGGTCTCTGTCAAGGGGAGAGGCAGAATCCCCTTTTTAACATTCAATATCAGATTTTCTCTCGCCAATTTTACAGCCCTAGGTGAGATATCCATAGCATGGATGTGAATGTCCGGCAGGGATGCAACACGTCGGCGTGGTGTGCCAAAGGGGGGATTGTATAGCGAGTGAAGCAGGAGAAGTGGGATGCATCCTGTGCCTGTGCAGAGGTCTATTATGTAGATTGGGCGTTTTCTGGAAGTTTTTTGGATGAGGTCGGCGTGGAGGAGACGGGCGAGGTGGATGGTGTAAGTTTCTGTTTCTGGTCTTTATGTGGAAAGGATACAAGTTAGTTCCGAGTCGCAGCATCTCTCATCCTCCTAATACTGCGGCCCACTCTCTGGTCAAGTAGAGGGCGAAAAACTCCCATTTTCGAACCAAGGATACTGAACAGGGGGCTCACCTAGGAATCAAAACCCCTTTCTTACACCTCACCTCCAGCTCCCCAAACGGCTGGCTCCCAAGAACATACTGCAGCGGTACTCCCTTCGCTCTCTCCTTGCACAAACGAAAGAGCTCGATTTCGATCTGCTCCTCATTTTTCAGCTTCTTCCCGCTCAAAGATGATGCTCCTTCGGTTGACAGGCCCGCATCTTGTTGCTCGAGGAGGTGTTCCCTCATCCAGCGAACTTCATTCTTTGCTGACTCCAGATCCCGGCAGACGGGTAGGATCAAGGCCGCATGTGGAGAGACGCGTTGGCGGCAGTACCATATGAGACGGGGAGCAAGACGGGGCATGGCTGATGATGGGCTGTGTTGCGTATTAACGAGGGTCATAAGATTGAGAGGGTTGAGAGGGAGCTTACCAGGAGATGGTGGATGACGAGAATATCTTCTTATAAAAATAGACAAAAAAAAGAGCAGGGTCTTTCATAAAGTTAAGCACATCATCGAGAAAAGAAATTATTTGCTTTAATACAGCATGATTATCGGAATCAATTTGACAAAATCGCTAGAGTTCAAAAGTTCTTTCATCCCGTACACTTACTTACAGCTGAGTCTGGAGTGTGTCGCGATAATGCAACTACCGAGTTGAGATAAATCTCTATCCCCCGCTACTCGCATCCCGGACTATCGGGCACCAGCCATCAAGGTCCTCCCTCTCTCCACCGAAAATCATCCTCAACCTCATCGTCCTCACCAATTTCCCCTTCCTTCACCACCACGCAACTCATAATGACTCTCCTCCCCCGACTCTATCGCATTCTACCCCAGGGTCTTCCCTCTCCCTCATCCATCTTCCATCGAACCCTCACCACCAAAAAACCACCCTTCCCCACAATCCCAACATGCCCTTCCCCAACTTGCCCCTGCACCCCAACCCCGGAAGGGCTAGACATCGACCGCACATCTCCCCTCAACGGCGTCATGCCCGTATACGCCCAACAAGTTCTCATCTGCACGGGACGTGACGACTGGGCAAGCAAGATCGAGGAGGAGAATGAGGGCAGGAATTTAGCAAACGATCTCAAGAGAGTGATGGGACGAGGAGGGAGGTGGTGTGATGTAAGTTTTTTTTTTTTTTTTCTAATTTCAGGATCTTTTTGTTCTGGTTGATAGTGACATTACGAGTAGCCATTTCACAACGTCTCGCCGTTGAATACCTCACTGCCGTCGTCACCTCCACCAGCCAACCATGAGGAGTCGGAAGAATCAACGTCGGTATACATCCTCCCACAATTCAAGTACATCCCCTTCGTTCCCAGCAATTCCCCCTCCCACTTGGAGGCCCTGGTACGAGGGTTCTTGTTACCCGACCGTCTGCACCCCGCCCATGACGGCCTGTCGCCCGATCAACGAGACCTGCTCACGCGTAAGCCCGAGTTTCAGTCCCAGCTACGGGGCGTGCGTGATGTGAAGGACGTGATGATCCTCATTTGCGGACACGGCGGACGTGATGAGCGGTGTGGAGTCTACGGACCTTTACTGAGGGACGAGTTCCGGAAAGTCCTCCCAGGGAAGGGAGTGGAAGTTCTTGAAAGCCCCGTGAGAGTCGAAAGAGAAGCTGCCACTACTGAACAGAAACAGACAGCGCGTGTTGGATTAGTCAGCCACGTCGGCGGGCACAAGTTTGCGGGCAATGTGATTGTGTATGTGCCTCCTGGGGCGAGGACGATTGAAGGGGGCGAGAATCCGCTGGAAGGGTGCGGGATTTGGTATGGACGTGTTGAGCCGAGGCATGTGGAGGGGATTGTGGAGGAGACTGTAATGAGGGGAAAGGTGATTGAGGAGCTATTTAGAGGAGGGATCAATAGGAGAGGGGAGATTTTGAGGATTTAGAGGCAGAGAGGATAGAAAATGGCTTAGAAGGTTAGAAGGGACCTTGGATCTCCTGATATTAAAGGATACATGAGTGTTTATAGAGAGGGGAAGTGTATATAGTAGAGTGGGTTAGACAAACATATATATATATATATATTATATGTACTTTGTATTTATACCCAAAACTCGGACAGGATATTCCATTGACGGGTACCCCCTCCCTCATTATACCCATAACTCTTGGCGTTTCAGGACCCTGATTATGCATCTAACCGGCTCATCTCAACCTCAATTTCGCTCACATCTCTCCACTCTTACACCTCCCTCAACTCTAACTCTCCCAGCATTATACCATCCCAACGATGAACGGCATCCCCCGACAATCTTTCCTCACACGGCGAGTGCTTAACAACCACTCAGCCCTCTCATCAACCTTTTTAAATCCTTTAAACCCGACCACTGCGCGACTTACCTTACGCCATCACCCTCGAATAGCCCAGCTCAATCAGCGACACTATCTCTACGTCTACTACCCCTTCCGCAACCTCTCCACAACCACCCCTTTATCCTCTCCGGAAGCCGAATCATCCGGATCCTCAAAACCCAACCATGACCCTCAAGACTCATCCCGAAAAGCCCGCCGTCTGCTCGTTCCCGTTGCCTTAATATCAACATGTGCTCTACTAATCTTAACTCTCTCCCCGCCTAAGTCGTTACGGTCTCTAAACGATGAGACCTTCACCCGGTACCGCGTCACGTCCAGACAGAACCTTTCCCAAATGACCGATGGTGGGGTAACCAAAACAGGGGAGGGGTTTATCCTCACTCTGGCGCCGTCAACCCCCATCCCGGTGTTGTTGAACCGGTCGGCCGCGGTGCTGAGTCGGGTGTGGGATGAGTTTGGGGGGTGCTGGAGTGTCGAGGTGAAGCAGCCTTTTATTCAGGTTGCTAGGGAGTATACCCCTTTGCCTCCGCTCGGCATTCAAGCGTCAGCCGAGGGGAGGAGGGACGATGGGCAGGAAGGACAAAAGGGGGAGTACGAGTACGAGTTTGGATGGCTCAGCCCATCAGCTTGGGGAAAGGCATGGGAGAGGTTGACTGGCAGGGGCGAGGTTCGACTCTTCGTCCGGCGCCTCCAAGGCGAGACCTCTCGTTGGCTGGCTGGGTTGAGCGTCGGGGACGAGGTTGAGTTGCGGGGCCCAAGATTGGGGTTTGATATCCGCCGACGTCTCGGTCTCGACCTCAGCGCCAGCACCTCGGTTGAAGTTCCTCAACAGCAGCAAGCCGGCGATACCAGCACGAGTGGAGAGGGTACGACACCATCATCAAAAAAGAGGATCGTCTTCCTCGCCGGCGGAACGGGTATCGCCCCCGCCATCCAAACAGCCCACGCTCTCTTCTCTCCCCACACCCGGAAGAGTCCCTCTTCAAAAGACGTGGAAATGCATATCCTATGGGCCTCCCGTCGACGCGCCGACTGCTCTCCGTCGTCACCCATCATCCAAATGCTCGACACACTCGTCGCAGAGTCCAACGGGAGGTTCAGCTACACCTGTACTGTCGACGAGGAGGGGACGTTTATCACCCCCAAGAATGTTGCCAAGGCAGTTGGGTTGGCTTCCTCTGCTGGAGTAAGGGAGAACAAGGGGTGGTTTAGCTGGCTCTGGCTCTGGGGTTCCAGCCAACAAGCTACACTTCCAGCTCACCAGACCGTCGGGAGCTCATCAAAGTGCAGATATCACTCGCCCTCTGTGCTAGCCCTCTCCTCCGACAAGGAAGACACACGCTGGGAGGGGCAGAGCAAGGAATCTCGTCCCATCCACTCCGACTCGGAACCCTGCCAATGCCATGACAAGGCCACCGGGAAGAACCTCTTAATGGTCTCTGGTCCGGAGGGTTTCGTCAACCATTTCGTGGGGGAGAAAGTCTGGGCTAGGGGGAGAGAGCTGCAGGGGCGTGTGGGAGGGGTCGTTGGAGAGCTGGTGAGGAAAAATAAAAATTGGGAGGCAGAGTGGTTGGTCTTGAAGTTGTAAGCATGCTTGCCCTGAGAGGTTGGAGAGCTGAAAGAAGGGGAGGGGAGAGGGGGGGTTTGGGGGGGTAAGGATAGAGAAAGAGGACCCGAGGGACGACCGACCTCATAAGAAACTTGGATCCCTGAAAGAGGGTTTAAATCTAAACCTACCTATCAACATCATCAACCGTAGCACATATAACAAATGATATCCCAGCATAGACAGCGAAACAGCGAAATATATACCTTCTCATCAAACCTCAGAACGAATTCGATCATCAATATAAACACTTGAGAAAAAAAAAAAAAAAAAAAGAAAGCAAGTCTTGCAACTAACCCAAGGACAATGCAAACCCCCATTCGCCCACTGTCTAACCTCTACCCCTCCCCCCCCCCCCCGCCTACCCCCCCTAAACACTCTGCACCTTCCGATACGAAGGCGGCTTCATCGTTCGCCGAATCACCTTGGCCGCGTATGTTGGGATAAGCGACATGGCGCCGATGGCGGCGACACGCCAGTAGAAGCCCCTATTCAAGTCTGTTAGCACAGATCCTCACAGAGAAACACAGCTAAGGCAAACAGTAGTGCCCCTTCAACCCAACCCCAAGGGGAACAAATCTAATTTTTTTTAATTTTAAAAAAGAAAAGAAAAAGAAAAGGGGCGGGAAAGGTTTGGGGGAGGGGAGGGGGGGGGGGAGGGGGAAAAGGGAGAAACTTACAAAGTTAACAAAAACTCCAAATCAAAATATCCCCCCAAGAACGGCACGCTCCCCACAAATACCACAAAAGTTCCCAAAATCGACACTACCATCACCCAATGCCACGTGGTAATCTCAATCGCCACCATCAACAGCTCATTCAGCACCAGCACCGTATAACTGACCGCTACCATCCTCGGCCCGTCTACTTCCGTCAGCACCTGAGCCAGCCCCTGGATCAAGCACCCCTGGTAGATGGACACCAGCACCCAGCCGAAGAAGGTGCGGTATGACAGCGAGCGACCTTCGGTGAGTTCCTTGTAGAGTTCAGGATACAGATTGGCAAGGGCCTCGTCCACGTCCGTGTCTAGCACGAGAGAGAGGACCGGCGCGGCCGTGTAAACAGTCGCATAGCCCACCATCAACCAGTCTTTGTACAAACCTTCTGGCTCGAAGCCTAGCGCGATGGAGTACACCGTCTGACAGACCGCAATGATCAACCCCCTGTGAATCACAAACTGTGCCAGCTTCGCACTCCTCTTATAGCTATTCCTCCCGTGCCAGACGAGCAGCTTGACCAGGTGACAAAACTGGGTGATGGAAAAATCGGCCGCCAGACTCGCCTGTCGCCCTTCTTTCCCGACGATGCCGACGCCCACGTCCGCCGCCTGGATCATGCTCACGTCGTTGCCTCCATCCCCGATACAGCACACGCGCTTGGAGGTGAACTGCTTGATCAGCGTCGCCACGTCGGCCTTTTGCGTGGGGGAGCAGCGGCAGGCTACCACGGCGGGCAGGGTGACCGCCACGGAAACGAACTCCGTCCGCAGGTGGGTGAGGTACAGACTCAGCGACTCGCCGTCGATCAGCAGGCAGGAGTCGGGCTTCGAGCGGAGCAGATCGAGATGTTCGAGGGCTGTGTCCCTCCGTCGGAGTTTGGCCACCGTGTGGATGTACTGTCCCCGGGCGACCAGTTTGCTCGAGACGGCGACGCAGCGGGCTGTTTCCACCTTGTCGCCGGTGAGCATCCAGATTTTGATGCCTGCGTTGCGGAGCAACTCGAGCGAAGGTTTTACGTCCTTCTGGAGTTTGTCCTCGACACCCGTGACGCCCAACAACTCGAGATCATGCTCGAGGTACTGCGCGACGACGGCTTGCATGCCCGCGTCGCGGGCCGTGATAGCCAGCGAGGCTTCATGATACTGCGCCGCGAAGGCGGCATACTCTGACGAAGACAGCCGCTTGCGGCCGACGACCAGAGTCCGCAACCCCTCCCGCGCCATGTTGGCCGTCTCCTCGTCCAGCCAGTCGTTGGCGGCCACGATGGACGACATGACGGTGTCGGCGCCTTTTTGGTAGAACCAGATCTCGCCCGACCCGCTGTCATCCTGCAGCCGCTCCTGGAACTGCACGATGATACCCATGCGCTTGCCTTCGGACGTGAACGGGAAGATGTCCAGGATGCGGACCTTGACGACGACCCGGCCGGTTTCGGTTGATTCGAGAACCATGCTGGTCCGATCGCGGTAGGCGAGGCGCAACCCGACCGATTCCGTCCAACGCACGATGGCGATCTCGTCGGGCGAGCTGGCCTGGTAGGAGTTGACGCTGTTGCCGTGATCGTCTTGGTCGGTGGTGGGGGTGACGTTGTGGCAGAGGGCGAGAGCGAGCACCACGTCCCGAACACGCGAGCCGATCTCGCGACGGGTGCGCGTAGCGCCGATGTTGCCGGCAGCCGCCGACAACGAGGAAGAAGGAGTAGCCAGATGATTCGGCGAAGCAGTATGAAACCCCTGCCGTACATACGCCGCGACCTCGTCCATGGCATCATTCGCGTACGACACGGTGCCGACATGGATCTTTTTCATCTCCATCTCGTTCTGTGTCAGGGTGCCCGTCTTGTCTGACAGCAGGTACTCGATCCGGCCCAGATCTTCGGGTATAGTACTAGTCCTGACCACCGCTCCCGGAATGCCGGGATCGTTCTGTATGAACCTCGAGTACGCGCTCTTTCCGAGATCGAGGTTCACCCTCAGACTAATCGGCACGATCGTCGAGAAGAGCACCAAGAACCTCATAATCTTAACATACCAGACGTTCCCCTCCTGGTTGCGAAACCCTTGCAACGCGACGAGGATGACAGACAGCGCCAGCGTCAAAAAGCACAAAATCTTTGTGAGCGAGTTGATTTCGTACTCGAGCAGTCCCGTCTTCGACCTCGACGGGGCAGTCGACAGCGCGGAGCGTGTCTGCGGACCCGTGTAGATGACCACGGCGAGAGTGGTCGCGTGTGAGGCGATGACCGTGTTCGCCCACGCGGTGTTATCGATAGACAGCGGCGCCGCCTTGACCAGTCCGTTGGTGTCGTCGTCCTCCGCACCACTCGCGGTGAAGGACTCGCCGCTCATGGCGTCTTGTCGGGAGGGGAGAAGCTCCAGGGTGCCGACAAACTCGTTTACTTTGCGATCTGGCTTGCCGGCGGTGACGCGCAGGCGGACGAGGTCGCGGGTAGGGAGGTTCTGGGAGAGGGGAGAGGCTAAGCGCAGTTTCCAGTCAGTTTCGCCGTCGAGTTGGTCCGTTCTGATGAACGTCTCCCCGTTCGACGCGCCGCTGCCTGGTCTGCTGCTGCTGCTGCTGCTACTGCTGCTGCTGTCGTGGTCGATGAGCAGAGACTCGTCCTCATGCTTGCTGTGTGAATCCGATAAGCACTTGAGGATGATCACGTCGGCGGGGACGCGGTGACCCTTGCTCAGCTTGAGCACGTCGCCGACCTTGAGGTCTTTGGATTTCTTCTTGATCTCGGTAACGCGCCAGCCGCGACCGTCGTTCTCGGTTGATTCCTCCTCCTCTTGGATATCGGCCAGCCTATCCCTCTCGGCAACATATCGCCCGTTGCTCCCCTTCTTGCGCGAGTGCAACGCTCTCCTCTGCCTGGTACCGGGCCTACCCGCCTCGGAGTCAAACTGCAACACGGTGTACTCCTCCGAATTAGCCTCGTTGTCCCTCCTCCGCCTCTCCACGTCATCATACGCCTCTTTTCCCAGCGTAATCACCAGCACGAACGCCAGCGGCGCGATGTACGTCGACAGGTACCCGATCCGAAGCGCCGGAATCGCCTGTGATAGGGCGACCAGCAAAAAGTACATGTTGAAGAAGAAGCTGAACTCATTGTACAGTGTAACAGGCAGGAAACTCCAGGCCGTGTACTTTGCGTTGGAGACGATGTTTGGTGGGAAGCGTGTTGATTGCGTGGATCCAACCGCGACCAGCCTCGACGCCGATGGGTCGTCGTCTTCTTTGTCGAGGTCCTCGTCTCGTTTACGTTGGACCTCGGCTGGAACTCTCCCGGTCAATCTTGATACCCATCCCCGCCAGCCGCTCACCCCGCGCAGGGCATCCCCCGCGAGGGAGGAGTGTCTCCTATGATGTCTCTTCCCCGACCCATCACTCAACAACGGCGCCTCATCACTATTCCCAGCGCTTCCGCCCCCGTCTGAATACCGCGGGTTACTCCCGCTCGGCCCTTCCCCCGCGTTATGGCTCCTCAGCAGTGCCTCGGTGTCGTCATCCCCGCGACTGTGCCCCAGCCCATACCCCGACCCCGAGAAGGATCTTTTTGTGCCGGCGGCGTTGCGGCGCAGGCCGCGCATGCGGAGCGTGCGGAGGGCGATGCGGGGGGCGGAAGACTCGGTTAGGGAGGATTCGCGGGAGTGAGAGTGGCCGAGGGAGGTATGATGGCCGCCTAGTAGACCCTTGCGGGAGGTTGAGGAGTCGGAATGGTGATGGGAGGGTTGGTGGTGATGGGTTGGTTGCGGGTCGAGCTCTTCGAGGTCGAGGTCGAGATCGAGATCGGTTTCGGAGTCGTCGGAAGGGGATGGAGGGGGAGAGCGAGAGTGATCTGGAGGCTTGGGGGGGGTATGAGAAGTTGATGGGGGTGGCATTACTTGGCCGGGTGCTGGCCGCGCCGCGGGGCTCGACGTTCAAGAAGTCTCGGTTTTTTTTTCTTTTTTTTTCTTTCTTTTTTTCTTTGCTGCTTTGAGAGCCTGACCTGCAGGAGATGTAGACGTGAATAGATGTCGCCGTCGTGGCTCACAAAAGCATGTGAGTGTTTACGTCTCGAGAGGACGACGGCGAGGTTGGCGATATTTGCTAGCGGTCTGCGTGGCGCAGGCACATTTCTTGACTGTAAAACGTCAGCGATGACTTACGCTGCCACTGGCCAGATGGCAAGTTTTTTTTTTTGGTGTCTCAGTGTTGCACTCTTAACTCTCAACCAGACGGAAGAAAGAAGAGAAAAAGAAGAAGAAAAAAAGGAAGAAAGAATGTTTTTTTTTGTGTCTCACTCTGACGACAGCAAGTCCAAGGTTGCAAGTTGCAGGAGCGCCTAGGGCCCAGGCTTAACTGTTGCAGCAGCGCAGCAGCACAACGCACAGCAGCCATGCATGAGGCAACCATCCCGCGGCTGCCGTGGCCTTGGCGACACAGTGCCAAGTGACCTTGCTCCAGCTGGCTAAGCGCTATCCACACTGTGCCTCCCCAAAAAAGATCTGCACGTGCTGGGGATGCGGGGTATTCCTGGTCTGTGCACGTAATATCTGTTAAGACTGAAGCGGGGGCTGTCAGCCAAGATCCTAACAAGTCGGGACCCCGATAACACCTGAGTACGTGCAGCAGAGGACAGGTTGCCCTCGACCAATGGTCGGGGGCCAATCCTAGAGCAGGCTATACTTCTCCTATCGATGGCCACCCCCGATGGGGCCTGGGCTGGGCTGCATGGCTTGAGCCTGGGCCACGCGCTGATGTACTGCAGTGATGCCAACTTGCAACTTGCAACACTCGCAGTAGGACGAAGGAGATTCTTGAGCGTCAAACCCTTTGGCATTTCATTGCTGCACTGCCATTTCATCACACGGCGAAGATGTTTTGTTGCTAGCCGTGTTGTACAGTACGTGTGCCTGTTTCCCCCTTCCTCAATTTTTTGGTTTATAATTTTTTTGGGAATTTATTTTTATTTTTATTTTTATTTTTATTTTTATTTTGTTTTTTTTTGTTTTTTTTATTCTTATTTCCCCCTCCCCTTTTAACCAACAGGGGGGTCAGCCGACGCGCCCTCAGCCAAATCGCCGGGGCTGATGCCACAGCAGTTGGCTTCTCCTGATCTCGATCTCCGATCTTTCGATCCCCCCGTGGCCAATCGAGGCGGGCTGATCTTTGATCTGATCCGATCGCTTCCTCGGCACACTGCCATTGCCATTGCTTCAAGATACAGAATACGTACTAATTCTTCTCCGTTCACACAGTCCCTTGTTTTGCGCGCCGTGCCCTGCGCGCATCATAGATACCTACCTACGCACCATTATACGGATGCACAGCTTTTTACTTATTAGCCTGAACTAAACACCTAATTTTTGCTTCGTTCCTCGAATAACGACGACGACGCTCGTCCGAACACTAGACAGTAACAATGTCATCCGATACGCCATCGGCGTCGTGGCATCCCGCCATGATGCCCAATTCGTCCGCCGATGTCGAGATTCAGCCAGAGCCGGCTCTGACACAGGCCCAGAGGGCGGGAGCTAGCGCCAGCGATATGCAGCTTGAGAGTGATAACAAAGAAGACGGCTTCGATGCGTGGTTCACCGACCAGGACCTGCATCAGGAAGGGGGCCAGGACAATTGGTTTGACGAGGTCGCTCAGACGGAGGCCGCTCCGAAGATCGCACAGCCAGAGCCGACTGCGGAGGCAGAGCAGCCTGCGATTGCAGAGACGGCACAGCAAGAGCTGCCAGAAACGAGTCACGCTGATCCGGAAGCACAGCTGGAGTCAGCGCCTGCGCAACAGACAAGTCATGTCGACCCTGAAGCCCAGGTGCCGGAACCTGCTGCGCAGCCAGAGCTTCCCGACGCTGAGTCGCCGCAGTCAGAGTCGGAGCAGCAGAGCTATCCCGATCCTGGAGCACAGCCAGTGCTTCCAGAGCAGCCTATGACGGCAGAGACAGAGCTAGTGCAGGTTCAGGCCGCTGCGGCTGGGGAGATGGAACCTCAGGCTGCCGCACCAGAACCAGCTCTCGAGGCGGCAGAGGCTGGAGTTACGGAGCCTCTCCAGCTTGAAGAAACCCAACCTCCTGCATCTGCTCAGCCAGAGGCCACTCCTGAAGCCACTCAACCAGCATCTGAACAAGATCCCAATCAGCTCGAGTCCGCCGAACCTACAGAACTCCAACCCGAGACCACTCAACCCGCAGAGCCAGAGCCAGAGCCAGAGCCCGAGCCCGAGCCCGAGCCCGAGCCCGAGCAGCCACAAACCCCCCACTCCTCCCATCCCGAACCCCAAGACCTCGCCTCCCCCGAGCCGGGCCCCCTCTCTAGCGCCGCCCTCAAGCACTTCAGCACACAATCCTTCACCCGCACACGCGTGCCCCACGAAGCGAGCTGGAGCGACGACGGCGAGGAGTGGCGCAGTCCCCGCGCCGAGTCCGACAACGCCAAGGATCCGTTCAAGTTCCTGGCGGAGAGCAACCGGTCGAACTCGTTTCCTTTGGTCTCGTCGCCTATTAATGAGGTTGCTGCGGAAGAGGGGTTTGGGTTTGGGGATAACTTGGAACAAGAGCAGCAGGAGATTCCTCGGCAGCAGCTGGCGTTTAGTGAGGCGGAGGATTTGATAAGGGATATTGAGCGCGAGGAGTTGGAGGAGGAGAAGGGAGGGATGCCGGAGGCGGCGTCGGTGACAATTCAAGAGCTGGAGAGGGCGCCAACGATGGATGCGCGGTTTGAAGAGGGCGTGCCGCTTGTGTCGCAGCAGCAGGAGAATGCTGCTCCGAGTCAGGCGGTTGATGATCTCTTTGCGGATGATGGGGCCGATGAGGATGACTTCTTTAGTAATGTCCGCAAGGAGGAAGCCCAGCCTGAGCCCCAGCCGTTGCAGCGGAAGACGACCATGGATGTGTTGAGCCAGTTGGGCGCTGGGACGGTGCAGCCGGGGGTTGAGACTATCCAAGAGGAGGAAGAAGAAGAAGAGGAGGAGGAGGAGGAGGAGGAGGAGGAGGAGGAGGAGAAGGAGAAGGAGAAGGAGAAGGAGAAGGAGAAGGAGAAGGATAAGGAGGAGGCTGAGCCGGAGCAAGTTAAGGCAGAGCAAGCTCGGGCTAAGGTTGAGGAAGAGACTCCTCAGCCAGCCCAAGCAAAGGTCGAGCCTGAACCCAAGGAGACCAAGGAGGAGGAGAACCTCGACGCCAAATGGAAGGAGATGTTTGCCGACGACGAAGGGCTTCTGCTCGACGACGAGGAGCCCAAGGTCGATGCTGCCAACTTCCTTGGGAGCGATGATGAGGGGCTGCTGGAGGATGAGCCTCAACCTGCTTCTGCCCTTGCCCCTGCTGTTCCAGCCTCTCTCCCTACTACGACTGCTGCCACTGCCGCTCCTACGACGACGACGATGACGACGACGATGACGACGACGACGACGACGACGATGACAACCGCTGCTCCTGCGCCGAACCCCTATGTCCCGGCCCAACCTGCCCAGAGACAAGTTTCGAACCCCTACGTACCTGCGACAACCGCAGTGCCAGCTCCCCCGACTCCCACGAACCCCTACCTCCCGACCGCCCCAGCTCTCACGGCAGCAGTTCCCACGCCAACCCCCTTTTCCGTTACCTCAACGGTTCCCCCAGCGCCAGCTCCGGCTCCAGCCCCGACGTACGGTTACAGCGCGACGCCCCAGTACGCCGCCGCGCCGCCGCAGCCGCAAAAGAAGGCCGAGAGCTTCGTCGAAAAGTCCAAGGGCGGCTATCAGTCGCCGTACGATCTCCCCATGGAGGTTGTCAAGGTCAAGCCGCGCGCTGCTTCCTCGCAGCGGTCTGCTCCAGCGCCGACGCCCTCGGCCCCGCCTCGTAGTGCGAGCTTCCAGGCTCATCCCCCGCCGCCCCCCGCGAGGACGGCGTCGCGTCCTGGGTCGAGCCATTCTTCTGGGCCCCCGAGCGCTACCAGCGCTAAGCCAAGACAGGAGAGCTTCTTCGAAGAACTCCCTATTATCACCAAGGCCCGGCCGTCCTCGCGCACGAGCCACAAGTCGCAGTCTCCCACGCAGTTGAGCCCGTATGGGCCTCCTCAGACGGCGCCCCCGCCCATGGCATCGCCGCCTATGGCCTCTCCTCCGCCACATGCTCCCCCGACGTCGGCCCCGGCCGAGCCTGAAATCCCCAAGCTTGTCCCCCCCGCACGGGTCAATCCGTACGCCCAGCTGAGCACCAGCCCTGCTCTCTCGCCCGTGGCGCCGCCTGCCTCGACAAGTCGGTACTCGCCCGCTCCCCCGGGCAGCTCAGGCCTCGGCCCTATTCCGGCGCCCCCTTCGAGCCGGTACTCCCCTGCTCCCCCCGGCTCTCGCAACGTCAGTGGCAGCTACGGCCCCGTGGCAGGTGGCCCGCCAATCTTGCCTCACCAGCCGCGCACGTCGAGCCCGCTGGCTCATTTCGAGATTACCCACGATCGGACACGTCCTCACTCCTCGCTGCCGCCTACCAGGGAGGTCGACGAGGAGGATACCGCTAAGGCCCAGGTCTCGCCTCGTGCAGCGGGTCCTGCGTCCCCGCCGATCTCAAGATATGCTGCCCCCCCGCCACAGGCAGCTAGGCAAACCCCGCCCCCAAGGCCGCCTGCGCCGACGACGGCGGGGCTTGTCGTCTCGCCGCCTCGTCGGGCGGCCTCGAGTTACAGTCCGCTGGCCCCGGCTGCGGCGGATCTGGTTCCCCCTCCGCGTTCACAGACTCAGTCCCCCGGCTCGTCGTTGTACGGCTCACGCGGGGTGAAGGCCGAACCTGTCCCGCGTCCGTCGTCTGTGCATGGGGGGGCCTCGCCCCCGGGTGTTACACGCGCTGCTGCGGCGGTGCCTAGACCCAGGGCGCCGTCGCTCAATCCAAACGTCATCCCGCCGACGGATGGCCGCGAACAAGACCCCCTCCAGCGCTGGCGCGGCTGTCCCCTCATCGCGTGGGGCGTCGGCGGCACGGTTGTCACCATGTTCCCTAAGGAGGTGCCCCGGTACGGGATGACCATGGGGGGTACGGCCGCCGGCGTGGTCCGCAGCCCCGGGGAGGTGAAAGTCAAGAGTGTGAAGGAGATTTTGCCGCTCGAGGAAAGACTGGCGAAGTTCCCCGGTCCGCTGAAGGGCAAGGGGAAGAAGAAGGAGGTGCTGGGGTGGTTGAGCCAGGGCATCGAGGGATTAGAGAAGGAGCTTGCGGTGTCGAGGGTCGGGGTTTATGTGGATTGGGGGGAGGAGAGGAGGAAGACGGAGGAGAGGGTGCTTTTGTGGAGGGTGTTGAGGTTGTTCGTGGAGAATGATGGGGCCTTGGAGGGGAGTCCGGCCGTGGTGAAGGCGGCGAGGGAGATACTCACGCCGAGCGTCCCCGGGGGGGATAATAACAACGAGGAGAGTGTACCGCCGTATGGGAATGGGGCGAATGGGCTGTCGCCCGCGACGGGCATGGCGCCGGATGCGGTCAGCTCGGCGGTGGTGGAGGACATCCGCAGGCATTTGCTGCGCGGGGATATTGAGAAGGCTGTCTGGGCAGCGGTCGACCAGCGGCTGTGGGGACATGCTTTGCTCCTGGCGAATGCGCTGGCTCCGCCGCTCTACAGACAGGTCGCGCAGGAGTTCGTCAAGAAGGAGGTCAACTTCCCGGGACACAACAACGAATCCCTCGCGGCGCTGTATGCCGTGTTGTCCGGCAACCATGAGGAGAGCGTCGACGAGCTGGTGCCGGTGCATGCTCGGGCCGGGCTGCAGCTCCTGGCTAAAGATGCGGCCGGTCCGGGGGCGAAGGTCGGCGCCGACGTCGAGGCTGGCCTGGACAAGTGGCGCGAGACGCTGTCTCTCATCCTGTCGAACCGCACGCCGGAAGACGGACGCGCGATTCGTGCCCTAGGCGTCCTCCTCGCGTCCTACGGCCGCGCCGACGCCGCGCACGTGTGTTTCCTCTTTGCCCGCGCGCACACAGTCTTTGGCGGGCTGGATGACCCCGCCGCGCAGTTTGTCTTGCTGGGGGCGGACCACCGCAAGCCGGGTGTGGAAGTCGCTCGCGAGATTGAGGCGTTGCTGCTGAGCGAGGTGTACGAGTACGGGCTGAGTCTGGCGGCTGGAGCGAGTGGAGGGGCGTTTGTTGGATGCCCGCATCTCGCGGGTTACAAGTTGCAACATGCGCTTACGCTGGCGGAGTATGGATACCGCGATAAGGCGCTAGCGTATTGTGATGCCATTGCCGCCGCGATCACGGCGCAGACGCGACGGTCGGTGTATCACCATGCGCTGCTGGAGACCGCGGTTGAGGATCTCATGCGCCGGCTTAAACAGGCGCCGTCTACTGAGTCTAGCGGGTCAAGTTGGCTGCCCAAGGCACCGAGCATGGGCAAGGTGTCGGATACGATGTGGAGTCGGTTCAATAAGTTCGTTGCGGGGGATGATGATGAGGATTCGGCGACGGGCGCTGGGGCGAATGGCGAGGAGGCTGCCGGGCCGTTCGCGCGGGTTGGAGCGGGCACACCCACGATTAGCAGGGTGCCAAGCTCGAATAATCTGGAGATGTTCGGGTCGGCCGCCGTACCGAGCTATGGGGTCCCGGCGGGAGCTAATGGCCCGGTGCCGGTGCCGGTGCCGGTGCCCGCGGCGGTGGTACCACCGGTGCCGGCGACGAGAGCCGCGTCAAGGTATGCCCCTCCCCCTGGCCCTGGCGCGGGCCCAACCTCTGCCCCTGGGGGGCGACGGCAAGGCCGTTTAGTTCGTCCTCATCGGCGTCAGCTGCGTATGCCCCCCCTCCCCCCAGGCCGGGTATTGAACGCACATCAAGCGAGCTCTCCCGCATGTCTGTTGAGATTCCCGCCCGCAGGAGTATCGACATGCAGAAGGGTTCTGGCAGCGGGGCGTACAGCCCGGTTAGGAGCGGCAGTCCCGCGGTTGGGTATCCTCCGGCGTCTCAGCCGGTGCATAGGTCGGGGAGTCCGTACACGCCGGTGCAGTACCAGCCGGCACAGGGGCTGGGAATGGGGCAGCAGGGGATGGAGAGTCCGTACACGCCGGCGACGACGGGGACGGGCACGACGATTGTGGGGTCTCCGCCGGTACAGGGGCAGCAGGGGTATAAGCCGCCGAGCATGACGTCTTATCAGCCCACACCCGCCGAGGAGGAGAATAAGCCTGCTGGAGGGTACGAACCGCCCAGCATGACCCCCTACGCGCCGGAGGAGCCAAAGACAAGCACCTACGAACCTCCCTCCATGACGCCATACCAGCCTGCTGCTTCTGAAGAGAGCAAGCCCAGCACCTACGAACCCCCCTCCTCCTCCTTAACACCCTACTCCTCCTCCCTAGAAGACGACAACAATAAGCGCACATCAGGAGGCTACGAACCGCCCTCCCTAACCCCCTACGAAACCGCCACCGAGGGTTCAAGCCGCAAGTCCTATGCCCCGTCTTCTGTGACCCTCACCCCGTACGAAACCCCTCCCGAGGAGCCCAACTCTAACTCCAACTCCAACTCCAACTCCAACTCCAACTCTAAGCAGGAAGAAAACGGGAATGGGTATGGTGGTGGCGGGTACCAACCGCCGGAGTATGGGAGCTACCAACCATATGGGTACGGTGGGTATGAGCCTCCGTCGTATGAACCCGGTCCGGAATCATCATCGTCGTCTTCTTCTGAGTCAGAGGATGAGGAAGGAGGTGATGGGGAGAAGAAGAAGAAGAAGGACAAGGAGAAACAGAAGAAGAAGAAGAAGAAGAAGAGGGGGATTATGTATGATGATGAAGATGATGATTTCCCTACGGTCACGACCTCTACACCGAGAGCAGAGACTGGGGTTGGGAGTGTTAAGGAAAAGACGAAGGAGGAGAAAGATCGAGAGAATGAGGAGATGTTTAGACGGATTGCGGAGGAGGATGGTAAGTTTTTTTTTTTTTTGCCTACCAAATAACATACCCCTAAACTCTACTAGCAAAAAAAAAAAAAAAAAAAAAAAAACTAGCTAACAAATATCCAGCCAAACGCGCCGAAGCCGCCAAGGCTCAGCAATCTCAAAAACGCGGCTGGGGCTTCACCTCTTGGCTCCCCTTCGGCAAAAAGGACGCCTCTTCTAACACTCAGGATGGAACCCCCGGAAAACCAATCAAAGCCAAGCTCGGCGAACCCAACCAGTTCTACTACGACCCGGAGCTCAAGCGCTGGGTCAACAAGAACGCACCGCAAACCGCCGAGAAGAAGGTTACGCCCCCGCCGCCGAGGGCAAGTTCCGTCCCGCCGGGAGGGGCTGCAAATAAACCTCCTGCTGGGGGACCACCGACTCCGGGGTCGGGGACGGGCACACCGCCTGCTGCGGCGGCCGGAGGGGCGCCGCCTATGATTAGGAGCGCGAGTGGTATGTCGACTGCTAGTGCCCCTCCTTCAAGCACGGGTACGAAGCCGCCTACTGCAGGTGGACCACCTCCGCCGGCGGCAGGAGGGCCGCCGAAGCCGAAGCCGAGCTTGAGCAGCTCGAATAGTATTGATGATTTGTTGGGACCGGCTGGGCTGCCGCCGAGAAGGGGGGCGGGTGGTGCTGCGGCGAAGAAGAAGGGTAGAGGAGCGAGGTATGTGGATGTTATGAGCAAGGAGTAACTGGGCGAAGGTATCATTCGTAAGGGTTTGGTGGAGGGGATGAGCGAAAGAGGGAGAGGGAGGGGAGATGGGTTTGGGTTGGTAAGGTGAGCTGAAGCGCAAGGGTTAGGGTTGAGTAAGATGGGTAGAGGATGGCTTACGGTTCAGGTACGTTAATGAGAAAAGGGAAAGAGGGGGGGAGGGGG